ATATTCTTGCGTGGCATTTCATCATGAAATGCTATGTCTATGTAGGGTATTGTTCAAGACTACAGACGACAAAAGGCAAATTATAAAGTTTCTTCCCATGCAGACCTTCTTCATCTTACAAGTTCACGCATATGTTCGCTACAATAATAATTTCTGGTCAGTTTCTATCATATTCGACTGATGTTGATTCAAATACATATGTGCATGTAAATACATATGAATGCATGTAATACTTATTTCTGTTAAGGTGAAAAACAGTCGGTGAAATAACTGAGAGTAAAAAGCTACTCTTGTATCATGCAAGAGTTAATTTTATGCTAATTTATATATATAGGGCACATTTGGGTGCATTATGAGCTAAGGGATTAAACTCAGTAACTGATACAGGTGGTGTGCTCTCTCGCTGAGGAAAATAATGTTGTATAAACAGAGTAACATACAAAAATAGGCCCCTCTGGGTGCATTTTATGCTAATACGTAAATTCGCCTTGCCCATGCAATACAGTCACAAAACCGGTACGAGATGATTCGGGGTTTTTTTGCAAATTTCGCTTGTACAAATATAGAGCGATATATACAACAAGCAAACTATAAAATGTGAGTGAGGGCAATGAACAAGTATAGGTAAAAGGACTTGCTCTTTTTGGGGGCATGATGTTCCCAAATATGCACGCGTCCCTTAGCTCAAAGATTTAGAAGAAGCATATAATATAGGTTTCTGTTTAAAACTGTTTCATCCACTAATACCATGCAGCCCTAGGCTATGTTAAACTATAGCATATTTACTCCCGTATGTATATACCTATATTCGGATGTCCACCACTTTAAATATGTTGTTGTTTTTATCATACCGCATATATGAGACCAGTCATGCAATAAAATGTTTTAGTTTGATAAGGAAATCATTATGTCACGAAATCTGCGAATGGTTGAGAGTGAATTAAACAAAGGAAAAGCCCCAGCGTCCGTGTTTGGAATGGCACCAAAAGATCGTTATGATTCGGCGTCTCATCAGGAAATGCCTGAAGAATATCAACCAAAAAACACGACACCAATCCGTCCTGCGAAGGAGGGGGACACTCCTTCTGTTGAATTCAAAATTCAAGGATTGCAAGAAGGACAGAATTAGGACGGAATTTTCAAGTGCTGCAATAAAATCTATATTAATAACATGTATCTCTTTCCGTAAACTCGTACGTGATGTCCTATAGTTTTTACATTGTTGTTATACCTTTCAGAAGTTTTTCAATTCCACTTGTATTTCTGCTGATTTACTTGGCATTTGTCTTAAAGGAGATACTTTTCCCCACGTCCCCAAGCAAACGTTTCTAACATTCTCTCGATTCACTCATAACCCTAGATATAGTGACGAGGAAAACTCCTGGGTACAAGCCGGTTGGATAAAGTTCCTTTTTCCGCCGTCGTGCAGTCATCAGTCTCGATATGATAATTCAAATCTTAGTCGTCACGCGCGGTCTGACCGAAATTAATGTCTCCGTAGGTATCAGTGGGAAAATCTAATCCAGTTTTTTTCTAAATCAGCGGAATATCTTCTGGATCTGAATCATCTGATCGACTCAAATGATCAGAAAGTTGCTAAACCCAAATGTTCGGTAGCAATTTAAAGAGAATGTGGTATTTTTCGCGCGATTGTGGCGACTTTCTTTCGTCGCTTATATACACGGCTTAAAACGAGTCTGCGCAATGACCACAGCTCCAAATACCGTACCGATTGCCATCGTATACGAAAGATATACGTATTCTCTACGACTACATGTATATGACGGCAGACGGTACGGTATTTTCCGTATGCCCACATGCTGGAGTGTCATGCATGCACATCCCGCTAACATACATGCATCAGTTCGCATCTTTGGATATCTCCATATATGTCTATCTGTTTGCTTACACATGTTTCGATAAAATGTGTACGTGCAACAAGCAAGATTAAAATCATGCAAAATTTATATGGGTTATATAGACAAAAATATATCCATTACATTAATACTTTATAAGGATAAATAGTTAATCGTATGTTTAACGTCATGCGGATTAATGGCTTGAAAGTCGCTGCTGAAGCTGTCCAATTGCGTTCAAATTAAAAGCAAAACTTCACTGCGTTCGCACAAGACAAGACAAGACAAGGCTAAATCTCCCACCTGAAGCAGGTGTTATCTAATGTTTTGGTCTTGCCCACTCATCCTCCAGCTTGCAAGTTACATAAATTAAAGAGAACGTTGTCATGCTCGAATCTCAGTCTTGTCGTGGTCACAGAATGTGTTGAGAACTATTCAAACCGCTAACAACGTTGTCTCGGTTCAGCTTCGAATCTGTGAACATTCAAAAAGAATATAAGAAAGTATATATAAAAGAAAGAATATAAGTGGCAGTTATCAAAAAAGAGTGACACAAAGCCAAAAGTCAAATATACGTCCTAATATCAGACTTTATCCGGAATATATTTAGTTTATAATTTGGCTGAAAGCAATTCACCTGTGGCTGTGGATATAAATCAAGATGCCGACGAATAGCAAATGTGCTTCGTTCTGCTTGCCTCACAACCGCTCAGGCCTGGTCAGAAATATGAAAAATAATCCCGCTTGTGATGGATACTTCGGCTGTGATGACGAAGAAGTTTTCCAAGATGATAAAAAAGGTTATTTCAAACTATGAGTATAATTCAATTTTAAAATTGAAGGGGGTTATAATGAAGTGTACATTTTGCCAGAAAAAATATAGTTTTGAAAATTTCATCACAAAATATCGCACTGCATGCCACTGACATGAATTATGTGGAAATTGCCTACCAAAAAACCTTCCTGGGCTGTGTATATATACAATGTACGCCGTTACAAATTTTTCACATCGTTCAGTATAATATATAAAGATGAGTTCTTAGAAAGGATGATATAACTGACTGTACGACTTTTATTTTATATATTGGCAGTCACATGCATGTGTAAATTTAACTCGAACGGTGTGTTTGACATAGACGGATCATCGGTCAGTGAGTGCATGTGAATAGGCAAAGAAAGATAGCCAGTCTGCATGTTTTTCTATTCCTGAATCCTGGTGCTGAAATTAACGCGAACATGCAATAGACGGACCGTCCATCATGATGAACCGTGACACGAGCATATATATATATATATGACTTTATCCTATATAGACGAACTATTTTCTAACGATGCCCTAGTTCGTATAATATGATTCGGTCGAATCGATCTCTTAATATGTAGATATAGCATAATAAGCATATGTATAAACCAAGCTGTTTATATTATAAAGTGACAGTGACAGTCTACATTAACTAGCATCCCATGCATGCATCAGCATGGGCAGAAGAAAAAAGCAAATTAGTAAAAACGTATTTTACATATTTTTTGTTCGACCACTATACTATACATGCAAGAGCACAAAAGTGATTTGATAAACGAACACATATTGATCTAGCTGTTACATACTGCATGTGCTCTCTTGTGATATTGAAAACGTTTAAGTATAGCGCACATGCTGGATCAAAAATGAAAAGTCAACTAAATTTCTACTGTTTGTTCACTGTAAGGGCACTTGACTGTGTTCATTTTTCAATTTATATATGTTGTATAGGCCTACCTTAATTGGCACTGAGTTCTTGTCAGGCATGCATGAAGTTCGTACACATATAGTGGGCACAGAAACAGTATGATAGGGCAATGAGAAGCAATGTATATTCAAAGCAGTGGCAAAAAAGCGTTATATAGTTTTACTATATAGTCTAGTCATTTGGGCTTGAAATAAAGTGCTCTATAGTGAAGACTTTTATGCAATCACCTGTCCTTAGAATATGCGTATTTCCATTGTCTTTGATCAAGGCCTGGTGAAAGTGCATTGTTTAACAGAAACAAACAATACGAATTACCGACAGAATTTCAATTCTAAAGCCCTCATATATTGCAATATAATCGGCGTCTTCAAGTGGCACTATACGTAAACTTGCATGAGTGTTCGTTCATTACAATTTCTATTTAAAATGTTAACATGGAATATACATGTTCTATATACTATTTTACTATCTTTAGTTTTACTAAACGGCAGCGGAAAGAATGAAAAGCAACATATCAATTATTTGCCATGGGTCAGAAGAAAATCACCACCAGTTTTGTCATTCTTCAAAAGGGTGGCCAGTCTGAGAAAACAAAAAACTCCGAAGGAAAACAACGGCTGCTGTAGATACAGTTATCGCACTCTTCCCAACCCAAAGACGACGACACTTGGATACAAATGTTTTCGATTTGATGCAGGTTTTACATCTCTCAAACGTAATTACTGTTGCGATGGTTACTTTGGATGTCCTCCAACAAATGAGTAGAAATAAGTTTGGAACACAACTGGTGCATGATCAATTAATTAAGAGCATCTTTAATTAGCTTCGCATGCAAGCAGGCTTTGTCTTTTAAGACGAATGGTATTATTAATGTATACTAATCTATACACGTCCTTATAGACGTTGATTGTCGTCGTACAGTTTCCGACATCATGATGAAATATATATGCTATTTGCTATACAGTGTACAAACCTTTCATATATATAGATCAATGCACAAAGGATGTTTTAAACAAGTAAATCGTAGATGCGAAAAACTCGAAATAGTTTTCTCAGACTTCTCTGCTTATAATTATATAGCTGCTTTGTTAAACATGTAAACTAGACTTTAAAAACCCAATATAATCTATATTCTGCATGGACATGATATATTTATTTTACCTTAGAAAAATAGTGTATGTAATGCGGTATAAACAATGAATTTCTCGATTTTATTTTGTTATCATCATATAAAGATAAATGTATTTGTTTCCGACCATTACTAATATTGCAATGTGAAATTTTAATCCGCGGTCCGCGATCTTTTGATGTTTTTTTGGGGGGCAGGTCATGAAAAATTTAACGGTAATTCTGCGGAAAAATGATGCAATATTTAAATAAACACCGATAATGTGTTATGCACAACAAATTATCATTCGAGCTTAATAATTTCGTTTTAAAAAATGAGGTGTCCCCTTTTTTTCTATTTTTACATGTTCAAGTTCTGAAATGATTTGTCCCAAGGCCTAAAGAAAGGGAAACAAAAAAGTTATATAAATCGAAGAAGGGCGCGAAGATTTTTATATAGAAGCATGCTATATTGCAGTAAACTAATCATTCATGTAGCATCAAATGTGGTATAACAACTGCGTAAAATAGACAAAACACTTCTCGACGTTTCGATCTGAGGGCCTTTGTGAGGAGAGTTGGTAGTATCATACTAATTCTTCTGACGAAGGCCCTCAGGTCGAAACGTCGAGAAGTATTTTATCTATTTTAGGCAGTTGTTATACCACATTTGATGCTAAGTTGTTTGAAGACGCTGCCACGCTGCTCCTGGTTATATTGGAACGTAATCATTCATGTATATATATAATATTCATATATACAACAAATAAATTACCTTTGCAAAGTACTTGGGCGTCCTCTGTCTGCAACATAGTCATGTTCATACATACTCATCATATATAATGGTGGGGGTTTCGTTGGTGCTAATTTAAAAAAAAATCGACAGATTGACTTTGATTATACACTCGTTGCATGTTTATAATAGAAAATAATAAATTATAATTAGGTGACATGTCACAATTCGTTTACCATTAGCGTTATTCCATTCATTAGGTCCTTTTTTGTTTGTGTATGATGGTATTATCTTTGGTAAGGTATCTAAATGGTCAATAAAGTGAAATATCATCCATGAGGTGCAACGAGATGATCACGCGAGGTAATAATAATAGCTTTACGGTACTGTCGGTACATCGAGAATTAGCTCACTGACTTCTCGAAAAGAGTTTTCATAGTCGAACATGAAACTTAATTTGTACATAAATGTGATCATTATAAATTGCTTTAGGGTATTTGAATTGTGGGTATTGTAAACAACATCTGATCGACATAATTCACCGCAACAGCTGATCTCAAAGCCCAGACATCAGACAAACTTCTCCAGTAATAGAATTCATTCTCACAAATAACGTTAGTGGCGTACGAGAGTGATTAGGGTTTGGTGTGTCAACATTCACACGTTAATTTGTCGGCTACAGCTGCATGATGTATCAATTGAATAAAATTAGAAGAAGTGAACCTATGCTCCAGTCAAAATCATTTTTTATTCTTACATGTCCGATAAGAAATTAATGGGGAGGAGGGGGTAATATCTCAACGACGTCTATGATTAAGAATGGAGCAACCGGGAAGAATTCCCAAAAATCCCCTAAAAAGCTGCTTTCGGCGGTCGGATGTCTCCAAAAATATCCAGATTGGCCAGGCGCTGCTCCGGTTGGCATTCCCTTTTAAGATGTATGTGCATGCCCATTCTCTAAGTTAAAATATTGAAAAGTTGATGCCAATAGAATTATGGTCTTACCGAAATTTTTACCGGCAAATGAAACGTCATATGTAGTTGTCCATGATCGTCGTCCTTTGTTTCGGATAGTACCTGGGGCTGACTGTGTTTCTCGAATTGTATCGAGATGATTGGTTCTCGTCTTCCATATTTGATATCTCTAAATTGAAGGCATCAAAACTAAAACTTTAAAAGCGCATCAACTAAGAAGCTTGCTGACGTTTTTCTCATTTATTAAACGAGAACGATTTAACACTGGCAGGGAAACCAGGCTTCAGATAATGCTAACCATGTCAGGATGTTTCCATGGGTCAAACACCATTGGATGAGGATTATTCTTTCGGTGAACAGACGCAGGTTGTATGTTATATTTACTGTATTGTTTTGGTGTAAAGGTAGAACTATAATGGGTTCTCTCAAACGGCCAACCAGTAGGAAGATGGTCACTTGTATCGGCCCTAAATGTGATATAAAATATATACAATAGGCGCAGTATGATTAATTCTATCAGTGGGGGTACCTGAAACTTAAGGTTTCAATACAAAAATATAACTTGACATTTCGGGCGAAAGGCCATCGTCTTCGTCTAGGACTTGATGAACACAGTTAATTGATATACAAATATACGAAATTCGAAAAAAGTTGTTGGAAAGAAAATTAAAAGGAAGCAGGATAATTTCCAGTTAACATGGATAAATTAAAAAGATACTTGTTCCTCAACTCACCTATAAGGCAGGGATCTGGAACATGGTAGTCCCTGAAATGTTAGCTCATAGACAGTATGAAGTCCTTTATTATTCTTTTTATATCCACTGCTTGTAGTTGATAGTCTTTCTGAATAGTTTAATAAACAATTAATTTACCGAGCTGTTTTCCTCAGTTAATTTATGAATTCGGTTAATCGACTAATTGATTAACCATATACATAACCGTTTTTTTGGCACATATAGGCGTACGGGGAGCCGGGGTCCCTTCGGGGATTTTGAAAATTATACTTATGTTTTTCCGGCTATATTATTCATTGCTGAAACTCTTTGATCGTGGATTTAGGCAAAAATTGCCCGACTCTTAAGCTGAAATTGGTACCTAGTATCTAAGGACTAAATTTTATGTCAAATTGAGGGTCTGACTTTAAATATATTAGTGAAAGGCAATTAATTTTCGCGTGACGCTATAAATTTAAAGCAGATTTTTTTTGGTCTTTTGTTATGGTATCTGTGCAATATTGCACTGATGAAGGCCCGGGTTAACTGACCGAAAGCTTAAGTTGCAGTATTAAATAATTACGCGGTGTACCTACAAGCTAAATTGCTTTAATTACTAAATAGATAATTCGACGATTATGAGATTAATCATCTCATAATTTATTTATTATTTATTAGCGATTATTTATGAATATTAAGTGTTGCGCTTTTTATACATGCACCCTGTTTTTATGCAACCAAATGCAACGTAAAACAACAACCTGGGCCCAGGTTAAACGTCGCATTTTGAATGCAATTCAAACAATAGATAATGAGATGGTAATGAAGCTTAATGAGGTTTATCATCATCTCATTATCTATTGTTGAATTGCATTCGACGCGACCAAAATGCGACGTATAACCTAGGTCTAAAACATGTAGTCTTGTTCTCTTCGGAAATTAAAATGTGCAGTCTAATCATGCATGGGAGAGATAGGAAAACTGTAGTTAACCTCGTGCTGTCGGACACAGGGGATTGTAAAATGAGGCCAGTCATAAGTTTGCGGCAAATTAGGCTGGAAATGGAATTCCCTTGAGGTTAATTCGCACTGGGGCAAGCACAATAGCGACGACATTGTCAATGGTGAATGGCTTAAGGATAGCGTCACGGACTTCGAAAATTAAGGCGTGTAAAAATGAACTGAACTAAACATTTACATTTATACATGACACAAATGACATCGTCGAACGATCGTCGAACGTTAGTCACTGACATCTTTGCTAATTTGCTGTGATGTTGAAAAGAGTGCATGTACTATGAGTCTATGATTACTGTCTCAGTATAATATCGCACCACAGATCCATTGTTGTTTAGTGGAATACACATCCAATAAAACATTTGTTTGATTAAAACATATATACGCGAAGTATACTCGGTGTCAGGCGGCTGGCTGACCTGGAGGGTTTAACGAGGAGAAATGGTAATGTGGAAATTGCTCTTGGTAAGTTGGATCGGAAAATGATTGGTATATTGGTCTTGCATATCTTTCATATATACACGTAGTTGAGTTGCATGTGGATAAAACATGGTGGTCCAGCACGGTGACACGGCTTCATAGTTATTCATAGTGTTCAACTACACCATATATAACCTATCATATCCATATGATACTATCGCACATTTAAACAGCTTCTGTGATTGAGAAATAGGCTTTAGGAAGTTGGGACTAGGCTTTAGGAAGTTGGGACTATACACTAGACCACTAGATATATAGACACAATTTGCCGGCGTAGCAACTACGTATATATAGATTGGTCTTGCAGCATGACACTAGTACTCCACAGAAATTAAAAATTATAATGAACTGCAATGTGGTCACTGCACAGTGCTAGTGTGGTCGGTTTTAGTAACTGGAACGTATACGAGTTGATATTTTTGGTGTCTGGTGGAAAGAAACCAATTAAATGACGGTAAATGTATTTTTATATAACCAAACAGACATATATTACAAACTGGCAAGATACCTTGTTCCAAACTTGATTTTACAACCGGTGTTGCCACGAGCATTTTAGGAAGATTTATCTCTAGTGCATTCTCCGCCATGCTAGAAGATTGTCAGTTTATTTCATAGCAACAAAATTCAGGTTTATAGTTTAATACACATATTAGCAACAAAGTTGAGTCGTTATTGTTGCTTGGATAAACAAGTTATCATTTTATGATTTTATTGTTTACATCATGATGCTAGTTTTGGTTGCTACGCAGCTCGTAATTCATTCAGTTGATATTAATCACTTTGTCATTGATAGTTTATTAGTCTCATCTGACAAACTGAAGCTAAAGGTCAAAGCCGAAGGATTTCATTCTCTCTGATTATAGCATTGTACCTTTAAAATCTGATGAAAAACTATATATCAATACAACAATTATACCCATTGTGATAAAATTTATATATAGTGAAAAGACTGTTTGTTTCGTAAGGGGAACATTAAAGGAAACATTACAGGAAACATTTTTGTCCCACAACTCATAGGAAGAGTGTATTGAAAGATATAATTCGGGGAATCAACGACTTGAATGTTAATATAGTTTATTTATATTCGGGTTCACGGCAATTGCGACAAAATGAAAACCAGTCTAAAAGCATCAATTAGAAAAACGAAGAAACGACACAATTTTTAGATGATAGACACTCTTTGACTTTAATAATAACAATACATCACGTGTTACAATTTTCCATACAAATTAAGCCAGCATGCATATAATTTTATGTAGAATTATTAATGAGATATCAAATATCCGGCAAATGTTGTGTATCTACCACCACCAGTAACAGCATAAATCGAATATTTGACCAGGCGAACCCACACGGTCTGACTTTTCTTCAGCTGAATAAGAACCGTCTTACTCAACTGATCATGATTCTTGTGATTGGCGTGCACTTGAGTATAAACTTGACCATCCTTTATCAACTGAACGTGGCTTGCGTAACCATTTTTTTGCAAATAAGAAAAACTTGTTTGATAAATACCATCAACAGGTGCAGTAAACTTTCCAGTGCTGGGATTATAACCATTTCCAATGTTTAATGAGACGTCATTGAACTTGATGGCATCATGAGCGTAGTTTGGTCCGATGTCACCAGATGAAAGAGTTGCAAAAAATACAGGAATATCCTAAATATTAAATCTGGCAATTTTTTAAATCGAATAAGATAGGCGAATGGATAATATTACTGTATTGATTTCCGCATGTATGGCATAGATATAGTATAAATGTTGAAGTCACACAAACAACAGCTTTTAAAGCCTGCTAAACCAAGTACCTATATTTGTTTGTCAGGCTTTTCACGCGAAATCAATGCACTAAACATTTTCTATATAAATTCCCTTACCCGGCTACAAAACGCTCAACTAAAGTCAACTTACTTCACTAATTTTGCCAGTTCTCCCATTCACGATGAAATCCCTCATGCCATGTTGGAAGCTCAAGTTGATTTCAGAAACCTTAAAGATATACAGCGACAATGAATAAGATTATTTTACTGCCGTTTCATATAGTTTTGCCTATTCCATATGGTTGCAGCAAACTTACTCCTGATTTCAGAGATCTTTTGTTGATAGAAGAGTCTTGTTGTTGTTCGTCTTGCAAATGCACGATCTCAGCACCCGAGCAAAAAACTGCAATTTCAAATATTGCAGCAACAGCCAATAGTGATGTCTTCATATATGTCTTCATGGTCTTCTCTTTATGGAATTTCTTCCTAATTTCTCTCTTTTGTTATCTCAGTCTTCAATCTTGTCCTGATAAGAGTCCTGATAAGTGTTGGAAAAGCACCCATATTTATAATACCTGCCAAATTTTCTGTAATCGATATTACTTGTTTAAAATGATGACACCTTCATCATCTTGCTAAAACTACCACAACTTCCTTCAATTATCCACGTCGCTCAGCTGGAGTAGTCAGGACGTGAATGAGGCTAAGTGGCGAGAAGAGTTTACGCGTTATAATGGGCTTCGTTTGTGAAAGAGGAGGGGCGTATTAAGTGAGTAATAGACAAGAATTTCTATGCATTACGCGTTACTTTTTGGATGAAACACTGATTTTTTCCCTCAATTGCAATGATAGATTCGCGTGGGAAATTTTATTGGTAGTACTTATCCAAATAATTTAGATGTGGAAAGTCGATATTGAAAATTCGGCAATTACATTATATTGTTTAAACTTTACACGATTGATAACATTGATCATTCTAAGTATCATGCATAGTGTATGGAATATATCGCTAGTGTTAATTTATTCAGCAAATATCTCAAGTCCTCATTACTCAATAAATACCTTTACATGACTTCTTATTTGTTAGACAGTATCTCATACAGCTTTATAAATTAGTCCCCCCCCCTTCTATCAAGGGGCAGGCGGACGTGATTGAAGTAATATACTGCTCTAATTTTCACAGTTTTCCATCAAAGATGGAAATTATACACTCCTTTTGGTAATTGGTAAACAAAGTCAGAGCCGTAGGTAAAACAAATTAATACCGGTTCCTAACACTATATAGTATAGCGCCAGTTTTCATGTCACGTCCGCGTCGTAGATTTGGTGCATCCTAAACTCGCTTATTGTTAGCCAAGGCAAAGATGAAATCAGTTTAGCTTGGTGGAAATGCAATTATTTTTTCACTATGCTTATATGGCCATAAGTAACTCCCTTCCCTTTGATAGCCTAGATGCAAACGGGCATATAGTATTAAATGTTTTGATGTATATGAGTGCCTGCATGCATGTATCAAAATAAACACGTATATAACTTAAACACATATCCGCAAGAGAAGAAAATTAGATGACAAGATGGTAATTGTATGCTATACAACTAATATGGTATATACAGTGAGATGTATAAAAGTGAAAAGAAACGTTTAGAATAGTTTGCTACTTTGAATCGTCTCACCAAATCTACGACGCGGACGTGATTGAAGTAAAACTGCTCTAATTAATAATTTCCAAGCAGTTTCCCATCAGGAATGGAAATTATGCATTCCTGTTGGTAAAGAAAGTCAGAGCCGTATGTAAAACAAATTAATACTGGTTTCCTAACACTATATAGTAGCAGTTTTCATGTCACGTCCGCGTCGTAGATTTGGTGCATCCTAAACTCGCTAATTATTGGCCAATGCAAATGCGAATTCAGTTTAGCTTGGTAGAAATGCAATTCTTTTTTCACTATGCTTACATGACCATGCAGAAGTAACTCCCTTCCTTTGATAGATGCAAACAAGCATATTTATTAAATGTTTTGATGTATAGCTATATGAGTGCCTGTATCAAAATAAACACGTAGCTAACTTTAATAAACACATTTATATCCGCAAGAGAAGAAAATGAGATGACAAGATGGTAATTGTATGCTATACACTTAATATGCTATATACAATGAGATGTATAAAAATGAAAAGAAAGGTTTAGAATAGTTTGCTAGTTTGAATTGTCTGACTACAGAGAGATGCGATGCCGATGGGAAATTTCAGTCGACTTGCTGAAGCGGATGTTATGTAAGTTTGTTAGGACTTGAGTTCGTAAATATGATTGCCTCTTTTTGAGAACACTGGATTAAATCAACAATGATTGGATTAAAAAATAGTTGTCAAAACTCAATAATAGGTCCATTACGGTATTGTATGCGTAAAACAGACAACGACGATAAGTTATAAGTTATGAAATGCTTACAGAAATAATTTCGGTTCATCATTACCTAGCGCACATATCATGACCTAGCGCAACTTATTTAAATTTAGTACTGAACCGAGTTAATCAAAGATTCAATAATTACGTATACTAGATCGATTTTGTGAATGAATTGTTACGGTTGGATATGACTACACAGGGACGTAGCGAAGGGATGACGGTTGCTAAATCGCCCACGAGTAAACCTGTCTGCAAAATTGGATAAACAAATTATCGTTTTATATTATTCTATTCTTTATACAAGATGCTAGTTTTGGTTACTAGTTATGATCTGACAAACTAAGTACGCACATTAAAAATAACCTTTGTTGGAAAGAACTCAATATTACTCCCAACTATAACTACTGATAAATTTTCCGGTTAAAATTGCCCGATTTTAAGGACCGCCTGCCATTCAGGCCTCTAACGGGCGCCCAGTTCAATATTACATTGTCTGATCTCATAGCGTAATTCTGTGTGGGGTGTGCATGAAACTCCCATTTCGTTCTGGTCGTTTTTTAAAAAGGGTCCGTGGTCCCTGCATACGGCGAAAAACATGGTTGTCAGATGATGGACAACGTTTTAATGTGATAACAATACATGGTTACATCTATATGACCAATTATGTATACAAATTAAGCCTGCATGCAACAAGTATCATTTCATGTAGAATTATTAATGAGATATCAAATATCCAGCAAATGTTGTGTATCTATTACTGCCATAAACAGCATAACCTGAACTTTTGGGCAGGCGAACCCACACGGTCTGACTTTTCTTCAGCTGAATAAGAACCGTCTTACTCAACTGATCATGATTCTTGTGATTGGCGTGCAATTCAGTATAAACTTGACCATCCTTTATCAACTGAACGTGGCTTGTGTAACCATTATTTTGCAAATAAGAAAAACTTATTTGATAAATACCATCAACAGGTGCAGTAAACTTTCCAGTGCTGGGATTGTAACCATTTCCAATGTTTAATGAGACGTCATTGAACTTGATGGCATCATGAGCGTAGTTTGGTCCGATGGAACCAGATGTCAGAGTTGCAAAAAATGCTGGAATACCCTAAAAATTAAATCTGGCAATTTTTTAAATCGAATAAGTTAGGCGAATATGATAATATTACGGTATTTATTTCCGCACGTATGGCATAGATATAGTTAGTATATATGTTGAAGTCACACAAACAACAGCTTTTAAAGCCTGCTAAACTCCCAATGCCTATATTTATTTGTTTGGCTTTTCACGCGAAATCAACGCAGTAATCATTTTCTATATAAATTCTCTTACCCAGCTACAAAACGCTCAACTAAAGTCAACTTACTTGACTAATTTTGCCAGTTTTCCCATTCACGATGAAATCCCTCATGCCATGTTGGAAGCTCAAGTTGATTTCAGAAACCTTAAAGATAAACAGCGACAACAAGATTATTCTACTGTCGTTTCATATGGTTTTGCCTATTCCATATGGTTGCAGCAAACTTACTCCTGATTTCAGAGATCTTTTGTTGATAGAAGAGTCTTGTTGTTGTTCGTCTTGCAAATGTACGATCTCAGCACCCGAGCAAAAAACTGCAATTTCAAATATTACAGCAACAGCCAATAGTGATGTCTTCATGTATATCTTCATGGTCTTCTCTTTATGAAATGTCTTCTTAGTTTCTCTCTTTTGTTAACTCAGTCTTCAATCTTGTCCTGATAAGAGTCCTGATAAGTGTTGCAAAAGCACCCATATTTATAATACCTACCAAATTTTCTGTAATCGATATTACTTGTTTAAAATGATGACACCTTCATCATCTTGCTAAAACTACCACAACTTCCTTCAATTATCCACGATTCCACGTCGCTCAGCTGGAGTATAGTCAGGACGTGAATGAGGCTAAGTGGCGAGAAGAGTTTATAATAGGTCTGGTTTGTGAAAGAGGAGGGGCGTATTAAGTGAGTAATAGAACTGCGATTTTAGCACAAGGATAATGGAACAACAACACACAAAATACCTTTCACTGGGCCCTTTAGCTACATGTAATTTAATCGGAGCCAGGTGCATGCCTGCAGATGTACATGGTTTCTCTGTTGTAAATCTTTAAACGTGCGTCAAAAGCATTTTCTTTAGAATCATTTGTTTTTTATTTCCTTTTTTCCTTTTACAACAAAGAAAGAATCAGACAAGAATTTCCATGCATGCATTACGCGTTACTTTTTGGATGAAACACTTATACTAAATAATTTAAGTGTGGAAAGTCGACATTGAAAATTCGGCAATTACATTATATTGTTTACACGATTGGTAACATTGATCATTCTAAGTATCATGCATAGTGCATGGAATATATCGCTATAGTGAAAATTTATTCAGCAAATATTTGCAGTCCCCATTATTCAATAAATACCTTTACATGACTTCTTATTTGTTAGACAGTATCTCATACAGCTTTATAAATTAGTCCCCCCCCCCTAATTCGATCTATTTCCCTACATAATTTTGTGGCGCAATTTACATAGGACACCATACTTTGTCGCCCCATCATGCAACCCATTGACCTCGACATGTGATAGTGAAGTAAGCCGTGTCGCTCTATGAAGGGGCAGGCGGACGTGATTGAAGTAATATACTGCTCTAATTTTCACAGTTTCCCATCAAAGATGGAAATTATAGACTCCTTTTGGTAATTGGTAAACAAAGTCAGAGCCGTATGTAAAACAAATTAATACTGGTTTCCTAACACTATATAGTAGCGCCAGTTTTCTTGTCACGTCCGCGTCGTAGATTTGGTGCATCCTAAACTTGCTTATTGTTAGCCATGCAAGGCAAATGCGAGCTCAGTTTAGCTTGGTAGAAATGCAATTATTTTTTCACTATGCTTATATGGCCATAAGTAACTCCCTTCCCTTTGATAGGCGCAAACGGGCATATATAGTATTAAATGTTCTGATGTATATGAGTGCCTGTATCAAAATAAACACGCAACTTAAACATATTTATATATCCGCAAGAGAAGAAAATTAGATGACAAGATGGTAATTGTATGCTATACAACTAATATGCTATATACAGTGAGATGTATAAAAGTGAAAAGAAACGTTTAGAATAGTTTGCTAGTTTGAATCGTCTCACCAAATCTACGACGCGGACGTGATTGAAGTAAAACTGCTCTAATTTCCAAGCAGTTTCCCATCAAGGATGGAAATTATACACTTCTTTTGGTAAAGAAAGTCAGAGCCGTATGCAAAACAAATCAATACTGGTTTCCTATAACACTATATAGTAGCAGTTTTCATGTCACGTCCGTGTCGCAGATTTGGTGCATCCTAAACTCGCTTTTTATTAGCCAAGGCAAATGCGAGCTCAGTTTACCTTGGTAGAAATGCATGCCATTCTTTTTTCACTATGCTTATATGGCCATGCAGAAGTGACTCCCTTTCCTTTGATGGATGCGAACGAGCATATAGTATTAAATGTTTTGATGTATACGAGCTAGTGCCTGCATCAAAATAAACACGTAACATTTATATCAAGAGAAGAAAATTAGTTGACAAGATGGTAATTGTATGCTATACAACTAATATATTATATACAATAAAAATGAAAAGAAAGGTAGCTTGCTGAAGCGGATGTTATGTGGGTCTGTTAGAACTTGAATTCCTAAATATGATTGCCTCTCATTGTATAATGAGAACAGTAGATAAAATCAACAATGCTTGGATTCAACAATAGTTGTCAAAACTCAATAATACGTCAATTAGTATTGTATGCATGCGTAAAACAGACCAGACGATAAGTTATAAGTTATGAAATGCTTACAGAAATAATTTCGGTTCATCATTACCTAGCGCACATATCATGACCTAGCGAAACTTTTTTAAATTTAGTACTGAACCGAGTTAATCAAAGATTCAATAATTACGTATACTAGATCGATTTTGTGAATGAATTGTTACGATTGGATATGACTACACAGAGGCGTAGCGAAGGGATGAGGGTTGCTAAATCGCCCACGAGTAAACCTGTCTGCAAAATTGGATAAACAAATTATCATTTTATGTGATTTTATTCTTTATACACGTGCTAGTTTTGGTTGCTAGATATGATCTGACAAACTAAAGCTAAAGGTCGAAGCAAAGAGGGGACAAAGTGCCAGATGAATCAACCTATTCTGGCCCCTTTTCCGCGAAACATGATACAAGTGTATCCAACTTATTTTTTTATTTGTTTAGCGCCTTCTCTTTCAACGTATCCAGCTGTAACTAAGTACGCACATTAAAAATAACCTTTGTTGGAAAGAAATCAATATTACTCCCAACTAACAATAAATTTTCCGGTTAAAATTGCCCGATTTTAAAGACTGCCTGGCATTCAGGCTACTTGTATCCGACTAATGGGGCCTCTAACGGGCGCCAGTTTAATTACGTTCTCTGATCTCATAGCGTAATTCTGTGTGGGTATGAAATTCGTATTTCGATCTGGTCGTTTTTTAAAAAGGGTCCGTGGTCATTGCATACGGCGAAAAACATGGTTGTCAGATGATAGACAACGTTTTAATGTGATAACAATACATGCATGGTTACATATATATGACCAATAATGTATACAAATTAAGCCTGCATGCAACGTGTATCATTTCATGTAGAATTATTAATGAGATATCAAATATCCAGCAAATGTTGTGTATCTTTCACGGCCATAAACAGCATAACCTGAACTTTTGGACAGGCGAACCCACACGGTCTGACTTTTCTTCAGCTGAATAAGAACCGTCTTACTTAACTGGTCATAATTCTTGTGACTGGCGTGCACTTCAGTATAAACTTGACCATCCTTTATCAACTGAACGGTGCTTGCGTAACCATTTTTTTGCAAATAAGAAAAACTTATTTGATAAATACCATCAACAGGTGCAGTAAACTTTCCAGTGCTGGGATTATAACCATTTCCAATGTTTAATGAGACGTCATTGAACTTGATGGCATCATGAGCGTAGTTTGGTCCGATGGAACCAGATGTCAGAGTTGTAAAAAATGCTGGAATACCCTAAAAATTAAATCTGGCAATTTCAAATCGAATAAGATAGGCGAATGTGATAATATTGCTGTATTTGTTCCCGCATGTATGGCATAGATATAGTTAGTATATATGTTGAAGTCGAATAAAGAACAGCTTTTAAAGCCTGCTAAACCAAGTACCTATATTTGTTTGTCAGGCTTTTCGCGCGAAATCAACGCAGTAGTCATTTTCTATATAAATTCCCTTACCCCGCTACAAAACGCTTAACTAAAGTCGACTTACTTGACCAATTTTACCAGTTTTCCCATTCACGATGAAATCCCTCATGCCATGTTGGAAGCTCAAGTTGATTTCAGAAACCTTAAAGATATACAGCGACAATGAATAAAATTATTCTACTGCTGTTTCATATAGTTTTGCCTATTCCATATGGTTGCAGCAAACTTACTCCTGATTTCAGAGATCTTTTGCTGATAGAAGAGTCTTGTTGTTGTTCGTCTTGCAAATGCACGATCTCGGCACCCGAGCAAAAAACTGCAATTTCAAATATTACAGCAACAGCCAATAGTGATGTCTTCATGGTCTTCTCTTTACGGAATGTCTTCTTAGTTTCTCTCTTTTGTTAACTCAGTCTTCAATCTTGTCTTGATAAGAGCAGTTGTTGGAAGAGCACCCATATTTATAATACCTGCCAAATTATCTGTAATCGATATATGTTTAAAATGATGACACCTTCATCATCTTGCTAAAACTACCACAACTTTCTTCAATTATCCATGTCGCTCAGCTGGAGTAATGAGGACGTGAATGAGGCTAAGTGGCGAGAAGAGTTTATAATAGGTCTGGTTTGTGAAAGAGGAGGGGCGTATTAAGTGAGTAATAGAACTGCGATTTTAGCACAAGGGTAATGGAACAACAACACACAAAATACCTTTCACTGGGCCCTGTAGCTACATGTAATTTAATCGGAGCCAGGTGCATGCCTGCAGATGTACATGGTTTCTCTGTTGTAAATCTTTAAACGTGCGTCAAAAGTATTTTCTTTAAAATCATTTGTTTTTTATTTCCTTTTTTTTGAAAACGAAGACAAAAGACAACAAAGAAAGAGTCAGACAAGAATTTCTATGCATGCATTACGTGTTACCTTTTGCATGAAACACTGATTTTTTTTCTCAATTGCAATGATAGATTCGCGTGGGAAATTTTATTGGTAGTACTTACCAAATAATTTAGGCGTGGAAAGTCGACATTGAAAATTCGGCAATTATATTAAATTGTTTAATGTTTAAACGATTGAGGTGTACGTATTTTATACTCGTTGATGAACATTGATCATTCTAAGTTTCATAGTACATGGAATATATCGCTAGTGATAACTTATTCAACCAATATGCAAATCTCTACATAATTTTTTATTTATTAGATATGCAGCTTTATAGAAAAGTCCCCCCCCCTAATATATCGATCTAGTTCCCTACATAATTTTGTGCTAATTTTGTGGCGCAATATACATAGGACACCATACTTTGTCGCCCCATTATGTACCCATTGACCTCGGCATGTGATCGTGAAGTAAAACGTGTTGGTCTATGAGGGGACAAGTCGTTAGGCAAATCGAAAATGGACATTAGTGAGTTTAAGATTCACCAAGTCTACGATGCGGATGTGATTGAAGTAATACTGCTCTAATTTTCACAGTTTGCCATCAGGGATGGAAATTATAGACTACTTTTGGTAAAGAAAGTCAGAGCCGTACGTAAAACAAATTAATACTGGTTTCCTAACACTATATAGTAGCAGTTTTCATGTCACGTCCACGCCGTAGATTTAGGCAAATGCAAATTCAGTTTAGTTTGGTGGAAATACAATTCTTTTTTCACTATGCTTGTATGGCAAGAAGTAACTCCCTTCCCTTTGATAGATGCAAACGAGCATATACTATTAAATGTTCTGATGTATACGAGTGTCTGTATCAAAATAAACAGATAGCTTAAACACATTTGTATCCGCCAGAGAAGAAAATTAGATGACTAGATGGTAATTGTATGCTATACAACTAATACAACTAATACGCTATACACAGTGAGATGTATAAAAGTGAAAGAAACGTTTAGAATAGTTTCTCTATACACAGAAAGTGGATGTGATGAGAAATTTCGACTTGCTGAAGCGGATGTTGCATGGGTTTGTTAGCCTTGAATTGATTGTGTATATTTTCGAGAACACTGGATAAAAGACAATAAGTCCAAAATCAACAATAATTGAAGTCAACAATAGTTGTCAAAACTCAATAGCAGGCCCATTAGTGAATGTATGCGTAAAAAAAACCAGACGATAACGGTTATGGAATGTTTGCAGAAATAATTTCGGTTCATCATTAATACCTTGCCCAACTTTTTATTTAAATTGGTACTAAAATCGTGGCATTAATTTTGTAGCTTTTTCTACATGAAACTCCTGAACCGAGTTAATGAAAGATTCAATAATGATTAGTCTAAGATTGATTTTGTGAATCAATTGTTGATATGGCTATACACAGGGGGCGTAGCGAAGGGAGGAGTGTTGGGGCAGAAGTGTTGATCACGAGTAAACTTGTCTGCAAAATTGGGTTATATTTATTTTAGACCACTAAAGTGAACATGCATTTTAAAAATCTTTTCGCTATGTAGTATGTACACGTCGTTATACTAGAAATATATTTGCCTCGTTTCATCGATTTTGCGATATTAATTATAAATCATTTTCACAGAATAAGAGTTTTTTTAATGCAATATAGATATCCTTATATGCATGTTCATATGAAAGATTTGTTCTAAACTGTAAGAGCCAAGATCTACACTATTCCTACTATTATAAGACACTGACAATAGTCATGCCAATGTTAGTGCTGGAATAAAAAAGATCAATATAAAGTCAGGTTCTGAAAGTGTGTTAAAGCGAACACGGGACGGCCAACAGTAGGTTCTTGGTTGTATGTTTTATGTCATGTCTCATAAATGTATTTGTTATTCAAACCGCTGACAAATTGTCTCAGCAACTCCTTATCCCAAAAGTCTTATCCCACACACATTTCACACAGGTGAGATTGAACATGTCAACTTTGTACACTATTGAGATGCAGATATGTTTCAATGCAATATACGACCTTCCACATATTATTTTTTTTCCTGTAAAAATTACAATATAATATGGTAGATAGTAGATACGTTTTCATCTATAATTTGTACTATGAAAATGACGTGGTGCATTTGCGCAGATTGCTGCCGGAACCAGCATTCCTAAAAATGTCTCAAAGCCAGCTCTTGCTCTGGCATTACAAGAAAGACTTCCTTGAGCATATTATATAACATCTAAAGTGGAATCGTTAATATTAACGACTGTACAAAAATTCATTTGGCACAGAATTTGCCAGTATATAGTGACCTGTAAACATGAAAAACATATACTCGATCCCTAACATAAACTTTTAAAGCAAATGTTCAGTTGATATAATTTTCAACGCAAGTAGTGTTGGTTACTATTGTCATCAAATTCCTGAAGGGATTTCTGACCAACAGATGTTTTTAACAGTATATAACAGCCAGCCAACCAGAGCCAGTGCCACGCGTGGTCTCCGCAGAAGCCGTTGGCTGAAGAAAGATTTCCTTGAGCATATTATATAATATCTAAAGTGGAATCGTTAATATTAACGTTGGACTGTACAAAAATTCATTTGGAACAGAATTTGCCAGTATATAGTAACCTGTAAGCATGGAAAAACATATACTCGATCCCTAACATAAACCTTTAAAGCAAATGTTCAGTTCAGTTGATATAATTTTCAACGCAAGTAGCGTTGGTTATTATTGTCATCTAATTCCTGAAGGGATTTCTGACCAACAGATGTTTTTAACAGTATACAGCCAACCAGAGCCAGTGCCACGCGTGCATGGTATGCTCCGCAGAAGCCGTTAGCCTAGGCACAGTTAATAGAACATACATGGTTTGGAAACTAAATAAGAGTACAATACCACTCATTACCTATATCATTGTCCAGATTTATGCAAAAAATTGCTGCTTTCTCGTCACGTGTCTATTGTATTTTAGCCAAATTTACCAATGGCATTCGTCTTATGTTAATTCAGAAGATTGCATGCTATTGGTTTGTCTGTACAGAATACAATAGACATGTGATGAGAAAGGAACAATTTTTTGCATAAATGTACCTGAACGTAGTTAATGAGTTATATTGTAGTAGTTTTATCTGGTCTCCTAACCATGTATATTCTATTTAACTGTGGCCTAGGTTAAACGCCGCATTTTAGTCGCGTCGAATGCAATTCAAACAATAGATAATGAGATGATAAACCTCATTAAGCATTATCATCTCATTAGCTTGTTCGAATTGCAGTGTAGTTATTTAACTGAACAAATCGTCATTAACGTCAGGAAACAAAGAAAACAAAAGACCAGTTTTCAGCTAATTAACATACAAATCTTATTTAAGTTATTCTATAGAGAATCTAGCAAAGCACATCTGCACATGTAGTTGTATAACATCGCCTAAAATAAAAGAACTTCACTAAGATAGATGCTAAGTCTAGGTAAATGTTGGCCAGTAAATACTGTATTCAAGCCGAACAGTTATTGTCGAATCAGAATTTCGTTTCTGACCATGTTACCCGCCATTTTAAGGCGGTTCAAAGCGCAAGCAAGTACTATGATTATAAACAATTGAATATGTTGTAAAAATATATTGTAGCTTCCAACCCCGAGAGCAATTCTCTTAGTATTTCTGTATTTCTTGAAGTATCTCTTATTTTGGGCCAATATTTTTTTCTGTAACTCGTATTTAATTCATCTTTACTTCATCATCTTCATGCAGGTCACCAATATTACGAGAAAGTTATTGTAGGTGCATGGAGGACTATATGAGACCACGAGGTGAGACCATAATGCTAAACTCGAACTTGAATCTTATTTATGATTCGCTGTTAAAGCTTTCTTATTAGACTAAAATATCGACGTGCACAAATATTTTGCCACTTTATACTAGCATTATAGTTGGTTGATTTTTAAACAAAATTCGTGGCCTAACAGACGTCGTTTCAGACGTCAAACTTTTCATGTGCCGAACCTAATGTTGATGTACTAAAGTTTTTGTTTAAGTTTAAGTTAATTTGCATTCGATTCGGCACATGAAAAGTTCGACGTCTGAAACGGGTCTACATAGTTATAAAGATCGTCCATATTGTAAGGGGCTAAATTTGAAGTCACTTTATTACCAATAATTATCTTTTCAGGGGCAGCAATAGTGAGCAACAACGACGATGGTAAATAAAGTGCTCAAAAGTCAAAATTGCCATAAAATTTTGCTTGTGCTAAGTGTGGAGGAAATCGTGCGGAGATAAGAACAACCACGATTAAGGTAGGACAAAATGAAATAGAGTTTCATCGGCAGGGTTAAGCTGGGTGCTGTAGTTAGAACAACCAGATTATATGGGGAGGTTAAAGAAAGCCCTATAGGTACTAGGTTGCATAGAACACTCCACCACGTTTCCATTAGTTTCCAGTAAACTGAATAGAATTTTTAACCATATTATGTTATTGAAAGATATGTGGTTTAGAGTGTTTCTTCATCTCACTTAATATGTCTCGAGTGCATTTAAGTTTCTCGATTCTGTGTATGCCCAAGTCTGAATATCCATCTTTTGTGCTGTTTTTCGTACTCAATGTCTGCTGTGGATCATTGAGCGAAGTTTCGTTGACATTGTTGCTGGAATTGTTATCTCTGATTTCACTAAAACTATAATAAGTCATTGAGCTTTCGCCCTCAATATCGTCCCAATCACTTTGCATTTCGTTTAAAGTGTCAACGGGTTGTAGCTCGATATTTTGAATCCTTGGAATATCTTCAATGTTATGATGACTTTCACGGTCTTCGGCCTCGATATCGTTAGCAGATGATTCGTTGTTATAATTGTCCGAATTGCTACTGTTACTAAGTTGTTCTCGTTCCGTGGAGATTATCTGTGTTGAAAGAAATGTACATGGACGTAATTGACTTTCTCGTGTAACGACCAATGAACCATGTGCATGAGCATGCTGCGAACAAGAGCGTAGGAAGCATCCAAAGGTTGGGGGGGCACCAGCTTTTAGGGGCACTTTTGGTTAATAAAAATAGCGGTTAAAATGGTTAATAAAAATATATATATAGGGAAGGTTTGATTCAGGGAGCGCCGACCGCAGAGCATTTTTCGTATTTCTTGGGCTTCGTACTGCTAGGGGGTCCGGGGGCATGCTCCCCCGAGAAAATTTTGAGATATATGCCTCTGAAATGGCCGCAAATCCCTCTCAATTTAAGGATTATTGGGAAATAGTAGATACTTTTTTGTTTCTTTTCGCTTCCAAAAAGGGCACTTTTGGTCCCTTGAAAAATTTTGGGAGGGCACGTGCCCCCAGTGCCCCCCCCCCTTCCTACGCCACTGGCTGCGAATGGACCACTTGCATAGGGAATTTCCAAAAAAAACATACTAAACTTAGTGAAACTTCCAATTTTGGCTGCTAAATATTTGAAAGTACTGAAGATATAGCCAAGCGAAATTGGCAAATTTCGTGATATTTTTGTACTATGACCGGAAGAGTGTAATTGCATTAATTATACACTTCTGCCCAAATTGAAATCTTTGCCAAATTTAGATCAGTTATCAACCATCATTTAGTTTAATTGACAGCTAGCTAGTGTCTTCTACATAATGACCACTCCTCGTGAAAAACAGGTACGCAACGCGTACAAGTCGTGGCCTACGGGGTTTAGGTGTTTTCTCATAGTGTGTTCAAAACAAATAATTTTTTGGGAACGAATACAGAGATTTGATCCGTACGCTATTAACTCACCTTAAAATGATGCAACATTCTTTGTATGGTCTCGGAATGAAAACAATGACAACACAAACGGGAAATAAGAGTAAATAACAGTGACCGTCTGATGGTCTCGAATATTTGCGTGCCCAGGTACCATCCAATTGAAGCCGAAACTGTGACAGCTGAACTTATTAACAGCGGTATGACAAGCATTCCACCCATCACCGGTAGAAACCCGAGCAACAAGAGAAAAACCATTAAAAGAATTCCACCCAGAATGAGAAATATTGGAATGAATAGACCAATGAGCAGCAATGTTGCTACATAGAGTCTTCCAGTTTCATAGATAAACAGTAAGGAGTTTTTCAGTGGGAATAATACTGAAAATATATCTTCTTTCCAGCTATCCAGAAGATCAGTTGCGAAGATATGTGCAATTCCTAACAGCAGAGTAGAAAATGAAATTTGTTAGTTGGGACAAACAGTCAACTCAAATAAGACTGGAGCTTTGAAGTCAAAATGGCGGACACTGAAGCCTTTCTTGTAGGTATGATTCAGGCCTCCGCGCGGAAATTTCGTAGGTAAAATGGCGGCAATTATGATTTTTCCTTTGAAATTTCCGCACCAGAGGCCTGGATCATATCTACAAGAAAGGCTTCATGATCAGCCGTCTTGGCTTCACTCATTAATGAGGGAAAGTCAGAGAGTGAGCGTTCCAGTCTTAATTGAGTTCACTGGGGACAACTACGTGCAACAGCATATACTCGTTTGGCATATCGACGTGATATCGTCGTAAAATAGAGGATATACCTTTAGCAAGTACGCGGCTCTCTTCTTTCTTGGGAAGTAAATTAATTTTGCTTGAAGATTCTTTGGGTTCGCCATCAAAAAATTGTTCAATGTTATCAATTCTTGTTTCAGTCATGTTTCTCGAGATACATTATTCGGTTACTCCTGTGCAAAAGATTTTTTGTCTGAATAATTCATTGATAAACCTTTGAGTAAACTTTTGCATCGAAGATTTAGTATAGTAACTTCTATATCCACCCAACTTGTGTCCAGTATTGACAGTAGGAAATCTGATACTGAAAGTGCAGTTGCCTCAAAATAAAAACTTTCGAAGATCATAAATGCATTCGGTCGATTTACAAAAGCTATAATAACTCCGATTTGAATGTAAATTACCCGATAATTTGAAAACGTAATGACGTAAAACAGGATATTCTCTATTCACGCGTGTACACTCGTGTACTATTTGATTTCTCAACTATTTATTGTCCAGGGGCCGGTTGTACGAAAGCTGGATAGCGCTATCCACCGGATAGTGAAATTTTCCATCGCTCTAAAATTGCCCATTTTTGCCTTGAATAAACTTTAGTATTCTTAAATTAAAAAATCACATCCAGCTTCAGTACAACCGATCTCTGCAATATAACTTCAATATAATTTCCATTCAATGTAATTTACATAAAACTCGGATACTTACCACATTTTGAATCCGTGCTTCACAAAAAACCACCATCATCAAAACATGACCCTTTTTGGTAATTTTATGACGTGGACAAATATATAAATTTGCTTGCGCGCGTGGCGTTTTAGACGTTAAAAATTTGCATGCTGATTTCCAATCTCGTGTACTATTTTAATGTCTGTTCACACGATCCAATTTTGTTGGATCGAATTAACTTCTAACGTACAAAATATAGTCGGTTATTGATAAAGCATATAGTACTGCATTGTCTTCAATGGATTTGCTGCTCGTATACAGACTATGAAATATCCATCAGAAGTGAATTGGATGCAACAAAATTGGTTAGAAAGTTTAAATTAATTGCATGTATATAAGTTATTAATATTTAATACTCAAACGACACAATCTTTGGTCGCAGTCACATACATGTGTAATTATTATTATATAAGGTATAGTTTGTAATCATGCAGCACCAAATGCATGGTGCGGTGGTTACTCAGAGTGTCTTCTCGAACCCTGAAATCTACTGTGTCTCAATTTTTGACTCTCGTATTCCGTACATAAACAGCCATACAATAGCAGATGCTGCTGATACGTATAGTTACATTCTTAAAACTAATATTTAAATAATTATATAGAAACAACACACGCTCCATGTTTAATTAAAGGGGTCATATACTTCAAAAATTAACAATATTTGAATGATACAACTTATTAAATATCTAGTATAGTAGAATTGTCAATAGCACATTCAAGGATGGGATGATTTTAATGAAACTCACTTGCTCACTTGTACGATAGGTGTCAAAAGATTAGGGAGATAGTTGTGTGCGTCCACTTTTCATCTTCGGTCCAAAAAGTAGGTACCGACATTGGAAACCAAATAACATTTCCGGTTCCCGACCATTTTTTATCTAGAATATGGCAGAGAATGCCGGCAGTAGTCGGTGGAAACCTTTACTAAAAGCTGTGAATGCATGTTTGTACGAGTATATTACTTATCAAATTGACAACGTTAATTGATTGCCATCACCTTTGGATACCTTTCAAAATTCTCTTCGCCTCATTCTTCAGCAAAGATCTTGACCAGAAAAAGATGATGCAATTTAGGCTAGAGTTTAAGAATGCAATAGCGACCGACCATGACTGAAGAACACGAAACAGTAAAATGTCTAGACGATCAGAGTACGCTGAAACAACAACAACGGGGAAAGAACAAAATACAAATGCGAGTAGGACAAGAAAACACGACTTAGCTAGCCTCATTTCTTTCAAGAAACACCTCTTGTTTTTTGAATCTGCCAAAATCCCTGCGGGCGTACCATCACCTGGCCTGTTTTCCAATCGAAATCTTTTCCTTGTTGCCAGAAATATTCTTGTATATACGAAAGCTTGAAAAGCCAGAGACACGGATACATTTCCTGTGACTAGGATATAATACGCCTCCCGATATATCAGCACGAAAACGAAACATATCAGAATCACACCACAATGGCAGCACATTGATATCAGAAGAGATCTCCTTGCGCTTCGAGTGCGATGAAAGAATGGATGTAAAACTGCCAAGTATCTCTCTAAACTCAGCGTACATAATGTAGCAGGCGACAAGCTTAGCGGGAGCAAAGCAAATAGTTTAACAAAAAAATTTACGACGCATTTTGCAGTTCCCAAAACTTCACTTGCCTGAATGTACATGTACAAGGGTGCAGACACAAATACGATACACAAATCAACTACGGACTGCACGAGGATAAGTTGGTAGCAAACCTTTTCTTTCAGTTGAGAACATTTTAAAATCGTCGCAATAGATACAGAATTCAATACCACGGCAGAAATGATTAATATGGCAGTCATGAAACACACAATAACTTGACTGATAACATATAAATTCGAGGGAAACTGAATGATACTTTCTGATGTGCCATGAGGAACGGAACATTTTTCAATGTATTTAGTACCCATCATTGTTGTTACATTCATAGCTAAGAAATATACCAGTTTGATCTTTCTTACAAACAACGAAGTATAAATGATCAGAAAGAGCAATTAACTAAACGCAGGTGCTTTTATCGACGAAAGTGTTTCGTCATCGGCATGTGCAATTATTAAACAATAAAATAGGGATTCAAGGATAATACAAAGTGTCTGTGTCAAGACGTCTGTCCCAACATAACAGAGGCGGGGTTTTGAATCTTGAGTACCGCGATAACTACGGAGAGGTTTAGGCAATCGAAAAATATCAAATGCCATTCTTCAATAACATTTTTAAAAGAATGCAATAAGCAAATTAGGCCCGTTTCAGACGTCTAACTTTTCACGTGCCGAACCGAATGCAAATGAACTTCAACAAAGACTTTAGCTCCAGCATTCGTATTCTGGCAAATTGGTAATTGATAGCCCGTGATAGCATGCCAAGTTCTCGTCTTTAAAACAAATCTCAAGGTTTCTTCAACTCGATAGGATTTTTTAATCTCATGGTTTCGAGGTTTCAGAGGTTGGAAGGTCTAAAAATATTCAATGCCATTCTACATTAAAATAAAATTAAAAGTGTCTGGAAATTTGTAGCCTGTGAACCGAGTAAACAGTTGAGTAGAAAAAATGAAATTATAGGAACAAATATACGTGCAACAAAATACTTGTATACTCGTTTAGCATATTGTCGTAAAATAGAGGATACACCGTTTTATTAAGTGCGCGGCTTTTCTTCATTCATGCTCATTCCCAGTCTCTAACCAATGCTAATTGCCCAATTACAGTCTCATACGCATGCGTCGCCAGAAAATTAATTACTGAATAGAATTATACGACGGACGGTATGCATGCAGCTTCCTTTTATGAAAACGAATTTTAATAACACTTCTGTCACTCTTACATTTGTTTCCAAATCAATTTTAGAAAGTTTAAATTAATTGCATGATATATATTAATATATGATATTCAAACGACACACAATTTTTCAAGCGACTATTATTCAAACGACACACAATTTTTCAAGAACACCCGGAATAAAGACGACCTTGACATTCCCCCATGCAAAACAACATCAGGTCAAAGAAGTTTTTGCTATAGAGCAATAAAAATCTGGAACATTTTAGATAAAGATTTTAAAAAACTACCTTTTAAAACATTTAAGAAGCACTTAAAGAAAAATATGTTAGCAAATAACGTTAACGGAAACCTATCTTAGTTAAAGCATTAAAATCTTAGTATAACTATATAACTAGGATTTCTCTTAATTGTAAACATATTTTATAAACATAGCATAGTCAATAACGTAATTGTAGATAGAAATATACCTATTTTTAGCCTTGTTAGTACATACTGAAAAGCCCTATTGGGAGTATGTTTTATGTATAATAATAATAATAATAATAATAATTTGGTCTCACATATACATCAGACGTGTAATTATTGGTATTGGTATAAGTAATCAGTCCCAAAGAGTGCGGTTGTTACCCAGAGCAGAGCCATCTTCCCGAGCCTTGAATTCTTCACAAACTCAATGTTTAAATGTTGTATTTCGTATATAAACCGCTATACGATAACAGATGCTGCTGATACATAGTTACATTCATGAAAACTAATATTTAAATAATTATGTAAAAACAACACACACTCCATGTTCAATTAATTAAGGGGGTCATATTCGAAAGTGCGTAAAAAAGAGAAATTAAAAAGATTTGACTGATGTCACTTTATAAATATATGGTAGTAAAATTGTTAATAGCACATGCAAGGATGGAAAAAAGAACGATTTCTGAAGAGAAACTCCCTGGTCGTGCAATGCAATGCAAATACGGCAAGACACCAGAAAATGTTTGTCCCTGAAGCACATCCCTCTGGATTTTTTCCATGACGATTCCTAGGGATGATTGTAGTATGCCAGTATAGTCGGTGAAAACCTTTACCGAAAGCTGTGAATGTTCATATCGTCTTTGTGATGAATGATGAGATGAATTCATAACACAAGCATATTACTGACAGCTTTGAAAATTTATTGCCCTCATCCTTGGATACCTTTCAAAAATTTCATTCCCTCACTCTTCAAAAGAGGTCTTGACCAGAAAAAGATGATGCAATTTAGGCTAGAGTTTGAGAATCCAATAGCGACCGACCATGACTGAAGAACACGAAACAGTAAAATATCAAGACGACCAGAGTACGCCGAAACAACAACAATGGGGAAAGAACAAAATACAAATGCGAGTAGGACAAGAAAACACGACTTAGCTAGCTTCATTTCTTTCAAGAAATATCTTTTGTTTTTTGAATTTGCTAAAATCCCTGGGGGCGTACCATCACCTGGCCTGTTTTCCAATCGAAATCTTTTCCTGGTTTCCAGAAATATTCTTGTATATAAGAAAGCTTGAAAAGCCAGAGACACGGATAGATTTCCTGTGACTAGGATATAATACGCCTCCCGATATATCAGCACGAAAACGAAACATATCAGAACCACACCACAATGGCAGCACATTGATATCAGAAGAAATCTCCTTGCGCTTCGAGTGCGATGAAAGAATGGATGTAAAACTGCCAAGTATCTCTCTAAACTCAGCGTACATAATGTAGCAGGCGACAAGCTTAGCGGGAGCAAAGCAAATAGCCAAACAAAAAAATTTACAACGCATTTTGCAGTTCCCAAAACTTCACTTGCCTGAATGTACATGTACAAGGGTGCGGACACAAATACGATACACAAATCAACCGCGGACTGTACGAGGATAAGTTGGTAACAAACCTTTTCTTTCAGTTGAGAACATTTTAAAATAGTCGAAATAGATACAGAATTCAATACCACGGCAGAAATTATTAATATGACAGTCACGAAACACACAATAACTTGACTGATGACATATGAATTCGAGGGAAACTGAATGATACTTTCTGATGTGCCGTGAGGAACGAAACATTTTTCAATGTATTTAGTATCCATCATCGTTGTTAAATTCATAGCTAGGAGATATACCAGTTGGATCTTTCTTACAAAGAACGAATTATATAATGATCAGAAAGAGCAATTAGCCTAACGAAACGCAGGTGCTTTTATCCACGAAAATGATTCGTCATTGACATTTTAAGTTCATTAAAATTCAGTGCAATTAATAAACAATAAAAAATCATTAAGAAAACGTTATATTGCATGATTGTTTTCCTATCCACTCACTTTAGGGGGATCAACATAGTACAGTGTCTGCGCATTAGCAGCGCTCGTAACAATGGCTAACCTGAACACAGACCTACGTTACTTGCCCCACAAGTTACTTGCATGTAACTGCATGTGTTCTCATTGAAGGATAAGTTTGGCAATAGAAACACACAAAGAACTTTGAATGTAAATGAACTTTGAATCTGAAACTCTCTGAGACCTTTCCATCTACTACATTCATCCTTACGTGATATCATTTCCCACAGCTATACTTTTACACAAGAGACAGTTTGATCTAAACGAATTAAAACAATTGAATTGCTCAATATTCACTCTGGAGTGCAAATTATGAAGTATAAATCAATATTTATCTCGTGCATCGTTTTCGATTCCTAGTATTAGTTTGGTAAAAAGCTATAGTTAATTGTGCAAGTCATTGTTTTATATTGTACATTTTAAAATTGCTGATTTCCATTGTTATAACATAGTAGGGTTAGGAGAATTTCATAGCATGATTATAAATTTTATAATAATAATAAATATTGTAACAAAATGTATAAAACTTGCGTGATCGTGTGACTTCACCTACGTACTCAATAATTACAATGCTATACAATCTACGAGTTGTTTAAGAGTTACTCAGTCTCTACATTATTTGGCTTAGATAAAGTCCTGGGAGGTTTCTTGACACGTGGTGCTACAGGCGGACTGTATTTCCGCCCCTGTTGAGTAAGACCTGGTGACGAAGACCGCAGTGAAGGAAATGTTTCTTGTTGTTTTGATGGGACTGTACTATCCCTGTGGTGTGCCTTTGGAGGTAGCATCGGAGGATCTTTTTGCGAAGCATTTTGGGATACTACAGTGTTTGGAACGGCATTTGCTATATTGTCATAAGTTGTATTTAAAGTATGCCCACCCGATAGACGCCTAGGTACGTGGTGTTTATACACATTTGATGTACCGTTCGCCTGATCTGTTTGACCTGGAAAATCTCTAAGGTGTGGTTTGTCGTAATTAACATCGGGCGTTTTGCGTAAAACGACATTATCGTATGCAGTAACCGCGTCTGGATGGCTCAACTCCAAGCCTAAATTCCATTCATTGCCATCACTTGCGCCATCCTTTCTGTCAGAATGGTTAGTTCGACTCGGTAAGGCTAAGACGTCATACGGATCTGGTTCGTAAGCGTCCGTGTTGAGATGAGGTGAATTATGTTGTGGTAGAGTAATTCCTCCATCTAAGTTAGCATACCGATGTTTTTTATTTCCCTCGATTTTCTGTCCATTTTGCGCATGACTCGATGAGGTCCTTGGTGTGAATTTGACAGTGTTATAAGTATTCTCCCGTGAAGTAGAGCGAAGGGCAACATTGGGAGGTATGGCTAAAAAATCGTAACCATCCTGTGAACGAGAATCAAGTCTTGTCGTCTTTTTCCGAGGAAATAATGGAGGAGGAGTTTCCTCGTCACGAATGTTCATATTATCATTACTGTCCTTCTTCATTTTCTGCTTTTCATCCATTAATTTACCTGAAAACAGGTTTTCCTCACTATGTGTACCCTGGGATGCATCGCCTTTCTCTCCTAAAGGAGAATCACCAATTTTATCCAGATCATCCATTGACCTTGACTGGAGTTTTGAAAAACCTTTTGATATGCGATATGATCCCTCCGAAGATAATTCAAATATATTTGATTGTCTTTTCCTTTGTGCAGTCGAAATAACGATAGATCGCTTCTTTGGTGGAATTCTTGGCGACACAGAAACAGGTTTGCTCTATCAAAGTGAACAAATTACATCAGCTAGCTCTATCACAGGAAACAATATATCAATTCTGCCTTTCTTGTTGTAAATATTTAGCTGTATAATATCAGTCTTACATATAATTCGCTTCGACCTTACGAAATTGATTCAAATACCTTTATTTCTGGTGAGGGTGTTCGAGAAAGTTCACGACGATCAATCTTCAATGATGGCGCTGCAGCATCGTTTAATGCTAGCTCTGATTCATCTAATTCATTAATTTCATTTAATGATGTTGCACTCAGAGAAGAACTAGCCGAAACTCGATTCTTAGCTGGCGACCCACTGTCTTCGTTCCATTGTTTTCCTGTTCGTAGTTTCTGCGGAAGTTTAGGCCTAAAGGGAATGCAGTGATATGCAGAATTGTCGAAATTACAGAATTCTATTCAACAAAATTTCAAATACTCTACCTGGTTTCATCCATACTACGAAGATCCGGTACGGACGCAGATTGACTCACTCCTTGCATCTCCGATATTGATAAAAGACTTGAACTCTGTTTCAACATCACCTCAGATATCGCTGATTGTCTACTAGGACCATCTGTCTCTGAGCTGAAGACTGACAGTATTGGCTTCCGACTTGAAAACAGCAACGAAAGCTAAAAATAAATATTAGTCTAAATCAATATTCACTCCAAGAATTATTAACAAATTTCTGAACAAAATAACGTACTTTCCTCAAAGTTCCTGTGTCTGAAGAATCTGTTGTTGTACGTTTATCTAAGGATGTTGTACTTTCACTGAAAGATGGAATGAACAAAAGTTTAATATCCACTTTATTCACTACATTTTAATTTCTCTCGTGTCGCTGATCATCGAATTAATTCTTATTACCTGGGTGAAACACTGGGCGGCAGACTCCATTTTCTTTGAATTAACACATACTAAAATTTGAAAATAACGTCTCAAAACAGTAACACACTGACACTGTCAGAAAATCATATTACTACGCTTTCAACAAAATCATATCACTACACTTTGAACGAAACGAAAATGGAACACATACCTGCTGAGTATCTCCAGGTAAATTGTTTAGCATGTCGTTGTACTGACGTAACATACTTTCGTGTAGTGGCCTTAGATCCGGTGAAATTCTGGATTCATGTAAAATCATGCCACGTCGCAGCACACCAGCCTAAAATATAAATAAATATAGAAATAATATTCATAATATCTATAATTTAGTACCTTGGATCCGGTGAAAACGGTGGAATATTCATGAGTATTTATACGTACTTGTTTAAGTAATGCTTTTTCCAAATGATCGACTTCGGTTTTACGTTGAGGATTGGTTCTTGTATAGTCGGGCGTGAAAAATGCCTACAGAGTAAATAGCTGCTACTTTAAATAGGAACTATGTACAAGAGGGCTTTGTCATGGCACAGTGAAGTATAAAGACTTCAAGGATGAGTGGTGTAAGTTAGGCGATGATTACACCAAGCCAGGCCAGGATTAATCTTGCTTTCTGGATGAGGTGGAATGGGAGAGACTTGCGAGTATATATATAACCTCTCTAACAAAGAAAGCCTTCTGAAAATGTCAAAACATTGAGAAGGTTTCTTGTACATTTCATTTAGGTAGCCCATACATCGAAGTGACTGCGGGTTACCATTCTAGCCGAACCCACGATTCGTTTCGAAAGGTATGTCCAAGACTAACTACCATACTTAACTACTACAAACGACACTATCACATGTTTTACTGTATAGTTTTATTTAACGTAAAAAAAAAAGTAAAAAACTTAGGTTATTGTTAACTATCCTCACCCTTTGATAATTGGAAACTCCTCCATTGACGGCAGCATCAATCACCCCTTTAAGTTGCATACTTAATGGATTAATATTACTCTTTTTGTCTTCTTGAATTTCGTCGACACTGCGTTGTAGTTCACGAGTTTTCGACGTTACTGTGTTTATTGCATTCTCTATTGGACTAAGTTCTCTCTAAACAGGGAAAGTGTTGTGTATTTTTTCAATTACTTGCAACATATTTTTTTCTGATACAAAAATCAGTTATTAGTCAGTAATTCTTGCATCAGTAATTCTTGCAATTATTAGCTAAATAAAAACTTTGCCAGGAGTATCGTGATGACGATCCTCCTTAATTTATCGACAAAATATATACTTACTCGTTTGGACGAGATAACAGGGAACCATGGAAGTATGCCAGGGAGACGTGCTTCAATTGTTAACGTCGTGATTTCACACCATAGGGTCTACAATAAACCACAATGAACCATGACATGATTTGAACATTAGTACCAAATGAAATGATAGCTCGCATGCATGCCGCCTGTTAACTTCTGTAAAATTTTCATACCTTGCGTTATTATAACAGCGCGAGTGTGTAATATACATGATTATTGCTTGTCTCAAAAGTAGTATATAACACGAATGACAGGTTTTTTCAAGACGTCACACATAATGGTCTTAAGATATTTGAACGTGTGAGGACGAAAACAATGAGTGACTTGAAATGAAATGTTGAAAGTGAGCACAGGGTTTTAGGAATATTAAAATTTATATCCTTACCGCAAACTCATTTGATTTATCAATTTGTTCGCCTTTGTGAAATGGCCGTGCCAGCGTAAACGTATCAACCCAGTTCACATCATAATAACTATAACACAATGGAAAAAATATCAATGAGGAAAATACCTCCTTTTTCTTTCTCCTATTTCTAACCAGAAAATACCTTCCATAACGCCGTTTTGCAATTTAAACTACACTGAAACACTGAATTGTGCTGGTGCGGGTTAGGATACCATTGTTTGCCGTCGCGTGCTAGTAAATTGAGTGTACTGTAAACGGGCTCATTACTCGAATATGCATGTGTATATAGTTCTTATTATGATAAATTGATCTGGACAACGCTCATTATAAACAATACAATGCTTGATGTACCATGCAGGTCCTGATGAGGTTGCCTCCCAATTCTTGGGTCTTTATGTTTGTCTTGAATGTTAGAAAAATTACCTGCTTATTCTGTAGTTAACATAATTGGGAATGGACTGAATGGAATGTCCACTTAAAATGGGTTCAACTTTGCAGCATTGAATATCTATATACACAAGTTAAAGTTTCTCGAACAAGTTAAAGTGAGAAGCATATATAGTGTCTGTATAACGCATTTCCCCCACACAACTAGAAGATCCGCTAGCGAAATATTTGCACCTAAAAATTTTGTACAAGATTGTAAAGAAAACTCTACATCCTAAAATAAAAGCGCGACTTTGGTTTCCTTTCATACATGGTTTGAGTATAGAGTAAATAATCCGCAAAACTTTATATCACTGCAAATCTTCGCTCAAATCAGAGGATACACTGCTTGTTTGATAGCATCAGCTCTTCATCTAGAGGATTGTTGTGTCGTAACACCTGAATAATCAAATTCATATATGCATGGGTATATTATAGGATTGTAGATTTCTAAAGGAGCGAAAAATAGTTAAGCTGCAAGATACTACAGTCCAGATAACATTACCTCAGCATCAGGATATTCACTTTGAATACGAAAACAAAATTCGCCAATCTTCTCCACAGGTCTCCCTCGATATACAAACTGCTTATTCTAAACAAGTAAATATTTATTGAAGTAAATATAAAGCTCTTCTAAGAGTTTCAAGACTACATACACCTTTTATAAGGCCCGTTTATAAATGCAATTTTCTTTCTTGCTAAATGTGAGCGAATGAAGAGGTTTACGTATGTGCGAATAAGGGCGCTTATACATCAGATCATTCATACCTGTCCACCAGCTCGTTCATATCTATCGAAATAAAATCGCACCGAAAATCGCAGCAAAGTATGAACCCCCCGGGAGTTTCACCACTGCATGTGATTGGCTATCGTTCACATGTCAGATAAATCAAATCACCGAAATCAGGCTAGTTTTACGTATACCATGCAGCATAGCACACTTACTTGAAGAAATGAAGGAAAACCTTTTCCATAGAACCCAACTCTAAAATAACTAGGTTCAACTCTATGAGTGTTTACAATGTTTTCATAGAATTCCGCTTGACGTTGCTATCAAAAGAGAGAACAATTAGGCATTACACACGTGAAAGATCTTGCACAAGCCCTTGTAACTAACGTCATAGGGGTGGTTATATTAACAATTCTTTGCAATTTCGTTTGTTGTTTTAGCCGTTGTATAGTTTACGAGTCTACTTTTTTAATATACCGTCATATTGCAAAAGCCTAATACGAACTTGAATGCATGCATGCATATAGCCTATACGTGTTGTAAGTTGGAAAAATGCAAGTTTTATATAGGTATATTTCATACCAACATGTCCTTGATCTTTATGAAGTCGAATGTCTCATTTTCATACTCGTGAATAAGAGTTTTACAAATTCGGATAGCACTTTCCCACAACTATATAGAGGCACAACAAGAAATTAAAAAGGCAGATTTATATGCTGGTTGAGTGTAGAGATTCGCATGTGAATGCATAAAGGCAGATGTTTTGATAGGATTGGTTGGCTATATATGACAAGTGGATTTCAAATCTTCAATTGTGGCAATAAATGTACCATTGGCTTTTCCCGAAGCTGCGGTAAACGACTGGTGATAGCGAGGTTCATATTGCATCATGGGGCCGTTTCCGGAAGGTGAACAAAAATTTGGTCATAAAAGGCCAATCTACACTGCGATTACCAATTCTCCACTTAAATTTTAGGCCAATTGAGCCAGATTGGTACCTATAGTATTATCCAAATGGCCCATATCATGGAGGATGCAAAATGTTTCACGTCTAGTTCATTATTACTGGACGTTATACACTACAAAATTATTCAACTATGCAAAATGTTTATGATCTATAGAGTTTAATACAACCGGGCCCAGAACCACAAAAACAAGGTGGTGAAATTCATATTACTTTCTTCAACTACGTTTCATCTCACCTTTCCCCTATCCAAAAGATCAATTGATTTTTTACATAACATCTCTTTTCTCGCACGTTCTGTTTGAGCCGGGAAATCATCTTCTGCAGGCAACGGGTAATCCTCGAACTAAACAAAGATATCTTTAATACACCATGGTTCATATACGTCATGTAAATTACCATGACGCATCATTCTGTGGAGAAATATAGAACTTATCAGCTTTTGGAAGCAAAAACTGCATGTACAGCGTACCTCTAAGCAAGATGCATAGAGATATAGAGCAAAACCAGCTTCGATGTAATTTTCTGCTGAGAGATGAAGTTCGTACAGTTTCCTGACATATCTAAAAGGACATATCATAGATGACGATGAAAGCAAGGAATCTCGGCTTTCGTTTCGAATTTTATAGCTACTCTTTTTTAAAAACAATCAACATTTAATATACAGTAGATAATGATACTAATCAGTATTTAATGCTAGTAATTCATGTAGCGCACCTAAGAAACATTTCCTCTTTGCCTTTTTCCTCATAGTAGTTCTGTTATAAAAAGAAATTTTTCAGTCAGGATGACGAAAGAATTTTTATACGAATTCAAAGAGAACGGACTTCATGATCACATGCAGGAACGCATTATTAAGAATTTCTGTTTGTGTGTGGAGTAGAATGAATGAATCAACATTTTAGGAATAGCATATCATATATTCGTGGTAATATATTTACCAGCAAATTTACAATGCAACCCATCTTCATATCACGATGCTCTTCCCGTGATGAAACGACCTTCCTAAACGCATTGAGACATTCAAAGGTAAATTGTGCAATAAAACTGCTAATTAAATAGTAAATTGAGGTATAATGTGATGTTTAACGAGGGATACCTGTAATCTAGTAGCCTTTCTAAAAGTTGTACGACAGAATTCACAAACAGAACGCCCGGCTCTCTTAATTCCCTGATTCTCGTTACCTTTTCAGTAAGACTGCAATATATATATAGGGTAAAAATATTGAATTGTATTAATTATCACCTCATGTGGAATGGAACCACTACTCTTCACTAGCTTATACTACATTAAGACAAATTTCTGAGGGGAAGACTAGGAAACACCAAACAGGCTTACAAAACGTTGGTGCGACTGCATAGACGGTAACTTCGCTCATTTCTAATGTAGTCCTACACTTGGATCAATAGGAACATGTTTTGAGCGAGACAGGGTAACAAGGTTTGAGGAAGTATTTCTTTGCTACAAAACTACAAAAAAGTAACATTTACATCTTTTCAAACAGTTCCTTATATTCTTTGTCACCCTTGCCATCTCGACTTAAGAAAACGTCCAGTTTGTCAATAAACTCTTCCTCAACCTACAATGTATAATCATAGTTAATGGTGTAATATAAAGAATAGCATATAATAGGTGCGGTATATAATCTTTGAGGTATAGTCTCTTTCAATGTGCATGCAAGTGTTGTGCATTCGCCAATATGCGAATCGATACAGTGGTCAGTGGTAACTGTAGAAAGGCAATTGCGTAGCGTGCGTAGCAAAATGTCGAGAGATATTTTATATTGCGTAGTACAGCTGTTTCTTCGCGTTTCTATGCACTGGCTTAACGTTAGACCGATTTTATTTAGTATTTTTAAAATATACGCCGTGAACATTATCTGATGAATACTGCAGTTTCACGCAAACAGAATTGTCAAAGAGATAAGCTGGGTACTATTGAGCTGGGTACATGCATAAAGTATACCTTAGTAATATTTCCAGAGTTTTTCATTTCTTGGTGCATCATGTCGCAGAATAGCGGTAAGGTTTCTTGCCTTAAAACTAAAATATTTTACATCTTTGAGTAAAACTTGAAAAACATCCAGCTCAGGATCACAAGCTATACCTGCCACTATAATGCATTTTTATGTCTAGTATGTTCTAAAATTCGCAAACCTGGTTCTGATACCAATGTCATTTCTAGAAATGGTGCAATCATTGAGGGAATGAAGTGGCTTTGCAAGTCACCTGATAAGGTAGAAAAGGTAGCAATAATTAGAACCCTAGAAATTACTATGTATCTATCACATTTTAGGATTTAGAGAATACAAAGGCACGTGGTTTTATAGTTTGCTCTTATCTTACCCAGACAATTCCACATTCTGACAAGCTCGTTACCCATCACATGACGCATATCACCATATCTAAGTAAAAGACGAATTGTTGAAATATAACGATAATATAAGATGATTGAGAAATGCATGGGAATTGTTGCAAAAATCTGATCGACTGGCAACATCAGCTCAGCCTGGGGAAATTTTAGCCTCATTTTAAGTTACCCCGATTTAGAGTGAAGTCAGTCAACCGTTGAAACTTAAACATTACTGCATGAGGATCATCGGGAAATGCGTCTATATAATTGTACTTACTTCTCCAAGATCTTTGTTCTTTTCGCCTCCGAATATTTTTGGACATCTAAGATTTCGTGAGAAACAAACGATATGGCCAAATGGAAATACGTGCTCCAGAGCTAAAGAAAGAAATGATTGCGAGATGATTACACCAGATTTTGAGGATCAACACGAACCAAGATCCGATTTTAAAATACATCTTTGATGAAGTATAGTTGCATGTTAAACAATCTCCGGCAAGAAACTTTCAGCAATTTTATACCAGAATCGGGCTCAAGTATAATGACGACGTTAAACAATTGTGATTAAACCCAACTGAGACACCTAGTATCCTCAACTCTTAAGTCTTTATATTGTCGTCTACCACATTAATCCTTGTGTAATAACCCTAACAATCTCAAATGAAATATATACCTGATAGTCGAAAGCGTCCTCTAGAAGGAAGTTGTCGGTTAAAGCTTGAGAAAAATTCTGTACAGCACCAAGAATTACACTAAAATAAAGCAGAAAGGATCTCATTCCAATACAAATCGATACAGAGAACACAGAGTTTGAAAGCATAAAAATTATCTTACTAATTTCCTTCGATCTTCATAACAAACCAATCATCAGCGTAAATATTCCTTTGCAAAAGATTTGTGAAGACACCAAAAGCTTTATTCAAAAAATCCTTGAAGAGAGGATTAATGAATTGATTATAATTTATTTATAAAGTAATTGATATCGAAGCAAACACTAAGACAAAATATATATCAGAAGGTTTGTAGAGACATCAACTTTGAAAAAGAAGCGTTTTTCTTTATACCACAGTTACGATTCCTGCATGGACATAATTACCCGTAAATCTTTTTGGTTCTCAAAAGATTTCATGTAACTTTGATAATTATCTTCATTCATCATCTTCAATAAGGTGTAGAGAATGGCGACATACTTCCCCTATAAGACAACGTGTATAAATCTTTGCTTTTGGCATAAATAATTTATTAACACAGCGCAATATGTTAGTATAGGTTACATGCATTTGCCGCGAAACCGGCTATTCTTTCAATATCTCAATACTCGGTATGAAGATACGTAAAAAACTCCTTACAGCGCGAGGGCTTGTTCTATCGACAGTAACCACAGCTTGGAAAACTACTTCAAGTAACGATCCGGAAATCTCTTCAATTTCACTGTGTACCGAACCCTGAAGGTAGAAATTGGCCATTCACCCAAAAGTAAATACAATATTATTTATCATACTTATATATCATGGCCATCATATTATATAAAGTTTTCGATAACACGTACATTCTTCACTTTGCTTAAACAAGACAAAAAATTTCCCAGTATATCAGCACACGTTTTCAATTCATTCTTTTGAAGTAATTGTTGATGAAGACAATTTAAAACCAATGGCATTAATGTTACACGCGAGCCTAAAACATGTTCAAAAACGATCAAAATATTTCAATTACATTCATTTAGCACTTGCATGACAATCTGAGACGGCAACATAACGCAAAAGGGTGTAAAATAATAATTATGGTTCATTACAATACATGCATCTTTTAATTAACTATATACGTATAGTTAATTTCAATCTCACAATTTCATTCACAATTTCATTGTTTCCACTCTTAAAAGAAGTTGATTGTAAGTTATACTCTATAATAAGCTATGTTCGAAGATGCAAATCATCATTCTTCAACAAATGCACGAAAAAGAATTTTCAATATGAACGTTAAATGTGAAGCTAAGCTATAACTGAAAAACGAGGCTGCATCTTTGAACATAGCTTACTAGAGTAAAACTTACAATCCATTTCATTCGAGGTGGCTCTAAGTTCAAAACAATGGAATTTTGACGGAATGGAATTGACAATGGAATTGTGATATATTTTGCACGAACATCAACGTACTTTCGTTATGAAACAAAGGACTAGTTGTAATCAATCCATCCAAGAAATTCAGTTTGTCGGTGATTAACGAGCTAGACCGTGCACTGCAGAACAAATCTTTCAAAATCTCACTGCAAACGAAAATGTACGTTATCAACATATCCAGATGAATTTAAAGGTTTGATGTTAAATATAGCATATACAGATTCATTTTTTTTTAAACTCCAACGCAGTGCCTTTGTTAATGTGAAGGATGTTCGTTATTATAAACATACACATCTAACTTACGCTAGTTCATCGTCTGTAAAAACAGTTGATAGATCTTGGTAAACTTTCGGTAGGTTGAGAAGAATGGCACTCTAAATTAAAAAAAAAAGTTTATAAGTGCAAAAAGTAGACAATTTTCATATTAGAAGCCTTACATCATTTAAGTTATTCGATTGCAAATATAAAATTCTCAGACATGCATGCAGTTGTAGATATAAAAAGGTTTTATACCTGTGCACCACGCCAACCATCTCCAATTTTCTCCATCACTTTATTGAGCACCACAAAAAACTCACGCACTGATCCCTTGAACTCGAAGTTACTTTTCTCAGGATGCGTTCTAAAATAATAGCTTAATGATTCTTAAATCGCTTTTTGTGTTAAATCGAGTTCTATATCCGGCCATAATTAAGAGTTACCTCCGTAAAAATTACACAGGGCATGCATAAGCCATGTATATATATACTGTACCTTATATTTAGAGCCCAAGACTGCATCACAAATTTTATAATATAATGTAGGGCCTAATAAGAAAATCATTAAATACCTGTGATTTACTGACGAATACCGGTAAAATGGCAAAAATATTTAAAATAGGATTTAAGATAGGATAGTTCTGTGGGTAATATGGGTTAATCATGGTTCTTATGGGCTAGTCTATGATTTAAAATGGCGATACTGTGGTTAATTTTGGTTGGTCTAATGTTAATGTGAGCTATATATAGTTCTTTAGACTTGATTTGAGGTTAAAGTGTTTATGATCTTCATTCATACAAAACCAACCTTGGCAACCTTGACGACGTCTGATTCATATTTACTCTTCTCTTTTGACATGACCTTTTTGAACAAGACAACAATATGTCTAGAAATGCAATCGAAAAGATTTAATGATTTAATAGTCGAATTACATGATCAGTCAAACTACATGATCGGTGAAAATGCAATAAGACTAGTCTCAGTGGTTGAATGTGCTCAGAGATTCTGGATTAAGTTTCTAATGCAGCTGTATACTCTCCAGCATAAACTCCATTACAAAAACTCGTATACCTGTGTGCGAGTGCAGCGCTAAAGTGCTGGCTGATATACGTATTCAATACTGCTTGGAATTGTTGATATTTGCTGTCCAGTAGTAAATTAATAATGAAAATCTAAAAAGAAGTTAATACACCGCGGTTAATTTGCAATTAATATTTATAGTGTATGATCGAACCAGTGTTGGCAGAAGACATGCTGTTCATTATATAAATATTATCGTTGATATAATCTGTAGAGCCCTACTATAGTCTGTTATAATATATAGTAACCACATCTAACCTATAGAACAATTTTACTTAATTATAAATATAGATAAAGAACCGTACCAAATTTTTAAATACAGATAAGCCAGATTTTTCAATGTCTTCGTTTAGTATTGCAAATAATGCATCAAGAATGTCTTGAAGAAACTAAAAAATACGACAACGTCATAAAAGGTATAAAAAAATTCAATCGCAAGGATTAATAAAAGGTGAAAAATCTAATGTTTAAAACGAAGAAAACTGTCATTTACGTCTGTGGATAACATAAATACATCGCCAAGCTTCTACAATTATTTAATACCAATTCCGGCTAATAACGGCGTCACTTTTGTGCTAAACTGGTTGAAAACTAACGATTTCCCCTTTCTTTTTCGTAAGCTGTGACGCAAAAATTGAACCCTTGGAATGTACAGATATTTCTCATATATTCGATAGCCTTATATCTATACTTTCGTTCATATAAAGTATACATACTTTCATTATTTCATCACCACGAACTCTGACAAGGGAATCTAAAACTTCAGAGATTTTATGCTTGTGTTGTCTCCATCTCAACAGGCCCACCAAGTCAACTAGTGAAATCAAAAGAGTGATTCATAAAACCGAATACATCAGTGCATATGTTTGTTACGTCGTTTAACCTACGGTTTTGAGTGATTTTTGTCGAGCATGTCAAAGTGGACACAAAAAATGTTTCTTTTGTGCTTCTCGCAGAATGATTTAAGCTATCTTGATTCTTCACCCAGGAAAGGTCAGCAACGGATGAAGGATATGCCAGATACTTCACAGGGTTCTTAGAATCCAAAGCACTTGGCTATAAAAACACAAAATATTTTAATTCAAATGAGTCACGAATTATCCCTGATATGCATCGCTACAGAGCTACAACTGACAAATTACTATGGACATTTAATTAACACGTTAATAACCGATAGTGAAATTGTAAACATAACACAAAATAACTAGGTTAGGACTAAAAATTGATATCATTTTAAAACGAGTTCCTTTTCAGGACGACTTGCATAAAAAATTAGATGAATAGTTTAGAATAGAATATTTTTAATAAAGTTAAGCAGTATTCTGTCCTGCATGAGTATTTTTGCAGCGAGGTCGCATAAGACCTATCAGTTACAATTCTGTAACAATAAATTGTCATTTTTTTACCACTGCAGCATTTGAATTTAACGACAAAGTTACCTTATAGAAAATTAACTGATGAATGCCATTTAATATTGTTGTGCCATCATCTCTCAAAGGTCTCAAAAAGGCAAACCCAAAAACCTTTTTGCCTGTGAATATAAATAGCATACGCAACCAGTTAGCTAATTCCAGTATATAACAAACATAAATTTATATAAAACAGACATAGTTTCTCAAAATACTACATACCATGTGACGTTGTAGAACAATGTTTAAGTACAAACAACACGTGAGAATCTTGAAACTTGTCTATTGGAATATTCAACTAAATGGAGAATATATATAAATAGAGCGTTAAAAATAAATCTACGATATATGAGCAATGTTAAACCAACTAACGAAAAATATACAATTTGAATTTGAATTGACTGATATGACGTGTGTCCGGCAGTACCGTGTACCTGGGGACACTGGAGTATAAAATAGACAGTTTTCAGAAAGGTACTTCAAATTTGCGGGAAAGACGATCCAGCCGAAGAGAGGGCTTGGAAGAAGGAACATGACGTGACAGTATATTCAGAATATTAAACTTACTTTAAACGTCTCGTTCCAATTGGGATTATTACTGTGATACAGAATCAATGAATTATATTCATTGGATCCTCTTGACCCTGATCCGGCGTGCACACAATTCTAGAAAGAGAAGATGTACAATATTTTATTTAGTATTAGTCTAAGATAAAAGTCACGTTTCTATGTGTAAAACACTGCTCTTTAAACGCCCTGGGGCGTTTATTCGAGTAGATACACATACACATATCGAAGTAATATACCTCAACAACCGTCCCATTGGTCAATAATACAGACACAGTTACTTCTATATTTCTGCCGGCCGCCTTTCCTCCTGATGAAAAGCAATAGAATACAATAGAGCAGTTGAATTAATAAGTATTCGAATAAATGCAGTCTAAAAACTCATGCTTTATGTATAATATGATTTCAAAAATTTCGATTTCAATCTTAAATATTCATACATGTAAATATAACAGTACATCGTACAATTAATTTTCTCCACTACCTTTTTCAAACTCTCCTTTGTTCAACGTGATAAATACATCATTTCTAATGTCACCTTCGAGAGTCATATAACATATTATTAGGGAATACACAGTGCATTAAATATAACGAGTTCAGTTTTCTTATATACTAAGTGTTATCTATACCTGGTAATATTACTTCTGGAAATCCTAATTTCCGTGTAATACAAATGTCTGCTGGCATCCAAAGAGGATTTGCACTAATAATCTGGATAAGAATGCAATTAGAAGGTAATTGGTGGAAACTCGCTTTCGTTTCGCTGGTTTTGGGTAGTCCTTAAGACGAACTTCATGAAGGCCCTTAAACCTACTTCAAGTTCTATTGACTCTCCGTGATAGGCGTATTTTGAAAACGTTTACAGATGAATGAAAACCTTCGCAGAGAGCGAAAAGGAGCTTTACGATAGTTGAAACAACAAAACTTTTAGGAAAAATAGTCGAAACTCCTATATATTTTCAGTATCTCTATAAATATCTTGAGATTATAAGAGCACGAGTTTAAGTGGAAATCTTACACGATCTCGATCCCCATTGAACACTTTTAATGAAACACTCATACCTAAAAACAGTCATGACAAATAGCGTTTATTAATATCTATATATATAATTATATTTTTAGTACATACAGACATACTATATACAAGTGTCATTGAAACGATCATGGCAATCGCCAGTCTCGTGCAAGGTCTAAGAACCGCACGGATCATGTGAACAACCACTAAAAGCAACCTATGCAGTAGGATTTAAACTACATACCCAGTCCGTCAGTAGCAGATGTTGAACTTTTGTTGACAAATTTACGAATTAATTCTTCGTGCATATTATGGAAGTTTGCTTCGTTGGTACAACTACATAACAATGTATAGGGAACAAAATTGTCGTAGAGAGATAAAATGGTGTGCAGTACATTTACGTAAATGTATCTACTCTGTTTGAACATACAAAGAGACACTTAGAGGTAGAGTAAATATGCGTTATGCAGCGGTTCATTTTCATAAATGACTTGACTCTATAGGTACTGAACATAAATATCGCTGGAAAACTCTTCGACACAACTTACGGGAAGAGAGAAACAAAAAAGGGTCTGTCTTCTCCAAAAAAGTCGTCTTCAAGAGCTATGTGTTCTTGTACATTTAACACTGAAATATTAATTGATCACAACTATTAGCACATGCACAAGCAATGATAAAAAAAGATTTAAAACTTGACTGTAACTAAAAATAATTCTTTGCAAGGTGTCGTGTACCTCCGCAGGCAAATGGTCGTCGACAGTTTGGAGAGTTTTTTCTCCTAGGTGATTCACTATGCATCTGCCCTGAATTAGAAAAAAAATTAACATGCACATGGTTTAAATGAAACAATTGGCGTGTTCAAAAATCAAAAATAGAAGATAACTCCATTATCATTCACGAAGTGGATAGAGTTTATAAGTGGGAAATATTGCTAATTGTACTGAACCTTCTCCTGGCTAAAACCAGGAGCTTTGCGAACGTCAAACAACAAGTTTATACCTGTTCTAATAACATGGCAAACAATAAATAAATCTGTCGCAAATGTTTTTCTTCCAAGATCCTATAAAAACCAAGTTAAAAGAAAGATCCTATAAACATTTTATACGCATTCACTTATATCTTTAAGACTTTATTGCATGTATTTATTAACTTTTATATGGAGTTTATGCATGTATATATAAAATATATGTCAGTCAGGCACCTACCGTAAAAAGGGTTTTTGTTTTTTCAGAGCTAAGAGTCTCAGCAACATCTGGGAGAGCCTCCTTGTCCAAGTACATCATAAATCTCTCACTATATAATTGCATAAAAAATACTGAATAAACTATGCTGACAAAAATCTTCCATATTGGAAGATATGTTCTGCGTTGGTTGTCGACGACGCTAATTTTTTCTCAGTAGACAGTCGGGCACTGTCATCTTTGATGGTTGGGCACATCTTCGATGGACGGGCACACTTTGATTTCCACCGATAAATAACATTAAACTATTGGGCTTAATTTCCAGCGATGCATAGCAGCCCGGTGGTCAAGGGGTTTGTTCTTGTGCGGAATGCCTGGGTTCGAATAGTGGCTGGTATACCGGTTTGCTTTCCAAATTCTTTTATACGATTTTTCGTATCTTTTGATATTTGCAAACTCCGAAATTGAACCAGTGACAATACCTTTTGGTTATAGTTCTTTGGGTTATTTGCAATTGTGGATCTGGTGTATTTTCTCAGTGTATTTGTCGTTATAATAAGAGTGTAAGCGTTCGGCGGATGGATGTCAAAGCTGTACCCGACTATCAAGGTGTGCCTGACTGTCTACGGAAAAAATTGCGCCGACAACGCTCAGCTTTGTGCATATGGATACTCTGTATTACGCAGATTTTATTGCCTTGTCCCTTAAATTCAGGTCAAAGGCACAAAATATTTCTTTATAACATTGGTTGACTCCATGAAAAGACAATTTTGGGAAAACTAAATTAAAGACAATTTGAACTGGAATATTACCTTACAAACTTTTCCCCTTCACCATCATATAGAGAAAAATAAACTTCTAAATTATCTTCAGTGTTACAAAGAAATGTCTTCACTGACAATAGCAAATGACGGTGGGCTTTCACGATAGACCGTGATGATCTGGGCATGGATGCCTCCTTTTCCTACAATTACGAATTGCATGTTATATATATATATCCATATTATATATATGCACCCTTATAAGGAACATTTCAAAAGATAATATATAATTGTAATTGAATACATAAACTTATGTCGAAGTCGTCATTGGACATTTAGCACGATACTGCCCTTGCAAATGATGTCCAAAAACAAGGCATGGCGAGATGCGAATGTGCATATACACTACGAAGATATGATGATTTACGAAGACACTTTGTGCCCTTATCTCCAAAATCTAGTTCGGCAGAATATAGCGCAAACAACCTGATCGAACATTATACACATAATGTGTGCTCCCGCGGGAAATAGTGAGTTTTGCTTTTCCAAGAATCTGAAACATTGAGACTCGAGGGAAAACAAAATTCCCCAGGTAGTGTACATTAAATGCTTTGTTATTTAGGAACAAAAACATACATGTTACACGACAATCTCATTTAAAAAAATACTTTGTTATGACAATATGCGGGCAACAATTTTTCACTTGTTTCCCTGGCGAGAAACATTGCATTTATTTAAAATCATGTGATTACGAATGAACCAATCATATTTAAAATACACAGCACCTATATAACAATTGCATTTAATCCACCATTATATAACCACTTTACGTTTATTTCACACTAAAGTTTAAAACACTTCCAACACACTTACAATCAATTTACTTTCCTTTAAACTTTGTACGTGCTAAAAATTGTAAGAGTACAGAATGCAAAAAATATTCGTTTCCAATCCCAAACATGGATAAAACTAGTTGTAATGTGCTAACGCGTGACAGTTGAGGTAAACAGTAGCTACGTAAATGTCTTGGGTAGATCGAGAATTACTGTATGTAAATACTTACAATTTTGTACAATTCAACAACACTTGTTTGGTCAACATCAGCCGCCACTCCATTTATCCGAGGTACAAGATCCAATTGCATTTGACTAAATTCAATTACAAACTACTAAATTCGTATGCGTAGACTATACTCTAATTATTTTTTCGCAAAATCACCGATAAATTTATATACAGCAGAGCAACATGCAGATGGTTCGTCTATCTCACAGAATGTGGGGTTGTTTGCGTGAAATAAATTCCCGTGCAATGAAGCGTGATTATATTGTACCTGTTCCAAAAGTCTATCTTTGATGTCATCTCTGCTTTTAACTCAACAATCAACGCCTAAAGGAAACCATATACGTGTAAAGTAGGGTAATCCTGTTATAAGATAGAGCTTTAAAAACAGTGACTAGGAACACGAAATTCGACATTCTAGGGTAAATGGCTTGAGACAGGGATTAGTGAAATCCATGATTGCGAAAATTAACTGATATGCTACTGTATTATGCAAAAACCGAAGTGTTGGTGACCATGCAATAATGGTGATTGCTAAAACGTCCTGATATAATGATATTTACGTAAAATTTGAATTGCAAAATTTCACTGCGAAATTTGAATTGCAGTCTTATAAACTCCGAAAAAAATCACAATACAAACCTGAGTTAGGACACCAGACAAAATCTTCAACCGCAGATTTATTAGATGATCCATGATTTTCTTCATCTCCAGAAACTTTGACCGGCAATTTCTCTGCATTTTCAAATAATTTCGTAATAACCTAATAGCATTTTTTTATAGTGAAAAAATTCACGTCAGTGTTTTTTGCACTCTTACCTCAAAAAGTTTCTTCCAAAGCTCCAACCATTCCCGTAGTACAGCGGTCACTTCTTTAATTATTGGATCGCCACTTGGGGTGATTACCTCAAGTGGTGTACTAGAGAAGGGATCAATATGATTAACCATTCATCAAACATGATAGCCTCAACTGAAGTGGTTGTCTTAATGTAAATTAAAGGCTATCGTCTGTATTCTAAAAGCGCACTCATACTCAAACTTATTGAGCGGGAGATCTCAATCACATCGTAACGATTCCATGAGGGTATTTTCACTAGAATAAGACCTTGATTTTCAGTGTTTTACTTTCAATTTTTCCATTTATCAAGAAAAAATGACTAATTATTACATCGTTGCTCATCGATGCACTTTTAGTTATTAGGAAACTTTGTTTGTTCTTCATGCAGGGACGGCTGCTATAGTCTTACCTCAAATTCTCTACGACGCATTCCTTTAACTGTACAAATGAGGCTGGAAAAATTCCCTGTTAAAAGGATGATCCCATTGACGCAATGAAGTATTACCATGTTAATGTCTTAGAGTACTTTTTATGCTGGGTCATAAGTATATCTTGCAACAAAATGTTCTCAAATTGAGATTGATTCTTTCTAATCATGCAGAGTAACGTGCTTCCTGTGGCATTTTGAAGCTTCCATAATGACTATTGTATATAGTCTATGTCTACAGACTGGCTAATATCTCATTTTCGTCACATTCTCACTCGAATGCATTTTTTACTTTCACGCACCTTGACAGCTTTGTTTTTAAGACAGCATCCTCTGTACCACCCTAGGTATAAACAAAATTATAAATGACAAGATTTGTTATACCATTATGAAGTTGTTTAGTAAATATATTTGTAGGTAATTTGTTAGGATAACTCGAATGACCAAAATATTAATTCAGTCAATTTAATAACTAACGAAGATAACGAAGAAAAACAGTTCCCTTTTACACACATAATGAACTAAATGCTTTGTACTGTTATAATACAGCGTTTTAGAGAAACCGTCAGGCAAAATCGTGTAGAATGGCAAGTACCTATCCTGCAGGTATACATGTAATTTGATTTCAGGCAACAGCATGTGCTATATATAGAACTTACAAATACACCGCTAACGCGATTTAACTTGCTAGGTTCTTAAAAATGGAAACCAATTATTATTGAATCCCCATTAGATTAAGGTTCTCTATATGTGATATTTCGCAGAGTTACGAGGCAACTATATGCAACTTTTTGATTGAATATCTTTTCATTTTCGACAAACAAGACAGGCGATCTAAGGCATGATATATAAATACCAAACACAGTTCTGGGAATCATGACTATTTCATGGTTGTGAAATAAACGAAACTGCTTAAGGAGAAATGAACAACCATTCCCAGCACTGAACAGTAGCGTAACCAGCCTGTCGATTTGTCCCGCTATGCTAATATTTCAGTGTTCACTGGCTGTGAAAACAATAGATTTCTAAAGGCACGAATAATTATAATGACTCGAAATTTATAATAGCGGGATAAAATCGTCAGGCTGGCTACGCCACTGGCACACTGAAACATTTTAGGTCTTACGTTAAGATTTGTGATTTTAATCTTCACTATGCAGCCCCCTCATTCAATATCGTTCCCACGCAAATCTGATGTCTGGTTGCCAGGAAACCACAGTTGGAGGGAGGGCAAAAACGATTTTCGAGAATGGTAATGCATGTAAAAGCTTTTAATATAATTACACGAATATTTTTTTCGGGTTTGAGTGGACATGAAGAGAAGAGCGTGCTTAATGTAAGAGGGTGTCATGATCAATGGTTTAGCTGCTTAACAAATGAACTATCTCTTTCGTTATCCTAAGCGCAAAAACTCAAAAATATTAACTGACAAGCGTGTAAAAGTATGTCATTTTTCAGCGTATACGGACAAAATGAGACCCGTAAAAGGGCATAGAAGAGGTCAGAGGCGATTGTAATAAGAAAGGCTGAAAGTTTTATTTCAATTATTGTTCTTCCCGATCAATTACAAAGGTTTTTATTTAATTGTCTGGCGTTTCAGTTTCCTTTTACGGCACGCAAAATTAAACCTTTTGTTATTATTTTGGAAGAATGATAATTACGGTTTTAGCCAGGTTGAAACCATTCAATGAAGGCTGGAAGTTGACATGAATTTCATGTCAGTATTTATATCAATCTGTTTCAATTCGCGACTGACTGTCTTTTGGAGTGCTGGTGGCTGAGTGCTGTGACACTCGATGCAGTTTGCCAAATAGTCCTAAACGTCGTAGACTCTGTTTACATGAATCAAACGACTCGTGTCCATGCAGTTGTCCCATATTAAAGACAACGCTTAAAGCTTATTTTCGTGTCCAAAATAATTGATAAAAGGGAAATGAGGTTGAATGTGTCATAATCAGCTTTATTCCTGTGCTCTATATTTAGCTGAATTATTATGTGCCAATTAAATTTGAAAGGGCTTAAAGAAAGTAAAGCTCAGAAATTGCTATTTTGATGATCTAAGGCTTTCCCTGTTTCAGTATTTGTTTCCATGCATGGATTGAAAAAGTATAATATATTTTTTCCCGTAGCTATTAAATTAAATATCATCACTGACACTGTTTAGTTCTCCGCAACTTGGATCAAAATATTCACAAAAATATCTTCATGCCACAAGATAGCATCAGGCAAACGAGGATAAGAATCCCCCCCACCCTCTCTAAACGTCAATTTGACACTAAGGGTTACGTATTAATATGAACGCATCCCCTAAAAAGGGGAATCCATTTTTGGATGGTCTAGAGTAGGAACAGTATTGTGGCTGGCACCTTTAAATGGACAGGTATATTAAAAAATAATGACAATATAGGTTCAGTGAGACCGTGGTGAGACTGGAGTCATGTTCTTTGTTCCTTGGATGTCTACCAATTGTCTACGAATCCACGAATTGACGACTACCAATAAAGTAAAGCTATTCAGTTTTTAAATATACACCAAATGACGCGTTTACCAAATATGGTCACCAGAACACGAAATAACAAGGGATTACATGCTAAAAACTGATCACTGTTATTAAATATGACTCAATCAGATTGAAGATTAACGGCGTTTGTGTAAACAAATCACAAATGTTTCTGCAATTCCGTATGACCATATTCCGTTTCTTACTTTGTGATTTTGTAAATTACTTCATAAGTTTCGTAGTTGGAGATTTTGAAAGAAAGTTCTGATTAACATGAAGTATCAAGACAATTTAGCTAACGTGGAAATATTACGTAAAGAAATCCAAAGGCAATGGCAATGCAACTCAGGTTCTCTAGCAGAAATCCAAGCTACTATATTTTTGTAATTCCAGAGCAAGGTTCCTTTCAGGGCCCTTTTAGATGCTAAATAAGCAATAGAAAAAATTATGGAATATCTCAATCCACTGGCCTGTTCAGTGTGGCATGGTCAATGTGTTTATACCCTAATACCCAGGGGGGGGGAGAGAATATTGGAGGGCACAGATGTTTCGATGCTTTGAGCCTCCATAGTCCATTCTACATCTTTAAGTAAGCTGTTAGTTTGTACCTAAATTTCTCCTCATTTTATTTTCACAATAAAGGCTGCATCCCTTCTTCTCCAAGTAAACCTTGCCTAATGTCCCCTAAAGCTTACCTGGTTGTAAGAGCAGAGACTACAGAGATGGAGGACTTAGGGGCTTTAGCCAACATTTTTGGCAGGAAAATTCAGGAAATAGCATTAAAGATTTTAAAGAAAATTAAAGTGGCATGGGTTCATGCCTACCAGATGACCCAACAAGACAATGTTGCAATGTCCCAGGTCTGTGCCTAAAATCATCCTTATGTTCTTTTAACATGCTTCATTTCTTTTTTTATGTTCTTTTATAATGTGCGTTTTACATTAATATCATACTGCTAAATTGTAAATTTCATTTGTTAGCAAAAGAGAAAATTAAAAACAATAACAGTGAAATTCTCTGAAACTGAAATCTACATGACACATCTAGCACAAGGGAATATTGTAATGGCCAGGAAGTAGGTTGGGCCTAACTTGTCATTAAAGTTAAAGCGATATCTTGATGTTGATTTTTGGATAAAAAGGTGATTACTTCTTTAATTCAATTGGCAGTTCAACCTTGCTGCACGTTTTTTAATTAGACTAATTAGAGTTAAAGCAAGTGGACTGTAGAAAAAATGTGGTAAATTGCAATGGTTAAGGTAGATTTACACTGTTACACACTACTTTGTCAGCCAAGTAAGAGCAGCAAAAATAGAAATGTACCTTTTATCATCACAAGGAATAATAGTGGAATAATTTCTCAATACTGATATATAAATTGCTAGTAGAGAAAATTATAACTAGACATGAAACATTGGTCTAGAAGCAAAATACAGTGGTGTTTGTCAATCTGGTAAGTTTACAGTATTTAGTGTATACATGGAATGAAATAGTGGCCCTTAGCAATTTGATACTAATATTGATATGGCCCAAGCAAAAAATAACAATATGATGATCAGTCCTGAATGATCTTTGCAGACAGGAAACTACAGTAGATAAGGCTAATGAATGATATTGTGGATAATGTCAACAGTATAAAGGGCTTAGCATATTGCAAGAATTTGTAATCATGTTTAAATTAAGGTATAGAACCAGTTTCAATTATTCTCTCTTTATTATTCTTAAACAGAAAACACAACGTCTCTTTAAATCTGATACATTTTGCTCATATTATCTACGGATTACAATGCAACAGTCGCTTATTAATTAATAAAATACACACGCTTCGTAAAATTAGCCACGCATCCCAATAGACCATTACATAAAGCTTATATTAATGCGAGGAATTTTGTTTATATATTTGCGAAGAATTTATGATAAGAGATCAAAATATTTTATCATTAAATGAAAATATTAGCATAATAACTGGCTTTCTGGAATTACCAAAATACACACGGTAGTGATAACAATGACACAGCACAAGTCACTCGAACTTGAAGTCATTGGACAAAGTAAAATTATCGTAGCCTAATTCAATAATTCCAATCGTGGCTTTAATAATTTGTTACATACCTGCACACCCTTCAAATATCTGAACTGCATCTCCTACATCAAGTTGTAGCCCATGGGTAACATTGCCATCAAAGTTATAGATCGCTGATAAAAAGAATATAAAACTCATGAAGCGAGTCAATTCAATTATAATGCATCCTTTAAGGCGATAAAACGACTGTCAATTGTGAGTGAAATATCGTTACCAATGCCATATTTTGCCCCTTCCGTGTATCTCCAAGTCTCCATATCTCTGTGGCTTTATTTCACAGGTAGCTCAGGCATGAAGACTTTAATAGATCGTTAGAATACACACATTTGCTGTTAAATAAACTGTTTCAAAATTCCGTATTGTAGTGTTATATGTATGAGTCGACTGCTCACATGTTGACATTCACGCCATCTCGCTTTTAACTCACAACACCCCGCCAATATAACGATCGTTATTACATGTAACAAACAAATCGTTGTGTCTCTTTGTTCATAGCGGCTTTCATTTCAAATAACAAATAAAGGCCTCGGACTCAAGGAAGTATTCAAGCAATAAAGATTCTTCGGACTAATATTTACCATATCACAAATTCATTTCACCCCCCAGGCATCAGTATTACAAAGGGTTACCCACCCTGACTTTGATCTAGAGCTATGATACATTTACTATATGGCTCGGAGCTGGAAAGGTAGGATGAAGATGTAGGTAAAGTAAGCTACAACTACAGTGACACGCATATTTTTCAAAGAGGATACTCTTATGGGATATCATCTTGCATCTGTTCTCGTGGATTAGTAATGCATTTCGACAGCTCACCGTGCAGCAGATGTTCCGTTCCGCATCAGGAAAAATTGCAGTCAACTCGTTGCAATCCTACTTGTGTCATCAAAATCCTCGCACAGTGCTAGAATTCGCACAGCGCTGGGTGAAAAATTGCTCCACTGCGCAAAGACTTGGAGCTGTGTAATATGAGACACTTATTGTTAGTAATGCAATCATTCAGTTGATTGACCTCATTTGCATATGTTTGCACACAAAAATATAAGAAATCTTCATCCTGGGCAATTTTATTCAGGGTATCTCATATTGTTTTTATGAATTTTGCTTACATTGCATAATCTTAAAGTCACTTTTTAGACCTACTAATAGCTTTATGATTACATTTTCTGACAAATATTGTCTTGAAGTGTTTGTTGATGGAAAAATAAATACTCATTAAAAATACGTAAGTTGTGGAAACGAATGCGCAGCTGCGCATTAACGTATATTTACACTTGCAGAGACAATAGCATAACCATTCGCATGTTTTTCTCGGCAACGACAAATTCAGTTATGAATGCAGTTGAAGAAAACATGAAAATATCTTGCAGGCGAACCATGTTAGTACTGACTGAAAGTCAGCTTGCCCAAAATTGCGTCAAAAATGCTTGCCCCGAAAAATTCATATGTTACGACGAAAGAGCTACATTATCCAAACTGGTTGACTGCAAAGACAGAGTTGAGAAAAGTGTACAGTACATGCTGTACACAATTATATTAGCAGATAAAGCCTTTTGAAGGCATATTGTGATGATTGTCTAGCTTCTCTGCGGCTTCATGCTATTCAGCCATATTCAAATGATGGTTGAATAGTTTATATTCAAAGTTTCAACGTCTTTTAATTGTATTCAGTTAAAAACATTGGCACTGAGCTGCAGACAATCAGCCACGACACGGGTTTCGTGGGTTTACTCTGACAATCCGAGTTAAATTGTTCAAACAAGTACAATAGCTTTATATATTTTCTCGAAAACTGCCGAAAACATTGAGCAATTTACGGTTAATTACTCAATAGTTAGATCAATTGCTTCAACAATTTTTCAGCAATTCCTTCGTGCGCTGGGTAGCTTCTGAATGTTTTAATTGTGCACAGCAGTCTAAAAACATGAAACGATTTTGCCACCTGATTATGTTCCGCTGAAGATTTTCTGCTAAAAGCAGGGATTACTTTATATTGGGGGATTTGTAAGCTTCGCGTATACGTAGTTAAGCCTGAAAAAAACTTTGTATAAAGTATAATATAGTTGATATTTTATTTTTCCATAAATGCACAGGATTTTCATAGACAATACTGAAAACATTGTTAGTTACATAAAGCCTGGAAGCGGTTGCCGAAAGAAATTATGTCATTCTTATATGATTTTTTGCACTTGTAATTAATTTCCTCTATTTAAAGTCAGTTGACACTGCATATCATTCATTGCAACTTCTTGCATTAGACTTGCATGAGACAAATACCGATGTAACAGTTTGCATGCAAGCTTCGCCGAAAAGTCACAATAAATTTTCAATAAATACAAACTTGAACATCAAAATCCCATATAATATATTATTCATTCGACATTACAATTTACGAGCACTGACATACACCTTCCCTTTTATACTATAATTGCTATATCTCTATATATATAGGTTTTAATGTGAGTTCAAAATATATATATATTATAAAACATTGTGCTTAAGTATATTATACCTTTAAGATAATATTTAGTTATAATATAAATACATACAATATATAAATTAAATACTTAATGGTATTTTATATTCATTTGTGGATAAAGCGGCATTATATACTCGCGTATACATGTAGATGGACGAAGACAGACATCCGCAACCTCATCGCAATCCCTATATATCCTGCATGTGACGTCATGAAGCTCTAAGGCAAACGGGCATACTTTTCTAAATAGTTAAATACCCATAATAAACGCATGTTTGTATATCACTTCAACGAATGTTCGCATGGACGTTTATTTTCTGGGAGCTCATGCAATGGAACAATCGTCAAAAACAAAATAGAGAGACTGCGGTTCGGAGCAAAATACAACAACATCGCCGCATCGAGTGGCTATTAACAATATCAATGTATCGCGAAAGCGTGTTTCAGTTTATATATATATATTATGACATGCATGTATATATATATCAAATAACAATAAAAATACGAATTGATCGCATCATTCATGGATATATATATATATATATATATATATATATATATATATATATATATATATATATATATATATATATATATATATATATATACACTATAGCAAAGCCAGTTCAAATTTCTTTTGAGTTATCTTGGTTATAATACATTCTGTGTCTGAGATGCCAAGCGATGCTACCACAGGCCGAGACGGTTTGAAATTGATGAATAACATTACGAGGAATAAAATAAATATCGTTATCGTGAAGTCGAATTCTGGAATACCTAACTCCCTCCCTTCTCAGCTGATTCAGCTTCGCTTCGTCCACCCAAGCCACGCACTAAAAACAATTGGATTACTTTTGAACATATATATGAAGTTTACTGAAGTTGAACATATATATGAAGCGTGCATAAGGTTAATGCTTAGTGTGATCCTCTCCCCCTCCGTGCTCCAAAAAAATTCTATTGAGCTCAGTAGAAACCCCCTAGTATACGTCAGCCCCCAGGGTAAAATAAATAACTGGACATTTCACACTTCCGAAAGTCTCGTATATGCATGGATCGTACATAACTTGCACTAGTGGTGAAATGATTTCAAGAAAACGTTGCAACATTCGTTTAATGAACCATGCACAACCTTACATTGGGTCCTATTTATAGCCACACGTGTTACCTGTGAAACCGGAGGCTCGTGTAAATCCAACTGAAGGATCTGTGAAACTTTGACAAAATCTCCAGCGTGAAATGCTACCACATCTTTCACTTCACGATTCACTTTGTCATTGCTATAAGAAACACGAATGACTCAATTAAACAAAAACGCCGAACACATTCACCTGAAGCAACCGTGACTACAAAAACTTTTTTAAGTTGCTCGCCGTGCAAAAACAATACTTAAAAGTTTTTTGAAGCACGTGTTTCATCCGGCATTTTTGCTTAACCCAGACATGGTGTGATAGGAACCGGCTAACGGTTTTGGTTTAATGGTCATGTGAAATAAAGCACTGGTGTACTCTGAGACTGAGTACTACCTATTACAAGTTAGCAGAAACTGATTTGCCGTGGCATAAAACAAGTAAAGTAAGGTCCGCAAAAACAGACGAAATGGTTCAGGATATAAATAGGAAGTCAATATATAGGCATATATTAATAACTTGTTTAGGATGACGAATGAGTCATGATGAGTCTTTCAAAAGGTCGGTGTATTAGGGAGCTCTGAAGTCTGACCAATATGTCGTCAGTGAAAACACGTATCTCTTGCAAAGGTCACACATTCATGCAGACCTTTTTTCAACAAATTACTGCGCAAAATGATGAAACAATGCTTTAAGCCTCGTACCCAGGTCCTTTAGTATTTAGGTTTTTAATTTATCAAGAAACTGGGAGGACGGATTTGGAGAGAGAAAAACCTCCTAAAAATCAGTATTGAGTCTACAATGTCATTTTTACATTGAAATAGTTTAAAGCCACATTTTCTTGCTTCTTTCGTGATTTGACTCGTACCCAGGTCCTTTAGTATTTAGGTTTTTAATTTATCAAGAAACTGGGAGGACGGATTTGGAGAGAGAAAAACCTCCTAAAAATCAGTATTGAGTCTACAATGTCATTTTTACATTGAAATAGTTTAAAGCCACATTTTCTTGCTTCTTTCGTGATTTGACTTGTCGCTTGAAATGTATACTCGTCGCTCGTAATAATCTGAGGTCGCTCGACCATTCAATAATCACTGTAATTATTTTAAACTCATATAATCTTATTAGAATAGTGTAAAAAATGGACAAATAATAATCATACTCATTGTCATCAGAGCTTTGTACAGCTTTAAGAATTGCAACAGCTGCTGTCGTCATACGATCAATACCCTGACCCACGTGATCAGCATGGCATCGGGTTCTGTCTTCTGCGAGAGACTCTCTTGGAGCGGATGAACGGGGAAGAAACTGCAAGTTTTGAACTTCATTCACAGATACCCTGGAATTACAAAATTAACCGTGGGCTTAATTGTGTTTGGTTATACAATAGCACCCGGCCTCAAAGTATCTGGTTTTGTCCACAAACAATATAAGCAGTGGCGTGGGAAGCTGGACGACTTACTAGATCTATGCAAATTTCATGTCATCATAATCATGCGTTCAACTGCAGTATTTCTCACCTTCTTCTTTTGTATGGGGAACTAGATCTTTCTGTAGCTGGCACCATCTGCTCTCCAGGACGAACCCAGAATATTGGACCATCATTACTCTGCTTTGGATCATCCATCTTTAGCAAAGAAAACTTCCCCCACGGCATGACAGGCTTGAGAAATGGACACTTGTCAAGAAAATCTAAGAGGTCTGGGAAATAACCACCAGTTTCCTCTTGTCGCGTACCAACAAGACTGAACTGTAGTAAACCACCGCATCGATATGTCCCACTTTGATAGGATTCTTGCACTTTGTTATAGTAATCAATAAAACATGTGGTGTCTATGTCTTTCTTCTTTCCTAGAAGTTCAGTTTTTACAGTTTGCTTTGGATACTTCTCACTGAAGTATCTTAAAAGTTCAGGAATATCCCTTGCAGCATCGTGAACCACACCCAAAACATGTGTCGCTTCTCCTTCCTCCTTTTCTTCAAAAACAACTTGAAAGAACTCATCTACAACTTTCTCTAAATACTCTGGTTTTAAATTCTTTACATCATTATAATTCATGTGAACAACAGATGCACCACCATTGGGAGATGTTTTAATTGTAATGTATTTGGAAGGCGATGCTTCAATATATTTCTTTTTCTTCTTCCTCTTACGTTTATGCCCATTCTGAATGTCCACTTTTGACTTCATGTCACATTCTAAATCAGTCATTATAGAAAACGAAAATTTCTTAAAACAAGGCAACATTTATCTATTTGAATTTTTACTGTATAGTATATACTTCAATTATGTGTCTTATTTTTCACACATACATATGACAACTTCATGTATTGGGATTTCATGTACCAGAGTAATGCCAAAAAGAAGTTATATACAGAATTTAAGAGGTTGAAAGAGTCTTAATTTCAAGTGAAATTATACACACTTCAAATTCAAGCCAGAAACAGTTGATGGAAAAACGAGTCAACTATTGGTTTTCCCGCAGGAACGGAACCTACGCTTTTGCAATGCTAGGGCAATGCTCTTGCCACTGAGCTACAGAGGTAGCTGACAAGAGCAAGCGTGGTTAATGTGTATATGATGGTAATGCCAGGAATAGGTGAGGGTAACAATCTCACAAAATTTTGTTTGCCTACAGCTATATTTGAAAAAGAAGGACAGGGAGAAACATGGAACAAACAAATATTAATGTAAATTTTTAGAACTGATAACTATCAAGTGATTAACATCAATTAAACTCACCATTATTGTTTCGTTTAAGCTTTAATTTTATGCCACTATGATGAAGAGCTGATTTTGAGCATCCTTCAGGCCATATGCCTATGAATCCAAAAAAAGTCATAATAGTTAAGTTCTATTAATAAAGTAGCAAATGCCAAATTATTGGCTTGAGATGCATTTAGGATAGTTGATTAAAGTAAAAACAATTTATTTGGCATTTGTTACCCTTGGCCTGTTTTCATAACTGAATAAGTCAATTATATATATTCAACAGTTTTTATGTGGCCTTTTAAAATTTCCTTCTTCATACATTTGCAGGGATTTTCCCTAGTGATATCTAGAAGTCCCTGGACTAAGGCAGGATATCTAGCCAAAAATGCAGGCTATATATTGTTGCAGGATATACAGATTCTTGCTATTACACATGCATCTAATCTATATAGACTGTGTTGAAAACTGTACCAACTGCCACAAGCAACCTTAAAGTAAAAAATTCCATGTACTGATGGTTAAATCATTGTTGATTGTTTTTTATCATCAATAAGCCTAGTCTTAATAGTTCTCAGTGCAAAATGAGTTTTGAATTTCAGAGTTCCATTTCACCTTCACCAGTAAAGAAAATTGCATGCCAAAGTGGATGGAAACGAACAGTACTTCCTTGATATATACGGTATTCTCTTGTTATTATCAACATATACACCCTGACAACTCTATCAACTACCACTCAGTACTCAGTTTTATTAGGGAACTGACTACTATATTTATTGTTAAAAGGTTGTCATCATGGGATGGGAACTGCTTTTCCCCAGCTTAGGGAAACTCTTTAAACATTTGATTTTTTTAGTGATGATCATGATAGTAATGAGGTAGGGCAGTATGTGATATATTCTAATGATTGGGTGAGTACAGACTGAATAATTCGGATATAAATCCTGCATGTTTTGTTTATAATTGCTATAAGGTCCCTCTGTACCGACTGTACATAAAAACTACGTATACTAAACGCTGAATGATTTTACAAATCCGAACTGCTGTACTCCGGCCTATGTAAACTCATCCGTAGGAAATGGTCGCTTTTAAATTAATAAACACGACCTAAAACGCGGGCATTCGCCATGTAATAAAGCCCAGCTAAACGAAACGCTGCACTAGGTTTTTCTTCATAACTTAGCAGTGTACATTTTACTACAGTACCTTCCTTTTTAATTTTCTTTAGTTCGGTTCTGATATTCTTTTCACAATTGTTATCCCTCGTACATGAGCTTGGGCATGACATCGACGAAACACTCGACGAAGAAACGTTCCAGCTTTGGAAAGACGTATGATGTTGTTTATGAATTTTTTTCTTGCTCGATTTTTGTTTATCTTGATGCGTTCTTGCAACAGATTGGGCAAACACACTGTTTGGAAATTCCGCCATTTTGTATGCGTAGCAATTAATGTTGGTCACTGATCTATATATTTGCAGTTTGATGTTGGTCACTGATCAATACATTTGCAGCAACTGCTGGAAAAGTCGTGCGTTTTTGAGGTTTTTTTTCAGTGAGAGGAATACCGTAGTCCCCTACCGTAGTCCTATGGAGAAGTTTGTGAAATATTCGCTTCTTTTATTTATATGGTTTGTATGTACGCCGGCCTAAAGTCCTGTGAGGCCAGTGGTCACCATGGTCACCATTCTCAATCCCCAATACCACTCCGCCATGCCGACGATGGTTTTTAATTTTGTTGCCGACAAAAATTTTGGAAATCAAGACGGCGGGAATTTGAGGAGATTTTTAAAAACATAGTGTAGACTGTGACATTGTGACTTTCATCTATGTCTCGGCCTTCTCAGCAACCAGGCCCAGACGATGAGGAATATATCCTAGTGGCTCAACTTTTTAACGCAAGAAATTTAACAAATATTTTGAAAGCAATCCATTTTAAAGAGGTATAATGGTATATGCTAAATAATTCTAATTTAACCCCACCACGACTTTCGAAAGGGGGGGGGGGCTTTGAAATTTGTCACAAACATTTTATTTGTTGCAAAACATTTTTATAATTACTGAAATAATTTTGTACTCCATATTGACGAACATTTTTACCATTGCTCCTGTGGCAGAATAGTCAGAATTTGTGGCAATGGAAAACTGTTGGAGTGGGAGGGCAAAAAGCCAAAAAGGCCTTTTTCAAATGTGTCCTCTGCAACTTTCTGATTTTCAAAGAAAATTGCTATTTTGAAAAAAGGTGCCCCAGTAAATGTTAGCCCCAACTTTAACTTGCTTCCTACCGTACATCTCTGCATTTCCCTAAAGAAATCCCTTGCTAGTGTCTTAATAATCTAAAGTGTCTGTTCATGAATTTGAAAGTCTAGCATATATCAGTATCTGCATTTGCAACCCTACAACCATGACCAGATATTACACATATTACAAATATTACCTTTTTAATATATTTCAGAATGGGCTGGGCACACTTAAGAAAACTCCCTTTGATATCACCCCCTGTTCAAGGTGTCATGTACTTTTCTTGCTTTTCCTAGACATCAACTTGTTTTCTCAGTGCAAATGGTATCAAAGTAACTGTTGAAAGTGCCAAGTGTGTCCAAGCTAATGCTTTCATTCAAGCAGGCATTTTTCACGAATTCAACTTCAATGAAGACTGTGCAACATTCAGAATTAACTTGGATAATCTTCTGGTAGGCAATTAACTGTCTGGAGGAATCCTGAATGACGACTCTTCCACAATCTCTCACCAGCGCTCAAATGCCTATGGCAGGCCATTTTATTGTACCCTCTGATCATATAAAAGACAACTGGAATGGTCTTTGCCAATATCCAGCATACAATATATTACGAGGTGTACTTTATTATATATTCAAGAAAATACTGGCCATCTAAAATTAAATTGTTTCCAAATTCCAATTGTCTCCATGACTTTATTAATTTGACATTAAGATAAAAAGTACATGCATAAAAACTCAAAAGATTGTTCCTCAGTCGCATCCTATAACTAAACAATGTTTTATAACCAACTATGATCAGTGATGTTTTGCAAATTTTGGAAGTGAGGAATGCTTATTTTAAAGGTCATATAGATGTGGCCTATATTTGGGTGTGGTCACCTGCCTGTAAGAGTTAATAGGCAATTTTATAGGCATTATTGCCAAATTACTTTTATTAGATACACAATATCATGTTATTATATACCGGGTGTCCCAAAAAAAACTTTACCTCTTTGTCTTAATATAACTCAAAAACGAATAAAAGTCATTAAATTGAAATAAACTCCACTGCATGCAAGCAGGGCTAACTTAGATTTTGATATATAACACTAAATTATTGATGCGATATTTACGGAGATACAAGCATTTGATGTCGCAAGGTACTTTCAAAATCTGTGCAAAATTGACAAAAATCGGCTATTGAATTAATTCGAAACTAATACTTTAACTTTTACCTTTTTAACTTTAGTGATTTTAACTTTAAATGTACGCTTTTCCATTGCAAACTTACTCTTATATAAGAGCGAACAATTAAAGTTAAAATCGCTGAAGTTAAAAACCTACCACGGGAAGTGGCATGCAAGTATTTTCGAATTAATTTAATAGCCGATTTTTGTCAATTTTTCACGGATTTTGAAAGTACCTTGCGACATCAAATGCTTGTATCTCCGTAAATATCACATCAATAATTTAATGTTATATATCAAAATCTAAGTTAGCCCTGCTTGTATACAGTGGAGTTTATTTCAACTCAATAGCTTTTATCGTTTTTGAGTTATATTAAGACAAACAGGTAAAGTTTTTTTTGGGACACCCGGTACAAAAAGTAAATTCAAACTAATTATCTTGTTCAGACTATGCTCATGTTTTTTACTATAGTGAAATACTTTATACAGTTACAGCTTACAAGAATTTTGTTGTATGAGTTCCAGCAAAAATATAATTGTCACAACAGCGTTTTCCTGCATTCTATACTTTTATAATTCTCATTTGGGCGAACGCTGTTCCTCCCATGTGTGATTTTCACATTCCCCCTGCTTAAAACATAGCTGACTATAATTTTACTCCTCGTATCTATTCAGGTATTCTTGGGTATCCCTGGTACCTAATAATTTTATCATTACACCTGTTTTTGTGCTTATCTTAGGCTTGCCTCGATATTTTTGGATCTGTAAGGGACAATAGTATAACAACAGCTTTGAAGATGTGCTATGCTGGTCATGGATCGCCTCTCGTGCTTATGTAATTATTACCAGTTCAATTATACCAGTTGATTATATAATTCTTGCTGAGATAACTTTACGTGTGTCTCATGGGTTTGTCCTGACAAAATACCTTTTTTAGGTTGGAAGAAGGAGGGGTGGTAACAGATTGTTCAGTACAGACTGAAGAGCCAGATGAAGCCTTAGATTTTGATTTCAAAACTTCCAATGTTGTTAACAAAATTATTATGCAGGTAGAAAAAAAAGCTCTAGAATGACAGCGTCTCAGTCTGAACTTGTAGATATGTTTTCTTAAATGTGCATCTACAAATACATCCCCTGTAAATTTTTTATATTTTTTTTAGTCATCATGGTTAAAAGAAGTGTTTCACGAGTTAGACATGACAAGTGAGGTTTTGGAGATTTTAATGTCTCCTGACAGTCCATACTTCAGGTTGTCCACTTTTGGTCATGCTGGAAGTGCCCACGTAAGTCTTTTAAATAACGGCATGATATGAAGTATTATCAAGCCTCAGTTTGTCGTTATCAACCTCAGCCTGCCGTTTCCTTCAGAATTCTTTAAATTATTTTCAACCTTGTTGAATAATTGTTAATTATTGCTGTCAGGAGGGAAAACATTCACACTTTCATCAGTGATATATCGGCCGATTTTTCGCGTCTGCGTACATGAACTCAAACAAATGGAGAATACTTGGTCTACTTGCGGTTTGTCATTTTCGTCTGCATTAATTAAGCTGCTTTCAGGAAAGCAAAAGTTGACCACCACTCCTGGACTCTATGTTTTCTAAAATATATAAAAGTTAAAAAACCAAAACTATCCATACATCAAAAATTACATTTCATCAAAAGGAAGGTGGAGTTTACAAAAAATTCAAGATTGTATTTTGTTCTGATACGAATCAATATTTTTTTCAATGGTAAACTCCGTACGCTCGTCCTTTTGTAAAAGAGGAAACCTATAGGAACTATTCCTAATTTTTAAATCATGTAGGTTGATTTTCCAAACGATTCTGAACAAGTTGAAAAATTTGAATGCACCAAGACACAGACAAATAGGTAAAAAATTATATCTCACATTTTATGTAGAGAATTTGGAGAAAGTGATCAAAGATTACGCTTGCAGTCTAGAAATGTCTGCCTCGCTCACCTTCGCATTTTTTCCCAATAGATACAAGATTACACTACTGAAGCCGTCAACAAAAGCTTTAAATATCTCAAGCAAGATATCCATTCGCATGGACAATCGAGGATTTTTATCACTGCAATATATGATACTAAACGATGATAGAGAAACTTGTTATGTGGAATACTTGGCAAGTTATTTCTAGTTTGAAAAATTATGTGATTGCATGAACATTTTCATTGATTTTCCACCAATCTGATTTGAAAGATGGATTAATAAAATGATAAAGTAAGATAGAAAAATGCGTGATTTTTAGACAAGATATAGTATACTTTGTTGATTATATTAATTGTTGATTACATAATGTTGATGGCTTCATTCTTTACATAGTGTGCACCTGATGAAGAAAGTAATGATGAAGAAAGTAATGAAAACGGCGATTATTTATCATAACGTAAGCCAAATGATGATATAATATTCAGTGTATCGAAGGAAACAAGGTCAGTGGTATTACTTCATCTCCAGCAGTAAATGTTTAGACATACATGGCATTGCGTATCCGATTTTCGTCATGACAGTGAACAACCTGTGGCCAGAAGTTTGTGTCATTCCCATGCAGATGGCGATATTTCTCGACACAAACAGCCTTTTCCTGAGGGATTTTGTCCTCTTCTATGAAACAGCACTTATTCGGTCACGTTAAATAATACAGTTTACATGTATACGATCATATTCATAACATTTCAGCAGATTTGTTGTAATAACAACTGGTTCTTAAAATCTACTTAACGTTATAACTCAAACCTAAATAATACTCAAGTGGTTCACCTTACGGTACAGTACCTACCACCGCTGTTTGCATAGGAGATTTCCATAAAAGGCTTATTTCGAGACTTGAACGTTCGGATGGAACAGCAGCGAGTGATAACTGGATGTAATTTTGTTTAATTTGCCTACAAATTCGGCAGATTTCCTGGAAATGAAGTCTGATGAACGATGATCATACCATCATGAATCTCGTTTTTCAATGCAGTTATTTATCGTTATTTTAAGCTCTATTACACAAGGTATATGGAGGTTACAGCAAAGTAGCCTCGTTCCTAGGCTTCTCTTATATGTTAAAGGTACTACGATGTTGCATGCATGGTTCAAACCGTCAAAGACCAACAATTTACAAAGCAGACAGCCTGACAAGTTGTCCCATACAGGCAAGCAGCTTGAGTCAAATAAACTCAAGAAACTTAAGCTCTATTTACATTACGAAAGCTAACTCGATCGGGTTATTGTTTAAGAGTTTACTCTATAACTTGTTTTTCAAATGCAGGCATGCTTAACCCGGCCTTATTAGTTAAATCCTGTTTCCATGATGGGTTCGCCCTGGGCAAAACTAACCCGGGTTAATTGTGTTTGCACGTATCGTTAAGGTCGTTCATGTTATAACATGTATAGTACATTTCACTTTATATACAGTTTACTATATATATAGTCACTTTGATCTCTATATTTTCCTCATGGACGGCGAGGCTTAAGACTTGTGAACAAATCAAAAGCTGTACACAGTGACGATGACTTCAGGAATCCAACACGTGTTTTCAAATTGTTAATAAAGTCTTTTGCTTTTCTCTTGCAACCACGGGTGCAATTCGCCAGCGTTCTCTCTTTTCTTAAGAAACGAGTGATTCGTCCTAAGAAGAGAAGACAGTTTTTTTTCTTTGTTCTATCCGTTTGTTTTATATATTCATGGGTCGCCAAATATTCAATCACGCCCGTTTTCCACTTGGCGAAGCAATACCTGAAATCCGGTGATGATGATCTTTTTATCTGTTCGCGCGAATAAATTCGCCTGGTGAAAAACGGGCTTATTGAGCATGCATTGACAGTGAGTTCGCCTTACCCATATTATATAAACATGTAGCCATAGGCATACGGGCGCAACTTCGTTTTGGGGGGGGGGCAAAAAAAATCGCCCGAATTTTTGAATTATACAATGTGCCCGAATTTTAACTTCTACCAGATTTGTCACAATAAATTTGGCAAAGCACCGGACGTGCTTTCAAGAAAGTGTAACAGAATACACATATGTGATATATATTACAAAATTTGGTTTAAAAAATTTTAGCTATGTAACTCTTTTTCAGTTTGCCTGAATTTTCGGCTGAACTTTGCCAGAATTTCTTGATTCTCGGAATTCTCGGGGCGCAAGTGCCCCCCCCCCTGCACCCCTGTCCCGTACGCCTATGCATGTAGCAATTGGAATAGTGTGTGCTATTCGAATGTTGTGTGTGCTCCTCCCAAATACGGCAATTCATGCACGAACTAATTGTTGAATGTTTTAATGTTGGTATCTATTGTGTGTTTGTAACACTTACCAAGCTTTGTTTCACCAAGTTTTGCATAGTTAGTCTTTCGTCCCTCAAAACGAGCTTTCCGTGGTTTTGAGGATTTTATCGTAGCCTTGGTATCACTAACGTCCCAAAAATGAACGTTAACAAACGCTTCTTTTGGATTAATCACTGCAATTCGTGCAATAAAATTTTGTTTGGCCTTAAGCCTTTTAGAGTTAACGAAGAGGCGAACTTCAACTCGCTCTCCAGAACTGCACAAGCGCCGGTTTACGTTTGGCTTGGTTAATGATTTCACGTTTCTTCTCCTGGCTGAAAACAAAAAACTTCCCTGTGATTCAAACTCACAATGCATATAGTTGCATGGGACTACATTCATTCGACATTTCTAAGCGAATTGATGTAGCTGGGGGCGGTTGTATAAAACTCTTTAACTACATTTTGCATGCATATAACCAGGGAGCAGCGTGGAAGCGTCTTCAAACAACTTACCATCAAATGTGGTATAACAACTGCCTAAAATAGACAAAACACTTCGCGACATTTCGACCAGAGGGCCTTCGTCAGGAGAGTTAGTATCAAACTTACGTCAAGAAATGTTTTGTCTATTTTAGTTTAAGGCAGTTGTTACACCACATTTGATGCTACATTTTGCATAGTTAAATCCTAGTTAACTCATATATGCAGAATGGTGTTGTTCGCAATCATTCGTAATTCATTTGCCTTTTAGTGAAACATGCCAGGAATACACTTTTTCACCTTAGGAACTTAATTAATACTCCCAATACTCATGCAGCTAACAGTTCGTGAGAACGAGGGTCACGGACCAAAAGACGTAATTATCGATAGAGGGTGTTATATAAATAGTTACCAAGACATCAAAGTAGATTGGATATAACAGTATATATAGAATCCACCATATCGTGTGCTTATATAATGTTTGGGCAAATTACAGCTTTTTAACCTCGACTTACTCGTATTATCCACACATCCATTTCGATTACATGTGATTCTTGAAAACTAAAAAGGTAAAAATATAGATTAAAGTTGAATAATCTTATCTACATTATGCTGACTGGGTTTTACTATAACCGCGAGTCCGCGTAACTAGCTGCAGACATATATTGTATATATGCACCGACCCAAGAAAACAAACGGAGACAATATTCGTTAGTACCTGACACGTGCATCTTGCGCAACTATTGGGTTCGTGTCCAGGTATTTGTGGAGTCCATGAACTGTTGTGTGAGTATGTTTTTGAAAGAAATATGCAATCTAGATATAATCAAATATAAAATTTTAGGCACAAATTTCATGTTACGAAAAATACCTGATGAACATGGTAATTCATTGGTAAACTATATGTGAACCGTCGTTTCGTACACCATCATTGAACGATGTTGAAAGCAAGCATGCGGATACATGCATGTATGTGAATTTTCTGGGTTATAGGTTGGGGAGGTTATTGACTAAATCAGACCTTAATATGGTGTTATATGGACAAAGCATGCAACATTTTAGAAGCAGTTAACTCCTGGCCCCGTGACCTGGTACGAGCGAATTTTAGAAAGCCAGAAATCGAACCTATACGCAAAGGCAAGGACTGGATCATTCAGCGCTTGTTCAATAAACGTTGGTTGTTGCTTTAAAACACTAAATCATCTGCGCGAAAGGGATGATAGGTTGCAACTTGCAACGTATAATGCCCAATTCAAGCCAGAAATTATCTATTAGAGCAAGTGTAGATTTTCTGTTGTGAGTATATAGACAATAACCCATTATTTCTCGCGCACTTATAGAGTTTGTTTAATGTTTCGGAAGGACAACTTCTGAAGCCTGATTCACACTTGTCCTATACGAATCGGGAGAATCTACATATTCACCTGTTGGCCTCTTTGGTGTGGTGTTTTGGGGTAGGGTGCGGTTAAGGAATGGATTCGAAGTTCTGTTGATATCTGAAAGAAACGTACACAATACCCATGATAAACGTCGTACTTTAATTTAGCTAAATCCAGTGACAACCAAATTCTATCCAAATTCTTGAATTATAATTATGAGACTTGTTATTAAGTATGTTACTAAAAAATCATTCCGCTGCTTAGTAATACCTGGACATGATCTGCAACACTCGTTTGCATTCTGGAAAGAATTATCACAATCCAACTTTGGACACAAAACTGTCTTACAGTTAACTGTTGTATTCTAAATTCAAATAACGGGAAAAAAGTTATTGCTGTTACAGCTGTTTAAACATACAAAATGCATTTGGATTACTGCAAATGTCAATATACTGTGTTGATAATTCATAATTGTAGTGGTGTAATTATATTGCAGGCTGTTTGACGTGATACCATGTTTAATGACAGTTTTTCTACCATATAATCAAAACATACTTGACAAACACAGAGATCACAGTTCGGCTTCTGGAAAACTTTCGTGTCTGAAGTGGATCCCAGAGGGTTCCACATATCTTTATTTTTGTAATAGCGTCCTTTGTCGAAACAAGAACCTGGAGATAAAAAAATAGATACGCGGCGCGTACATGTGACTATCGCTCTATCAGCACCAATTAAATTTAACTAAGAGAATAATGCTTTTTATTATACGATCATATCATAACACGTTTATTCCTTCTTGAACTGGTTGCTCTAGCTTTCCTATACTTCGAAAAAGTCATGAAGTAGCGATGTAAATATATAGTTGTCACGACGACAGGTACGACGTGCTAGCTAGTAAAACTAACAAGCCTCTGAATATATAACCACTCTGGTGCAAACTAGGCTGGAAGGGGGCTCTCTATAGTCTGGGTCGGGAAATTTAATTGCACTTTTTACCTTGAACAGTCACTGCAGCTTTAAACTGCGATAAACCACCAACTGGTACGAGTGGAAAACCTGAAAAGTGTTAATTATTCGACATTTATGACACTGTGAATGCCCTCTAGGTATATTTCATATACCCCCTGGTATATCATGCATGGTGCATGGATGCAAGGCACATCATGATCAACCAAAGGCTAATAAATATAACATGGTTAGCCATAAGTCATTACTATAATAGAACTCGTCTCGAGTTTGCCGTGTGGCGATGGAAACTGCCTTTTCTTTACAATCGACAACACTGCCAGCCTCGTTTTAGAGTCCTTAACCATTAGTGTGCATTCAGGAAAATCGGGAAGTGTACGCGTATATCTTACTGATGGATATATGAAATGCATACCTCGGCATTGTTTACAACATGAATCTTTTCCCTCAACGTGCATCAACGTCGGGCATTTTAGAGTAGGACAAATACGAACAGCACAAGATACTCTTCCATTCTGCAAATGTATATCAATTTTATAATCATTACAATTGGACAAACAGTACAAGCTTCTAATAAGCTCCCTGAACTAAAATGTATATGCACGTATTCTTAGAGCTATGAAAGTCGCATTTCGGTCGATTCTTTGTTTGTATATGGCTACAAAGTTTTCTGCTTTTCAAGAGAACAGACTGAGTTGTTTCACTGTTCTACGTATTCACCATCTCCATCGTATTATTGGGTGGCTATCGAAATATAGCAGTAATCATAATACGTGCACATGCCTAAAAAATCAACCAACATGGCGACATCTTGTCGTACTTGCTCTCGATCGACCTTACTGAAATGCGACATATAAAAACTAAATCTAATATCTGCATGTTTTAAACCTGAGGCACATTCTTAGGCATGTCTCTTAATGGTTATATATACCCCACCCCACTTGTCTCTCTTTTGATAGTCATTGCTATCCCCTCATGAGGACAATCATGCAAATAAGTCGTATGAGCTCTGCTGTCTATTTTTTTATGACGGTTTGATAGATTTTTGGGGTTGAAAATAGCCATCAGTCGAGAGTCTTACATGACAAGTACATTCGCCACAATTGTTATCTCCAAGATCTTTTTCGATTGGAATTTTCCAAACTTCTCCCTGTTGGTAACGTTTTCCATCAGAGTTACGACAGTGTCTTCTCCTTGGTAATGTACCGCTGTTTGGACCTTTTTTTATAACAAAATATGAAAAAAATTATATTAATTAATTATTCTATATTCTTAGGTTGTTGTTGCTGAATAACGCAGTTTAGGAAAGTCATTACGTGAAATCGTTGCAGTTGCATAATGCTGCATGGTCCAGCTGCACCAAACAAAACTGTTATTAAACTTACTTGGACACACCGCACAGCATTTTCCATTTGGAACAAATTTTCCAGGACATGATACTCCAGCGCATTGCACTCTTGAACAGTCAATTAGACCGCCCTAAAAGTCAAACCATTTTCATCGTTCCAGGTAGTGTGATAAAGAACATCCACGTATACTGTTCACGCTAATGAACTATTGTCGATTGAAAGATTAAGGTGAAATACTCTATTTAGAGAGCCTAAAACATGAGGTTTTGAGAACACTTATTCAAGGGTCAAGCGCGCTATAGATATATAACTCCTGTAGTACCCTGTGTAATGTAGCACTACCTAATTTCTTACAACATTTAATATATAACATTGACGCGGAGAATTTTCACCCTGTACCTTTTTACATCTGCAAACGATGCAATAGTTGATTCCATTAGGCGCAAGATGTGGATTCCATTTCTGTCCAATCATAAAGTTTTTATTTCCAAATTTGCAAGTTCGAGATCTTCGTCTTTGCTTTGTATTCAAACCTTTAAGATATGTTTGATAATTTTAGTAGAAGGCAAAGGGACACCCTACACTTCTGGAACATGCACGACCCATTTGAATTCAAGAATACGACGATAAAATCCTAATTGCATTCCGCCCCATGCAGACAAAAAAAAAAATACCCTGCACATTATTTTCTCATCAAAGCATTTGTCCTTCTATAGATGCCATACGCATGACGATTTTCTCGCCCCATTTTAACACTGGAAATTATTTTCCGTGGAAAAAGATGAGGCAAGTGTTCCGTGCCATGAAGCGTGTATCCATATTGTAACTAGCTACAGATCATCACAGGGCTTGGCAGTAATGTAATATATATATATATATATATATATATATATATATATATATATATTAATATATATATATACTTACTAACTATAAATTGTTCCCATACGATAGTCCCCATGTACTCACTCACAATGTTTTCACATCGGCAAACACATTGAAATTTACGTTAAAAAATCAGGTAAAATCTGTACTTGAAAAGTTTTCTGGTAATACTCTAGTATCTTACATTCTGGTCTTGATAATTTAATAATTTCTGGCATGGTCATAATGGGCATAATCTCTATTGCGCGTTGATTTTAATAAGTTACATGAGATTGGTATTTATATAATTCACCAGGACAATCATCGTCTGTTTGAAAAAAGCAACTATTATACCTTTGTCGGCACCATTTAACGTAATATACGGGCTTAACTTATGCCAAATACTAACTCCATCAATAAACATACCATAGAGTAATCAAGCTTAATCAGTATACTATGCCTGCATGAATCGCATTAATTTATTTCCTTTACGACTACCTGTAAGATTATAGGTTTGTCTGCATTTTAATGAAGCCAATTACCTATTTATTTTTCTTTCCTTGTATGAAAGGACAATATCTTGCTATTGTCCTTCAACCATGGCGTATCGGCATGAACTGAGATAAACCATCATGACGTATATATATCTGAACTAATCTCTGACGTATATATATATCTGAACTAACATTTTCGATTTCTTTAAAATTGCTAGTCGGTTGATCGAATGTATCCTACAATGGGCCTATATATATATATTTCTATTTCTCAATGGCCAATTTCTATTTCTCATCCTGTAAATTGGAGTAAATGGCCAATTTCTATTTCTCATCCTGGCTCATGGCCATCAACGAACATACTATATGTTTTTCTAGTAATCATGGTGTAGGCAGCCTCCGTGTTGATTTTACCGGCTGATAATTATTATAACACCTTCATGCATGGACAATGTTGGCAAGTTACCCAATTTCCATGGTCACTGATGACATGATCTGTCAGGTAGCGCGTACTATAGGATTTTTAGTGGCATCATACACCATACCATCGTTGGCTACTTCTCGTGTATCAGAATACCAAACACTTGATTACCAGTTTAATGAAGCCTAGCACTATATTCACGAATAGTGAATTTTCAACTGCTTCAATGCTGTAAAAATGCTTGAAAAGACAATAAAACCGCTGATATATAATAACCCAACAATGGATAAAGAGAAGCTGAACCTAATACTGAGGTTTAATTTAAGCGATTTAAGTAATGCTAAGCCACGGACAATTTACAGGCGCGACCTAACAAATCACGATCCTGTTGGACCAGTGGTTGAACAGCATCATCCCGTTTTCGAAAAACAAACCCCTTGTGTTAATTATTGAAAATCGACCTTATTTTGAAATATCTGAAACAATTGGCTTATAAACCTGGGTAAAATATACTAAATGTGTTGCACTATCTATCAAGTCATCAAAGGTAATTGTTGTATAACGTAGATCCCGCCAATTTTTTCTAGGATATCCTGTTTCCCAAATTTTCTTCATCTCAAGAAGGCAAAGTTCTTCACATTTGTTTTCCAACGTATAACATGACAATGTTGATATGTAATTTGCTTATCGCGTACCTGCATAATGACTTTCTTCCTAAAATATCCCGTATCACTTACTTCCAGAAGACCTCCCAGTTCGGTTTTTGAGGTTTATCATCTCATGAGGTTTATCATCTCATTATCTATATTGTTTGAATTGCATTCGACGCGCCAAAAATGCGACGTATAACCTAGGCCTTAGTTTATTCTTTGAAATCAGAATTGAAAATGTTGGGAATTGTCTTACTCTCTTCCGTGTGCTCAAACAATGTTATGATGTTACATACTATAAGAAAAATTAAAAGTTCTCATTTCTCGCCTCTTCCATTATGATGCAAGGATACCCGGGACATGCCCTAGCTGCCCTGCTGAAAAATGTGTGAAATTAAGTGTGAAATCAAGTCACGTTTCTGAATCCAACATTTCGCTCGAAATCATCCACGACTGTCAAATCCAGGTTTTAGAACTGCCCATATTAGAAATTGAACCCCGTTTGCAGCCGAAGGGCTTCGAAACTTGGCACACATGCGTGCAGCCACGGTTTTAGAATGAAAATCACTCGGTATGTAGAATGTCCTGCGTTCTCGTTTTGGATAAACCAACTCTACCGCGCCAAGAGATATTAAGGTAACAAGATTGGCTTCATATCCCACTTCATTAACGAATATTTAGTTAATTAGTCAGTAAAAATTCACCTTTTTTTTCATTTAAGTTACGTGTCTAGAAATATGTGAAATATGTAAAATATATTCATCTTTGCGTTCGCCGGTGCATGTTTCATGATTAAGTTTAGGTATATTCTGAATAGGCTTATTATAGGCAATTTGGCGTTGTATATTCTAGTTTTGTGTGTGCCATTAACGATTTCATTCTTTAGTATTTATGGTTTTCAATATATGTAACCATCCTTGTGCTATGTAGAGCATGTGTAGGGTGTGTAGCATCTGTAACGAGGAATGTATTTAGGGGATGCTATTTGCATATATATACCATAAATTCTTCAACGGATCCGTACATCCTATCAATGCAATATAATTATGTCAACGATAGGTTTTTGGCTGGGAGCCTTGCTTTCATCAAAGAAAGAACCCAATGCGATTGGCTCTCGGAGTTTTGAAAGTGTGCATGTAAAAGTATGGAGAACTGAAATACATGCATGCAGTTCTATATTTTCTGAGTTGTTAAGTGGGCGTGACAATCCTCAAAAATAAATCCGATCGCTGCATGAATTGTTGTTTTACCCACTTGTATAGCTGCTCACGCAAACTTGTGGTCATTTAATCATCTTATACTTCAAAAGGCCATGTTTTTGAACATTATTGTGAATGTGGAGTTTAATAACTTTCGAAATCGAGAAATATGATTTAGAAATCATAATTCTTTTCAATCCCGTGACAGTTCCGGTGTAAATTGGCTCGTATAATTAGCGCCAAATGAAATAGACAAGGAAAGTATTAACAAAGAAGATATTGAACAAATTATTCTATTTCTATTTATAAGTAAATAGGCCGTCAACAGCGAAATCATTTAATCCACATGCAGTGCTTAATCCAAAAGCCTACCTGTACCTCTTGGGGAAATGAGACCCATACATTCCCAGATCATCATTGCCACTAGAATCAGAGAGATTGATAGGAAAAGCCTATTGAAAAGGGAACAGTTTGTTGAAAAACAAATAACAAAAATCTGTTTCGCGATGGGACACTCGGGGGAGACAAATGCACTTTATCCGTGCTAGACGATTAGGCGACTCACGCGGCGTATTAAAAGACACCGCGTTGGCCTCAAACTGATTTTGAAGTGGAAGATGGAATGAAGAAGCGCAAATAATGTTTGTCTCATATTAAGATCAACAAACTTGAAAGTGCTTTAACGGTCTTAAGTACTTTTAAAACGTTTGAAAACAAACCGCGACAATTAAACTCTTATATGCGCACGCGAATTTGGAATTTATATTCAGTCACTGTGAATAGAAATTTCTCAACTCAGTGTCGCATTTTATTCAATTATTTCAATATATAAAACGCGCACGGTATGACTGATCGATGCTTCACGATAGCGGCGTATTCGCGCTTTGATTGCGCTAAACGTTTGCTGGCGAATGCTCCGTCGAGTTTAGACTGTTAAAATGAAGAATAAGAGCGGTCCAAATTAGCTGGTAGCCAATGAAAACAATGGGAAAAATGTCGGTCTGATTTTTTACTTTCCGTTAAATCGTTTCATTTGCATCGAGTCAAACAAATGATGCCAGTCAGCCAGTCGATTCCCTGATGTCCGTATCGGCATAATTATAACGGCATTCTGATATAGCGTTGTGGTCGGAAAAACTCGCTGTCTTAAAAACTGTCAAAAGGAATTCAAATACATACACCTATCTCAAGTTTTGTAGCTGTTAAGAATGAGCAAAATTGACTCATTGCTATACATATGTGATATGCCGGTAGGAAATGTCGAAAATCAGAAAAGAATTCACGTTTGACTTCGAAAAACTCAATTGTGGCCGGCTCTCGTGTTCTTAATCGTGATCATGTACTTCAATACTTGTAGATGGTGTAGTCTCGAGGTTTTTCTTACCCAGACATCATATATTTGTGTGTGAAACATGAATGAACAGCATTTTGCACTAGAAAGCCTTAGTATAAAACTAGAAATCTGGTATAGTACAAGTTAGACTGACACCGAAGTAGGAAACTTCAATAATCCACATGCAATAACAACTGTCAGGCTACAAAAACGTAATGATATCTTCGAAAATCAGAAGATCGATCTCTTCGTCTTACCTCGACTTCAAAGCCATTATTCAACAAAAACTGTTAGATTCGAATCAAAACTTGTATCCTCCGTCTTTTCAGAGCTGATACGCGCAGCTGCTTCTCTCGACACTAATTGAAGTGCGCAAAAAGGTAGGTCAGTTATAGATGATATTAAATCGACGCGAAATTTGATCTAATTATAGCCGGAACACAAATGCCAATGTCTCATCACCTACTTCTCTCGGTCAACAATCAGAAATCCCCAGCGAAGCGATTATTAGCGTGACAATGATTGAATCATTTTTGAAAATTTCGTCAATTTTGCGCAAGCATATGGAACATATGAAACATTTTGCCAAGCCAGCCAAGGTGCGGCCACAGAGCATCAGTTACAATACGATAATTAACGTATAATCGTTTTTCAACAAACCATTAGGTAATGTATTTGTACCTACTGGATGTTGGACGACACATAGAGATACGTATGGCAAAGATTTGCAGACGTGTGTTTGTCAATTGTCAGGGTTTGATAGTCGCATGATATGTAAGTGTTAAATTCCTGTTAATTGGGAAAACATCATCATTAATCACACGTGATTTAGTTACATCTTATAAGACAAACTTTCTGGGGCCAGTTGCATACATATAAAACTTATTTGGTCCCAGAGTCACGAGATCAGCGCTTGTCTTTCAGGAAAACGTTAGCCTTAGAAATACGGACTTGACTCAGGCTTGGAATTGACTATACATCACGGGATTTCGTTTTGGCTGACGTCATCCCCTGATCCTAAACCATACAATGTATGCTCCCGAGGGAAATAGTGAGTTTTGTTTTCCCAAGAGTCTGAATTTTTCACTTTTTCCCCTGGTGGGAAACATTGCATTTACTTAAAGTCCTGTGACTACGAATGAACCAATCACATTTAAGATACGCAGCACCTATATAACAATGTATAGTTTTTAATACCACTTTCACAATATCCTTCAGTTTCATGGTACTTTCTGGGGTTAGCAATATGATGTAGGCGCATGCATTGTAAAACAATTGCAAATATAATATTCTTTATTTAAGGAAGTCGACTGTTTTTTCCTAGACATTTTTGAGCTACACCGAAATGATGACTGCGGAAATTGGTATAATATGGAGTCTGCCAAAACTTTTGAATCCGTTCCTCCCTCCCCTGCTAAATTAAAATATTATCATATTCTGCCTTATATTCTGCTTACTGACAATTTAAACTTGTTTACAAGATACTTTAAAATATTCAATAGCACTAGGAAATTGAGTAAATGGAATTAAGGCAACGACGACGTTCAAAGTTTTGACAGAGCTGTTGCATGCCTGAATATATCATGCAGTTGTTCATAAAAAAAAGGAAATACGAAACTTACACTTTAAAATTAAAACGAAACTTCAACCTTTCTGTACTGAAAAACCCTTATTTTGAAAATTTGAGTCTTCCGAAATATGTTTCCTCGAAATGTTCATTAAATTAAGTTGAAATTCAACAAATTAAAATTCAATGAAAATATCGAGAATTGCCAACTGTTGGTTATCGGCTTAAGCAAGACATACATAGTATTCCTAGCGATTTCCTTGTTGCGGTTAACACACGATGTTATAAGGAAGTTTATCAATTAGCAGCTTTGTTTCAGTACAGGCTTAGTAAGCTACATGCTTTGCTATAACTAGAATCACTAGTCAAGCAATTTCCGACATTGTGGTTCGTAAGTGTCACTTGAGTTAATAAAGATGACTCAAATATATATAAGGATGATGTTAGCTGATAAGGACTTTTCGAAAGCCTTCTGAAATGACGACACAATGCGCCTCTATAAAAAAAAACCGATTCCCCGCGTCTAAACGTGTCGCAGACCCCCAGCTATCAATTGATCTGCGAATTTAACGAGTTGGTGGAAAGCCAACATAGCAGTTGAAAATCATGACGAAAGAAGGATAACAAAATTTTTAGTCTGAAACAATAATCCCTTCCCATTTGTCATCTTCGCATCTCTAAATTAAAAGGGATTCTTAAGTCTTTTGAGATACAATGGTAAATAATCTTAAAGTAATTTTACCAACAGTAATTTAAAAGAACGACGTTGACAGTCTTGTCCCAGGGCCTTAGTAGGAACGAGTTTGAACGTCTTGATTACGGCAAAATCCGTTTTTATTAACTTTATTACCGGTTTTAAAGACATTTCCGAACAAAAACATTCGCCATCATGGATAAACGTATTTATGGTTTATATACATGACGTCATAGCATGGGAGAAGTTTTTCAACTGTTACAACAAGTAACCAAAGTTAACAAAGTTGAACTGCCTTAATTTATGATCACTAACCAAGGACCTGGTGATGCAGAGATCACAAATAATGCCTTAAGCCTGGTTTCCATTTAGTCGTAATTGTCGTGAACATGTCATTTTCGCCGATGAGAAATTGTTGGGATGTAAATTCGTTTTCATTCCTGTATTCAAATCTGTCATTGTTGACTGCACACGTATAGAAATATTCTATCACATCAGCCACCTTGACATGTTCACGACACTCACGACTAAATGGAAACCAGGCATTATTGGTACCATCCCATGCAGTTATAATTTCAATAATTCAATTTCACCCGAAAATGGCGAGAGCCGAAAAATCCTTTGAAACCTTTAAACTGTTTTTTCCGTATAATCGTGACCCCGAGGGCGTAGCATGCTTTATATGCTAAAAATTAAGCTTCTTCCCAATAACGATATGCTGATGTAAATATCAAAATTATAAACGCATATTTTTGGGAAGTTTGGTTCGCTTATTTTCTAAATCTCGTAAGAAAAACCTTGAAGATTGTTTGTTCACGGCGGTCCCGGAGTACTGGAAATATAGAAGGCCGCCCATCTTTATGACGTTAGGGTTTGATGATACAAGATGATACAAGATAAATCTCGTTTCCTGCCTCAATGAAAATTAATAGGAAACAATCACATATATTAAAAAAAAGCGCAACAAGAGAGGAAATTAGACAATTATTATTTACAGAAACCTTTTTCCAGATTACAGCCAGACCAAATTTAGGTAACAAATAACTTTGCGTTTATCACAACATTCATCGCATTGTTTAGCTTACAGACACCTAAGGGGTTGTATATAATATAATCGAACAATATTAGCGCGGATTATTAATAAATAGATTATTATAAGTCTTCTGAACCAACATGGTTCACACCTGTCCTAAGAATCGGAGATAAATTGTATCATTTTCTTGACAGACAAAGCATATTGTGTGCACTAATGACCACAGACAAAAGGAATGGTACGTAATGCCTAGTACATGTAGATCATGCAGATATACTATAGTTGTTAAGGGGTTCTAGGCGACATTAGAGGGTTCTAATGGCATTTAATTAAGTTCGTTATTTGGCAAATGTTATATTCTATAATAGGAAAAAATTAAGCCACTTTTAGTACTGACCAACATGCGATAATAAAGAACTTGTTGTACGATTGCAATTGCATTATAAATGTATATAGGTCAAGCTAATCAGCTGATCTTTTTATCAAAGTGGCATGTTACAATTTAGTCCACTTATCTTAATTATCATCTTATTTGGATGAGTATGTATTTCGCTGTAAGTGGTAATTTTTGCACTGATTAACCGTTTAGTACTTCGTGATCATACGATCATACAAAAGAATTCATGCATATACATTTATATAGCTGCATGACTCCAAGTAAAATAGGTTTACGAATACTGACTGTGGTGTTAGTTGTCGAAGTAAAAAATCGATATTATTTCCAAGTAACTCGACGAAACACTGTGCATTCCACAACTCAGCAATTCGTCTAAACTCCATATTCTTAGGATCACATAACACTATAGTTCGATACTTATTGTCTTCTTGGTGCAATACAAAGCTGGACCCAGTAAGTAAACAAACTAATTGAGAATTAATGGCAAACAACTAGGTCGATATGCTTAATACCTACGAATGGCCCAGATAAGTGGATTTTAAAAGATTTCTCCCGCATGCCATTTCCTCCTTTAGTGATTTCATCTTAGAACATCGCCCTATATGGAGGAGTGAAAAGAATTACGCCCATACCAAAAATTCCAAAAAGAATAATAAGTATACAATCTTATATATACACACTTACACCGTAACGGTATCATTAACGAATATTTGTGTAACAGGATCATATCCATAGCATATTCGCTTTTTTCACACTAAAAGTGCCATTCTTCTTCAATGACCCATCCTCCTTTTAATGGGAATGCCTTTTAGATTTTAAGAAACAAATGCATCCATGGCCCGCCACGCTATGCTCTTTTCTATGTTCGACCTATCTCCATTTTCTAACAACGTTATTTAGATTCGTCTGGTCTTTATATTGATTAAGCATTCTGTTCGATCGCTCTCCAAATAAAGGCAGTCGTATTTACACCTAAAGTTGTTGCAAGTTGTGACGCAGTCAAAGTTTTCGACTTGATGCCCCGTTCAGTTGGAACTGTATAAGAACTGGGGGAGGAGCACAGTGTGTACATTTGTTTCGCCCTAATGGTGACCTTTGGCAATCAGCCCACCCCTATACACATCCTACTGTCTGTCATTTTAAACATCCAAAAGTGTCCCTGCATCCTTGTGCCTCAATTTCCTAAATTTGAGATGCCCCTGGGATGCGAAGAGTTGAGGTGGAAGTTTTGTTGCATGGAATAAGTGGTTCAGTGTGGGTGGTGAAATCCAGCCCTCATTATAAAAACTGATAGTTTTATTCATACAACTCAAGGTAAAACTACAATGGGCTAGCTTACGTTATATTATAAAAATGTATGGATATAAATATAATTTCTAAATTTACGTTACATTTGCCAGTTTAAATATATTAACAAGCTCTTTTAAAAAATATTATATCTCTGTGGTAGTTAGTGTACGATCTGCTTCGCAAGTAAAGATATCAGTGGTTTGTGAATTTTAATCCATTTTCATTGTAACTTTTAGTTTCATTTTTACGTCCATGCGGCCCTATTTGCCAGTGACCTCTTATCTAATATAATCTAGATTCGGCATGTAGTTGTCAAGTCGCGTATAATACTCACTTTTGTTATCCGGCTACCTTTGAAATACACAGTAGGTTTTTCAAAGGTATGCTATTACTACTAGAAATGAGTATTTTGTTGTCTAAATAATCTGCCTTAATTAACAGTTTGGTTTTCAAATCTCTTACTCATGCATGCATGTTATACACGAGTAAAAATGATCACGTTAACTGTCGTTGTTCCCGGTTGCTGAAACAGAACTAAACAATGTTGCGCTGCACCCAACGAACATGGTTCAAAAAGTTGCTGAAAATTAATGGAAATGCTCGTGTGGGAAAAAAACGTCGTTTACTTTTATTCACCAGATGACGCAATCATGTGACACACGGTTGTTTCCCTACAACAGTCGCCTTAGAATGGAGTAATATATGTCTAATGCGAAACACATGATGAACAAAGACCACTTTCTTTATTGAACATGGATTAATATCACGAATATTCAAATCGTCAAACAGACGCGGTTTGAATCTAGCATCGTGGTGCGGCTTTATTCCAAGAGAATGTGCTAATTTTCCTACATACATTGCTTCATTTTTGTCATGGTTGGAGGGAAGAATGACTCTGCTAGCATTCACGATTCCCGGGAGTATTTCTCCAGCCAATATATACGCTCCTTCAACACAGTAAGGTATTTCAACATCGTCATCACTGGTGCTCCTTGCCATTTCAACGTTCCCGACATATTTTACGTTTTGATTGGGCATGGATAACCAAGAAACAACCTCAGGAATATTTACGAAGGTATCACCAGCCAGCGCTAAAACAAATTTCGGCTCACATTTCAATGAACGAATATGGTCGATAGCAGGCACTATCATATTTGATATATCTCGATCTCCATCTTGTTTTGCGAGTTGCAAAATATCCTCAAATTTTTTCGACTCTTGTGTTAAACTGTTCCTGCTTTCCGTTTGCTCTCTTATGACAAAAAGCACCCGGTAGGTGCGGCCATCAGTGAAATCACCCCTTTTCGACGCTCTACGATTGCGAGCCCAACTTAATCTTACAGCAATTCGACTGATCATTGCGTTTGGTAAACTCGGAACTAAAACTAGCAAAAAAAGGTTCTCAGGATAGGAAAGGTTCTTAAACTGTTGTTGTGAATTAACATATCTGGTTGAAAATCGCTTCTTAGCACGTCGAAATTCTTTCTTAATCTTGGAAAAAGTTTCCTTGATTCGTAGGAATGTTGCCTTAGCAAATTGCTTTTCCTTTGACGAATGTCCGACTGTCATATCGGGACGAAGAGACTTGCTCTCTTGACGCATCCTAAATGACGAGTTATAATAGACAATGCCGTAAACCACAACTGCAATCGCACATAACACACAAACTATTCGACGATTCATCAGCGTTCTCGGCAATTTAATAACGAAACTGCGTTTCACAACAAGCATCTAGTAAATGGCTGTGTAATATCGCGGATAGCTTATTATTAAGAGAGGCAAACATATTCATCCACGCACTTAGCAACAGTTACATTATATTGTTATTCTGACGCATGATACGAGTGCTTTGCAACATTTTTGACAATCTTCTCATTGCTACATAGCATGCTTCGAGACTGTCGCAAGAGCGCCGGAACGATTTTCCTGAAAAAACTCTTCTGTATTGACGCATGCTAGAGAGTGTCTACGAACACATCGGTAGTCGTATTGTGTTTTCTTTTTGTTTTATGTTTTTTCAATATATGGGGTTTTTCAGGAACATGCTTTGACCGCAATCTACGCGACATCACAGTATAAAGACGCTGTTACACTATGCAATTTTGCCTTGCAACTTGCAATGCAATTATAATTTTGAGGGATGTTCATTAGTAAAGAGGGTTCGAAATGCTAAGAAAACATTAACAGATCGTGAGAAATGTTCGTATTTGTCAACTTTAGATGCCTCAGGAGTAGAATTGCATTGCAAGTTGCAAGGAAAGTTGCATAGTGTAACACCGCCTTAAGTATCTACCTAATATGAACGAGTTTTGTGATTGCCCTTTTTGTAACAATAGTGAACAGTGTTAGAAATCAATTTCTATATAGTTCATTGTGTTTTATTGTTATCATCAACCAATAGCAAAGCTTGTTCATATAGGGACGTACCGACCCCGACAACACGGACTTTTTATAATGGTCAAAAGACCACAGGGGTTACGCTTATAGCGTCGAGTTCAATTATACACATGCAATTCTGATATGAAAATCAAATGAAGAAGCTTGTATGAAGTAGAAAGAAGTGCGTGCGTGCTACCTATTTATCCCCCATTTCAGACCTATAGGCAGGAGTTCTAGCAACCGCGCAAGTTAGGCTTTTTATCTAGGTTACTGCCCCCGCAGCGGGGGGGAGGGCCTAGGTGAAGAGCCTGGGTTGCGGGGTTGCATGGGGTTCAACCCGCGTTCCGTCAGGGTTGAAGCTCTTGAGATAAATTTTAACGAACAACTACAAAATTGTTTTGCTCTACAATATATTGTTTAAAATTAGTTCTTCATTAAAGATTTCCTATATTTTTAAGATCGTTATTAAACATTATCATATACGCAGATAATGTGCGAAACCTTTGGCTTCCATTCAGGCATTGAGAATATATTCGCTACAGATTTGCCGGTACATCGATAATTCGACTCGTCTTCCCAGAATAAGGGCATCCACTAATTTCGACCTCATTGACAAAATAAATTAATATGCAAAACAGATGATGATGATGCCAGACCATGGGCAATTGATGTTCACTGGGATGGGGAAACAGATTGATCTAGTTTTTCGAATTAATAGGAAACAACATGCACGGAGACTTACGGAAAATACCATGAAATACTATGACATGGTTTGTTAGTCAAAATCCTGAGATGTAAAAGATTTCACTGAGGTAGTGTCGACATCAGCACACTTAGCGTCCACGGCTAGAACCGCTGCTGGATCTTGAAGACTGGAAATAAGATTCTTACAAAATGCGTCTTTTATTCGATTAAATTCCATAACAGAGGCCGGCTTCTGCTCCAACCAGAATGAACTAAATTCACGAAATAAACAACCTACAGGAAAAAATACCCGTTTGAGTGAAACAAATTATTGGACCAAGGGAAAGTTCGTTGAATGCTACTCTAAAATGCAAGACAAATATACTCACAGTAAACTTTGTGAAAATCATCCAGTGTGGGTTTCTCGGTTGTTATATTGTAGAAGTGAGGTTTAAAATCTCCAGATTTCAGCAAATCGACGGACAAAGCGGTGATATTTATACCGACTATGGCATAGGAATACCTAAGAAATATATAGGATGGTTATCAATAAATAGTTTATTTGCTACCGCGTAGTATCACAAATAGGTTCATTTGCCTCAGGCTCAGGGTACATTCTATACTTTGAAATCGATAGCAGAATATTATTGTCATATGCTAGCTAGCTGGCACTAAATCGTTAAATATAATGCAAAAATATCTCAATTTCGCTCGAAATTACTGTATCAATGATACCACTCCTCTAAACGTACCAATATTTTGGATGGTGGGACTCTGATAACACTTTTCTAGCAGCGTCATTTTGATTCTTAGCAAAATACCTTGAATTAGATTAAAACATTGTACTCATCATATACAGTACATGAAATTCGTATATATAACAGTATACAATAACAGTACTACAAATTCAAGTGCTTTAGAGTTTAGATACTCTACAAATTATTAAACGCCATTCAACGTCACAAAATGCAATGTTATTGTAGCTATATACAATATCAATTCAAATGTTTAGTTTCGGTTTATTGTAGCTATATTTTGTTTTCAAGACACCATGAAAAGTTCCATTACGCAAAACTTACAGAAGATTTTCTAATCCAAGAATTCCTGAAATCAAGCAAAATTAAGAAGTCAACATATCGTTTCCGTTTTAATCGTGTGGTTATCCAAACATGCACTGTTTTTTTTTCACATCCATGGGTACCTTTTTCAACTAATTGCTGAATATGTATAAAAAACACTCATACCCATTCCTCTGAAATCAGTCTGTGGATTTTTTCCCTGGAACCCTATCTCTCCCCACTGCGATGAAATTCGACTTTCTAATGTGGTACTTGGCATCAACAACGACCATAACTATAAACAAAGACAGCAGTATATTTAGCAGTATATTTTCAAAGCTAAATCACTCGATAACTTACTATTGCTAATTATTTCATCTGTCTACACGGATAGTTAAGTTGAGAACGCAAACCTGTAATAATTTCTCTTCGTGCTCCTTGTTTTCACTGGAAAACGCTACATTTTTTTTCTTTTCAACAATATCAATAAGATCGATATAGCCGCAAATTTGGGTCAACGATTTTGTGAATCTGTCGATGAATCTGAAGGAAGAAGTTTATGGTCAATTTAGCTATTTGCAGGCGTATTATAATGAAACATTTGAACGCAAGTTGCAATGCAAGTAATGAAATAACACGGTATAAAGGTGAACTAGAAAATATAGTTATAGCATGCTTTCAAACTCCGGGGACGGGGTATATTTAGCAATTGTCAAGGTTCTCGAGTTGTGCATGTCATACTGCACTGAACGAGCACTCCCTAAAAGTATTCTGGTTATTCTTCGATCTTCATCTGGAAAAACGACTGGCCGTTCTGGTGTTTTTTCTTTTTCAAGGTTCCGACTAGAGATAAGCTGTTTTAGAGTGGATTGCTCAAACAGACTTCTGAACAGTGAACAGCTCAGATATTGACATGCATATATAAGGACTTAAAAACCATGCATGTGTCTGCATATAGTATATAAATTTTCCCCAGTCAGGGAGCTACAAACTATTTATGTATACACATTCCGTGAACATTTGCACTCAATGTACTGTATATATTTTTATCTCATTCTAGGATGGATAAGACACAGTAGGTGGTGATACTTTAATAGCGATGTCATAGGCATAGCGATGTTCACTGACTCACACTAGATTTTCCTCAGGTTTGATCTTTTTCGTAGTTAGCACATGTTGTACTGAGCTTTTAACATCGATGTTAACTGAAGTGAGAATATCACTCAGGGGCTAAAAAGAGGTTAAACGTGATTAATAATTGAAAAACTAAGCAGGGTTTAAAGAGTTTCACATGCAGCGCCATTTAATATTTCTGGTATACCGTATACATATACATAATATATACAATAACATTCTTGAAATTACCACCAGTTCATATAACACAAGATGTAATCGATAATACATATATTAATTAATCCCTTTTAATCTACTAAGAACGGAATGCCAACCATTATCTCTTCCAAGAGTATAATCTCTTGCAACAATTGAATTAAGAAAGATTTTTTCTTCCCAAAAATATTTCCAAGTCATTTGAAATTGTTTAACACTTAAACTGTCAGTTTATACTGTCATTATAATTTATAAACAGTCTATTGACATTTAACAATTAGGATTATCACAACGTTTCGATCACTATGAGCCGCACTTTCAGACGTCTGTGTATTGCTGTTCAAACTACTATAGGTATTGGGGAATTTCTATGGGTTGTAACGCTATTACCTACGTAATGATACCATATTTTCAAATTTATAGCGTGAAAAAATTATTTAATTCACATGTACAACAAATTGCACAAACCTTTGATTTTGAATTTTTTAGGGAATTTTCTAAAATAAGGAGATTATGTCTTTAAAATTTTCAAAGAATTTTTAAGAGATAGTCAACGATAGATAATATTAAGTAGCCTGCGTTGGGTTGCCAATGGAAACTAGTCGTGGACTCTATAGTCAAACACTCAGTGACTCTATAAGATGACAGCCAGATTTAAAGTGAAGAAGAACGGTCCGTTTGAAAGGACAGAAAGATAAAATGCATAGTTTTCAGCTGGATATATATGCAGCTAATTCAATAAGGGTTGACAGTTCTTTGTGCAAACTCTAAGCCTCTTAGTCTTAGACTCCCAGTGTAACAGTCAACAGGCATATTTGAATACGATTTAATCAGTTTTAAAAAGTTTATATCAGGAGTCAATCATGAAGTTGCTGAATTGCCAAGACCAAGATACTCACCAACTCTAAAATTGCAGGTAACACGACATTTAATATTGTGACATATTCGCTCCAATTCACACCTTCCCGTAATGATGTGAAGAACCCATTTAATAAAACTGTGATACCAGTAAAATATAGACAGCTTTTCTTTCGATATGCGGGGCATTATTACACACTACAGAACTCTAAATAAATAACATAAAGTATTGTTGCAATGAAAGACAGGTTCTATGCCCAAGGCAAAACAATTATATTACCTAAGCTAGTGCATGTATGACTTAATCAGTCTCAATGCATCATCCTATCAATTACTTGGACTTATTTTGACTATTTTGGACCTTCTTTCACCTAGGTGTACAGGCGTTATCATTTTTGGGGCGGACAAAATAGAAGGAATCTGGCATACAGATTTCCCAAGTTATCACCAGTTCTGTCTGCCTGTGCTGACCTACCCCCCCCCCCACCCTTTGTGCCATCTTCTATGAAAAAATCTTCATCTGTCAGAGAAGCCCTTTTTATGCCAATTCTGGGCAAATGTACATGTCAAATGCAGGGGTATGTCTTGGGCGTTCTAATTTCGGCAGAGAATCACAATTGCATACTTAATATGCACATAGCTGTTCTTTATCAAACTTTAGTGCTATATAAATTGGTAATAAAAGATGTTCTTTTATTGATGTTCTTTGGAGGACTAGTTTCTATTAAAATTTTATGTCATTTGGTACTTTTCTCCTCACTGATCCTTCTGGTCATGCATTCTGAAAAATTATGCCATCTTTTCTGGTATCCTTGATTAGCTATTCTACATAAACGTGTTTGAAATCAGTTATTTCGCCTTTTAATTACAACATAGCCTTTTCTTTCTTAATATAACATGCTCCAAATTTTTCTTTAGTGAATTGTCGGTAATTATAAAATATTTAAAACTGTTCTTTAAGATCTTTGAACAAAACACATTCCTATAATCTTAAGGCAATTATTTAGTCTTAAACTTTCCACACATGAAAATCAGGTGAAGCACCAACCTGCAGTGCTCTTCACTACAAGCATAAACATCCATATAAGATGTCTACACTTTCTGTGTGGTGATCAGTGTTAATGTTTAATAGACCCTTCTTATAATGACGTCAAACGCGGAAAGTCTGATGTTGCACGAAATTTCATTGGCTCCACAAACCTATCGAGCCAATAAAACTTCGTGTAACATCAGACTTTCCGCGTTTGACGTCATTATAAGAAAGGTCTATTGGTTGCTGAATGTTCTGCACAGATTTAGTATATGTACTTGCCATGTGGTAATAGCATTTTTTATTCTTTGCATGTAATTCATAAATACATATATATTAAAATTGTGACCTTTATTAGAAAGAATATTAATTTATAAACTTAAGTTGCACTGTTGCACAAATATTATGTTTCAGTTTTCATCTTCTCACTGCACTAAGCAATCAAGAAAACAGATGAAATATAGCATAAGTTCAAACTTTATCTCCTTCCATGATTTCATGTGACATTTCCAATCATGTCATCACATAAGATCTTACTGCATACACTCAAGCTTGCAAATGTGCAAATACTGCTAATACAACGTGAAACGGTACGTGAAACAGTACTGTAGATCTGGGCTATATAGGATATGGAACATACAAAGAAATAAGGTCATTATTTCCTAAAATCGGTGATGTATGTTTTGCTGCAATATATTCTTCAGTTTTAACATCAATTTCTATACTCGCACAGAATATTTATGTTTTATTCTGTTGCTAACACAGTATTAAACAGTTGTGACGAATAGTCGATATAGAATATTTTCAGATGTAATCAATGAGGTGTAAATCAATTTGCGCTAAGGTTTTACTTACCCTTGAAGAAACTGTCTGTAGAAATAATTTCCTCCTTTTACTATATATGAAGATGAATAAAGTGTGTTTGAATTTACCAGTCTATTTCTGATTTTTTGTTTACAAATTCAAATGATTTTAAAAAACCATAGGCAGCCCAGACTTTGACTTGCGCGTGTGATACTCGCGCGCGTTTCGCGCTCAGATATGTAGCACCTCTCGCAAGATCTAACCTGATTGGCTAAAATGAGATTTCGGGTTTCAAGGGTTTCGAACCAATCATAGAATAGAATTTAGAATTTTAATTATATTTGTTAATTTCCGGAAGTCAATATGCCTGTCATGGCGCAATGCGATGTATGAAAAAATACTCGTATATATACGTTTACTTTCTGGTTTTTGCTTGTTTTTAATAGTTATTAATTGCTCTGAGTTTTGTAAAGTAGACTCTGCTGTGATAATGCGCTTCTTCAATCATTCTGGCGACCGACAACAACAGCGATATAATTTGAAACCATGATATTGAAGGACAAGCAATGGAGGTAAGATTCCCGTATTTTTGCATATTTGCGGACAGCAGTTATACGTGTACCTCAAGGACATACTTATATAAGTTATATAAACGTTTTATGCATGCAACAAAGTGTTTAACCGTGATAGTTTCGACCAAAGGTAGCTTTTGTAGCGTTGTATATTTATACGGCAAATATCTTCGAGACTATCTATTATTAATATCCCAAAAATTATAAATTACAACTTGCTGTTTTATACTTTATATGACATCGTTGAAAATATCAATTCCAAATTCAAAAAAAAATTAATACTGACACTATAGCACAATCTAGCACAATAAAACGGCAGGAGAATGAATGACAAGAGTACGAAACTACCAGAAATCATCTGGCACTGTCAGTTTTAATATACAAATGTTTTTTTATGCGCAATCGTTGCACTGCCATGGTTCTTCTTCCATTGGTAGTGCTGTTAACTTTACACATTCCCTATAAGAAGATATTTTGTAGGTTATAGAAAACGATTTTATTAGTTATGTAATATCAATTTAAAAGTCTTCTGAAATATTTTTTCGGCACGTTGACTAGTGTGGGGTAACAATTTTAAATTGGGTCTCTCCCCGAAGCAATATATGTTGGAAAAATATTTTCTTTAATTTGGAAGACTATTCCATAGAGTTACGATGAGTGTATTGATTGTATTTTGTGAAATTGATATTTCAATAACATATTGCTACTTACAAATGAAACCATTTATCGCAGCCATCACACTGTACCCACTGATTAGACCAATCTTTTGTTGGACTTACTAGGCCACATGCTTGGCAGTGCTCTGTTGTTGGGGAGCTTTTTGAAATGTTCTGCCTGACTGCAAGGTATTTTTTGAGTAAAAATTCTATTTTATTAATTTTACATTACCAGTATATAAGCTTTTACATATAGTTAATAATATTATTTGCATATTGTACCTCTTCTTGTTTGAACTCCGACTGTCCCCTCTGCAAACAGCCGTTTCTTGGCCTTATCTAAGTGTGTGTACAAGTGAAGATTGGTTATTTATTATTGTAAATATTTAAAGGCAGTGAGATTGCAAAATATTTATTGCATATGAAAATTTTGTTTTATTTTTATATTGCGTTTTAATACGTCTAAATCACTTGCCTTTTGTAGTTTTTGGGTTAGGGTCTGTCTCTTCTTCAAAGGTTGAGAGCTTTATCCCAGCTTGGACACCCTATAAAGAAGCATTTCAAATTATCCTAACTCCTAAGTATTGTGTAGGAATTGTCAAGCAGGGCTGTATTAACACTATACAGAATTTACCTATACTAGAATTTACCTTTTGAAATACTTCTTTTCTATTTGGTGTTAGTGTTGTCCACCATTTTGCTGTGTTTGGCGATAAGAAGGACTATATAGTTTTAAAAGTGAGACATGATAATATAATAAGTACCAGGTAAATTAGATATATAGATAATAAGGTAATTAATTCAATTGAATGTTCTAAGAGTAGTGAGGATTTCATGGGGTTTTTTTTATGTTTTAATTAATTTTTTTCTATACATGATTTTCCTGTTAGAAATTAGAGTATTCAAGAAATTGTTAACCAAGCCACTTACAGGGGCAGGCTCATTTTCTCTTTCTGGTTCATTGGTGCTACCACACAAGGTGTTTACAAAATCTAAATATAAATAATAAATTAATTACCTGCAGTATGTGTGTACACACTACAAACACACTACAAAATCTCATCCATTACACGTTAAGAAATGATAATGAATTATATTAATAATTAATGGCAACTAATTATAGAACTATGCAAGACATGGTTCATGTCCATCTCATTTGGATGTAATATGGTATATATGGACAGGAGGCAAGAACTAAAATCATCTCTACACTCATACAAGTTTTATGATTAAATATTAATACCTTTTCCTAGATTAATCAGCCTTTCTTCTACATTATTTAATTCCTCCTCTTCTTCTTCAGTTATTGCCTGATCTGATGTTGCTTTATCCCCAGAATCTTCACTTTCATGAATTGGCCATTCAAGATTGAATTTATCTGCTCATAATAAATGATATGCAGGGAATCAAAGATATTTTCCATTTTCATTTAAGATTTTGTAAGTTTCCCTTGAAATGACATCCCAAACACTCTATTATTCACTATTTGTGCACTAAAGAGCATTATAGCATATATGACATATTTACCATTAATTATGTGCAGTGCTTCTGGTTTTATCACTGCAATTGGAATTTTCCAACCTTTGGCCATCTTGCATTTCTCCTCGTTTCGTTTTTTTATGTCTGTTATAGTACAGTCATCCTGAACAGCAAACATCATTGATGTGCTTGATGTTTTATCTGACATACTCTTCAGAAATGCTGAAACATCCTGTGTGACAGATGGTACATTAAACAGTGTATACAGATTCGCATTAAAAATAAAAATGTAAAACAGGTATGTTCTTTATTCTTAGGGGATTTCAATTTATTGCAAAGTGTTGCGTGATCACTTTCTTTTCATATGGGTTCACAATCAAGGTCATTAGGTGCACTTAATTAATGTACACAGGACTATCTTATGACAACATACCTTGCTTTTTAGATTGATAAACGTGTCCAGAACAGACGATTTTATTCCTATTGCTGGGCCATATTGTTGGTTAACGGGAACAGTCGTTAATGGGTTAAGCCATTTCATAACCTGAGAAAAACGATAATTAGTTATAAATTCGATATTGTATGAGCAACCTCTAGGCTGAATTTGAATGAATGAAATTTTTGGCTCGATTTTCTTTTCCATTGTGACTGGTCAAGGTATTCCGCTACGGTTGAATTCTCACAATAGAAAAGAAAATTCGACCTAGTGGAAAACTGCCCTAATGACAAGTGCCTGCAAAGCCAATAGGTACACGAACGTAAAGTAATAATTAGCTCGTGAAAACCACATCGTTTGGTTGCATCAATGGTATTTCACTGCCAAATTGGTCGAAATTTAGTTAGTTATTATCAATTGAATTTATTCAATTACGTACATTTTCGTCATCCCTCGTCAGTCTTTCCATCAGGCATGTATTTAATTTTTCCAATAAATCTGGGCCATCATTGCCCTTTTCCACAGCCATATCTTGAATCAGTTTCATAATTGCATCCTTGCATCGTGGTTTTATGCCTACAGATGTTTCAAACTGAAAAAGAACATCATATTGGAGAGGGAAAATCAACATAAAAGGAATTTGTCAGTGTCTTGTTTCCTGGCGAAAGATACCTGTTCAAACAGGTAATACAATTTTAGTACCGAGAATGCACTCCGTTCCTCTGACTGGAAGGCGTACGTAGGTGCGATTCTTGTCAGACGATCGAGCGCATGTCCTAACCCTAGCGTCTACACATTTTTGGTCGAAAGGTGAACGTACTATCGCATATGTTGCTATAATAGCTGAAGCCCCTTGTTGCCATCTGTCTTGAATTTTGGGCGGAACTAATCGTGACAAAATTTTTTCCACCAGGGTGGAAATTGTCGGGAATTGCTGTTGCCAAAAAGGAAACATTCTGATCACCCATGCTAGTAGAAACCCCTATATAAGTAAAGGTAAAAATAAAATAAAATTGAATATCCTGTGGCGAAAATCTTACGAACACACGATAACTTCAGATAACATTATACCGTGTGAATTTCAGCTATTGATCCAATGCCGGCTTTAAGCTTTTGCCTGTCTTCTACCGAAAATGGCGTTTTTCGGTATTTTAGCACAATGATCCTCCCATCGGCTCTGAAAATGTTAATATTTTCACAGTATATATAGGAATTCCGTAGACTTATATGCATGATATGTTTGTGCATGGATACGTTCCAATATAACTAGAGAGCAGCGTCTTCAAACAGCTTCTTATCAAATGTGGTATGACAACTGCCTAAAATATAGACAAAGCACCTCTCGACGTTTTGACCTAAGCCAGGGTCCTTGTCACGACGTAAGGGCGAGAAATGTTTTGTCTATTTTAGGCAGTTGTTATACCACATGTCATGCGAAATTTATATATATATATATATATATATATATATATATATATATATATATATATATATATATATATATTTGTATTCATGATCATGAACTATTCTATACGTACTTTGTTGCAAGGGTACAACTAAATACAAATTGATTCGTGCATGTCAATACTCTGATTTCTCTTACCTATTGAAAACATCGTTGTTAGAGGTCAAAAGCAAACTTCCTTGAGGTGCTGCTAATCCACCTGCTATCGACCCTGCAAAGAGCCCACTACCTGTTTGCAGGAGAAACTCTTCCATACCTGGCGTTATTATTGGATCGTCTATCATGACCACTACATTAGTTTGTGTCAAAATTTTTCGAATCATTGCCCTATAGAGCGCAAAATTGAAGCATAAATAGTAATGAGTAAATAGAGCATGTGTATAATGTTTAATTAAAACGTTTTACATTTTTTTGTTGATGAGGGATGCTTTTTCAGTTTATGTACTTCCCTAATAAATAGATGTTTGTTAACTGGACAGAATAATAGTATATTTTGACTTACACAGATGTTCCTGTTTTATTTTGATCTCCACCAGCCAGCAGTAAAGAATGCTGTCTACGATTAACACCCTGTGCCTTGGAAAGGATATCTAGGGTAAAGGATTTCCCGACATTTCGCTCTGCAATGGTGGAATGTAGCAGCAAGATTGAACTCTCGTCTATAATGAAATATGCGAGAAAACTCGAATTAACTCAATTCAACCGTGCATATGATTCAAACCTCGTACGCAAATGTCCTAGCACGAGTATTTAGAGAATTGACTTTTATAACGTCCTGTTTAAGAAAACCTTTATACCACTAGAAATTATGCCATAGATATAGTTGCATCAACGATTTCATGCATACACTAATTATATGCCAAGTTAAGATATTGAAAATTGCGTACCCCAATGGTTATTATCGCCTGTTCTTAAGAGACGAAGCAGAAGAAATGCTGTCGCTAACTTGAAGGCCATTGTATTTTCCTTGAACGCCAATGATTCCTCGATAAATCTATATGAAATGGATTGTGCTCAGATGGTTCACTAGCGAGCTTAGGATGCACCAAAGTCCAGATCTACGACGCGGACGTGACATAAAAACAGTTTTGGAAATTAGTTTTAGTTTTTTTCCGTATCATAAAACTGTATAGAATAATAGGTAAAACAATAGTTTCTCCTCATATACGCGTCGTAGATTTGCTGCATCTTATGTTTGCTACTATTTAACCCACCAATGGTGTTTAAACGACATCTTATACTTTGTTCTTCAAGGGAAGGAGATGTGAACTGGTGCAAATAATTACAATTTTAATCAACCTCACTATAATATTATATGTCTGTAGTATCTAACGCTATTATACTTCAGTCTCTCACGCGACGGTATATGTTTTACAATACAATTTTATGCATTATTTTTCAATTGGGGGGCATGCCTAAATTTCCCTAGAATTCTCGAAACGCCTACCCCCAATATTTCATGTGGGTCATATGACAGTGTCCGCCACTGTTTTAATCTGTGATTTTGAAATCGATTGTATTCGGAGTAAATTGTTGGTAAAAAATGAACAAACCTTTGGCATATTAGCAACAAATTTGAGCTGTCGCTTAATAATCGCTCCTCAAGGAAAAGCTCAAAATCCGTCAGATCCGTTTGGCTAAAATAGTGTTTCTTGTCTTCTTCCTTAAGAAACTGGCCATCATTGTTTATTTGTATCTGAAATGAAACAAACTATTATAGATACATAGTAATTATAATGGGATTTTTACATCGCTATGTACGCCACAGCAACATATAGCGCATGGATGTGAAGAAAGTAATGAAAAAAAAAACTTTGCGGTTGTCATGTCCGCGTGGATAACATAACTGTGCATGTATTTCGAAGATTAAGAAAAGAGGCAGGATTAACCAGTTGCAAGTGAACACGCACTGGGAGTTTTTAACAATGGCAATACCTGCATGCATGTCCCATTTATTTTTTGCGCAATTCTCAATGAAGATTTAAAAAAAAACGTTAATGCCCATACCTCCCTTGAAAGACACCAGTAGCCTGTCTCTTTTTGCCGTCCAATTAGCTCGACCCCGTAATACGCTTTGGGACTCCCTGCGTAGTATTCCTCTTTGAGGTAATTGTAATATGCCTCAATATCCCTCACGTTAGCATCACTTATGTTGAACAGGCCGCCACCGAATGCGTTTCTTGTTTTCTCGAGAAATTTCGGTTTTGAATCAAACGCACTGGCTGGTATCACAATTCTCCTGCGATGAACAAAGCATGAAATTTTAAACTAAAACCAAAATAGTACACCTCGAGACGAGAGCGAGAGAGCTGTCAAAATTTTACGGGATAGGTTATACAGTAATATTACCTTTGCATTCAAAAACATTGGGTGAAATATCGTTACATCGGGTGATATGGTATGTATGAAAATGTCAGAACAGAACAGACCAATATAAAATATATACAAGAGAAGAATACGATATTGATATACCTTTGCTCGTACTGACCAAGAACCCGGGCCGTACATGAGCACACCCAGCTGCCACAACTCATTTCCCCCAAAAATTTAAGAGTGAAATCTCCAAATAACACCCAGCCCTCGCCATTTTTTATATACGTCTGGCCTTGCTTTTCTGCGAATAACTCGTGGAAAGACGTTTCTCCCCACTATAGAATTAAATAAAAACACCAGTTTTATATACTATGAAAAAACGAAACTGCTCAGTCAAATTTATAGATGTTTTCCAAATTTTGTTCTTTGGCAATAGAAAATACTTTGGCGAAATCGCCCGCTGGGCGGGGTACAGCTCCCTCCCTGCCTGCATCGCGACGCCACTGGTTTCTTTTCTACCGCTAACCTAACGGCTTATCATGCATGTATACATTAATTGTAATCGAAATTTTTAACTCACCTCTTCTTCATTATCCCTTGTCTCAGAATAAATGGAGTCTTCATCACTTTTTGGCGAGCTCATGATAAGCTAAGTAGATCTGTATATTACACCTGTCCTTGATTATTTTGTCTCTCGTCAGTGCACGGTCAGTGTGAGATTTGCTTCTATTGTGTTTTTGTGTTAGCTTGCACTTTACAAATATGCTGTGTTAGCAAGTCAAAAGTAACTTTGACAATCTGATTGTTCGATCTCCTCAACCAACCAAATGTGCTTAAAAATTGTTTTGATCGACGACATGAAAACAATGCATCATTTGTGTTTTGGTGTAACGTATCAGAACTCCAGGAAAAATTTATTTTAAATTGTTTTAGTCAGATTTGTATAGCTCCATTAAAAATGACAATGGCTTGCACTTTAAAAAGAAGCTGTGTTGGCAAAAAAATTTAAAGCTTCAAATGTATGTTAAAAACCACGAATTTAGTATGAGATATTAGTCACTTTTGTAGAAAACTGTAAAAACACTAATTAACTTTTCTTCATGTTATGGATTCGGATGTAAATATTTTGCTTTTAATCCCAATTTAAAAAAATGCTGTTTTAGCTAAAGCCATTGTTTTGGCTTGAACTTTGTAAATACGCCGCGTTGGCAAAAGTAAAAACAACTATGGCGTTCTATTGTTTGTCCAATCAAAACTTAAGGAAAGTCAAAAGTGCTGACAAGGGGTTACTAAATTGAACAATAGCTTAAACATGCATGATTACTTCATCAACTGTCAAACTTATAGTAAGAGCGTTGCGTTTTATACAATTTTTTCGTTGAGAAGTGATCGTATTTTATTGTAATTTATTATTGTAATATTTGGATATGGATTCGAAGGGAAGAAAACGTGGCAAAGGGCAGTGCCCGAAATGCAGTGCTGAGTATTTCAATCGCTATAAGCCCAAAGAGTGTTCGAGTTGCGGTGAATTTATTGGTGGATCGCATACGTCAGAAAAAAGACCCAAAACTGCGGTAAAAATTTCTAGCGCAGTCACCGTAACCCAATCAATTGTTTCAGTTGCGACAACTAAACGTGGAAACAGGTGTTTTGTTACAAAGGATGAAAGTGGTAATTGGATGTGTTTGAATAACAACTGCAAAGATAAACGTGCAATGCATGTTAGTTCTGGCGAAACAAAACAGTTTACCTGCGAACACATAAACGAGGCAGTAGATAAAAAAACAACCCTTTGCAACAGATTTCCGTCAACAATGAATCGCTGACAACCTACCCATGTAGCAGCACCATTAGCGAGAGTCTTTCGCGAGCATGTCAGTTTGCAAAAGACAATGGTTTTGCGCCTGTTGTAAAAATTTCACACACCAAGTACGCGATTTACGCAGAGGCAACAGCCAGCAATCCACTTGGTTTTTGTCACGTTGACGTAACAAAAGAGGGTATGTCGTGTACTGGCAAAGATTGTCGTGGTTATATGGCGAAAGGAAAGCACAAAAAAGTGAAGTGTAATTGCATACATTTGCACATGTATTGCTTAGCACAACAAAGCAAGGAGACTGAACCATCTTCATTACCTGACAATCCAACCGAAGAGGAACAATTGCCTGATATAAACAGTAAAGCATCCGCAAGGGACTACACAGTTGATATCGCTTTGGCAAGGCAGCTCCCTTATAAATTCGAAAAGACAACTATCGAAACAATATTGGAACATGACGTTAACACCTGGAAAGGCATCTCAGATGGTTGGCCAGAAGTTTTTGTTCCATGCTGTAGCGATTGCCAGAAATGTGGTTCTCCCCTGTCTCCACCTAAGTCCCATCCAGGCAAGAAGGGAAATTGTTACCTCATCACCGATCTGAATCCGTTCAAACTTATTTCCATCAAAGTTAAGATGTGCAGTAACTCCGCATGCCAAGCTATGCACCAAGCAGTCCCATTCGATATTGGTAAGTATCGTCTAAAGGTCGACACAGACCGAACGCGAAGCGGCAACGCGACGCCAATTTTGAGTTTTCAGAAGCATATAATTTAAATTCTGGAAGCAATACTTGGAATCTACAAGAATATCATGATATATAGGTTTAAATTTAAGTAATTTAGCTTGTAGGTACACCATGTTCTATACTACGGGACTTTATTCCGGCGACGCAAAGCGAAAAAAAACACGGGATTTTGGAAATTCCTATTGATGCGCCCGCGAAATAGTACATTTTCCCTTCCCCTGTTGCTAATGATAGACTAACTTATTAGTTCCGATGTTCTTAGTTAACCACTCAATCCTGTATCTTGTGTTCAAGGCATGGTGTATAACAAAAGCAAACATGTATTTTAGGTCTTTTCAATATTTCTGACAAGCTGATGGTATCCTTTGATATCTTACTGGAAATTCGTGAGTACTTCAAGACAGGACATCCACTCACAAACGTTATCCGAGCAAAGTTGGCAATGATGCAGATTAAATCTAAAGAGGTAATAAGTTATGATATGAGTATTGCAATTAAAATAAGTTGTTAACTTACCTAAATAGACATTATGTATATAATGACGCATCAAGCTGTGACGCCTGCAGGGAATTCTGGTCTGAGTAGCAACGGCGAAAAATTTAAAATTTCCCTAAAAGACCAGAATTTCCTGCAGGTGTCACGGCTTGTTACGTCATTATGCATAAGGTCTATTGTATTGCTTGCAACAATCTCTGCCCCCATACCCATAGTCCCGTAGGACTCGAGCTCTGACCGTGCTTTTTGTTTGTAGACACTTTACACAGGAATCTTTTTAGGTTCGACACGCATTGTTCAGTAATCCCAGATCCATAATAGCAAAATTTAGCAAACACGACGTGACGCTTGGGGCAGCTGGGCCCCACAGGCCACTGACTCCGACCTCGTAGGCCATGTATAATAATAATCGTCGAGGTGTGATACCCCCTAAAAACTGTCGTTGTTGGCGAGTGAACAGTTTATCAGCAAACTGTTTGACTGCTTCACCTTCAAAGAGATCTTTATGAGTAAAAATTTCACCAGCACCCGTAATAATGTGACAGTGCTGTTTCAACAATTAAACTTCGAAAGTCCAGAATATTTTTCTTCACGATTTAGCAATTTTTGTATGCTCTAAATGCTTGACAAATGTAAAATGGCTTTAGAATTTTAATTATCTTTATAGATCTACTCACGAGTTAATTCTTTGTTAGAATCCGTCATTGAGTGAACTGCAATACATTGAGGATCTAATATACAATGGTTATTTGATGTTTGAAGCAATAACTGAAAGGGACTTGAACGATGTAATATGTGGTATATGTGGGATTTGCCCAGAAGTTTGCCTTGGTGACGGTAATGAAAAAATTGTTGCAGTAATGCCGAGGTACAGTAGTAGAACTTACTTAACATTTTCCCGGTGAAGGCGATAATATTTTTTACTAGTATTTTTACAATATATTGGAAATTTGCCATTTTAATTCATTTCAGATTGTTTATGAAAAGACCGACATTACAAATCAAAGAGGGGGGTTAACTTTGAACGAACTTCTGGAAAAAATCAAAAGACAACTAGTTGAAAGAGTTGTTTACACCCGCAACAAGAACCCTTTTCAGATTGGTATAGCGGAGATGCCACTCATTGTTCCCTCAGCCACGGCGAACACCACATGCTATAATACAGAAATGGATAAGAAAAGCAACCATTTAACGTCGGAGAAAGAAGGTGATTCGAAAGTTAAATTTATGGTTTAAATTGTGCTGTATTGTAGCTACTATAATGTTCGATATATTTGTTTGGAAAAAACGTCTGTATTAACATTGAAATCGCAGGTGCATGAAGCAGTGTGACGTAATTGTCGTCAAAATACGTCCATGATTATAATACAACATTTCCTTTAGGTGATCCTGCTATACTCCATCAGCTCATAACCAACGAGAGCTTGGACATTGAAAATTTAAAGGACCTTAGCTTGCAGCAGCTAACTGTCGTTGCAAGCAGGTGTAAAATCAAAACCTCTGGAAAGTCAAAGGTATTTTTTATATAAAGCTATTACAAGTATGTTGCAATCAAATGAGATTATCGTTACCTGTATTTTGTTTTTTTCCTACTAAATGCTCTTCTCCATAGGTCGCTCTCATTGGTGATATTTATAGCTTATACTGTTCCATCATGGTTGGGTTAAGTCCTTGTCATACATTTTCGAAAGTTCCTGGAAAAACTGGTGGATTTTATCATTTCGTTTGTCGACACGGAGTAAGTTTTTTAACACATAAAACATATAAGTGTGGTATGTTATGTACGGCATCTTTCTAAAAAAGGTCCCCCAAAATGTCAATTTTAAGGTAAAATTGACCCCCCAAAAAACGACTCTTTAGGAGTAATTTATGTCACATGGTGGCAGGAATAACTGTATAGATATATAGCAATTTTCGCGCACATGCGGAGTTTATATGAAGATTCACGATCTTTATTTCAGTGTACTGTTGCATCGAAGTTTCTTGCCCTGACCGAGTCTGTCAGAGATGCTGCAGACATTTACTTGTCGCTCAAGTATCCACCAATGGTCTTTATCAACGACACACCTTGTGGCTTTGTCCGACATCTTGAATGTCGCGCTCCAAATGTCTCGAAAGAGCTTTGGGGTGAAAGAAGTGGATGTTTCGAAAAACCAATACTTGGAAAGGAACCCAAAGATGTAATTCATAATTATTAAAATTACAATACATGCATGTAGATATAGTGTATATAATATTGCATGTACATATGTATACAGTGGCGTAGCAAGCCTGACGATTTTGTCCTGCTTTGCAAATTTCAAGGCAATAGAATTACTCATTTTTTTAAAAATTTGTTGTTTTCAGTCAATAAACACGAAAATATTATAAAGCGTAATGAGGCGTAAATATTATTAAAAATGTACACGTCTAACAAAATGATATATCTTTTCAGAATCACAATGTCCCGTCTATTGTGCCGCCAGAGTATAAGGCCAGTACTGATACTACAGAATCAAATGATCGCACGGTTGGTAGATGCCATCCACTCTCTGGTTGTAGTGAACGTTACGTGCTTGGTGACAGATTCCACGCCAGTTCTAATCCCCACAAGTCGCCGTTATGTCAGTACCATGATATCAACTTGTGTGCGCAAGCAAACTCCATCACAACTAGCGTACAAGAATGTCAAAATAACAGCAAAAATGCGCGGCGTTTAAGAAGCTCTTGTCAGCAGAATTTCGGGACACATATCTTCTTCAACTACTTAATGGACTACTACCAAAATGAGGAGATAGTGAAAAGGCAACAAATTAACCTTTCCATAGGTAAAAAAGACAACGAAGTGTTGGTAAGAGATGAATTACTGCGATTTAAACTGAAAGAACGATAAAAGTAATAACAATTACTATGTCTATGGTTATGAATTTTAATCAGTTTGCATGTTTACCAAACTTGATAATTTACCAGTTTCGCTGAAGGCGAGCTGAATATCGCCGAGAATATCGCTGAGTAAAAAAATGAGACGAAGTCCTGGTTTTTATTTAGCGATATTCAGAATATTGTTTTAGTATAATTACAAAGGAGATTTTTTGAAAAAACGAATTTGTTGTAGAAAATACATTTGTTTATAAACGTAAACAGATATCTCGACAAGTTTACGGCAATTCAAATAAAACAATGTTTTACGCAAAATAAGTTAAGCAGCGTGCTACAAGGTAGTTTTTACCTCGAATTTTGGCCAGATTTTTTCCCTTTTAGGGACAGTATTTTTGTCAAAATTATCGTATTTAATTTTGAAAATACTCCGCGAAATTTTCCCGAAATTAAATACCCCGTCAAAATGGATGTAGAGCTCGTATGTTAGCATAGATAACGCATTTTTTAATCATAAAATAATACAATAGTAACTCCAAAAAAAGAATTTTTATGAAATAAGAAATATTTCGCGAAGTTTAATGCCTTTTATATTTTAAATTTCGCGAAATATTTCTGATATAATGGAAATTTTTCGTCCATCAAAAACGCGAAATCCGAGGCCAGAGTTTCTATAATCACCTTTGTTGTTATATTATACTATTTCTTTTGTAGTATTATTAGTATATATTGCATACTTATCTAATTAATGTGAAGAATGTTACGTTTACACAGTAAAAGACAAATTTACGGTGTCAAAATTGAATGGTATCCAAAAAGGGTAAATGAAATCTACACCACTCCTGGCCTGGCACTCTGATTTTCACAATCGCAATAATCACAATAATCGCAATCAATTTCAGATAAAATTATATAAAATTTAGACAGTTCAAATCAATTTAGCACGGTTGCAAATCCAATTTAGAAAACACACACACAACGCCTTAAATAACTCAATTTAGGTTACAAAAATACTCGTGATAACGACAACCAATAAAACTCCAGCTAGGATGCTCCCTTTGCTCTTCGAATCTCATACTGTCATACAGCTGGCACTACAAATGAAGGAGCCTCCCTATTGTGAGAAAAAAGACATGATTATTGAAAAAAATCATTAGATAATCATAATTTCTTTTTTAGTATGGCAGCTGCTAAGGTCCATATGGATTATGCATGGAATGCTCTTCCTGATGACCTGATCATATTTGACTATTTTTTTAAACTAGCATATTTCTAATTATTGTAACTTTGGTAAATAGTTGTAATTTAATGTAGATATTAGATAACATATATTTGTAAAAGCGCATCCAATTGAAACCCTTGAAACCCCTGAAACCATTGAAACCCTTGAGACAATTGAAACCCTTGAAACCCCCAAGACCATTGGAACCATTGAAACCCTTGAAACCCCTGAGACCATTGAAAACCATTGAAACCCTTGAAACCCCCAAGACCATTGGGACCATTGAAACCATTGAGACCCCTGAAACCCTTGAAACCCCTGAAACCATTGAAACCCCTGAAACCCTTGAAACCCCTGAAACCCCCGAGACCATTGAAACCCCTGAGACCATTGGGACCATTGAAACCATTGAAACCCCTGAAACCATTGAAACCCTTGAAACCCCCGAGACCATTGGGACCATTGAAACCATTGAGACCCCTGAAACCCTTGAAACCATTGAAACCATTGAAACCCCTGAAACCCTTGAAACCCCCGAGACCATTGAAACCCCTGAGACCATTGGGACCATTGAAACCATTGAAACCATTGAAACCCCTGAAACCCTTGAAACCCCTGAAACCCCCGAGACCATTGAAACCCCTGAGACCATTGGGACCATTGAAACCATTGGAACCCCTGAAACCATTGAAACCCTTGAAACCCCCGAGACCATTGGGACCATTGAAACCATTGAGACCCCTGAAACCCTTGAAACCCCTGAAACCATTGAAACCATTGAAACCCCTGAAACCCTTGAAACCCCTGAAACCCCGAGACCATTGAAACCCCTGAGACCATTGGGACCATTGAAACCATTGAAACCCCTGAAACCATTGAAACCATTGAAACCCCTGAAACCGTTGAAACCCCTGAAACCCCCGAGACCATTGAAACCCCTGAGACCATTGGGACCATTGAAACCATTGAAACCCCTGAAACCATTGAAACCATTGAAACCCCTGAAACCCTTGAAACCCCTGAAACCCCCGAGACCATTGAAACCCCTGAGACCATTGAAACCCCTGAAACCCTTGAGACCATTGAAACCCCTGAAACCCTTGAGACCATTGAAACTCTTGAAACCCCCAAGACCATTGGGACCATTGAAACCATTGAAACCCTTGAAACCCCTGAAACCCTTGAAACCCCTGAAACCCCCAAGACCATTGGGACCATTGAAACCATTGAGACCCTGAAACCCTTGAAACCCCTGAAACCCTTGAGACCATTGAAACCATTGAAACCCCTGAAACCCTTGAAACCCCTGAAACCCCCGAGACCATTGAAACCCCTGAAACCCTTGAGACCATTGAAACCCTTGAAACCCACAAGACCATTGGGACCATTGAAACCATTGAAACCCCTGAAACCCCCGAGACCATTAAAACCATTGAAACCATTGAGACCATTGAGACCATTGAAACCATTGAAACCATTGAAACCATTGAGACCATTGAAATCATTGAGACCATTGAAACCATTGAAGGCCTTGGAACCAATGAAACCATTGAAAGCCTTGAAACCCTTGATATCCTGAGACCATTGAAACTATTGAAACGATTTACCTGCGAAATTCTTTTAAACAAAAACGCTTTGGTAAAAATGTTCTACAAAAACGTAAATATTCGAAACCGGAAGTGGCTAATTTGAAACCCTCGAAACCGGAACACTTGTTTCGACCAATCAGGTAGGACATTGCGAGACGTGCTACCTGACCCTTCGCGCTTACGTTGTTTACTGCGTCTATATATTATGACAAGGTAGGAAAGAGTATCAAAATATGACAGATATACCTTCGTAAATGTATAATTATATAAAAAATTACTTGAAGAAACGCCGCAAAAACTACAACCTAATAATTACCGATGATTAGACTACATTATCCTGCAGTTTCCATGTTTTTAAACAACATCTAAAGCCTTCAAATTAGCGAAATAAAACAGGAATTCATACGGAATTTTGAGAAAACTATCCGAGGGTCACTCCGCCTAAGGAAACGTCATCTTTTTTGAGATATTAACTAAACGCTCATTGGTTCTCATTGGTGGTTCTGCAGGTAAGCCAATGAGCGTTTAGTTAATATCTCAAAAAAGATGACGTTTCCTTAGGCGGAGTGACCCTCGGATAGTTTTCTCAAAATTCCGTATGAATTCCTGTTTTATTTCGCTAATTTGAAGGCTTTAGATGTTGTTTAAAAACATGGAAACTGCAGGATAATGTAGTCTAATCATCGGTAATTATTAGGTTGTAGTTTTTGCGGCGTTTCTTCAAGTAATTTTTTAGATAATTATACATTTACGAAGGTATATCTGTCATATTTTGATAAACTCTTTCCTACCTTGTCATAATATATAGACGAAGTAAACAACGTAAGCGCGACACGCGCGCGAGTATCACACGCGCAAGTCAAAGTCTGGGTTGCCTATGAAAAAACTAAAAATTCTATTTTTCTTGCGGTCAGTGGCGGCTTGCATAATATTGTGACTGGCCTGGTACTTCATGATAACAACACATAGATTGCCTATTTTTATCCAATTAACTTCTGAACAGTGAACAGTGCCAGTGAACTCAAACAGCTCAGTTTGTTTACAGTTCAATGCTTTTGAGTTCTGACATATGAACTGTCAGAACTGATAGTCGGTTATTTATGAAGCAGTCATTGGCTTCGGTGAACAGAAGGGTTTAAAAATCCGTATTCCGTATCCAAACTATCCATATTATAAGTGAGGTGTTGAAATCCAAGTTTAGTAAAAAGACTTTCTCGGCCTTCCGCCTCTCAGTTGTATGACTTCTATTGGTTCTCTTGGATTATGATTCAATTATTTCAACGGTCCGGTGAAGATAAAGAGCTGGGGTCGGTTGTATGAAAGCCGGATAGCGCTTGCCGCTATCCACCGGATAGTATAGTGGTTCTTTCAATCGCTTTTAAATCGCCCGTTGTTAGGAATAACTTTGATTAAATCCTATAATAATAATATTGAGGATCCTCATTAATAATTGTTGGTTCCAAGGCTGAAATTTTATTGCTCTTCAAGTATTTTTAGAACGGTTGAAAAAATCACTACCGGTGGTTAGCGATGTCCGGCCTTCGCAAAAACCCCCCCTGGGCTTTACAGAATACAGAAGAACTAGGTATTAGGTATGACGAATAGCAGGGCTGTAGAGTGTGGGGATATGTGCCGGTGGGAGAGGGGGGTCTGATCCCCCTTTTTTGGCAAGATGGATGGTTTAAGCACTTGTGTGCGAAGTTCGTTGGTAATATGGCGCACAAGCGTCAATATTATTAGTTGCATGCGATGACTAGACATCTTGTCTCGTCTGTGAGAAAAAGATTCTTAAACTTTATGTAATGTCTCAGGATTTTGGCTAATTAGTTATATGAAATATAACCTTATTTCAGAAAAGCTCTGTCTCTGGCTGCCCTAATGGTAAACACTATCACTGCACAAATCATCTTATTTAGTATCACTGCACAAATTAGTTATCATTCTACCTCGACTGGATGATGTCGGATAATGCATATGACTCAGCTAGGTGTATTGTGATGGTTACCATTGATGGTGGGAAAAAACTTCTCATTGACCAAATATTAATGGCTCAGTTGAAAGAAGAGGGACTGATGGTGTTCATACGACGTACGAGTCAAGTAAGCAAATGGAGGCGGGGGGTAGGGAGTGATAATTGAATAATTGAAGCTAGTTGCCTTGTTTGACTGCTGCTAGCTTGCACCTAAATCAGGATCTGAAAACTTAATGTAAATAATTTAACGAATAACTATGGTGCTTATTAAAAATTGATTGATTGATTAAAGTGGAATAATCGTTTTAATGACTCTCTTAAGTTGAATTTCTTCCGAATAAATATCACTCAATTTCGTGAGACGTTCAAGAGCTGCCTATTCGTATGTGTCTTCTTATGCCCTTACAACGGCGGTTCTTTCAACACCAGCCCGTCCGAAATTTAATTTGCATTGCCACTGCTAGTCTGCTATTATACATGGGTTGCCCATTGACTCATTACGACTGGCTTAGAGACAGTGCAAGTGTTCAGGTAACTGCCCATTTGATTTTATTTAAACGTTTGTATGGCCATTTAAACGTTAGTATGCTACTATGCTCAACGTGATGATTTGATCTTAGCTGATCTTGTTGTTCTTACTAATAATCGGTGTACTACGTCACTGTACGTCAGTTCTGATATACCTCACACAACTATGTTAGTACATGCTAGCAGTGCTTTGTTGTACTTTAAACTAAATTCTTTAAATCCATCTCGTACTTCGTAAGTACGCTTACCCCGCCTCAAATTGACTTAACCTGCATGAACCAAGTTGCATGAACCTGTCCCTCATCTGTCCCAGCTCATTTTGAGCGCATCCGCATTGCACGCGTTTCATAGCCAGAGACTGGGACAAAGAAAACGTCCTCGGCGTTGTCATCGGTGCATGCATAAACGAAGAATGTTATTATGGGGATCTTAGCCTATATTTTTCATATTTTCTGCATTATTTTCACTTTCCTTGTGATTTTAACGGACGGGGCATGTCAATGCAACCAAATGCTTCATCCAGGTAAATATCTTTGAGTAAATATTCGAGTATTTTGTATTATTTGATCATTCAAAGACAGTGTAGTGCGAACCCAGACATGCTTTTATCTGTTAAACTGTAGCCTTAAGGTTTCTTTCTTCAATAATATGATTATATAGACAGCTCGTAAAGGTATTTTTACAAAATAAAAAATTGAATGCACATTTTAGGCGTTTTTTCTGGAGAAAGAATGACGTTTGCCACTGAGGTAAGTTTGGCGCAGTAGCAGTAGACATGTCATGTTGTGTTTTGGAGCAGGTAGTGTGTACAGAAACGCTATAAGTTCTGTCGAAACAAACACACTTTAAAGTAGTGTAACTGGCTTTATAAATTGCCAAATTGAGTAAAATATAACTTGAGAAATGTTGACCCGACGTTTGTATACCTAGTTTGTGTGATACATATGATTAATATTCTCGATCCGTTGGCGTTGGTGAACACCTTGCCGGTTGTGCGTGGTTTTATGTATTTTAATATTTCCGCTACGGCCCCTACCATGGGTATTTTCATTATTACAACTCTCTTGAGGATTTTGAGAATTGAATATGTGAATCTTGGGCGAAGGGACAATCGCAATCGTAAGATAGCGTTGATTGTATATTGATTTTACGTTGTTATTCCTTGTAGGCAAACCATGAACGTGAAACGAGGTAACGTTTGTTTTGTATTTCATGCTTCTTCTTACTTTTGGTTTAAAAAACTTTGAACGTGTCAAAAAGTCCAGAGAAAATTGTAAGAGAGTATAGAAAGTCTTTGAGCTCTACATGATAGGAATATGTTTAATTCGAACATTTGTCAAAAGATCGACAAAGCTGTGTGTTAATGTAATCCGATGAATTCTTTCATGACTTTCGCTTCGTTCTAATCACGCTATCTCGATCAAAGAAAATATGAACATGTTAAGCTTTTTATACGTTTCACTACTCTGTCTTCAGTACTAGTAATCTTATTTGCCTCAATGCTTTCTGACAGTTATTAATACTAGCGGTGCGAATGGCATATAATTTGCCGTGAGTGTATTGTCTAGTATATATGGATAATGTTTGCTGAGTAGGTTAATTTGTTTTACTACAGGTCTGATAATGGTGGTAAACGGTCATTTAACATGGGAGCCATCAGTTTTGAGCCGCCTTATCTTGATTTTGGCGAGCAGTAAGTAACAGTAGTTTTATCTTCTTGAGTTTATTGCGATGTACCAATTTCTCATTGAAACCGTCGCGCAGTAACACCTGCTTGTTTACTTCTGGTTACGAAAGCCTGCATCAAAAATAATGCGTGAATTTGTCAGTTAAAAACTAGCGAAACATGTCTTCTTCAGGTACTTTATAAAAATGGTTAAAAAGTCAGACCAAATTTTCCGTATCTTTAAAATACTCATGTCGCTATAGGGCTTGTTTTGAACAGAATATGTATTTAAATTTTCCTGGCCTGCAGGGAGATGTTAGCAACGCAATCAATCAGTTTAATTTTAATTTTTTTTTGTCATATTATAGAGGCTTTCTAGGGCCTGTTTATATAAGTCTGCTCATTTATTTGGCCTATGTGTTTGCATTTGTCGACTTGTTGTAATTTTACTATAAAAATTTATAACCTACATAAAAGAAGGAGAGAAATGTTGTCTGGCAAGTTGGGCTGTGCTAGCAAAGATCATAGCTTCCCAGACCCCTTACTGTCTTCAAATAGAAACCGTTACGAGATGCTGTTGCTTGTCACTATGGAACAATCAATATGAATTAATGAATGTCAGCAATGAAACCTTAAGCAAAAAATACATTCATTTTGTTACATAATACTATATTTATTTGCATGAATTGAGATATTTCCAATAATTATTGAATATTGCATCAGCCTATCCGTATTCCGATTAACAAGTAGACTTATCTTGGTTATTAAAAAAAATAAAATTCCGTAAATATGACCCATTAGTTCCCATATGTATGATTAGTGTGTGAACTCATACTATAGGCTTAGTCATTTGTTAGTTACCAAAACCAATCTCCCACCCAGCCAACCCTTGCCGCTCCCCCTTCTTACCTTAGGGTGTTGTCTTGCAAATCTACAATTACTATTCTATATGAGCTAATCTTATTGTCTTGCTCATACATGGAGGCCAAGCCAGGTGATAGTTGTGTACATGATGGATGGCCTCATCCCAACATTCCTGGTATTTCCACATACCTATATGGTGCAGGTTTATATATAGTCTGACATATATGATGTAGGTATATAATGCTTATATACTGTAACATTACGAATACTGCAACTGTCAGAATCCATTTAATTTAACTGTCAGAATCCATGTTTTTGATTTATACAGGTTTCTCTAGAATTAAGACAGCTTCATGTTGCCTTGTCTTTTCGTTGCACTTCTTTATTAAAAGATTTCTACAGAACATATATAAATGCTATGCTTTAATTTTGACGTATGGCATGCTGGCAAATGTGTCTAATATTTGAAGATATTTATTATAAACATAGAATAATTATGTAACTATGTCTACGTTTGTATCACCTGTTAAAACCACTGCCATATTACCGCAGGCGATTGGCTGTTCACGACCAATGAGACGCTGCATCGTGGCAGTTTGTTAATTCGCGTAAAGTAAATATATAAGTAAAATTTACGAAGAAAAATAAAGATCGAGGTCTTTTGTAACCCGCCAGGTTATCTACAATCGAAATCACGAACCTTAAAGTGAGATCTTAAACAATGACTCCAGTCGCTCTATAACTATATATCCGCCTTACAAATTCATATTATACAATACCGCAATATCGGTTCTGTTTTATATGAAATGTTTGTATGTATAAAGACGATTAATGAAAATATTCTAAAAAGTAGCTAATTGTCTTCAGAAACGAATATACGTTGAAATATTTTAAATATAAAAGGTTATTCTTTATCATATTTCTTTTGCTAAGTGATCTTCTTCATAACCGTACAATATTTCTGTCATGCAGTTACGCTATATTGTTTAGTTATATATACGTTCCCCTTTTCGCTTTTGTTTTAAACCAGGAAGCATGCCGTAAGCTTCTGAAATGTCGGACAATCGTTTGCAGGCTGCATGTATAAGACTAATTATTCACGCATAACACGTTTCCCATGTATGCGTCTAAGGTTAAATGAAAATCGTAGTTTTACTATAATGATTATATTATGCATATATCGGCGGCATCCTTTCCTTCAGGTTAAACCATGCCGCATCCGGTTTGACTCTATATGCCTTTTTTTTAATTCTCTGAATGTGTATTTAAAATAAATAAACTCAAATTCCTTTTTTTTGTCTTTTACCTTTGAATATATATAGTAGTTACCCTTAGATTTCCTACACTTCTTGACATGACTTTTGGTCATTTTGTAAAACAGATCCATTCTGGTGGGCGTGTGCGTGCTCTATATGGCTGCTTCCTACGCAGACACTATAGTCCGTAGGGTTGGGTGCTCTGCAAGAGTAACTTTTTACTTTTACGATGTTATAATCAGCATGAACATGACAGATGTCGCGTGCGAGCTAGTATATCGACTTCAAAGGATTCCGAAAACGTTCGCCTTTCTGCTATATAGACGCTTTATAGGATGTCTGGCTTAGATTGATGTTCCAATGCGACCCATTGGTCAATCGGGAACATGCTTTGTCCACAAACTACGTCACAACGTTGGCGTTGCTATCGCGTGTGGCTAGTGTATGTATGATAGAGAGCATGCATTGCCACTTCATGAGTAAAAAAGGTTACGCATAATTCAATCAATCAAAAACGTCTGTTACGTTCATTGAAAATTAGTTAGTTGAAAATTTGTACTTTGAATTCGGTACAATGCTAGTGTGTATGCAATATTGACATTTCCTCTCGATATATACTGAAGTAAAGCAAATAAACTGGATTGATCGCATACTGCGTGAAACATGCAGTAATACCCTTTCGGGATATACGAAAACCAGTTCATTGACGAAGACTGAATCAGGGTTTCCACAATGCAAGGAAATTTCCTTGGAATTTACAACCACAAGGGAGGAAGGGATCTGTGTTAATAGGATATATTATGCATTCTTTTCAAAAGTTCTTTGTTTCTCTTTTTTGTCATTGCTATCCCCCTATGAGGACAGCCATATGTAAATAATTTGTGGAAACCCTGATCTGAATATCGTAAAAATATTTAGATATATGCGTGGGGCTAAATGACGTCACCTGATTCATTGGATGCAACCATGCCCTAAATTCAAATCTCGTAAAGAAAGTATCGACAATGTAACTTACTAAATTGTTTCTCTCCAATTTTTCGACTCGACCATTATTTTCCGTTTCTATCGCTTTTACCGTCAGCAACACCTGAGAATCAAATATAGATATCTTAATAGTCCATACTGCATTTCTTAAATAGAGAGGAAATCCCCACCCTTGCCAGGCAGCTGCACTTTTGCTGGGGGTGCTATAAATTTTTCGTGGAATCACTGTCGTTTATACTTGGCAATTAAAATCAGTTCTTAACTATTTCCTGAATGATGACGGGTTTTGTGTATGAGATGGCAAATAGTCAGTGATGTGATTTCTCCTGATTACTTTTTTCAGGCCAGTTGGCATGCCTTATGTTCACGATGTTGTGGTGTTCAATCCAAGCAGCGAGAAAAATCTTCAATTGCAAGCATTTTCTGGAGATAACACACATTTTCATGTCTCGTTTTCAAGATCACAGGTAAAAATTTTGAGAACATTGACCCCAATTGTCGGATATAGTACTACAGTACCCCACAGAAATAACAATTTTTTTATATTTCTCTTTATTATATATAGGCCTTGTCACCTTTATCTAACACAACATTTGAAGTCATTTTTCTCGCCAGAACGTTTGGAAATGTTGAAAATACGTTATTTATTCATACATCAAGTGCAGCCTATCCTTACCAAGTACGTAAAACGGAGTACACTCTAACAAAACGTAAAACCTTTTCTACAGATTCTCGCACCAGTTTTGTTTAAACTATTCATGTACTACATTCACCAATTCTCTTTTGTCAAGGTTCGTGGTTATGGGATAGCAAATCCATACAGATTGCGTCCATATTTAGGAGCAAGAGTTGCCCTTGATCACATATTTACTTCCGTATTGTACATGTATAATCCACATGAATCACCAATGCAGGTATGGTATTGAGGACCTTTTAGGATAAACATGGATAGCCGCATGAAACATGTACCCTGTCACCGGCATTCCTTGTTGGAATTAGTCCACTTTGAAAGAATTCATGATTTTCGGAAATTGCATGACCATATCTTTCTTCTTAACGTCGTAATTGTGCTTTTTTATTGATAGAGTAAAAGGGAATAAGAAAATGTAAATAAGAAAATGTAACTCGTACCATGCGATTTCATGGTCAATTTTTCTCCAAAGGTTACTGAGATCTATTCAAGTGGCGGGGATTTACATTTGGAGCTTCCATCTGGGGAAGACGATGCTTCTCCCGAGCATTGGGTATGTACATCAGACATTAAATTTTCCCTTTCTCCTTAAACAATTAACAATAATTATCACTAATAAGACAAAGCATTTATTACGTAAGACTATACAGCTTTCTAAATCTAATCTTGCAGCAAATCGCTCCGTATGAAACAAAGGGGATCATTCGAATGAATTTTCTTGGAAAAGTCGCCAGTAACCATACAGCGTTCATACGTATTCGCACGAACAAATTCAATACGCCGAATAAATTCTTAATTTTACCTGTCGAAGTGGAAGTCACAACAGGTGTGGTATATTTTAGGTGGATATAGTAAAAAGTTTAGAAACGGAGGACTAGAGAGTATAGAGGACGGAACAATTAAACCTCCAGAATAGTTAAATGACGAAACTCCAGTAGCTAAGACTATAAAATGTTCGAACCTTTCAGTATAAAACACAATCCAATAATAGGCCACGACTGTTCCTATGAAGTGCATGATTTCATATCAAAATCAAATACTTTTTGTAACGTTTAATATTCCTACACGTGTTTTACTAGGTGTATTAACCTTTGATTTAAAGCATATGTTTACAAACCCATCACAATTATATAAACATGAAGTACTAAATTTGATCTATTTTTTGTCATATACAGCCCCTGGACTGTTTCCTTCTGTTGATATGCTAGATTTTGGAACATTAAGGAAAATGGGTACGTTTTTGCTTTATTTCGGCACTGAAATGGTTTAGTATTTCCATGTTTAACAAATATTCTTGATCACTTTAGATGAACCAAAGTCCATTGTCGTTTCCTTACTGAACACTCACAACAAACCCATCACTTTAACGGTATGATTATTTTAGTTATGCTGTATATCATTAATACTGGCTTCCAGACCAATTTTTCAGTCAGATTAGTTAACAAGACAATATATAAGATAACAAATAGTTGTTATATCTCCTGACCAATGACATCACGTCGCAGAAAACCCACGCCTAGTGTATTTTGCCCGGAAAGTGTACACAGTCGCAATATATATTTAAAGTATCTGAGAAATACTGTAATAGGAAACTTCAAACTTCGATATATGTAGTGTTAAAAGCCGAAATTCTTCGGACGCGTTTCGCCAACGCGACGCGATAACTTTGCTCTCAATGTACTTTCAAATTGTTAAGTGGTGCAAATTATATTCATTTTCATATATCGTTTCACAGGAAGTGATTGTTGAACCTCCTAATAGAGCAATAAAAGTGCATATAAGGGTAAGTTGCTTATATTGGAATATAATATATTTATCAAGAATGCTCATCATTACATATCCATCAAAATTCATTCATTGTCTGAGTTTTGTCTCTTTTAGACTACAGTTATTAAACCCCTCCAGAAGTACATAAGCTCTTTCAGTGTAACTTTTACAGGTACTTTTTAACACATTTTTATATATCTATGTCCCACAATTGCAATCCCTCAATACTACCAACATTTTATAGCCTCTAACCCGCTAAGAAATTTGCAGCACTTCACGTTATCAACATTCGAAGCGTGAACAGAACAAATTTAATTAAGATGCATATAGACTGTGCAAAATTTATTTTTCGGAGCTAAAACAGGATTTTTATAACTAATTTATAGCAGGCCACTTGAAAAACCTAAAACAAAACTATGGCAAGATTATTGTGTTGTCAACGAGCAAAGGCAATCCAAGAATGGAGCTGAATTTCCAAGCGAATGTTTTAAAAGGGTAATGTATATCTTTTGTGAAAGTTTTATTAATTAAAGGTTTTATAATTCTTAAACTTAACGAGATATTTTCCCCATACTAATAAGATCTTTAAGGACACCTTTTTTGTATTTAATATGTAGTAATAAGGTATTATAATAATACAATCTTCGTGACTTACTGTTTTTTTCCAGGGATTAGTTCCATCGCGAGATCCCTGCAACATTTGCATTTAATCGCTTCGACAGACTCGTTTCTCAATTCGAGGGAAATTTGCAAGGCAGGCAGCCTATGTAAACAACTGCATTTCAATTGCGGAAAACGGTTGCTATTGCAAAATTTCCTGGATACGAAAAAATTACGCACAGTATCATACGCTGTTAGCGTACACCCCGTATCTAGCAATTGTGTGTCCATAAATGTTTTAGATGTATCTGCGATGAAAAAATGTACTGCAACAATTATTTCATAATAATTCGAGCATCAATTGAAATTTCACTTCTTAAAAATAGAAGCAATATGTTGTGGAAAGATAGCAAACTTCGAAGTGTACATATATAGTAAGCTAAAATTTGATGTTGAGACGGCTTCATCGTGTGCAAATCTTCGAAATATTGGTTATTTTTTTCCATCCATAAGGTTGCATACTATTAGGTTATTGCTAGATTATATGCATGAAATCCACTGTCTTCATGCACTGTGCACAACGTTGCTAACAAAATGACATAACCTTATCTGCATGAGTTTCCAGCAGGCCATGTCTGTATTGATTATATATTATCTTATGAAAAGAGAAGTGCTGTGTGAGTAGTGTAGCATAGTTCGGTGTGCCCGTCTTATTGACCTAACCCATATAGTTGTGTTTCTAGGACTTTGGCATATTCTGTGAGCAAAACGAGATTTTTTATTGGTGCACCACCTTACGAACCCGTTGTGCGTGAAATGGTTATCACCAATACATTCACTTTCCCTTTGGTTATATATCGCATTGTTGTTGCTCCTGACGTCCAAGACTTTGTATCTGTAAGCACTTACTGTTGAATATCAACACGAAACGAAGGTTCACCGGTATCGTGAGTAAAGAATTGTATTTCCTTTATTCTAGATCGTCAACTTTTCGTCACCAATTGTCGTGGGAGAACAGAAAACATTGAGGCCCTTCTCTATTCGTTTTCTCGCAAGTAATTCCATAACAACACTAACCTCGAGTATCCGGGTTTATACCAATGCTTCAATTTTCACCATTCCAGTCCAATGTTTTGATGGAAAATTAGAGGTATGACGTCAGTTTACATCGCTTTGGGCTCTAGTAAAGAGTCAAGATAAAGACAAATCACATGCACCAGTAAACGCCGCTTTTTGTAAAAAAAAAATAAAAGTTATTTCCGTTATTACCGTTTTGGTCGGTCCAGATAGAAAAATATTTCCCCTCCGAGGCCTCGAGTCATTTTTGATACCTCGGGAAAATATTTTTCTATCCGGACCTCGCAGCCGGTAAATAACATAGCTGTATATATTCATGGAGTATGAAGTTTGCCAAGATGGCGGCAATTGCATCAAAATTCAGGAAGATACTAAGACGTTTTGCACTAGTGTAGGATGTGTATCACATTATTTGAAATTAAACCAAATACGTGCGAAATCATGGCATAACGTGCCACCGCGAATTTGCGCTGAATCTGAATTTTTGTTATGTTTTGGGTATTATTAGCGAGAATATGATGTTTCCAACAAAATATATCTAGCTATCGCCAGCGAAATATATAATTTATCCATCTTATTTTAGTATCGTTTTTCCGAATCCATGTTGAATCTTGGGACGCTCGCAGTCAAACAGAGGATTAGAAAAATGTTCCAAATAGTTAATACAAACCCAGTCGAGGTATGTAAACTGAATTTAGTATTATATATATCTGCCTACAGTTATTTCAAGTAACGACAGAAAGGTCCTTGAAAGTGGTGTACGTAAATCCTGCATTATTTTCACTCCTAGTCACAAACATCACTGTCGAAAAGAATCATGACTATCCAATATTTATTATAGTCATACCGCGTACAATACTATTTTAATTTGCCTTTCCAAGTTTACATTGAATCGCAGTAATATATTTGGTAATTCACGTTTTTGAAGTCCTCCATTTATGAGGAGACTTCACATACGCAGAATGAAATGAAATTTTGAATATTTAGATAAAACTAAAGATACATACATCGAATTCAACGTTGACGAGTCTTGATTATTTGGATTTTGGCCCAGATGATAAAAGTCAGTTCTTGGAGATTCCTGCTGAAGGGGTAGGAAGCAATTGTTACTAATATTATTAACTCTTGTATATTATTATTGTATATTCGCCTGTCTAAAGGTCTGACTGTGAAAGAACGAACTTGTGACATTATGGAGGCTTGTGACATTATGAAGAACAGCTGGTCTGAGTGTGAAAGAACGAAGTTGTGACATTAATGAAGGCTTTCAATCTTTTTGATAAGACGATCATACCATTATCTTTGGGTCTAAGATTTGACCGAGCTCTCTTTGTCGTTGAGAAGCCTAGGTTCTTACATGGACACCTACGCACTGCTGGCCTGTTTGTTTGTTTTTTAATTGCCATGATGCTGTTCCTAGATCCCGTTGAAGCCTAGTAATATTGTACAATTGTATCTGGATGTAAAAGTACCGAGTGAGGATGGCGATTATTCCGGGAATCTTACTTTTTATACATCTTACGAGGTAACCATATCTATTGTATTTCTCAATTTTTCCTTATTTATGCGTATACTCATATACGTAGTAGCTTGTGATGTGTCGAGTATATGCATACAACGACGAACTTTAATTTCTTCGCCTGAGCAGAATTAATATTTGGTAATATTTCACTTTTTAGACCAAGACTATGTTATTCTCATTCAAAGCAGCCAGCGGGCATATTGATGTGGATCCTGTCAAGATTGAATTCAATAATTCATTTCCAGTATGTTTCCTACACATGATAATATAGCTGGAAATTATGTAATGAATATTCGAATCGCTAAAAACGCCAACGTTGTAATACTTCAAATGCCCTCGACGTTGATAGCTGCTAGTTAGCTCTGGCTGTGGTTATTGATTAATGCGCTAATTTTCCAGGGTCAAATTCAAAAGGTTCCGTTGTTCCTCACGAGTACGTTCTTGAATCCTGTCAACGTATCTTCTACTTCACTAAAACCAGATAAACCGTTTACATTTGTTCCTTTCATGAAGTCAAACGCACAACTTGCTCCCAATAACCGACAAAAGGTATCTATTACTTCATCAACAATTTAAATTTAAGCTTTTTTAAATCATTAAATCACATAGCTTCATAATCATTTTCTTTTTTAGATTGGAGATATTGTGTTTAACCCTCGTCTTGTCTGTTCTTCTGACTGTTATTTGGGAATTGGGCATAAAGAAGGTAGAGGTAAGAATTATACAAGGAATTTTATGACTTCGTTCCAATTAGTGATGGGTTGATCGGCTCGTCTATTCACGCCACATTACTTTGCTAATAGTCAAACGATTTAGAAGAAAATTCCCGTGCAAAGTAACGATATTTACAATATTCTAAGTAAATATCTGCTATTGTTTGTGTAATTATCTTCCTCTATGTTTGACATATTTTTTGTTTCTTAAATGGTTTTCAGACAAGTCGTGGTTTTCTAGTCTGTCTTTACCAGACGACACTGCTCGTTTTGATACGAACATACTTGAAAATTTTCAAACAAAATGGAATTCTCTTGTACAAACGAAGAAAAACAGGTAAGTAGGAACATAAAAATAGCCAAAACAAATGTATTGTCTTTGTTCATTTGTTTTCGAGATAATGGAAGATTAATGCAACATTGCAACTACATAGATCTCACAATTCATTGACCTCTAGGAGAATTTGTCCTTTCCTCGCTACCATGACGATTTCTCGTCATATTCTTCCTTTGCAACATCGTTTTAGTATTTTGAATTGCGTAGTTGTTTACCGTGATTTATCTGTAGTTGTCTTAAAAATAAACATTTTTTATATTTTAAAAGTTTCATCCGAAGTCTACACATCGACACAGAAACAGTTAAGAGTATTGAAGTGACTTTGCAAGGTGGCTTAACATGGCCTTCACTGACACCAGATCGGCCAATCAGATTTCCATTGACTCATATTGGTAATACATCTCACAAGACATTGACGTTAGAGAATCCTGCTGATGTCCCAGTTGTTGTACAAGTTGTTCCATTGTCTCTGTACCCAAACGCGCAATCTGCTATTGATGTTTTATCCGACAGGTATGTTTTTGAAATCACTAAGAGGCAATATTTCCAGAATGTGATAAAGATCATATCCACCGTACTTCCTCCGTACCTTTGTGAATATTTTACCGGTGTACTTGGTGGTTAACCCCAAACTGAGGCGTAACAAGAACTTCTACACCCAAAGAATATAACGAGATATACACTCGGTGTACCTGAAAAACATCATTAGATCTCAGTGTACATAAAAAGCATAACAAGAGTTCAGTCCGCTAAAACGCATCTACAAGAACGTTTACAAGATATGGTAAAAACATCTATAAATGTTTAATTTTACACTATCATGTTTCTTTGTTTTCAATGTAAAGGTTTGATGTTGACTTACTGACAGCTAAACCTTCATATCACTCGTGTTTTTCACTGCCAACTGCCGAAGTGGACAAAGTAAGTTATACAACTGTTCCCTCAATTCGGCTATTACTAGATTTAGTCCTGCGGTCAACGCGCCCCTAAAACTGTGTAAGTGGTTGGATGATTATTTCAGTTGCATACTATACTGCATCGACTACCGAAACAAGCATGAGTGTAAAAATACTTGTTCATGTACAATACAGTTTATGTACAGTACTATAACAAGTAACAACATGTTCTTTTGTTTTTAGTATCTGCTCGACAAACCAGATTCTGATGTGACCTCATCAATTGAATCTACACTTGGTCTACGTACCTCACCTGATGTTATATCCATGATTGTTGCTCCCCGCTCTAAAGCAAACGTTCCTGTTCAGTTTAAACCAGAAAATGAAGATCAGAGAACATCTATCATCTTTATAAGGTGCCATAAAGATAAAATATCTACATATAACTCGTTGTTTTGTACATTATAGATATCCATGGTCTAACCACCTGCCAGCATCATCTGCTCTCGTGCACTTGAGTAAACGTATCTTTTTCTGTTTCTTTTTTTCAACAGAAACAATTTAACTGTATTAGATGTTGTCACAGTGCAAGGACAAGGAGCAAGAGGTGAACTAATGGTCAATGGAAAGAGGCCAAGTGGCGATAATGTTCTTCTGTTTGAGTTGAAACAAAAACATCTTGAGGATTGTACAAGTACGTACTTTATGGTGACTCTTTGAAAAATTGTGTTCTGGTTTTGATGAAATTCTGCAACGGTTCATGAAATAGAACATGCATGTTTCTATTTTTTAAGCTTAGTCATTTAGCTTTTCACGGGTGGCTTCATGGGAAATTTCATATAAATGTGATTGGAGAATTTGAATTTTATGCTACAATAGTTAATTCTAATTTATTCTCATAAGAAAACGATAAGATAAAATAGTTAAGTTTAATATTTTTTTACTCCTATTTACAGAATTAAGTCCAGGTACGGGAGGGAAACCACATCGCTCACTCACTGTAAAGAAAACTGTCCTTGCTACCAACCCTGGTCAACTCGCTACACACGTAACATCGTTCAATATTGATGGATACGAGTGTGAAGGATACGGTTTTAAAGTTCTTAATTGCAAAGCTCTCAATCTCAAACCTTCAGCTTCAGTCAAGATTGATATTGCGTAAGTGCATGCAGTACAGTATAGATATTTTTCGATGTTGGCAATATTTCAAAAACTGTGTTGGTAATTGTCGCGTATGCACCCCTCTAGGTTTCCATGCATTGAGTTGATAATTTGACTTAACATAATTCACACAGGTTCACTCCGGATTTTTCTGTTTCCCGTGTATCTCGGCGTCTTCAAATCAAGACCTCGCTTGGCAATGTCTTCGAATTCAGTTTAATTGCGACAATTCCATCCGAGCTCATCCCACTCTGTGCCGCAGCTGCAGGACGACCACGCTGGGAATATCACGCGTATATCTCAACCGCTGTTGTCATGATTTGTTTACTTATCGTAACTTTGGTCATGGCTCATTTCGAGGCAAGAAAACTCATTACTGCTAGCATCTCTTCATTACCTCAAGGTCCAGTCTTGCTTAATGGAACGCATATGAACGGTGATCTATTTGACCTACGGAAGATATCCGCCCCGGCACAATCTCCGTTTATATCAGAGAACATGTACCTTCCACGTCAAGACAGTAACGAATCATGCCGAGCTCCCAGGAAAGAAGCGGTCCCCGTCGAGAGGTCTAAAACCAGTGCGTATACTCAACCTTTCAGAAGAAGCTCTAGCGATAACTCTGAACGACTTGCATCAAATAACAACTCTATAACAACTGAGACACCGGACTACGACAGACACAAGGTAAAAGCCAACGACAAGGATCTTGGTAGAAAGCCAAAGAAAACCACAAGTCAACAAACAAAGAGGAAGGATTCGGACACAGAGTGTCCGAAAACGTCCGCCCTGGCTTTCCCTATTAACACGATTGATAGTACAGCAATGGAATTATCAAATTCTGAGTGTCCTGGCAACGAAACTGCGAAACCTCAACGTAATAGTTCATCAAGTGAAGCTAATAGTGTTTGCGGTGATGTCACTGTTGCTACGTTAACGGGCAAAAAGGATAAGGCGAAAATTGTACGTAAGAAAACTGCAAAGGTTTCTCCAGCAATTGCACCAGTTGAAGAGAAGAAAGCAAAAGTCGTTGACAAGACAAAGGTGAAGGATAACGAGAGCACAAAGGACAAAGAAAAGACGGACAATTTAGAAAAATCAAAACAGAGAAAAAACAAACAAGAAGCAAAGGAAGACAATATTAGTAAAGAGTCGAAGAAGCATGATGTTGCCTCGAAGTCGGTCAAACTTCTAAATAACAGAACAACCAACAAGACGTCAAGAAAAACCAGCTTGCCAGAATTAGAACAAACACATCCGAAACCAAAGCTAGACAAATCAAAGTCCTTGCCAGCTGGTTCTGTCAGCAAATCGCAGTCAAGTAAGTCTGGACCAAACACTGCGAATAAAAAGAACTCCAGCAAAACACAACAGAATGGAGATACGCCGCACACGATATCAGAAGCTATCAACTCAGCATTAGAGATCACGCTAAAGCATTCCCCTACAGCTGAAACGAGCCAAAATTTTTCACGAAGTCATTCTCGTTGTTCGTCAACCTCTCCTTCACCACCCCTCTCTGATTCATCTCAAAATCTCAGTCAAAGTAGTCGCAGTAGCAGTTATAGCAGTGTTGTGGGGAGTGAGGAGTCTGCCAACAGTGAACCTTCGGCGGTTAGAAAGAAGAAACATCATTCCAAGAAACCAAGTCCATTGGTAATACAGAAACCCACTGAGCACACAAGTAAGGACTCAAACTTTATACACATCCTTCAAAGCGTTCATTAATAAAACTAAATCTTTCTTTTAGGTCCGTTCACTGTGAAACGTCTAGCGAACAGGAACCTTGTCAACGATCTTTCTGGTTCTGCTTGGAAAGGTTTGTGGGATACAACAACGCCTGCTAACCTCAGAGGTTCGCCGTCTTTGGAATCTTTTCCAACATCGGCCACCTCCAGCTCGTTATTCACCAGCACGCCATTTGATAAAGATGGGAAGTTGGCGAGACATAAATCAGGGAAAGATGCTCCTGCAGACGACGAGCCATCTGGAGATAAGTACCCACTCTACACCTTCCATGATGTGAAGGCTCCGGGTTTATCTACGCCTTTTGTTGAAGTCGGCACATCAGTGCCGAAATTCTGGCCAGATGAACCAATCCCGCCGCTGGAGAATTTGATTCCGATGAAGCAGACTCGCGACACTATCTGGGTAAATTTCTTTGACGAAAGTTCCACAAATGCATCCAAACTTCCATCTCCCGGCATGCCGCAAAGTTCGAAGACTGTGGCAGAAATCTGGGATGCAGGTCATTTGGCTGATGAGAATGACGGCTGGTCAAATGCTTTTTCACCCACCTTAGAATCAGATCCAGCATTTCCTCCTTTCCCAGGAGCATATGATTCAGCGTGGTCGACTGGAACCTGCCCACATGATTATTACGGTATGCCTGGTGAAGAAACTTGGCCCCAGGCTGATCCCCCAACGACTGAAACTGATGTCGCGTATGGTAGTCATGACGACACAGTTTATTCCAGCGGAACATCTCATCAGCTCAACCCATACAGTGAACCATGGGATGGAAGTAGTCGTTCAAAACAAAATGTCTGGTCATCTTCTTCCGCTTATTAAAAACCTCCTTTGCTAAGTTACTTGTGTGATTTTTTCGTGGAAATGCTTTTCCTTTTAAGTTTTGTTTTCTGAGAGATGTAGTGTGTACGAACATTGTTTGTTTTGTTTTAAAGGGGATATTTCTGAATCATATGGTATTTAATAGTCAATTTTTGATTTTCGTAGTTCATTCGCGAATGGAAACCAGCGTTGAACTTCCTTAGTTGAAGTTTCGTCGCAGTTTTCTCGCAATTTAAGTATGCAATTGAACAAACTGAAATAGAGTAATGATTTTATTTATGAAATAATTATTTATCTGTCTAAATAATGACTAATACCGTAGCAAGTTTTTGTCGTGTATTGTACTGAATATAGTTAGAAGTTGACACCTCATTTCATCATTCCTCTCCTCCATTGTAGTTTTTAACCGTTTTTGTAATGTTTTTTGTAGTGTTTTTTAGTCTCGCAAACAAAATAAATTTTAAGTAAACACGCCTCAACTCTGAAGATTCATAATTATCGCGATTTTATGTATGTTTTCTTTTATTGATTAGTAACGGATGTTCAAATGGGAGCTCCCACACATCAGAGCATTCGAATCGTTTCGCCCGCCTTTGAAATTCTGCCCATGCGACCTTGACGAGCTAGTTTCAAGTAAAAGCCTGTAGTGTGGCTATTTTTTGTGTTATATTTTTTGTGTTACATCTACGTAGAACAAGGCTGTGATGGTTGTCAGTTTACGAGGTTTCGAAAGTATCTTTTTCAATAAGTAAAGGCTCATAATTTCAATAATTATACTGTACACTCGATGAAAGTAGCCTTTCGGACAATCGCCTGCCTAGCAACAGTCTCAGGTCATGTTTTATTAATACACTATACTGGATTCGTATGGTCACGACATCAATATTAGCCATGGCAAATCGAGTTTTACTCCAAAAAGTATGATAGCATGATTGCTTTAACATGATCTGCCAAATGAAAAAGTTTTTTGCCTGAGGACAGAGTCAGGGACACCGTAAAACAACTTGAAATGATTTCGTGTTCATGTGAATCCGGTTTTTGTAAACAGGGCAGGGGCTGATAATAGTCGATTATAGTGATTGCTTATGAGTTATGTATTAGGGAGTGATTACAAAGTAATTTGCAACTGAAGTATGCTAGCAATTCCCACGGCATTTCGCCCACTCACTGCCACTGATCTTCGAGGCGTTATGATTATTCTGAACAACGTCATACATATCATGTTATCAACTCGAATAGGAATTGCCTACAATTCGAGAGACGGCAAACTTCAATCAAAAGAAGCCTGAATCAACACTAGAAATCAATCCGTCCAGAGATAAACACATCATTTACTCGACAGTACAAGAAGATACATACACTACACCCTGTACCGGTCAATATCGGGAAAATTCGGAAGTTACCGTCGCAGATATAGCAGCATGGGCATGGGTAGACTCTGTAATTGGGCGCTTTGGGCCAGTGTCGTTGTGTGTTTACCATTCTGTTATGCGGTCCAACTACCTCGAAGAGATTATGATGATGAATCTTACCGGTCGGAACTGGAAAATGATTTACTTGAGAAAATAATTGACGGCGAAGAAGCAAAAAGAGCGTTCAACGAACATCCAAACCAAATGAAACATCGCAGTATACGGTCAATAACGAATAATACGAACAATGCCACCGGCAGCACAGCCTCTCCGACCCTGCGACAAATAGCCACAGTCAAATCCTATATAGATAGAAGAACGCATCCTGCACTGGAAATCAACTGTGGTGACAAAGTATATTCGTGCAAAAATAAATGCAAACAAGAGACTACGTACGATATATTTTCAAGCTTGAATTCACCGAGTTCACAAAGAGATTGTTACTGTGATAGGGGATGTAATAATATATTCTATGACTGCTGCAGTGATTATAGACAGGCATGTTCTATGTATTCCACGTTAAGAGAGAATGATGATTTTTACAAACTGAAGAACAGTTGGCGTTGCACGACCATAAATGTAAACGCGGGGAAATGCGCCCGGCGGCGAGGAGCTTGGATGGTAGCACGATGTCCAAATTTGTGGTCAAATGACGCTGTCAAAACAAAGTGTCATAATCCTGCATCGACATTAGCCCCTCATTCTGTTCTATTGTATGTACCCGTCGTTGGTGTGGCCGACCTGTTTACATATAGAAACCAATACTGTGCACTATGTAACAACGTCTCAAATTTCGAATTTTGGACTTTAATATTTGTAGCAAATGCAATACCACCTTCGCAGTATACACGAAGCGATCTTACAGAGTTTATTGCGAAGAATCAGCAATATTTTAACGGTATTCGTCCAAAAGAGGGACAGCGTATCAGGTGGTGTTCATACCCTAATGTGACCAGCACTTGTTCAACCACCTCAAATGAGGAAAGCCTAAAGGATTGCCTGCAAGGAACAACGGGTTTGGTTGAAGAAATGGATTCTGGGATAGTTTTTAAAAGCAAAGCTTGTGCTTCGTGTAATGGTTATAGCGTGACATGTGGAGTAGCTGAAAGAAATATCAATCCTTGTTCCATCGATAGTTCTGCAATAAGCCGTGCTATAAGTTTACGAGATTACGGCGTATCGGAGGTAACCAGGTCATGCAGGAAAAATGCTGTTTACGATAAAGCCATAGGGAAATGTCGTCAAACCTACGTCATAAAGAAATTGAATTTTGGCTACGCAGATGAATATCAAATAACAATGTCAGCTTTACCAAAAACAGCTGGTATGTTTTTTATCATTTTACCATATGAATTAAAGAATTCTCTTTCCGATTACTTTAAGGTGAACAAATCAAAGTTAAACGATCCAAAAATTACCAGAATTTACTCAGAAACAGATCCGAAGATTCTTATTGAATTCAGAATACGGTTAACACAAAAACAAAGCCTGATTCTAGCATCGGATGCGAAACTAAATGGGAGTTCAAATGAAACGATTATTCTGAATCGTTTGTTCAGATTTAAAAGAACTTTTAAGCTACCTATCGGTTTGCAAACCTTCACAATTTATCGGCAGGAAATTCGGCAACTCAATTGTACCCGTCCACAGGTGTACCAGTATGAAGATTATGATTTTCTGGATGATTTGAGCATTCGTGTTTTGTCAACTGGCGCTGTTTACGAGCAGTTTGAATACTACATGGACCATGACGTGAAAAATGCCTCAGTGACGGTTTGCTCAAAGTTCGTAACACGGCAATGTAATGGTTCGTATATCAAACTGAACTCGTCAGAGTTTCATTTCACCAGCAATTTGTCTCTGGTGTACAACTCGGTTGTGTATAGGTTTGCTGATTACATTTACGATGACGGTACCGTTTTCATTTGTGTGGACTTTGAAAAAGAGTATACAACGTTGACTGACACCAATCTGCCTAAAGATGACTTAGCACTGGTGATTTTGACTTGGATCGGTTTCGTCTTGTCCATAATTGGCTTGCTGGCTCTTTTCTTCACTTATCTTATTTTTAAGGAACTAAGAACTTTGCCTGGAAAGAATCTTATGAATTTGTGCATCTCCTTATGTTTGGCCGAAATCTTCTGGCTTTTTGGTTCAACCCTCGACAGCTATCCCACAACATGCACTGCTGTTGCCATAGCCAATCATTACTTCTTTTTGGCATTTTTCACAGCGAGTTCAGTAATCGCTTTTCATTCATGGTTGGTATTTGGGCGCAAGATTAATTTACGTCGCAGTGCATTCGACGGGAGCAAGATCTTTATTATGTACTTTCTGGTTGTTTGGGGACTTCCGGGTCTGTTTCTAGTTCTTTTCGGTTTACTAGATCACTTCGAGATATTCGTTATAAATTACGGTGAATCACTTGTTTGTTGGCTTGGCACAAAAGAATCAAAGATTTTTCTTTTTATTTTCCCTTTCGGTGTCTTGTTACTATTTAACCTTGTTCTCTTCATGGTGGTGGTATTTCGTCTTCGCCAGAATAGAAAGTCCAGCGACAAAGCCCTCGGAGACGGAGCAAAAAAACGTGAAATGCAAAACATAAAGGTTTGCCTTAAACTGTCAACCTTGATGGGATTTTCCTGGCTGTTCGGATTGCTCCAGGTTGCCGTAGAAACGAAAACTGACGCATTTGCGTATATGTTTATTATTTTTGTCAGTTTTCAGGGATTGTTTATCTGTGCAGCGTTCTTACTTCAAAAGAAGTGCTATGAACTGTACAACACCTTAATATCAAAGAACTTCAGTTCATCTAAAGCCACTAGTACTGGTGTAGAGTCGCCCACCAATGTCCAAAAAAGCGGTGTACAAGAAACAAAACTCTAACGGTAAATGTACATGCTTAAAAGCGCCATATTTTGCATGCAAATATTATTTCATGAGCAAAACTATAAGTTTTCAAAGCAAAACTTTTCTCGATGAATAAATTGGTCTTATGTCTTGGAATCTTGATCTTTCAATGTTTTAGCTTACGGAGAACCTACGGAGAGTTTTCGCTGAACTTAAGAGAGTTTAAGTTCCGCGAAAGTTTAGCAGTATATTTTTGTATCAAATTAACTTGAATCTCCTATATAACTTATTACTTTGTCATGCACATAAAAAATGCAAACGAGGATTGTTAAGGGTAGCTATAGGAATCGTATATATATGCATGCATGGTTGTTCCGCAATTCAAATAACTGCCTGTGTAGCTATAAGCATTAAATCAGCTTATCAAAAAACAAAACTAAAACTAAAAGAAAGTTATAAGGCACATATGTCAAGAAACTAAGTGTAAGGAGTTCAGTAGAACAAGGATTTTCAGTAATACGAATTTCATTATTCATAATCTAGTCAAAAGCACAATATGTACATATCACAACTTTTTTTAGTATTGGGAGGTTAATTTTACATTATTTCCCACAGTTGACTGGCTAGCGAAAAAAAATTATACATGCATGCATGCACGGATACATGCGTCCGGTATCGTGCAGACGTGTGATATCAATGACGAAAAAGTTTTTGATTATTTTGTACACCTCTCTACAAAGTTTTTTAGTATACACGTAGCTTCATCCGTACACGACTACATCTAAGGGTAGTTCTTTATCAAGTTCATCTCGCAATGCTTTGAGGCAATCTGTGGTATAACTTGTTCCACCAATATCAGGGGTTAGGTGCTACACAGAAAGCGGAAACAATCACACACTTTGAAAAAAATGCTGGCTTGAATTTGAAAATTCCACCATTTCATAGCCAAATAACGCTAATTAACCCATTTTGTAGTACTTGCACGCCAAAAAATATTTACCTGACCAGCGGAAATTACTCTGAGAATGGCTTTGTTGATAACTGAGGCATGAGCTTTAAAACTACAAATAAAAAGCAATCATTAGGTATAAGTATACATGCAGCAGGCATGCGAATGCATAATATTATATAATACGACAAGACGCCGACTTGGTGTTAACTCGTGTGGTTGCAGCGCCGACCAATAAAGAGAACAAATCGGGTACCTAGGGTTAGGGTAAAGACATGCACCAATCGGGTAAATTGTCTGAGATCCGGAGGTTTGTAGAGCAAATATTCAACTAGTCCAATATCAGTTTCGGTCGCCAAGTGGTAACAGAGTATACTCAATATCTACTTTGACAATCGACATAATATTTTTGTATGAATTTTCGATATTTCTATACGCGCGCAGTACGAAACGGTAGGATGTGTCGTTACCGATTCGATGATGCAGCAGTGACGGAGTTTGGACGTCATTTGGCAGAAAGCTCGACACGACCAACAAGCCGATATTATGACCTCGTGTCTATCGACCATGCAGAGGTAAAAAAAAAAGTTACATACCCAATATGCTGTAACAGTAGTGTACTGGCGAAGAGAAAGCCAAATGGATTATAAATATTCTTCCCAACTAAATCCGAGCCGGTGTTTCGAGTTCCCTAAAGAACGAACTTGAAACATTAATACGTCATTCTCAGAACATTATCACAAGCATAAAAACTATTGCATTCAATATAAATTACATTTATTTGCAGTCACTTTGATCAGCCATTTTCTCAAGTTTTTTTCGATATACAGACGAGACGCGTAATTTTAGCAATAAGGTTCATGCATCATATAAAAATTTTGCCAAAAAGATTGCCAAAAAGATTGCCAAAAAACGTAATCCGTACTGATTCAAATAAGGCGTAGTTGTCACCAATATTCTCCCCAGGTACCATACCAGGTCCACCAACTAGAGATGTCGCTATATTACTGACAATATTTCCGTATAAATTAGGCATCACCATAACATCAAATTGTTCTGGATTGGCAACAAGCTGTTTAAATAAGAGAGGCAGGTGGTTGCTATAAATCATACCCACACATAAAAACACACACATTAGGCTGACATGCAGAGACCTCGCGATGAATATGGTAACATTTGCAAAACGTTATAGAAACAACCTAGTACCAAAGACACTATTCAGACGCCATCACCTGCATGCAACAGTTCACAGTTGTCGATAATCATAGAGCTGTATTCAATATCAGGAAAATCACGGGATATTTCGTCACAACAACGCAGGAAAAGACCATCGCCCAGTTTCCTACAGACGAGCCAATATAAACACTCTTTTTAGTATTCATCCAGTTTGGTTTCAGGGATACTTATATAGGATCACTGGATCAGGTCATAGAAGCTATAGCTTACAAACGGACATGACCAATCCCAAGGAAAATGGCGGAATCTATTGACGTATCCAATATCTTACATAATGTTGGCTTTATGAATAGAGGTAACTTTCTTCCTTCCATTTTTTCTTGCATATTCGAATGCAAACTTTGCGATTTTGGAGCATTTTTCTTCAGTCATGATTTTGAGACTTTCAACAACGCCAGGAACATTCTGGAATGGTAATGGTATGGTAATATGGGAACATTCTGGCAGAAATTTTTGCACCACTATAGCCCCTTGTAGCCTTGTATAGTGAATTTGCAAGATCTTATTATTAACAGTTCGTGTTACCTCGTGTTCTAAATGACTGTACTCTCCTTCCGTATTTTCTCTGATCATTACTAAATCAACATTTCTATGTCTGAAGGCGGGCAAAATACAGAATCAGGAATAGGAAGGACAAGGTAATGCAGTAATTATAAAGGATATTTGCCAAATGTGTCCAAATTACGTTCGTCTATGCGTATAGAGTTATAGACTATAGTCCATGGTTTAATTATTAAACTGAAAGACCTGACTTAAGAGGAGTCTTAATCATATACTACCCAGTCTCTACCCAGTCCCTCTGCTGCATGGAAGAACCGATTAAGACTCCTGCGTCTGCCGAAAATGTCAATCTGCGGTGATTATCTCACCTCGTCTTGATGTTTTCAAATGACTTGCATTTAACAACATTCGCGTAAAGATCAAGTTTTACTCTGTTAAAGTTAAACACAAAACCAATTTACTGTATCACACACCACTATACACATCACTTCACATTGTTTCCTTAATACTAGCCAGTAATCAGTACATATACACTAAACATCCAAATTAAATTGAAGGGGGTGGGGTGTAAACAGAATGAAATGTGAATACCAAAAATACTTATAATAAGGAATATTCACAGGTCACTGGAATATTCACCTGAGTTGAACATTCAGCGACTTAAAACTTGGTGATTCAATTGGAGTGTGTAAGTTCCCTGAAAAAATAAAACTTATTCAAATGAATTATATATACCAGATACCACCCTTCCCTCACAGATACAGTGGAACTAGCAACTTAATCGTACGCAATATATTAACCACAGTATAGGCTCAATTAAGAAGAGAAGAAGACTGTTTTAACAAAAACTAATATCCAACTAAACAACGTATTTGCCTTTTAGTGCAACTCCGTTTCTTTGAATTGAGATCAACACATCCTCCATTCGATCTGTTAATTGCTGTCGATCACTGAAACCGCTATATTATATAACAGGCCAAAACAAAAAATATTTATTATATTAGTTCCAAATAATTATTATAAATCTGTAAAATAACCTGGCATACAAACAAAAATAGGTCAATCCCAATCCAATTTTGCCCTTTATGGAAAAATATGAAAACAAAGAAGGTCAACTCAATGACCAGAACAATGCTGGATATTTATAGCCATAGACATAGGTATACCGTATAGGAGGAATTTCAAAAAGAGACCAGATCAATTATGGTTCATTTCACCGAAAATGGTAAAAAACTGGAATTTAGTCAAGGAGCTTCCTAGTATTTCTGTCCTGCTCTTGTGCATTGCCTATTACTTAGCCTTCCCTGTTTGACTAAAAAGGCAAAATATTCAAGTCTTCAAGCTGTTGAAAACATTATCTTATCGGTTGAAATAAATTGTTTTTATTACACTCGGAAAAAGTGAACTTTTTAATTTTCCAATAATTTCAGGGTATTTTAAAACAAATTTTAAAATTACAAAAATTGTCAAAAAACCTAAATTTACAAGCAGTAAACGTTCTTTAAAACAGAAACCCGACACTGAGGGCACTTCCCTTTAAGCGGCCAAAATGGTCAATGAATGCATATTTTTTGAAACACTCTAAGATACCAGGAATTTGCCTGTACTGAAATTTAAAAGTTCCAGTCTGGCCGTTTTTAGTAACTTTTTATCCACTATTAATCAACTGCTCTAGCCATCCACCAAGTCACCAACCATTCAGTACCTTAATTCCAAGACTTCAAAATTCACAGGAACACCTACATGGCTAAAGAATTTAAATTCATACATTTATAAATGCTCCATCCATTTTCTCAAAGTCATCCATTCAACTCAAATTAAACTACAACCTTCCCATGAGGAAAAAAGGGCCCTGGATATGAGGTTGATTAGGTTAAAAAATAAAAACTTACTTAAATAAATCTTGTACTGTATTAGCAAGTTCTGGACCAATTCCATCACCTGGAATCAATGTGACTGTTTGCCATCCACCATATTTAGCCAATGGTGGGCTATGTTGCAATGTCTGATTAACATGTATAAAATTTATTTAATTGTTAATTGTATTTAGTTTATTTGTTGGGAGGGGAATTAAAAGTAATGGTGGCCAAAAAATGTTTTAATTACAAACAGGGGCATGATTATATTCATGTATACATTGCATATGTATTCTTTGAGTCAGGTATGGACTATGGAACCCTTTAAAACGTTGGCCTAGTACCCAAATGGAAAAGAGGATGGAAAAGACTTATCAAGAGCATTAACACCACACCCCTGAATAAATCCTTGCAGAACATGATGAACATATGTCAAATCTAGCTGCAATAATACACTGCAAATTGTTTGAAACATTTATTTATATTGTTAATTTAACAGGGACAGTTCCCTGCACTTTAGTATCATAAATCAATCACGACAAGGAGACACAGAGGTGTATTAAAAAACATGTGATGGAACATTGGCATTTTGCAGGTATTCCTGTCGTCCTCTGTGACTGAAGCCAACTCTTCTCTGTTAATAGGCATATTTATAAAAGAAATGACTGGGCTTGCAAAAATGTTCGGGTAAAGAATAAACGTAGGTTGCATAACATATATGAACCATTCCTAAGGAGCCTCCATGGAAACTTTGTACTCGTCTTGACGTCTCCTGTTTCGTGCAGTAAACATTTAAAATGTTATTACCTTATTTAGCTGAAGAGATTTTTTAAATGTACGACGAGCATAAGTTGCCCTAGAAGTATAAATTGCTGCTTTCAAATGTTGAACAAATACCCCGGCTTTATTCAATATCATCCTGCTCCTGGCCAAGATGATTTCAATGAAACACACAATAGAAGTCTATTTACTCTATTATAACATCATCAATCCAAAAAGATAAAGAGTACACAAAAATGTATCAATTTTTGCATTGGTTCTAGTAGAATTAGTATATCGGGGGGAATCGGGGGAAGAGACAAGAACGGGATAAAACGGGGGGGGAGTAAAGTACTGTACCATCACGTAACAGGTGAGTAGTGACGTCCGCTATCGGCAGTCGGTTGCTTCCTTTTTTACGTTTTCTCAGTTGTCTCGACTCTTCGGTTGGAATAGGGTTTTAAATCCTTCGCAATCTGTCACAATGATCATCTATAAAGACCGTATAACTGGTAAGAAATATACTTTAAATGTAACTGCGTCTGTTTGCTTTTTTTTAAACATTTTTGTCAAACGTCTCAGATAATATTCGTCATTTATTTTTCAGATTTTCCTATTTTCATTTATTTTTTGTCAGTGCTTTATTATTGTATGATGTTTTTTAAAATTAACTTTATATATTAAGACCACGCACTATGTAAATTACAAACAAAGTTTGGTGACATAATATTCCCTCTCCATTTTACATTATCAAAATCTTGGTACTTGGGACTGGGACTTGGGTCTCACGTAAGAGAGATTTGATGGCTATGAACTTACCTTAGGTGCTAGCAGTAAAAGTTTATAAATGAACCCAGAACTCTCATGAATTTCACCTGGGGATAACAGGGAAAATTAGGCTGACCATGATACTTAATATCTGAAGTAGTTGTATGCATGTACCTTTACTACATTATCCAAAATAAATATTTAGTAATTATATGTGTTAGGTGATGAATTGTTCTCTGACAACTTCCCAATGAAACTTATTGATGGCATGTATTATGAAGTTGAAGGCAAGGTAGGCAGTGAAGTTCCTTGATTCAGGTTAGAGAACCTGCTTTTGCTCACAGACACATAGGTGCAATTGGTCTGAATGTGCACATGTTTTGATCGACTTTTGGAAAATGGTAGATTCCATACAGGTTATATTGTTTTGGTTTTCAATAAGATATAAGGGTGTCTTTTATCCTGATTGCTTATCTAACATTTGAAAGAGTTGGGTGTTGTCTTACTACAGATTACAAGTATCAGCCATTGTGTTTTGTAGACAGTTGCTGAAAATTCTGGTAGCATTGATGAATCCTTGATTGGAGGAAATAAATCTGCAGAGGAACCAACTGAGGAAGAATACAGCAGTGATACTACCTATGGTGTCAATATCATCTTGACCCACCGATTACGACCTGCAGTCCCTATAGCTGCAAAGGATTATGCAACCGTAATCAAGCCAGGTTTAAAACTTATACTTGAAAAGCTAACAAATGAAGGTAAAGAGGATGAAGCTGCATTTTTTAAGAGTAATCTTCCTGCTGTTGTCAAGAAGATTAAAAAAATGTGGGACGATTTAGTCGTATATCAAGGAGAGAGTGACGAAGAAAATGGATTGATTTGTTTTCTGAACTATCGAGAAAATGGTGATCCATACATGATCTTCTTAAAGCATTGGCTTATTGAAGAAAAAGTGGTGAGTGTTTTTTAACATACTTAAACTGCCAGCAGGAGTATGCATACAACATAACTTAATTACATAAGCATTGGTTATAATTGCTATTCTTATTTTGTGTTTTATGTACGGTGTTTACAAATTATTGAAAATACAGTGTAGATCTAAAAGCATTTTAGTAACACAGTAGTATTTTTAACAATTTCTCTAAATACGACTCTAGAAATTTTGGTATCCAGTACTTGATGTTTATTTCATTAATAGGGAAGAGATAGAAGCTTTAATTTGGAGTTTGATTTTGAATTAGCAAACAAAATCAACCTATTAAATCTTATTGCAGTCACTTACTATTTTTGCAAATGTTGAGAGTTTGGAAAAAGTAAACTTCAATGTCAATTATGATGAAGAGTACTAATAGTTTGGGAACTGTACTTACTTTGTGGCACGCAACATAAATTGATGTTGATAGCTTTTATAAAAATCAAAAGAACATTTATCAAAAGAACATTTGGCTACAGTTGTTCTCCCCTATGATCAATGAAAAATCCCCTTTCTAAAGCAGCAAGGACTCTGGGAACAAGATTGCTCTCCCAACAAATTTATATTGGGGTTCTGATAAGCTATATATGTTGTGGAGGGATAATATTTTTAAATAAATTTTAAAATCATTATTGATTACTATTTTTACTGAATTTGTTTTATTTCATTATTTAGTAACAAGGAGGAAGATATGAAACAATGCCATATATAGGGAATTTAATGAAGACAAATGAGTTTACTGTCATACTGTTGATAATTTTAGTATATTGTATTTCTCATAGTTCTAATAAAAATAAAAGTACAACCAAATTTTTATGCTTATAAGTTACCTTGCTAATTTGGGGGGTTGCCAGCTAATAGAAGTAGATGCATGAAAATGCAATTGAATTACCATTTTTGGCCTGAATGTGGTAACAATTTCTGTTTGTTGTAAAAAAGTATACAAATCTGCTAACTTTGCAAGGCTATATTTTACAACATTTTGCAACCAAATTTTGCATTTCTACTAATGTAAGCACACTCTTCTGCAGTGGTAATTTAATTGCATTTCCATGCATAGATTAAAAGTGTCCATAATGCAAAAGGTCTATTGATACTTGCAGATATGGTGCAAGCACCTATAATTTGACCATCAATAAAAGGAATATTTTGAAGATATGGTTTTTTATTCTGAAATTTTTATTCAGTCTTTTCTTAAAGGTTATTTCATAAACTTGGACTTCAAAAATTTTGGGGGCTTTTATGGCTGTTTTGTAGCTTTACTGAGAATTAACTTGTTCCATTTGTAGCCAAGCAGACCTATCCTCGCGTAGGATATATATATATATTTATTGATAATAACAAATATTATATGTTCAATACTCGTTCACTTAGTCACTTGACTGTCAATTTCATTAGTCTTGCTAACAGGTATTTATTGTGTAGTAACTACCTAATTAGGTACCTGTATTCTCCGTGGAAATCAACATCCGTAACTATCAGGAATAATGAATAACGCGCGTCCTAGGACATGAAAGAATGCAATTATTTTTTTAAACTTCTTCATTGCAAAATAAATTCGCGTAAAACTGATCAAACTATTTCACAAAAATCTCGTATTTGTGTAAGTTTATATGTAATTAAACTACAACTAGATAGTCAATAGGTAAATGTACGAGCTCGAGAGCGGTAAACGAATGACGGAAATAATCATTGCATGGGCATGTTTAAATAAAACAGGTTGATTTTATTGGGTATGACCATGGTTTCCAGGCATTATTATTTAAAACAATGATCATTTCTATCATTAATGTAGCTCTTGTATTCAACTTTGATAAACTTTCGTAGAAAATTTACACTCCGTTGTCTTAAGAGTTAATATTGTCAGAAAATGATTGACCATCATCCCTAATCCCCCAGTTTTCACACGAGCTCTTTATGTAAAAGAATTGTTAGTTAGCTTCCCTCTCCCTGTTTAAGGATTTGAGCTAATTATTACGACGAACTTTCATGCAATCTTTCTTGTATAAATACAGTTTCTCTCGGGAAGAGTCCAGCGTCCTTTAATGAGAGACCAGAATTCATGTACGAAAGTTTCTTGCGAGGAAAATTTGTAACAAGTTCATATCTCTCACTAGAAAATCCTTGATCTTGTACATATTTCATAAGATCCTATGAATAGAAGGTTTTACAACAACACTGTAAGAAAAAACGTCTCCATAAAACTGAAACTGTATCACTAACGAGGAAATATTAACATAGACGGTAATGATGTTTGATAGTCTATGGTTGTTATCCCCAACAACCAATCCAATGACTATGGCATTTTTATCCTGCGGAATAGGTAAATTAGACGTATAAGACGAATGTGTAGACTTGTCCACTAAACCATCTAGGCCCATGCAAAACAAGACAGAAAACTTACTATATATCACTTACCAGTATAGCTGCTTCAGCAGAGAATGTCTTTAGTTTTCGTTTTCCATTGGGGTACCTCAACATTATGTATGCTTTGACACAACCTACGAAAAAACATCCCTTGGGCCTTGTTTTTAAAATAGCTCCTATCATCATCACTGGATGTCAATCAGTGATTAGCATTTTTTCAAACGCTGGGGATGAAGTCAAAGATGCAAGAAATTGTGCTCTAAATTTTGTATTTATTTCCAAAAGGCGGAGTTCCAGTGAATCTCCATGGAAGTTCACGAACAACTGTATGCATTTGCATCATTGTCGTTTGGCATCGCAACTAGTGAAAATCACAACGTTGATGTGATTAGATTGAAAAAACAGATATAGTTTATCAACTCACCAGAATCAGGTGCATCATCCTCATCAACGTCGTCTCCTTTAAACTTTTTACCCTCAATGTCGTCGTTTTTTCTATCAATATAGTTTGTGTTTTCCTGTTTTTCGTTTTCTGTACTACAAATATCGTCGATTCTTTTTTCATTTTGTTTACTATTATTCTCCTCATAATTCACTGTTTTTATTGTTCTATCACTTCCTACGGAATTATCTTCCAACGTATCTTTAAGAGGTTTCTCCAACTCCGATTCAGAATCCGTAAACTCTGTCAAGCTATCCTCGTCTTGAGTGTCTACGTAATCCTTATCCTGCCGGTTGTTACCAGTTGAGGTCTCCTTTAACGACGCAGCGATCGCAGCTTCTAACTGCGAGTCTTCTGATGCATCAATTATACTTTCCTACGAGTAAGGCATATATCACTTAGCAAACTTTTAAAGATCCTAGTTCCTACATCATCTAAGTGGCGGCTCTAGTCTAGGCCTCATTTGGGGGTTGAGGACGCTTTATGGGTAATAACCTGTTTTCATATAAATCCGCACTACGAAAAGATATTTTTGACATTGGAATGGTATTTTTGACATTTACTAAGATGCTGCCAGTATTGTTTAGATTGATATTCTAATCTTTTTCCTTGTCTTATAGCTAGACTGGGTATGCTACATTGTCTTATAATCACCCTTTTTCGTCGTTTTGCCGCAGGAGAAAAACATCCATTTGATTCTTTCCCTAGGGAATGATGCATCAAAAATTCTGTAGCTATAAAAAAGCACAAAATTTAAATACGCAAAAAAACATTTCCTGCAATTCGATCACACGTAGCTACACATGTTGCAATTGATATACAGTATAATATGCGATAATGGTCGGGGCGCATTGTGGACAGAGCCTTATCCATAACTGAAATACCACCAAATGACCAAAACACTACATCCATTCAAACCTTTTTTTACGAAATACCTACCTACTTCACAAAAGGATTGTGCATCGACTGTGTCCCATTCTACCAACTTCTCCCCTGCAGAATGAAAGAAAACGTTCCTGCTAATCAGCATGTTCATGTATGCATATACACTGAGTACATACATATATTTTAAAATACCTGTTCTGGGGTCCAGGACTGACAGGTGGGGGAATTTTGTAACATGGTAAAACTGAGTGTACCTATCTCCATCGTCACTGTCGCGATACACCTGCAAAAATGATCAGAATATGAAAGTTATAACCTCAGCTACATGGGTTCTAAAATAACCCAAGCATAGTAACAATTAACAAATAATTGCATATTAAATGCAGTTCATCAAGGATATACCTATATAGGATACACTAATTTTTCTATTTTCTAGCTCAAAAAGTCATTGCACAAAGAAAATAATCTTTTTTAAAAACTTTTCTTTGTAAAAATGGCAAATCTTTTAAAATTTTAAACATCATTGATGAAAATTATATAAACCAAAAGTGTCAAACATAATTTGATTCGGAACTAAAAGAAAAGTATATTACTGTGTAACATTTAAAGTCTTTTTATTAAAAGTTCAATATCAGTATAAGTAAGATCAGAAAAACATCAGTTAATTATATATGGTCTCATATGACAGCTGAATAAGCAACTCATGCTTTCTTATATCTAATTAACGTCTGTTGAACAAGAAATTTCAGTCCACCTGCCAGAGAATAAAATGATCTGCCATGATATTCCTGACTGCTTCATTACTCCAAACATCCCTGTTCAACTGCTGACATTTGAATTCCTTGCTGTCTTGTATGTTTACAATTAACCATTTTCCCTCTTGCTCTCCTGTAACTTTAGCCTTGGGGAGATTTTAAAAAGTTTTACCAATGCGCAAGATTACATGCATGGTTTGGATATTCTCCGGGAGTACCAAAAGTGAACATTTCTCCTCCAATGCGGAATGTGAGCATTTTAACAATAGTCAGTACAGGTATATATTTTTTGACACACTTTTTGTAGAATTGCAACCCCCTGTCTGACTAGCCTGGATCCACTCCTGATATAATAATCAGGAATGAAATGATATTACTTTAATGCCTGGAAAAAGTATAATATCCTAATAAGTATTATACTTACTGTTTCAAATGTTCCTTTGTGGATAATATCTAGTGGAGGTTTAAAAAGATCCTTCAAAGTCTTGTATTTGCCCTTGCCAATATTACCACTTAACTGTTGTTCTTGTTCCCCTGTGGAAAAATAATTACTTAAATTACACTTGATAAAAAAGAAAATAAATTTGTTAGTGATTTTTTTATAAACTGTTTTATAAGTTGACGTACAGCTCATACATACTTGCTTCAGCTTGAAAGTCTCTGAATGCATCAAATACAGACTGATTACCATGTCGTCTTGTATGAGCAACTAAAACAAATATTTAACAGTAATTAACAATAAATGATTGGTCAATTTTACAGGTATTAGCACTTCCTTTCTTTTTTTTCTGTGTAATTATAAAACTGTTGAAAATATCTGGCATGTTGACCCTAAATTCATTAGAGCGTTTTCTTATAATCATGCAACTCCTGATTATATCATTTTTAGTCAGTGATCTACTGGTCAGGAAAGTGTTGATAACCTCGTCCATATGATCCTTCCACTAAAACACCTCTTGTCTGTGGAATGGGAGCTCTTACATCGTCTTCCCTAAAAAATTAATAAAATTATTGTGATTCCTCTTAGCTATCACACAATAAACTTCTTAGCATATTCCTAATATATGAAACGATTTGCAAGTTAATGATTCACACATTGCAGCTCTGACTGTATCACTACACTATAGATTTAAAGACATGAAACAGAAATAATATTTAAATCAAACAGACATAATATTTGCTGCCATACAAAAATGTTCTAACAAAAGTTTTTGAGAGATAATCGTTTATATACCATAAAAACAAACAATTTTAAATGAAATGAAGCAGAACACAAATTTATGACTATCTGCCCCAAATTATCAATATTATCAATCTAGCAGCAACACTGTACACAGTACAGACAAAATCTTGACCGGACACAAAAAATATGCAATCCACAAATTTGCTTGGTTGGGAAGACCTCACTTCTAATTTGCATGGTGTGTTTTAATTGTCAGTACCAGTATGAATTGGGTCTGCTATGTCCAAACTAATTAAAATCATGGGAGGATTTAGGCAGTGGATATTTCATTTGCAGGTGCTCACACTTGAATAGTGCAAACAATGTATATCCTACACAAAAACGTCTGGCTAATAGAAAGTGATGTGAAGAACTTATTGGTGTTCGTTGTCAATAACACGGTTAGTAGAACAAACGAGTTAGAAATACAAAAAACCTCTGTTGTATCACATATTATCTATCCCCTACACTGAAAGTATTCTACACACATCTACACAACGGTCAAGTAAAAGTCAACACATCCCATGTATTTAGAAATATTGTTGCACTTTTAAGATACAGGAAATGCATTTAGGAATGCATGCAGTTAGAAATAAAAGGAATTTGGAAGCTTTGTTCTAATCTATGTCTTCCAAGCTATCTAAAAGACTAGACATGACATACAAGTATAATTAAACGTGGAACGGTCAACGGTGCTCACCCGACACACTGATGACTAGTGCTTTCTCCTTGAGAATGATTTCCCGATGGTTCATCCTCTTCTAAATGCATATCAATTGCCATTTCCAAATTACCACTACAAGCGTTCAGCAATACTTGTGCTCTACTCTCAGTGGCCCCCGTAATGTTTACAAATTGTTCGACTAAAGATGGATCACACTCTCCCTCCATTTTGAAACACTGTCCAGTTGTATTATTGCGATCAGCATTTAGCAAAGCCGAAAACGTCGCAATAATATGGTCGCAATCAGTGGTCGCAATATATTATCTTTTTTGAATAAACCATGATCGAAACAACACAAATTTAATTTAATAGATTTTAATTGGAATATTTGTGCAATACGAATATACATAATGTTATAACGATTATATTTTGAACTGAAGTTTGAATAAATGTGTTACCTAACTACCCAATTACCCACACCTACCCAGTACACACCATTACCACCTATTTGTAATACAGTTATTGATTTACGCTGCCTTTATGAATAATTAACTTTCTGCGTCGTGTTGCTTGAGATTTCTCCAGTACTGCGAGTGTACACCAACAGTAGAGCTGATAGAATCAAGTGCACTATTGAAAACGATAAAAGGTGTGAGCGGTAATAATAAATGTCATCACCGAGCTTTGTCTATGGGCAATTCTACCCGGCTATAAGGCATCTTGATGGTATCATGACTATCATGCACAAATCAAGAAACAGCTACCTCCCTCTGCAAACAGGAAGGGTTTGCGCCGCCGAGCAACCACTGGAACAATACTTCGGTCAGAGACCGCTGTTGTGACATGGTGCCGTACCTTTCTCATCTTTCCATCGCAAGGATTATCGACAGCGGGAATTAGGAATACAAAAATTCGTCCAAAAAGGAGATAGGATAAAGGATTCGGAGTTAGGGCTCAATAAATACATAATATAAATATACCTGTCGGAAACTGATAAAGGTTCCAGTAAAGGACATGGATCTCCTAATAGCGTAGATGCACATGAACAAAAAGACTCGGCCACAGAAGTTAAGTTGTATCCACCCTATATGTATACATAATATGTCTAACATTTCATGAATGCATACATAGAGCAGTCATACAGACCTATTTAGATCATAATGTACAGATAGAATACCTCAAGAGCAAGAACTACTTTTCCACCTGCAAGACTCATCAACATGTGAGTTAAGTGTGCAAATCCCTCAGGGGTAACGTCGCAAAGACCCTGAAGGTTATAAAATATAATGTAGAAGTAAATAAATTTCATGTATAATATGACAATTCCAAAAATAAACCGTTCTACTTTCTAAAATAGGCTCTGATTTATAGTAGAACTAGCTGAACTATATGTTTTCATTGTACATGGTTGTCCAATAAATCAAATGGACGATTGGTATATGTAGATTGGACAAATCGGACAAACCTATGACTATGCCGATTGAATTCAATATGCAGGTATCTTAGTCAAAGAACAACCACATAAGAAACATGCCTCGAAAAATCGCGAGATCGGTTGCGAGAAAAATCTGAGGCCAGTTGTCAGTCAAATGCTCAAACCTGGGTTAATTCAAATCCGTACAAAGTAGATTGTTTAGGTAGATTGAGCAGGTTGTTTCTAGTTGTTTCTACTTTGACATGCACAATATTAAAAAATTAGTTTTTGCTTTTTAGGTGCGTCAGCAAATATCACTGAGGCTTTCTTCTTTTTCCCGAAATATGACGTTTGTCAAATAATATGCATATCCTTGTTTACTACCCAGCAAAAACGAGCCTTGAATTCTTTCTTTTTAACTTTTTGTGAAGCATACAAATTGTTTCAGCCCTCGTCCAATTAAAAACAATAGTATGCACTTTTCGTCCTCTGAGAACAACCAGAGCATAACAACAAAGGTTTTCAGGTCTAATCAGGCGCACACCATTTACCCACTGAGCTTATAATACAATGGAGAGAAATGGAGAGAGCAACCATAGATTATAGCTCAGTGCATTTACCGCATAAAAATATGTCTGAATAAAGTTCGGAAGTATGAAACAAGCAAATCTTTTATTATCTACTGAAAGAAGTCTACCTGGCCGTTGAAACCTGCTACGTCTATACAGGTATTTACAAGAAATTATTCTTCAATGTATTCCGCTACGGATCAACCCATTTTGTTAAATTTGAACGGCAAGCATATCAGTGCATGACATTGACGGTTGTTACAACATGGGCTAATTTTCTCTTATTTTTATCAATACATGCATCCGTTTTGCCACCATAATTAAGAGCAACCATTAATGTAATCTAATCATTATTCTGAATGCGTACAAACTATACAGCCTTGAGCGTTTAGAATGTTTTTGGGGGGATTTAGTCGCTTCTTCGATTTAGCATGAACGCATGCATGCAGTGCTCCTATAGAATACGGCACGACTATACAAATATCCAATCCTGCGGTTTATTTGAAATGACGTACATTGCACTAATTCTCATTTTCAGGCTTCAAAAGTGTCGTCCAGCATATGTAGCGGCGCTGTACTTATCTGATGGGTGCCATTAACCAGTATTTTTGATACTGCAAAAGATCTCGCAAGACATGTCTGATATTGGATCATTCGACATGAAGCATGTGTCCATTGGATATCCAATATCCATGCATGTGAAAGATGCTTACCCATTGTATTCCATGGACCTATACTTCCAGGATCACTGCACATAGTATATAGCTACTTTCTTTCCCATCACAAAGGCGTCATTCTATAGTGACTGTCCGTTAGGGATAAACTCAATCCTAGGAGCAATCCTATAGGAGCAATCCTAGGAGCTGTATACGTTTTTTATATTCAACGTAATATACTGTTCTCCTTTATGTATTAACATTCGCTTTCTCCTCATATACTAGCTATATCTCTACAACTAGTTGTTAAAACTACTTTTATGCTTTGACTATATATGATATACAAAGTGATAAAACGGCACCTTTGGATCTCCTCTTGCAGAATCAAACCCTCCAGAAATCAGAACCAACTCTGGACAAAACTGGCAAAGTTCAATAAAAGTCGAGAGGAATAAAAGTTCACAACAGGTAGTAAATCTCATTTATTTCACATGTACTTTCTTCACAACAAGCGCAAGATTTTTACCATACATGCGAAAAATAAGAAAGGCATGCGACGAGAAACGGTATATAGCAAGTGTAGATTATGGTATTAGTATTCCTTGACTTATATGTGTGACTTACCTCGTAGGCAACGGGAAGTAAAATCCGTTGAAAAACAGCAATATAATCCGCATCGTTCATGTGCGTCTTAATAATATGAAACGCATGGTGTAGCGCATTCAACAATGATCGCACGTTATTTAAACACGTTCATAAATTATCATACCTTATTCCAGGCCACGTTAACATTGAAACCTTTTCCTTCATCCTTTCCGACAAAATCAAAATTTGAGTACTCTTTCTCGGGCCAGTATCGTCCATGGTCATATCGATGAATAGAGAAGTACAGCACACTGAAATAACACAATGGTTTCAATATTGATAATCAATATTTATTCCTCCACTATTATGACTCACCAGTACTGGGTAACAAAATATATTTCAGTCTTTTCACCCAAGATAATTTTGTTGCGCTCAATTGTTTATTTGGTAAAGTTGTTTGTAATAAATTAGTTGTACTTCTAGTATCTGCATGTCGCAAGTTATATGTACTACACACAAAAAACACTTTTCACATCAGCCACTACTGAACGTCAACCACTTGACATTGTAGGTATACACTAGCGTTCGCGAAATTATTGAATAAATTAGCTAAATGTATGACATTACTTTTATATGTCAACATACCTTGGATCAGATTGAAACGCATGCTGTATTCCGTTACCATGATGGATATCCCAGTCCACAATCAATACCCTATATGAAGATGACATGAATATAGCAGAGCTATAGAGCATGTAGCTCCATATCCTATAACTGCCAATAAAAAATATGGACATAGAAGTATTCGTATAGCATTGTTTAACACTTGATGACAATATGCCTTCATTGTTAATCCGCTGGTATTGGAGGATACCACCTCGCTTCTTATATGTACACACATTCGTGCAATCCATGGAAAATTGCTTAATAAATTTCTTAAATCCTGATAGAAAATCTACACTTGCACTCTGCGAATGATTGGTTTCCCAAAGGAAGCAAACAAATATATTATACGGTCCTATCACTAAACATACTTTAAAAAAGTGCGTTACGTTAGTTATAGAGCCTTGTTTTCGCAGAGGCCGAGCTTTATAGGTAGTAATATCCTTCGCACGAAAATGAGCCTAAGTATGGCAAACGCTAAAATCTACGAGTCTTAACATGGAATGAGTTTAATTTTAATCACGTTTCTCAAACATGTATTCCTATTTACAGGGCTTTGACCAAACCACTAAAAAAACATGCATAAGAACAAGACTAAAGTTATATAGACGGCCACTAGTTGTATATACCGTTTAATGTTCCACTTTTTCTGTGCAATTTTGGCTGCAATAGCGACATTATTGAAGTAACAATATCCCATACTAAACTCATGTTCTGCATGGTGACCAGGTGGCCTGTGGAGGTCGAACAAAGAATAAAAATACAATAAGAGTAATAAAAATAAAAACTAATAGGACTTACGCTAAAAATCCAAATTTGCTAAATCTTGACAATGCATGCATATATATGAATTTCAATTTCAGATAGATGATTGATCCCGTCAGCTAACGTAGCTATAACTAACGTTAACAAGGTTGCAGCTAAAGTTTAGGCTAGCTGATTATATAGCTATAAAAGTGTAAAGTGTATAAAAGTGTGTAACAGAGACTCAGAGTTTGGTTTACTGTCATTTGAATATACTGTCGGGCGAATTTTTCAAACAAATGCTTAAATTCCGAAAACGGTTGATGGGAAAACAGACGGTTTCACAAAATCTATAAAACTATATTGCTAATCATTACCTAATTATTGCGACACCATTTCTGAACTATATCACAAAGAAGTAATTTTTTTTTAGATGACATGAAATAAAGATTCCCTAGTGGATGCAAATCAATGTTGTATAGAAAACACGCCATCCACCTTCTCTGCCAAGACATTATCAAGGACTGCCAATGTACAACCAACTGCCATTCTAGCACATTCATTGGCATACTAGAAAAGTGGACATCAAATGAGATTTTAGGTGACGAAAACAGGTATTTGCTAATTTATTTAATTTCAATTTAATTTATTTAAATTCATTTTGCAGATTGAGCAATTTCAAAATATCTTATTCACGGCAATACAATATGCTGTTTGCAATACGTACGTTGCTGAAATAAATGGAGTCGTATTCCTCTGCTTTTGACTTTAGCTCTTCATCAGCACAATGATCTAACTTACTTATTTTTTCAATGTACTCTTCGCTGAAAGTAGTACTGATTAGTCAGTATGACCAGTCTTGAAAAGTAAATCAAAAACTGCCTTTGTACTACATATACGTATACCTGTGGACTGTTAACAATTCTTTATCTGTGGCCATACGAGACTATATAATTATTACAATTGAGGTATATTAATTAACTTTATATTTACATGCGGGGCGGGTGTGTGAGGGCTTGATCCACGGAGGGGGGAGTGAGGCATGACTACAGCAACGATTTTCCTGTTATGTTATAATCAAATTTTCTTAACTACCTTTGAAATTGTTTCATTTCTGGGAAATCATATACCTTAACTCTTGAACACCTCGTACTTAAGTTTAATTCTTCAAAACGTTCGTATGTTCTTGCGATGCGTTCTGGTTTCTCGGGATGTTCCCTTTTTTAATAAAATGTCAGTAAGCGACACGGTGTACGGTGACTAATTACCCAAGTATACATTAATAATATTATAATACATTTATAATAAATGTTCAACAGCTTCTGTTGTATGGGTGGCCCAAAATGTGGGGTCATCCATGGAAGCTTTTTTTTTTACCAAAAGAAAGTTTTGACGTTTCTTACTCAAATATATTGCAATGCTTCAGCATGACTTCATCATAACTGTAACATGTTCTAAAAACAAAAATCGTAAAGAGTTTTACGTTGGCGCGAGTTTAGCGGCCACCATATAACTCACGAGCGCAATATAGTCATTTAAAGATAAGCGAGAGGTAGCGGAGCGGCAGTTCGTAAAAGTCAAATCTGAACCCCGTTACTTTTCTAATAATGAGAAATTCATGCAGCTTTGCATTTGATACGAAAACATGATCAAATAAAGACTAAAGAATTATACAATTATCGTCTGTAGCGCATTGGCCGTTTTTACACTCATAACCAACGCCAGCGGTAGTTCGTCTAGACGGATAATGTGCCTGTTGTCCGTCTTTATACTGAAGACGAACAACCAGCATTATGCGCCTCTAGTGTGAAAACGGCCATTATAGCAAAAACTACGCATGGTTAATTTGTCATGCCAAAAATTTATATTTTATCATTTGTTCCGAAAGTGCTGCCATATGCCATTGAGAGGCTGGTAGCAAGTTTGAAAAAAACTGATTTCAAACTTTTAGATGAATGACACATGACCAGATAGTATTGACTCAAATGGAGAAATCTGTTGTTTACACAATATGTATATGAATTATGATTTTTTTAGTTTGCCACTTTATGCAGGAAAATGTACAATTATATATTCTCTCACCTATAGCATGTCTCATATTGCTTCACATCAATCTGCAATGATATGAGCAATTACCATAAAATTTGTATGTTCTTCTGATTAAGACTTGAATACCATAGTATAATGATAACAAATTAACAATCAATCACATTTCAGAATTATGAAATATAATTATATCATTATGAATTACTACTATACATTTCAAATCAAATTATTAGTAATAAATTAATGTACAATCATTGTATAACTTTAAATCTGTCCATTATTATTAGGCAATTTGTAATTGATACTGGTAGTTCTGATGGCATTAAATTCTGAAGGTTACACACTAAATAGGTTCAAAATGAGATCAGAGAGCATGTATATATATATAATGAGATAAGAATGATATTAAGAAATTTGAAATTACATTGAGAAATTCTTGAACATGAAATATTGTCTTGAGGAAGTAGATGGCTAAACCCATTTTAAGGTGAAAATCAGGTAATATATTCTCCTTATTATGCATGCAGGGAAAAATAAGGTGTCACAAAAACAACAGCAAGCTTAATTTAAAATGAATATACAGCTAGAGCATGGAATATTGAGGAACTCATCATCGTAATGTGTTTAAAAATACAGTAAATCCAATAAAGACGTATGAGGTTGCTAAATTTCTTTCTCCTAAAAGAGGCTTTTTAGAGGGGGGGGCAGGGGGCGTAATTAAAGCTCCACGCTCAAGGGCTATATAGAAAGAGTACAGTTATATGTTAATCATAGGGGCATTTCTGATTTCTGGCTAACTTATCCATGGAAATAAAATTTCAAAACATTTCCGTGAGGTTTCTACGCGGTTATATATTTACTCTATCTACTTCACATATTCCATACTTGGTCAGGTGGTACCTACAGCATAATTATGATATATTTTAATATAGATGGATTAGTTCAAGGTTTGCGGGATACATGCTACCACGGTCCACCGCGTTACTCGTCATAAAAATATTATAATAGGCTAGCAAACTATTACATAATTGTAGAAATTACTAAATATACGTTACATTTTCATCTGTATATTCCATTTCGCAAATGTAATGCACGCTGCTATCTATGGGCGGCCGTTACCACCAAAAATGTTACACGTGTGAAATGAATGGACATAAACAGAAATCATTCATAACAAACACGAATGATTCAATGTGTTTAGAAATGCTTGAACATATTGTAGTAATATGACTGGACAAAACAAGAAATGACTCGTTCAAAGTTGAAACGATTCACTTCACTGTGTATTAATTCGGCTATTATTGAACTGATTCGTATGGACCAAGTGAAATGACTTGATGTATTTTGCAGTGACGCAACAAGTCGTATAAGAGTGACCCAGTAAGCTGTCAAATAATTCATGCTTTTTTACAGCCATCCGATGTGTTTTAAAATAGCTCAACTAAATTCGACACCATTCAACCAGATGAGACGCGATTCGATCTAATATGCGACAATGTAACTCAATGTGAAACGGCCCAGTTAAAGGCGGCGTCGTTCAGCTAGATGTGAACAGATTCAAAATCATGTGAAATCACTCAAATAAATGTGAAATCACTCAACAAGATGTGAAATGGCTTCACCAAAGGTGGAACGATTCGCGTCCAAGTGAAATGACACGGCATTTTGATTTGACGTAACTTGTGCGTTCTTGACACGTCTTGTTGTAAGTTGATTCATCATGTTGTGAAGTGAATCAACAAGATGCTTCCATCTTGTTATTTATACTTCCTTGAAAGAAATTTTACGGAAATAAAATCAAAATATGGAAATTTGCCGCATGTTTATTGAAATGAGATATCGTTCAAAGTCCTTTCCGCAACTCACACTTCGACGTTCGCACACCGTTATTTTGTATCGCGACATTTTCCAAGCTTTTTTGCATTTTGTTGGCAAATATTTTTCCCCTGGAAGATCTCAGTATAAAGGTATTGTTCAAAGATTTATACTCTGTTCTTGAACAATATCTCCTTGTTATTTAGAGTAAATTATTTTAATATAGGAATTATCTGCGTCAACATACATGACATACATAGTGTTGTAACATTTTATAAAGAATTGTTTAACATTGATATAACATTTGAAAATACTAATCTATTCAAAAATCTTAAAAGCTTAATTAATGTCATGGGCAGGCAACATGGCAAAATTTTTAAATATGTATTATATACAGGAGGATCCCCTCCCTCCCCTTTGTATGGAAAAGAATAAGGATGTCACATAACTCACATTAACATTAGATTCCATCTATTTCTATTCCATACCCAATGTGCATACTATATGCTACATTTTTTCAGGGGAGGGGCAATCACTGATGAATAGTTTTTTCCTTTAGGTCAATTTAATATAGATACATTATGGATTCATTTACAGCAGAACTAATTAATGCTATCAAGGATGTCATTACCATGTTAAGTGAAAGCACGAGTTATGATGATCGTGAGCTGTGTGCAATGCAAGTACTGGGCTTCCATCCAGAGTTAGGGGATATGGGTGTGGAAAACCGTGATGTTGCTCATTACATGTTGAGCCATCCAGCAAGAGGACCATCTCGTGGGAGTTATATTACTGGCCGCAGTGTTCACAATTCAAGGATTGAGCGATTGTGGAGAGATGTATATCAAACCGTTCTATCCATGTTCTACGACCTGTTCACACTTATGGAAACGGACGGAATCCTTGATCCCGATAATGAACGCCACCTCTTTTGCCTTCATGAAGTTTATAAGCCTGTCATCAATGATATGCTTACAAAATTTTCAAACGCTTGGATACATCACAAGATGCGCACAGCTGAAAATAAAAGTCCTCTTCAACAATTTATTATGGGCATGCAACAAATACAACACGAGAATGGTACTATTGCCAACGAATATTTTGAAAATCTTTCTGAGGTAAGTTATTCTTGTCGCTATGCAAATTTGCCGCCTTTTTCGAAATAGAGTAATACATACAATTCCATATAAGGCACCATGAAAAAAGATTTTGTGCAGAAGTCAGAACCTTACTAAAATTGATCATGTTCTCTAGATGAAAAAGGGCTGCAAACTCTGTTCGCTGGGTAAAAAATAGGCATATATAATTATGCAATTTGAATTTGCTCACTTCCTAATATATAAGTCTTATCTATTAGGAATCAATCTACTTAGTTTCGAATTTGGTTTACTTTTTCATTTCTCCAGACCGAATTAAATACTTATGGTGTGGACGTACAGGCAGGTTTACCACAGTACAATGATGACGACGGAGTAGTAGTGCCGGACACTACAAATCCACTGGATGAAACAGCTTTTGCTGATTTTTTACACAGAGTGTCAACAGTAGAGCGCACAGACCCATGGGACACTGAACCGTACCTATATGCGTTGCAAACACTTGACAATTTACTACCCGAGGAATCGCAGTAGTATTTAATAACTGAAAAGTGGGAGTGAGTCTCAACTGCATGATATTCCACAAATTGTGCATATACCACAAAACAACAAATGTAAATATCATGTAACCTACATGATAAATGTCAATACAAATACAAATGTCCCCTTTTTTTAGAATTAAAATAATTTCGGGATAATATTGAAACATGTATTAAGCGGTATTACTTCTCATAAGCTTGTTTTAAATATAATAGTTTAAAATATTGTACCATATATAAAGTACAATATTGTTGTAAATATTATAACTGAGATCGTAAACAGCTAAAGCTAATGCCATGTAAATAGATTTTAAACAGACTAATGAATTGGGACTTTTAAACAGATTCAGACATATCTGCTTAATAATCTTGTAGTGTAATGTAGAAGAGTGCTCGATACAGTAGAGTAGAGCTGTTACAACAAAATGAGAGACATATATATATATATATATATATATATATATATATATATATATATATATATATATATACATATAAATCGGTACGTTACGCCATTCCAAAATGGGTATTGCTGAAAGCTAAATCAAATTTTTGGAACATTTCATCTTGACTTTCAGGAAGAATTTCACCAATAGCCAGCCGTAAAAGGTTGATGCATGTGTTGGAGGTTGGTAGGCACGAACGCGTGCCGTCACTAAAACACAAAGCAGGCTGGATTGCAAAACCCAGAACAGGCTCATCCTCTGAACCAGTGGCGAATCTTAAGACATCGCCTAGCGATACATTTTCTCGCCTCCCAGCTAAAGGATTAAATAAAAAGTGTTATATAGGTAAAAAGTTAATTAGATAAAACGTGCAGAACGAAAGAAAATATGAACATACCAGCAACCTCTTTGACGTAATTCAAAAAAAGCCTGTATGCCCTGTTCTCTTTCATCCTCTTGTTGGAACCCTGCTCTGAAAATTTTGGCGCCAAAATCTTTACGATTCTCGGATACGTCAACGGATGGTATGCTGTTCTTCGTAATAGGAAGAGCATCGATGGTCTTTCCTTGATGAGCTGAAAATAAAAATATATTAAAATTAAATAGAATTTTTATGATTATGAAAGTAACGGGTACACATAAATCATAAATACACTTCTTTTAATTGTTTCTGTACTCAGTGTTCTATGGCAGTATAACAAATGTAATTACCTCTACTAATCCAAATTTCGAAAAGCCGTTGCGAAGTTGTTCTTCGGCGTCGTTCAGTTGTTCTGCATGAACACCAAAAAGTTTGGTCAGTAATTCTTCGTGCATAAAACACGGTAGCGGTCCGCCTTGTAACATGCTGTAACCTTAAATGAACAGAGTCAGGGTTAACAAAGACATTAACTTGAACGTAGTTGTAAGTTGCAGTTTAATAATAATAAGTTCTCTTACCAAATACAAGACCAGCTCCAAAGAAGTATCTGCGAGTCTCGGCGACAACATCTTGGCGTAAGGTATAGGTATCGCCGCCAACCACAAATAAATGGTCTTTTATCTCGCGGGTCATTGCACCTAGGAACTCTTTCCGAGGACCACCTAGATCCTGTGCGCACTCGCCAGTAAACGTGACTTCTAAAGGAAGACTAGGATCGCTCACACCAAGTCCACCCAACAACTCGTCCATGCCATCTTCGTAAATGTTTTCCCGCGTAACGAAAACATCTGTTGTTTCACCTTCAAGTTGCACCGTTGGGTCCATAACATCGAGGGGACGACCCCGCAGAAAGTGGCAAGAGAAGGTTCGCAGAACTTGGACAGGGTCATCATTTGCAGTTCTGCAATAATATTATAAAAAAATTCCGCTCATAAAAATATCGTTCATTGATGATTACAAGCAAGCTTTGCAATAATACGTACGTTGCTTTTAGTGTTGCGTCGATGGCGTTTCGTAGGTGTTCTTCGTATGGCAGAGCCATAGGATCTACTTCCACGCTAAGAACAGAATTAAAAATGTTTAAATATGAAAGAAATATATATTGGTTTTGATTGCATCGGTGTGGATATTGATTCCGTGTATCATTGAAATTTTCTATTTGGGTAATACCTGTTTTCAAGTTCAGCGCGATTGCTGTCCTCGATTTCCAACGTTTCATTTGGTTGAGGAACTGGTGCTAATGAATCCAGGTCACTGTCTCTCGCGTCAGTATTAGAGACTAATTGTGTCGGGGCGATCTGTTCGTTTAGCGGCAAAGAGGTTGTATTTGAAATTAACGTGTCATCATCCGTAACTTGAACGACGTCGTTTCTAAAGATAAATTCAAGAACAAATGAGATGGTGTACCACCTGTAGCCAAATACCGTATAAAGCATGATTTTTTAAAAATGAAGTTCCATTACTATTGCTTTAATTGAATTTCCAATGTTTTATTGTAAACAGTTCGTACACATAGAGTTGCAAACTATAGTCTTATTAGGTTTTAACATGCTATGAAGAATTGATACCTTTCACTGTTAATTCCATATCGGCTATTCTCGTCTCCCTCTTCAGTTTCATGCTCATTTGCAGAATGATAATGCTGTCGAAATTGTTAAATAGTTTGTTAAACAAAAACATGTTTGTCATTTTCCTTCGGCCGATGTAATTTGTCTTAGCATTTACAATGGGAGCGGTGGATTATCTGAAATATCTAAACTTACCTCGCAAGCTTGTAGATGCTCACTCATTTCACTAACTGAAACGCTTTCACCGCATGATAAGCATATTTCTTTTTCTTCATGAAAACGCACAGTTTCCGTCAAAGGAATACTTCTTTGAAGCGGTCGTATGTATATTCGGCCATTGCCAAAGCATCTCAGTTGCTCCGTACTGCATGAGCCATGCGAAACTACTTTCAACTTCTTTCTTTCCTTTTCCTGACTCACCAAAATTTGAAAGCCACCAGAAAAGCGCAACGGAGGATAAGCCCTATTATAGGATGCAGCATCTGCACAACCTGCATTAATGCATTTACTGTGTCCACATTATTACTCTAAAAAATAAAAAAAATCTTTAAAATAAAATTTTGGTGACACCATAATGTACAATTGTATAATTTTGAGAATATTCAAGCAATTAACATAATTTTAAATGAATATTGAATGTAATATTCCCACCATTGTTGCATACACTTTAAGGATTTTACCAACAGCTGAAACGTAACACAAAGTTGAAATTATTTCATTATCATCTGCTAGGGAGCCTAAACAGGGCCGGATTAACATCGCGCGAGTCCCGTGGCAGGTTTTTGGCGCGGGGCCCCCATCCCCTGGTATGAAACTTTTAAATTCAAAGACACACAAATTTGGTAATTGTTTTTTGTTTTATCTGTTATTCATTTTTTTGGATGTAATTACGTCTTAGGAATTGTTTAATGCATTCTTGAGTGTAAAAGAAGTAAATCAGAAGTAACACTGTAGCTGCAACATGATACAGGAGACAATGGTCCGATCAGGACCAGGTCGCAACACGTGTAAACAGGATCATATAACAGCGCAACAAGAGATTAAATACTAACGGGGATCTATATTTTCCTGGGTTAACTAAAGAGTGTAGGAGCCCTGAATGCGTTAGTCATGAAGACCCTAAATGCGCGAGTACCTTAAGTGCGCAAAGGATATAAAATGGGTGTGTTTTCGTTAAAACGAGCTCGGCACAGTAAAGCGCGATGCCCCCATAAGCGCGAGGCCCGCGGCATATTCCGCATCTGCCACATGGTTAACCCGGCTAGCCCTGTCAGCCTAAATACAATTATTTCAAATGTTACATGGAAAAATCAGTGACAATTCTTTAACGTATAACTTATATTTTTAAGCCATATTTTCCGGCCATATTTTCCCGAATAAACAATTCGCACTTTCTTTCTCCTGAAAGCGCAAACGCACACATGGCCCTTTGCCCTTTACCCGGCCGTTTTCTATAAATAATTTACTCTAAATAACAAGGAGATATTGTTCAAGAACAGAGTATAAATCTTTGAACACATACCTTTATACTGAGATCTTCCAGGGGAAAAATATTTGCCAACAAAATGCAAAAAAGCTTGGAAAATGTCGCGATACAAAATAACGGTGTGCGAACGTCGAAGTGTGAGTTGCGGAAAGGACTTTGAACGATATCTCATTTCAATAAACATGCGGCAAATTTCCATATTTTGATTTTATTTCCGTAAAATTTCTTTCAAGGAAGTATAAATAACAAGATGGAAGCATCTTGTTGATTCACTTCACAACATGATGAATCAACTTACAACAAGACGTGTCAAGAACGCACAAGTTACGTCAAATCAAAATATGCCGTGTCATTTCACTTGGACGCGAATCGTTCCACCTTTGGTGAAGCCATTTCACATCTTGTTGAGTGATTTCACATTTATTTGAGTGATTTCACATGATTTTGAATCTGTTCACATCTAGCTGAACGACGCCGCCTTTAACTGGGCCGTTTCACATTGAGTTACATTGTCGCATATTAGATCGAATCGCGTCTCATCTGGTTGAATGGTGTCGAATTTAGTTGAGCTATTTTAAAACACATCGGATGGCTGTAAAAAAGCATGAATTATTTGACAGCTTACTGGGTCACTCTTATACGACTTGTTGCGTCACTGCAAAATACATCAAGTCATTTCACTTGGTCCATACGAATCAGTTCAATAATAGCCGAATTAATACACAGTGAAGTGAATCGTTTCAACTTTGAACGAGTCATTTCTTGTTTTGTCCAGTCATATTACTACAATATGTTCAAGCATTTCTAAACACATTGAATCATTCGTGTTTGTTATGAATGATTTCTGTTTATGTCCATTCATTTCACACGTGTAACATTTTTGGTGGTAACGGCCGCCCATAGCTATCACTGCAACGAATGTGAGGAATGTCTGTATTCAGTATTTTTAGATTAGACTTACATGAAGTTCTCATGAAGAGAAATATCTTTACTTTTATTATGTTCTCATTTTTTGTTCTATTTCATTGTTTGCGGTCTTTGCGGAATTCTGCTGGAAATTGTTATAAAAGTTACATCTATGTTTTGACTCGAGCTGTCCTAAATCAGTAGAATTTCCAGCACCAAATGCCACCTATACCCACTCCATTAGTCCATTCTCTCACTTCTAAAAAACAGAAACAAGCTTTTACTTTTTTGAATGGGGAATCTTAAAATTGCGCGTTTTCTTTGTTTTTTCACTGAATGTAGACGGTCTGAGGATGGGCGACTCGTACCAGTACCATTTACCTGTGGTGGTTCTAACTTGCCAATTACAAAGTGGTGGTCTGACTGACGGAAATTTCGGTGCTGTGCGTGATTATGGGCTAATTTCTTGATTTCTTGGATTTCTTAACATTTAAGTTATTTAAGTTTCAGTAAGTTCTTAAAAGTCTAGAGAGGAAATAAGCACTTCATATTATACAAATTAGCCCCCTTCGAAGAGATCCCTCATCCAATCAATTGGTTTAAAGCTGTAGCCTGTAATGGTCACGTTATAATTATAGTCTTTCTTTTTTCATGAATCCGTATCTGATGAAAAGCAATGAACTGAGAAAATATGAATGAAACTGAAACGCCAGAAATGACTGAGAAATGGTTGGAATTTGGAAACCGACGAACTCACCGCGCGTAAGAAGGGGGCTCTAGGTACGAGAATAACCAAAACCAATATGGCGGAAAAAATTGATTTTCAGAAATGGAAATACTGGTGTGATATTTTGACTGTTAACAGCAATGCTCTGCTTCCTTGTGTGAAGTGGGATGATGTTAAAAACGCTCTCTCTGGTTTAAAATTCTGTACTAAGGAACAACAATACAGGTAAAATGACTAAAATCGTTTAACTATTAAATGACTATTAATCGTTTAACGAATATAAAATAATACCCCATATTAACATATTTGCGGGCTTTTTAACTGCAAGTCTGTAACTTAACAAATAGCATTGCGGAATGAGTTTGTGAATTGATTTTGAATTCTTGCTAATGTGGTTAAGTGAGCCTTCTAGGATGCCAGTGTTATTTTTCCTAATTATTTCAGGTCTCATATAACAGAGGAAATCATCAATCAATGTAGAAGTTTAATTGTGAAGTCAAGTTCATTGGATTTTGTTCAATGCTGTGAAATTCAGGCTGATGCTTTTCGGTTTTTACGAAATTGTTGTGCTGGTTCAAAAAAACTTCAAGACCATGTAATGTAGGTAGTAAACATGCCTCTTCAAAATGTGACAAAAATAGTCACATATAATTGAAAGTCACTTATTGAACATCAGGGTCCAGTTGTATAAAACTGTTTAACTGCATTTTGCATAGTTAAATACGCAACTCTAATTGGCCAATTCTGTCCTTAACTACAGTTAAAAGTTAACTAGTGTTTTATACAACAGGCTCCGGTTCTTTTAAAATGTGCAACCACATTACCATGTAGTTTATAGTATACATTATAGCTCATACAGGCACTGCATGCTAATAGTATTGTGTACTTCAATTAGGTTCTATGTATTCTCAATCTTAATGGAGATGCTTGAAAAAATTCTGGCACAAAATAAAGACTCAGGTAGGGTAATTTTATCAGTTGAGCTTAACATGTACAGCGATCTAAGTACATCTAGTGTTATACAGTATATCTTCATTTTGATTCATTTGGCTAACATTAACCTCAACAGATGTGGTGTTGGTGAAGCAAGTTCTTATTTCGGGAATTCAATTGCTGGGTAATCTGGTTGTTGATCATGAAGAGAATCAAGAAATTGTTTGGATGAGATGCTCCTTTAGCTTTTTTCTGTAGGTGTGATTGCTATTGACTGCAGTAGAAGTTAAGCCCCATATAGACGGGCAAGTTTTTCTGGCCAAGTTTTATTTGCTTGTGTGTATGCGAAAAAATTGACAAGTTTTCCTTGACAAGAGCCTTGTTCAAAAGCTAGTCATGCCAGCTTTTCAACAAAGAAATATGCTCGTGTTTACGGCCGTCAAGGAAATCTTGACAAGGAATTGTAGGGAAACCACACAACAATATCTTCGAGCCAATCGAGCGGTTTTGTAAATTCTTAAAAAAATTGTCAAGAAAAATTTCGAATACACAGGCAAATAAAACTTGGCAAGGAAAAACGAGCAAGTGAACTGTTCAAGAAAACTTGTCAAGGAAAACTTGTCAGGGAAAACTTGTCAGGGAAAACTTGCGCATCTGTATGGATGTTTACCCTTCATTTCTTTTGATCCAATGAGAAAATGTCTAATAAGAAAGCAAGACCATTTGATGAAGGAATTCATTTAGAACAACCTAAATAGAATTGAACAGATCACCTGTTTGTCATACCTTGATTAAATGATGTAATAACATTATACATTCAACATGTGATTCATGTGATGCACATTGTCCCCTCCATCTTTGAGTCATTCCTTCTTCATTTTTCCATGGTGGCTTTATCATGACCAAAGTTATCATATTGAGAAATCGATCTTCATGCACTGAACCAGATTATAAAGAATTTTATTATACCAGTTTCACCATTTTGCAATAGCAACAGTTGAATTTCTGTCATGTAGGAAAATTATGAAATGTCCCTCTAACGATGCCAAGAATTGTATATGTATGGTTATCTATAACTGTATGAGAAAAAACCCGAGGTAAAATAATTTTAATAATACTGCATGAGATTTTTTCCTTTTGTTTCGATGATACATACGCATTTGATAGATACTCAAGGCGATCATTTGACTATAAAACAGGCATTGAGAAGTTACCGCCGTACGACAAGTATTTGTGTTTTGGATATCCTGGACACACTTATTATATTCTGTTTTATCATGTTTTAGAACTGAACTGTGTACGACTGACGAGGGACTCTCTCTTATTAATGAAATTATAAAAATGTGTTGGACAAACGAAAGCAATATTGAATGGGGGTAAGCAATTCTCTATGAACTTATGTGTATCTTAGCGATTTCTTCGGATTTGTTAGAACTAAAATTTTCATTTTAACTCCATGTCTTGAATTTACCATTTCACAATCCGAAGTCGTATTGCATCCATGCATTATAGCGCGCATGTGAATGTCTTAGATGGCAAGTGAAGATAAAGCAAAATAGCTACTAATTTTCTTTCACAATGTCCGATAGAAATTACTATTATTTGCATAACATAAATTTTGAATAATACATCGTTATACATTGCTATCATTAAAGTTTACTTGAACGCAAAGCTCGTTACTTCAATATCCATGTATATTTTGGTTACAGGATCTTTATAATCGAGTCGTCAATTCAGAATGGATCTTTTCAACAAATCTATGTTGGTGTCAGGAATAATGATCTAAAGTAGGTATTGTAGAAGTTAGCTTCTCGATAAATTTGGGGTATTGAACGTCTCGAATACGTAAGGAAAAAACGCAACGCGATTGGTTCACGAATTATGCGATCTAGGCTCCAAAGCCAAATGACTTATAATCATTAAAAGAGTGTATTAATTTACTTTTCTCTTTTTATCTAGACTGTTTTTGCTCGAGTTAATAGAGTATAAATTAAAAGGTTTGTACGTAACTCCACATTCTCCTCATTACTGTGCGTTTGAGGAACGGGAAGGGAAGTTTACTAAAATTTTACTTTTGTAAATGGACTGCCCATCTCTATGAGGTTATGAATATTCGTTTTTTACTTCTCTTGAGGAGAGGACTCATTTTTCTGCAATTAGAACCCAGAATTTTTATGTTAATGAGATTATGCATAATTTGTAAATGTTCAGTTGTTGCATATGACAACCATCTTGTTTTTTCCCTTTTGTTTTTTCCTCTTGTTTCTCCCTCTTGTTGACAACCATCTTGTTTTTGTCGTAAACATTTGATGTTCAAATGTGTTTACTGTACCTTCACTTCGTTTAGCAAACCAAACGTATGATCATTGTATCTCCTGGATTTCTTTGGACAACGCCCTTTATATCGCCAAAACATTTGAGGAAAATATTAGTAAGATCTTAAACGCTGAGATGAATTTTGATGAAGAATCATCGAGTGAGGTATATATATATAACTTGTTAATTTATGAAGTGATTCTGTGTTCCTAGAGCTACTGCATTTAATCCTAACCGGTTGTGGAGGCCAGTAATTCCGTCCAATCACGCGTGATATGTAACGCAACGCGCTAGAATTATTTTCCCTTGTTAAAAAAATTGTAATTTGCGTTCGCCTCTCCGACAGTTTATAGGCTCGTTTCCTTATTCTGAGATTAAGCTAATAATTCGTTGAACGAAAAATAATTCCGAATGCCGAATATCTTTCTTGTGGATATAAAGCCCGTTTTCCACTAGGCGAATTTATTCGCGCGAAAGATAAAAAGTAGGAAGCGTTTTTTCTTTTTCGCGGCGAATTTTTTCGCAAACCAATCACATCACCGGATTTCAGATTTTCATTTGGCCTGGGTATAAAATGTGCAAGATATGGACGCCGTAGTATCAAAAACGTAGTAAAACAGAGAATTTGATGTGTGCTGACTGCATGACACTTGCTTTTTCTGGCGGTAAAGCACCCTGTATCGCAACCAAATGAACTCGGAAATTGTCCAAATGTGAATCTCTGAAGTATGACTCAAATATACATGATATTTGCACTGAACTTTTACTATGATCTTTCCAGGTTATTCTCGTGAATGCTTTGTTACGTTTGTTGTGTATACTTACTTCGTTTCCAGAGGAATACGACACGTTACGGCAGAGGAAATGTTTACTAGAGACAACACTTTGTAAGTTACACATACTGAAAGTTTTTTTAGACCTCATCAGATGCGTCTCCCCCTCCCCCCCCCCTCCTCCTCAAAAATAACAGAATTGTAATAAATGCTGCTGACCAATGAGTGCCGGTGGGGGGTTGTAAATTTTCAAGATGGTCAGCGTCAGGCGTGATAGTGTGGTCCAAAATTGGAATTCATTGTCGTGGAATTTGTTTTGTCTCCTCTAGTTGCACTACGTGAAACATCCACAGAAGCGAACAGGAAGTTCTTTAGTGATCTAAGTAAATTCTCAAACCCAAGCGACAGGGTTTCCAATTCAACACACCCCGCGTTTGGTTTCAAGAGAGGTTTAATACAGCTCACTGCTAATACGTGTTTCCACAACAGAACGAACCAAGATTGTGTATGTATAGCATATATGTTGTCTGTTGTATATTCCAATGAAATGAAATAGTGATATTCTGCAGTCGCAATAAAATAGTGATAGGCTTATTTTTAGGAATTTCGAGTATTGGGTGAGAACATAACTTTAGCAAAAAAAGGAAAAATGTTGATCGAAGAAAAATGAAAGAAAAGGGGGGTAATGTTGATCGTGGTCGAAGGGGGTACTTGCATGAAAATTATTAAGATCTGTTGTAAAATCTGTGTGGAATATGTAATCATTTGTAAAATATGTTTTCGCGCTAAACAGATTATATTAGTGAAATTATATAGTCTATATTCATGTTAAAAGAGGCCCTGTCATTTAAAATAATGACTTTAATGGTTGCTATTTTGTGTCTTTTAGGTTCGCCATATGGGGTGCATACCCTTACTATTGGATCATTGCAATGTTGATGATTACAATCCTTGTATCCGTTTCCTTGATATTAAATAGAATAAAAGCTCATTATGTTAGAATTAGTGTTGGGGGGGGGGGGGGTGCAGGCTTGTTGAATCAGTTGTGTCATGTTTGAATTCATTTACTTGTGAATATTCCTCCACTTCTTTTTGGCATATTGTTTGGTGAAATCGTTGTTTGGTGAAATCTTTTTTTTTATCTTTAACCGAATTGCTAGACATTTGTCAGTGGGCAATATTTTGTTTACGTAACCTGTTGGAAGACAACCACAAGAATCAAGATATAATAAAATCGTTAACAAAACTTGGAATGGCTTCAAACAGCCGTCTCACGGAAGCCGGGTTTGTTGTGGAGGAGACCAAGGATGGTAAACTAAAAATCACAGGCAAACAAAACCAAGATCCAGCACTGTAAGAATTATGGGTGTGCTATTCATGGCGGTATGTTAAAATTACAGGTATGATAATCTTTTTTTTCAACTCTGCATGCATGCATTGGATATTAACGAACGGTGGTTTTTCATGGTCATTATAAGCCCAAGGTCTTCATAGTTTGTATCAGGTTAACACTACGTAAGTTACCTGCCAATGCTTATTAAGATTTCCTATTTCGGTTCCACAAAATTAGTTAATATCCTCAAACGAATTATGCACAAAATATCTGGCTTTGTAAATTGACGCAACATAATTTGTCAGGTAGCTAATAAGATTAAAAATAACTTTGAATTTCTAAAAATCTGTATGGACGGTTCTTGTGTTAATTATGAATTTTGTTTCTGTTGCTGCAATAAATGATCGTAATCATTGGGTATATCATGCCTCGCTTGCATACGAAAACACAAATTGATTTATTAATAACGAACATATATCTGTATGATCATCAAGCTTTTGGTCCGTTAGACGGAAGCTTCAAAAATAAGATCGTATACGATGAAGTAAAGAAGTCAATGCTGATCATTTAAATATATTTGATAGTTGTAAAGTAGGCCAGAGCTTATTTTTTAAGTGTACAGCTTGGTCGTACAACAAGCCCAAACGTATATGACAAACAAAGTTACTATACGATAAAATATGTTCAAATAGTTTCATCCGTTATTTATAAGAGTAAAGAGTGCAACGAGTTCTAATTACATACATCTACATTACATTACATCTGTAGGACATCTACATTAGATGTGCACATTCATACGTCAAACAAGAAATTAGGATCACAAATCATATTTACATTATAGACAGCGACATTCAGACTATAGGTGCCCGGCATTTGACAGACATGCACACACGCTGAGCCTGAACGGGCGCTTAAATATTAAAATTCTTTTCGCAAGCATTGTTGTTTAGCCCTGATTTGAACGACGTTTGATAGGTGCCCTCCTGACCAGAATTCAAAGTGACATCACTTGTGTTACTACGAGTACGTTTACATAAAGTACACGTGATCCCATTTTTGAATTGCTTTCCCCAATGCGCATATATAAATGGGTTTAACGTCGAGTTGACGGAAACCAAGACTATGGTGAAATTGTGGAAATGACTGAACAGTTTAGCTTTTCCATACTTCACCAATATCAGGTTTATCTGTAATGGATATTAATTGTTCATCAGTATTGGGGACACTAGGAGGCGGTAAAACAGCGCAGCGGTGTTTTATAGCGCCCTGCATGGAGACGCTAAACAAGCATCGCGTATACATGGAGCAATGTTCGGTCGGTCACGGGTGTGAATCATGCGGTGATGAATGCTAATTTTTTTATTTGAGAAGGGGGATGTATCTTAGTTTATTTTTTGCGGTTTTTAACTAGAATATATGCAGTGCAGAATATTTTCAGATTATTTAAACCGAATAGACGTTTTCCAAATACTCTTTCTGCTACCATGGAAATGAGCCTCCTATAACAATCGCTCTACGCAGTCGTTTATCGTTTACATTTTCCGCCTCGTTTGCAGCTTATAGCCTGCAATTTGCAGGCTTTTACTTTTCACTCGAGAAAGTGTCCATTGTGCAAAATCCTCGTAATGATCAGAAATTGCGATGTCAGAGATTAGACCATCAATCCTTACCTGATTTGGTAACCAGCACACAATCAATACAAGCGAGGCTATGGCGGCCATCTTGGTCACATTCTTGATTGCTTCATTTCTTTTGTTCTGTCCGTTAAACTGTTTTCCAGTTTGAATAATCTTGCGAACAGCCAGTGCATACAGCACCAATATTATTCCAGATGGAATAAAGAACTTGAGACTGACTGAAAAAACAGTCATCAACCCGATGTATTGTTCTATATAAATTTAAATTAGCTATAAATTACCAAAGATCAAACGTCATTTCAAACACGTTGTTCGCATCCCGGTTTTGCCGGCTTAGCCTTTCCTCTAGCTTTCAAAACGTCTGCTTGTCTTTTTTGTACAATTATATATAGGCAATAAAATTTACGAAATGTGTATATACTCAAAAAAGAATGTACACGTTATCACACAGGTCCATGCACGGAGTTGAAATTGGGGAGGTTCTTTCAGGTTTATACCGGAGCACTTTTAAATCGGGTTGCGGAATAATTTACCTTCGAATATTTGTGAACTGACACATTTTGCAGCGGTCATGTTCGAGACCTTTGGTTGATATGTTCTTTCCACTGTGCCAATACGCGCCGTTCCTAAACCGAGTATGTAAACCAGTAGCAAATATTTGATCAAGTGTTTCGTTGCAAATCTCAATCTATACAGGAATGGTCGACAAATTGCCGTCCATCTCTCAATGGTGAGAAACAGACAAGTAAAGATCGACACAGCACCGAGTCCGAAGAACACCCAGAATCCAGCAAGGGTCTGGCAATAAACTCGACCGAGGAAAAGGTTCTCCGGAACCGTCGCAGGATTAAAACTTAACCCAGGAGCAATGAGCATCAATACTCCCGTAGTCATGTCAGTAAATGCCAAGCTGAGAATAAACACGTTGTAAGGTTTCTTCAACCAAATTCTGTTGCGAAGAAATTGAACAATAACCGCAAAATTGGTGATGGCTGCGAGTATTCCAATTGGTGTTGCGATGAACTTCACGTATGTCATTTTGGTGTTTTGAAGTGCTCAGTTTTGTGTCTAAAATTGAAATTTTATATCTTTATATTAAGATGTAAAAAAACTTAATCATGCAACTTTTCGTCAGGTGATGTAAAGCTTCAATTTCAAAAGATAGTGCATTTAATCAAAAAATACGTTGAAATTAATTACGGGGAAACATGCATTTCGTTTGCAATAACTTTCAAGTTCACATCCAGTCCTTGAAACTACTGTTTTATGCTATTACATGCAGAATGATGACATTGCAAAAACTATAGCTAATATATATTTTTAAATATATATAAGTAAAAAATTCTTAATATAGCTGAGTGAAAAATGTGGGCGTTCATTTAATTAAAGTTTGTTCAAAACTTAAGGTGGAGCAAAATAGTAATATTTGTTTTGTATTTTGCCATGTACAAGACAGCAGGCCACGTATCAGGTGATTATCAACTTCACAACATTATATGCACATTATGACTACTGTGGCAAACTGCTTGACATGACAGGCAATTTTACTTTGAATAAATACTGTACACTGTGTTTTCTGCTTATCGCGTTATCGGCAGACAACTGTCGGAAGATTGTGATATACATCGTAATAAAAGTTTGTCATTAAAGCCCTTTTGCACAGGAAAATCTATTTTGATTTAAAAAATTCTCATCTTTTTTTTATAATACGCCACAACAAGTCTATCAAATTGCCTGATTTACACTCAGGCAAAATATGCTTGATTTGTAAACATAAATTATTGTTATCCATATTGTTATCCATTTTGACATTATTTTAAATATTGTTAAAAAATAAATAAATTGTGGGTAAAAACCGAGAATTTGTCATGAAATTATGCAAAGAAAATTTGTGACAGAAAACATTTATTAGAGCAAGAAGTTAAGTGGTTCACTATTTATATTGCTATATATATATATTAGGAGTGCTTTTCACTATTTATAGTGCTATATATCTTAGGGGTGATTTTCACAATGCTACAACACTTACAGGATACAATTTTCTGTTTCTTACGATCCAGAGACCAATCTCAGCCGGAGTAAAAGGATAACTATAACATTGGATTGGAATATTAGATATTTAGAACCAAGGTAAAAACACGGCTGTAAAATTGCAACTCTATATAATCCTCTGGCTGGCATGAATCGAACACTTCGTCACTGCACCTTGCAGTGATATAGTTCCCATACGATTTGGCAATAAGCTAGCTACAGAGGATCTTGCATATAAACCTTTATAAGCAGCGCTGTGACGTGTTTGCGGACAAAGCATGTTACCTATTGGCCAGCTGGCACTATAGCTGGCCAATGGGAAGCATGTTCTATCCGCTAACTACGTCCAGCGCGAAATTTTATAAAGGTCCATAGATATTAAGTCGGTTTTTCACTAGGTGGAGTTTTTCGCTCGATTTTCATTTCAATTGTGAGAATTCGACCGTAGCGGATTCCCTTCACCAGTCACAATTGAAAAGAAAATCGAGCGAAAAATTGCGCCTAGTGGAAAACCGGCTTTACTATCATATTTCGTGGCATCCGGCATAAGTCTAGCCTGTATACCAGCCTCGTTCCCAGGCGCTTTAAATAAAATAAAATATAGGAACACTACAGGCTTTTTACATAGATCAGTGAAGCGCCTGAGAACGAGGCTGCCTGAAGCCTGCACACACGGAGTAATAATTATCACGTTTTCCATGTATGGACTGGGCACAGGCTAGCATAAGTCACTTTATTCAGTAATTAGAAATTGAAATCAGCAGACGGATGATAAATGTTGTGTATTTTAATTTTACGAGATATAACCACAATATTTCTGACTAAATCTATTCGCCCACGCAGCCTGAAATATATTGACAGAGTTTGGACATAGTTTCGACACAAACTATTAATATAAGGAATATAATCAATAATGATGTTGTGTTTTCGATGCAAAGTTTATAAATACGTCGTTACACGTCCGACAACTGCCTGATTTTTAGTAGTTTTAGTCTTAGTGGTTAGACTAAGGTAGTAAATATACTGCCGGTCAACTATACGCGACATCTTCGCTTTTCGTTAAGCCGGTTTTCCACTAGGCGGAGTTTTTCGACCGAACGAAATTTTCCGCTCGAGTTTCTTTTCAATTGTGCCCGGTGAAGGTTTGAAAAGAAAATCGAGCGAAAAATTTCGTTCGCTTGAAAAATTCCGTCTAGTGGAAGACCGGCTTAATGAAGCAACGCTTAGCCTTAGCGGCAAAATGTCTATTTTAAATCGATAAATTTGGTATGCCGCTTTTTCTGCTCTCGGGCATTAAAACTACAAAATTTGACCTGTAAAAAAACTCAATGGCAATTAATATACTTCGGGATTTTGGATCGCTGAACAGAATAATTTTAAGAAACAAGGCTTTTAAAAATTTAAAGAAACAAGGTCAAGGGCTACGAAATATACTCTACGCATAATTTTTTGGGAAATCTATGACTATATATGGTATGCACGTACGTATATACAAAAGACGACTGTTTTACCATTCGACTGACTTACCACTTTTGTTCGGAGCACACACCAATTCGAGCGCTGTTATTTTCGCCTTCTATAATACTAGCTACCTATACGTTTACATTCCAACTTATTCCAAGTTATTACTGTTAGGCCAACTGACATGGAGTGATAATGACTAATGTGAATATGTGATCCTATCATGTTTGAAACTATAGCCCGAGTTATTAACAATTATATCTCACAGACACAGGGTAAATGCATTATCAGTCTTTGATTAATGTATCATAAATGCACCTGCTTTGTTCATTTTTTCTTTATTTAGGGAATCAATTTTTTATTATGTTTATGAAACTTCATATGTATATATATTGTAAAATCTAATTTTCGATTTGAAGACTAACATAAATGGCTAAAAAGCAATTTCGTTCCCCGAGCCTGCATAATCCAAACCGGAAGCCAGAATTATTTATGATTTCGTTCTGATTTCGAGCCTTTGTTTCCGTCGCCAGAGGAAGTCGCAGGCTCGGGGAACGAGATTGGCTAAAAAGTTGTTTATCGCCCACTCACTTATATACTATAGAAGAGGTCAGTCCTTTCGCCTTTTACAGGCGAGGAAAGGGGGCGAAGGATGACCCATTCAGTGGCACCGCTTCAATTCAAAGATTGCATCGCAATTTGTTTGAGAAATACCAACCAACGATGATCCCAACTTTTGAAGTTCAAATGCAGATGCTTGCTTTGCAAACGCTCAATCTGTTTAGAGTATATGCATAAATACGCGAGAATATAAGTGTACGTCCTTTCGCGAAAATCTGCTTCCCCCTTGCCTTCGCATGCATTGTTCCTGCATGCATCTCTCCACGCATGGCCTCATTAGAGAGCTTAAGCCTGATAGACAAGGGGAATGCCAGATTCTTAGGACAAGTGTGAACCTAGCCTGCAGGGCAGACGCGTCTGCTCCGCAGCTAGGTTAGTGTGAACCAGGCTTATGCAGTACATACACGAGTACTTAAACAGTACATACACATTATTTTCGCTCTACGCTATATATATATCCTACGCCATTAAACGCAACTCGTATAGTCCTGTCGAAGGGCTGTCGAATACGAAATTAATCAACAAACTCGTTCTCAAAAGCTCGACTTCTACGAGTTTTAGCTGATGCCTTATGTTAAGGCTGCTTTCCACTTGTGCGTTTTTCATTTCGTTGCTTCTATAGCTAATAAAGTTATTTGCATCTGTTTGTTTTTTCAAAGAAAACATGTATATGGTTCAGGTGCGTGTACGTGTTTTTGATACGCACGGAAAATTAAACATTCTTCTAAATTAACATCTAGCTAACAAAACATACTACTATAGAATTGTAATTTGTAAGTGAAATGCTGCGAGTGAATACATACGTAGTGCCTTTATCTTCATTCATCAAAGCTGAACGTAATGTGTAATACAAACTGCGGTTTTCATGCTCGTCGCATTTATAGTTGTTTCTTGATCCCTTGATCAAAATTCTTTGTAATCTACTAACAGTAATGGTCTGTTGTTTTGTGAGTTTTGATCCACTACCGGTAGATTAGAATTTTTCACCCTGCGACTCAACATTCGCCGAGAGAGACAGATCATTTGTTTTTGATTCAGCCCAAATAAGCGAATCGTTTGTTTGGCTATATAGTATAGCTGTTTAAATTTCTCACGGGACAGGTAGTTCAGGGACAATGTCTTTGTGTCAGGGATGGATCTAATTGCATCTAGATAAATCCGATCTGCATGCTTCAGCAAGATTTTGATTCAAGAAGGGTGCGGTCCACTGTTCGATCGGCAAAGAGTGAGCAAATAATTCGACAATGGTTTCGACGGAAGCTAAAGCAAGCAACGTGCGCATAAGTGCGACGCGTGCACATAGCTGACACAAGGAACGTGCACATAAGTGTGGATACGAAGCATTACGCATTCGCGTATAGGATGAGACCGCAGTATTATGGTACGTGTGCTCAAAAAATCATCTGGACAAACAAAAATCGCTGAAATCGAGATGCACGTCAAAAATATAGGACTGATCACTTCGCTTAAGCTCTTTGCTTTCACTTACTCGTCGATTGTACATGTACAATTTTAAATGAGTTGAACTAATTCATATATTGTATGGTATATAGACGTATGTAGGAAAATACGACACGTCTGAATCAGTCGTAAATGCCAAATTTTTTAAAATATTTTGTTGAATTAAATAAAACTGCATGGTCACTAATTCTGATAATAAAAAAAAGCTATATCGATCTGAAAGTGAAATCGATTGTAAAAACATATTTTTTAATCACAGCTATATAGCTTCCAACGAATTTTCTCACCTTCCCGTCCTATTCTTGTCAACGACAACAATGGTGAAGGCATATTCTCTTTTTTAAAAGGAACGATGTTTTTAAAGCTATTAGATAACTGTACCTTGCTGGTGCAACATTCGTTGAGAGGTTACCCGTATTCACAATTCACATGAAATATAACGCAAAATATTTGACATTTAAATATTGTTTTCGTGGGAAGTAACGTACGTCTATACTCAAACTTGAATTCGCGAAGAATATTTTTCATGGCAATTTTTTTCTGCTATGGTAAATTGTCAAGCAATAATCTAAGAAATAGGTATTAAAAATCTCTTGTGTATTTTGTCATTCGACAAAATTGTGTATTTTTTCATTGTTGCCTCTGCATGCATGCATGATTGTAAGAACTAGACCAGGGCGCTTATATATATAAGCGCTTATATATATAAGCGCCCTGAGCTAGACTCGTACATCATGTCACATGCATGCAGTAAGAATCTGGGGCCGGTTGTACGAAGGCTGCATGGATGGCGCTATCCACTGAATAGTTTTCTTTTCAACCGTCTTAATGCTAAAGCTAAAAATTAAGCAATAAAATAATGGCCTTAGAGCTAACAATTTTTAAAGAGGATTCTCAATTTAAAATTGCTAATGTTTCATCAAAGTTATACCAATTATATAACGAGCAATTTTAGGGCGATAAAAAAATACTATATCCGATGGGCAGCGCTATATATAGCTTTCATACAACCAGCCCTTGAGAAAAAAATTTAAAACGCATAATATAATTTTCCAAACAGCGTTAACGAATTTTAAATAAAATACAAAACTGTTGACTCGAGAAGAAATTTTTGCAATGAGTCTAATTCTACAAGTTATTACTTACATAAAATGACATATCTGAAGTTTGTTTCTGGCGTCGTCTTATATCGCCAGGTACTCTGACATAAGTACATATGACAGGTACTTAGGTAAGGGAATTTAATAAAATATTGAAAGTCTATTATAAAATTGTGCTATATACAACAAGTTTGTTGTTTATTCACCCCGGCCCTGGCTCTGCAGGAGCTCAAGCGGAGTCGAAATAAATTGAATTTAAGGATGGCTCGTGTTTTGACATGTTATTTTGCTGTTCGGTTTCGGTAGACGCAAATTCCCAAAGTAAGCACGCAGTTGAAGACAAAAGAACGTCTTCTTTTGAAGGAATCTTCATTTTGGGACATGTCGGGACATAGCTGAAGCTAAAAATGTATAGTAGCTAAATTGTTTTTGATTATAGTCAGTAAGAGTATAGCCTAGCCTTAAGCCTAGGGTTGACGAAAATTGGCGGTCCATGCATGTATTGCCTTCCTCAGAGAGGCTCTGCATGCATGCGTAAACATATTGAAAATCAGCTTGATTAGAAAATCTTCATATCGTATGCAGGCTGATTGCCATTAAATTTGTCGAATGCGAAAATTGATATTAGCTGCGTATGACAGCTTATCGGCTTTTCAAACCAATTTTATATTGATTAGCAACAATTTTGTGCATAGTTCAAAGAAAAAAAAAAAGTAATTCGACTGATTTCTTTCTCGCTAGCATGGCCTTGTAGAATGAGTAACCATGATTAGTTAGACGCATCACAACAAGAACTCCCTCTTAGTGCCAACCAAACTAGATGACTGTGATACGAAATAAAATAGAAATATGACAAAAAATACACATTTCCTTTTTTAACACTTGATCACTTTAATAAGTTCTGTCCAAAATAAGTTCTAACCAAATCTGCCGCCAATTATAATTGCATAGTGTAACAGCGCCTTAGGCGTTCCGGGACGTGCGTACAACCACGTCTAAAAGTTTGCGAACGCATGCATTTGTGAGTAATTATATCATTTTCTAGCGAAGATTCCAAAGTGAAAAATTAAGCGACAGATCAGAACTCGCGATCATAACAAAGTCGTACAGGGTAAATTTCCTCATGCATGTATATTGACTGCAGAATTTTATTAATAGTCACCTGCCCAACAATTATCATCTAATATCCGTCTCTGAACACTTTTGAGGCAGTCGCCTGATGTTGCTACACAAACAGCGGTAAGTCAGAAATTAATTGGTTTTTTTTCAATTTACACCTTTTTGCATTATACGGCGTATGTAATTTTATCATCAAATTTACATGCATATATAAAGTTCTATACTCTAATATAAAATTAATACCAAACGTCATTGTATACAGCTATATAAATCTACGATTATGTTCAAAAAATTTGTAGCTAAAAATTTAATATGTTGAACAAGGGATGTATAGCTATATACTTTACTGAGTTTGGCTGCATGGGTTTGATCAGAGTTAGTTGTCGAGTACCGGCTGGTTCGACTCGACTATCATATTATTCTAATAGTTTCCGCCCATTAAAAACTGCTGAAATGGATTTCTGCGTAATATATAGAATTTGCATCGATTTCTTACCTAACTTAACACATATGCATATCTTGATCTCCGGCTCGACGATATGGTTCGTGACTGCAATGGTCGATGGGAACACTGTGTACATAAAGAAGACGCAAAAGTCCATGTGATCCCTTATATAGTCATTTCATCCCCAGCTGTGAGATGATTGATACTGATGAAGCACAGTTATATACACATGCAAGAATAGCTATATATATTTGGTTTCTTGAGCCTAACTAGCTTCATTTGTGCAGGTGAGTTTTGCCCACTGGTTTTGCCACATAAACTTTGAGCTCTTTCTGTGTTTTCCTTTGCGATGCAATTTTATATATAAATCATTTTTGGTAAAAACGGCTGCATTTTATAGAAACTCGTTTCGCTAAGCAAATTCGGATGTTTAACATCAAAGTTACTGATATGCAGGGCTTAACTGGGGCGACTTTCACGGACGCTTGAAAATCCTAAATCGTTCAAAGTTGAAATTCAGTTACAACAATAAACTATTAAACTAATTGAATATAAATAGACTTGAATAGTGGGGTTTTTGTTTATTATATTTATATTAAATTTAGAAGGACTTTTATCCAGTTCTATAAGTAACATTGATTTAAAATAATATATGAGCTTGGCTGCTTTGCTACCGTCGGCATGCATGCATGTCTGTTGCGGATTTTAATCAAGGTACTTCATACTTTGCGTCATGCATGTATACACGCACGTAACATTTTTGTATTTGTGACCTAGCTAATAGGAATTATTTATATTGGTTTTTGGTTATATATAGTATGTTATTGCTCTCACCTTTGCAACATACAAAAAAATATATAATGTTTTATGCACGTTTTTATTAAGGCAATTTAGTCGTCTCCGCCCGCTCGGGCAAAGCGCGATTTGTTTTTGAGGTGCGCTACTACCGCATGAAAAGATTCTCTTTTAAAGGCAGTTTTTCCCGCGTAGGAAAGCCGGACTTTTTTCACTAGGCGAATTTATTGGCGCGAACTGATGAAAAGCAGGAGGAAATCCAATTTTTCGCGGCGAATTTTTTCCCAAACCAATCACGTCGTCGGGTTTCAGATTTCGCTTCTCGTCGCGCGAATAAATTTTAGCGCAAAACAGGCTCAACTCAAAATAACCTTTACGGGTTGATACGTGCGTCTGTGCAGAAAAAAAACAACAGTTATCGAAATAATCCGTAGTCATGCACGGTATCAAACCGGTTTTCCACTAGGCAGAAATTTTCGATCGAACGAAATTTTTCGCTCGAGGGTCGAATTCTCACAATTGAAAAGAATATCAGGCGAAAAATATCGTTCGGTCGAAAAATTCCGCCTAGTGGAAAACCGGCTTCAGCTATAATTTGCAGTTAAAAGGTCGGTCACTGTAGCGCAAAAACAAAAAAAAACTCGCGAATAAAAATTCAGATATTTATATAAGAGACGGCCTAATCAATATAATCAATATGAAAATTAAATCTGCATGTTATGCTAAGAAAAATTCTTGCATGCATGCGTTTTTTTATTTTTGTTTGCAGTCATGCGGCAGGTGCAAAACTCAAATTATTGACTTTTGACTGTGATTTGGATAGCTTATCTCATTCTAATTATGCCCAAATATGGCGAGCGTAGTGAGAGTATAGGCGAACAATATTATTTATTCCCAGTGCAATTACCGCGAATTATCAAAAACGAGCATCGTTCAAATGTAAATGCTTCAAAAATACTGATCTATGCGACACTCCGATGCCTGGAGCATAGTCATGTATAGAGACTGAATAACAAACAAATCCCCATTTCCGGCCCAGCCACACTATCCTGATATTCCGGCACAGATTCCCACGCAGAGCTAATTTTAAGAATTTTTTATCACTGCACAATGCACATATCATCAAAATAGTATAGTGGAGAACGGGGCATGATAAAAATGGTCCTATCCGAAAATTGGTAATTTAAACAAGGTGGAATTGTAGAGGATCGGCTTGCAGGAAATTTTCTGTATTTTTTAGTCCTTATGACTTGATTTCCCGCATTTTGAGGGACAACTACTTATGCATGAATCCGCCTCGGCTGTGAGTGAGGTCTGTTGAGAAAATACCATTTATCACTGCACATTTATCATTTTATCACTGCACATTCTACTTTTTTCCCTGCACAACCTTTTTCAGTTTGCCCGAATTTCTTGATTCTTGATTTTTTTGCTGCCCTGGCTTGTGCGCCTATGGGAATTACTTTGAACAATTGAACTCAATGTTATAAACTATATCGCAAGCAGAAAATAAGAAAGGTATATATACGCCAAAAGTATATATACTAGCTATATGTACATTCATTTCACTCTGAAAAGTCCCCAATTTCAATGATGTTAATTTGTATTTAGGACAGAGTCTAAACAATCTCTAACTAACGCCCTCTTTTTTCTGAGTGTAAAAATAATTTCGAAATGAAAGATATATAATATTTATTAAACACGTTCCAATATAACCAGGGAGCAGCGTGGCAGCGTCTTCATAAAACGTAGCATCAAATGTTGTATAACAACATATTAAACACGTTTATATAATGCTAAAGTGTGCATTTATATTGCATTGATCCAATTGAAATAAGTAATATTGCCGTAACTTGAGAATCTGATGCGCGTTTTAGCATCGAAACTGCGTCGTTTAGCTAATAAATGTAGCTAATATTGCTGTCATTTCAGTCTCAACATTATCATTCAAAACGATTTTTATTGAGAGTAAAATAAAGCTCTGACGTGCATATTTATATTCCTTTGTAGATTTTTCTCAGATTTTAAAAAGTGTTCGCGAAGCTTAGTTATCAAAGAAGAGGCGTAACTATCACATTCATAAAGAAGAAGCTTAACTATCTATCACATTCATAAAGAAGAAGCTTAACTATCACATTCATAAAGAAGAGGCGTAACTATCACATTCATAAAGAAGAAGCTTAACTATCTATCACATTCATAAAGAAGAAGCTTAACTATCAACATTCATAAGGAAGAGGCGTAACTGTCACATTCATAACGGAATCCACCATGTCTTACATGCAAATTCTACTCATACCTATCGCCATCTTATCGGTCGTCACCAACTTTTCTATCATAATTCTCATCTTGCGCAATCGAACATGGTTATCGAAACCTTATAATGTGTTTATTTTTAGTCTTTCTTTCACTGACATGTTTACTGGAGTTGTCATGCTGATCACTCCAAACACAGTATTTAAGGAAACGATAAATATCCCATCCAACAGGTTCATTGGTACCATCTTTTGTAAGATTATGTGGTTTCGCTGGTTATTGTTTGCGTTAGGTGCAGTCTCTGTCTATACTTGCTTGTTTCTTACAGTTGAAAGATGGACGGCTATTTGTCGTCCGTTTAAGTACAGGGTAAGATTTGCTTCGAGGTATGTGATCGGCTATATTGTTCTTATTTGGTTTCTCGGTCTGACGACATCTTCTATTGGAGCACTGGAACCGGAATTCGTACCTAAAAACTCGAACAATACAGCGCCTTTCTGTAAAATAACACCAATTGCCAGAGCTAATTTGATTGGTTTGGTTACAATCATTTCTGTGAGTGCAAAATTTGTAATTCCTTCGGTGATCATCATAGTACTATACACACTTGCCATTTTGAAAATCAAAAAGAACGAGAGGTCATTCCCAGGTCAAAAAAGTCGTAACCAAACCATAAACGCTGTCACCAAAATGGCTGCCGCTGCTTCAGTCGGGTTGGTTCTTTGCTGGTTACCAAACCAGGTAACGTAAAATCATCACTTCTCACTCAGATTGAGTGCATTTATAGTACTGGCAATTCACTGCTATATATACACGAGAATACACGGTTACACATTTTTTCGAATTTCGAGGTAATTTTGGTTGTCTTCTATTTTTATAGATATATTTCATTTTAGTTAAATATCGTATGGCAGAGATGTTCACACATATTCACAATTGTACATCAGTCATAGTTTTATTGAGTTCAACGCTTAACCCTTTCATCTATGGGCTATGGGGCAAACACTACCGTGCTGGTATGAAGGCCGCCCTTCGTTGTTTTGGTCGACATGTGGACAGGAGTGCAGCAAACGCAGGGGTTGGTAATAAGGGCTTTTATGTTGAAAATAAGCAAACATTAGCTGCGCCTGCAGGTAAACAACAGGAAACTGTGATGTAACTTCAAATCAAGTCTTCCTGGTGCTGCTGTGTATTACATTGGACAAAAATATTGATGTATATTTAAAGCTAGAATTGGACTGAAAGTTGGACGCAATGTGCATTTAAAACTGGAAATGACAATTACTGTAAATAAACACCATGTTTTATGCAAGTAATAAAGTCCACGCTTCTGCATGGGTATGTTTTTGCTGCGTTTATGCCCCGCTTACCACAGGATAATTTCTCGTTGTTAAGTCTATTACTTCTGATTTATTGGAAGAAGGTCCGGTCAATGATATGCAAAATTGTATAATTTACAAGATCTCCACAAGCGAATTTTGAACTCTGAAAAGATTGGCATTTCCGCAAATTTGCTTCAAATCATCTTCTTATCTCCTGATATCGCATATCACTTCGGTATATAATAACGTCTGGCTTCTGTTCACTACGTCAACATTCAATACAATGTTATCACAGATAGGACTATCCCGTCAAATGGGGTAATATTAACTATTCATGAACAGGTCGTTACAGAATGGAATTCTTTTCTTGAAAGTCGGGTAGGGACAATCATGCAAAGGCGCCGGAAGCAGTTTAGGGCGGCTGGGGCAGAGTTTTAGAAACGGCACATTCATTTTAACTGTGTTTTACCTTAGCAACCACACGAAGAGTACCTGTGAACTTGCAAATTCACGGGAGAACGCATTTTCAATAATATTACCGGTTATTTTTTATGCGAAAAGTAGGCATCGTGATTAAATGGTGAATTTATGATACTTTTACATGGTAGCAAAGGGCACTGGGCTACCCCCGCAGTTTCGGCGCCCCTAGGGACAGTAAACTGTATGGCAAGCCTGGAATGGTACACACGGTTTGTAAGTCAGCTCCCACTTTACCATTTTCCCTGACGAATTGCTGCTTATATTTCGCGGATGAAGATCGCAACATGTAACATGCACGAAACTAAAAAAATTTGTTTCGAAATGATCAGAAAGCTCGTTCGGTATCACCCAAGAAGAAAACGTCGTAAATGAAGACAGTGAGAACCAGTGAACTGTACTCAACATCCTCCATAATTAATGTCAGCAAATGCACATGCACCCAACGTAGTCTAAGAAGACAGTGACAACACACTCAACATCATCATGCACGAGGACAGTTAGAACATGCACACGCAACGTTGTCCACAAAGAAAGTGCATGAGAGCATACTCAACGTCGTCAAAGAAAAATGAAAACGTCGTCCAAGACCACAGTGCGACCACACTCAACATCGTCCAAGAAGACAGTGATACTGCACTCTATATCGTCCAAGAAGACAGTGAGAGCACATTCAACGTCGTCCATAAAGAAAGTGGGCACTCAACGTCAACCAAGAAGGCAATGAGAACGCACCTTCAAGAAAGGTTTTGTTCAAGTGATTTTATCGTTAATAAATTGTATGCCAACTATGCTTCGTGAAGGTTTCTAACTACCACAAGAACCGATACTTTCTAACCAATTTTGAAAAACATTAGACACATGATACGGGTATTAACACGCGCTGATAGTTTTAACCTGCTTAATAAGAGGACAACAAAAATCAAGGCACTTCTTCGAGTGAACTGGATTGATCTGCAATGTATAATGTATCAAGAAGACAATACATTAGTCTTTGCGAGCTCAGCTCCTCAATCACATGTCCACATGTCATAGTAATCTAATGGCACAGTTTTCATACAGCAATTTATCTATTTACATAAAATGTACCATCCGATGTCCTGATTACCCAAAAATATTAAACACACTTTCCAGGAAATAGGTGTTATGTCTATGGACTGTTGCGTGAATAGAGCTGTGGGGCGTGCGATCTAGCACGGAGATTAGAGGCGAACGCATACAATTGTTTTGTTTAGGGAAAATGAAATTTGAACTGAAATCCTTGTCCAAATGGAAATCCACCTGGGAAACCGCCATTTTGCCATCCTCCGCCATTTTGTTGTTCAGGATCTAGTGGGTCTTCGCCGTTATCAAACTTGGCTTTTTTCTCTGGAAAAATAAGCAATAATTTCGAGTTATATATGGCGAAAAGATTTCGATAATTGCGTGAACAAAAAAAACATTCTTCTATTTCTGGCTATTTTCATGCATTCCACTGTGTTTAGACGACGAGGAAAAAAAGCGAACTTTAAATAAATCATGCATGGAAAAATATAGCTAGCAACTGCATGTTGAATTTGTCCAAAATATGTCTTTAACCAGTTTATCAATTCATTCCTTTTCTGTTTTTAAAATGTTAATGCCACTTACCAGGATCAGTAAGAACTTCTTTTGCTGCCGCAATATCAATAAACATTTTCTCCGCTTTCTTCTTATCTTCCCCTTGATAATGGTCAGGATGCCACTCTACTGCTAATTTTCTATACGCTTTCATGATTTCTCGTTTACTTGCATTTCTACAACATCAATTAATTTACCATATATAATCACACTGATGTACACATCCTAACACTATATAATCAGCTAAATGCAGTTGCTGTGAGTACTGTATATATACCTTTTTACTTTTAAAATTTTATAGTAGTCCCTTTTCTTTGATTGCTTTAGAAGTCTTTGAGCTTTATCCAAACCTTCTTGCACCTGCACATGTATGAAAATTTCTTTCAATATTTAAATTAATAATACGAGTTTTTACCCTTCAGAAATAGAGCAGAGGGAAGGGAAAGCCAACAGCAAGGGCTTGACCAAGTCTATAAAAAAGAGGGGCTTTTTAAAAGTTTCAGACTGTAGTTATGTCCGAAAAAATAACTAACCTTGTTTAAATCTCCATTGATATTTTTTGCCGTTTGGTAATCGTTCACAGCTATAAGAAATTGTAGAAGTTCTTACATGCTATATCCCAGGAATGAATACAACAGAACATTCTTCAAGAATGTCGATTGTTTCAAATAATTATATAGGTCAACCTCGTAAAAACCCTGGGTACGAGGTTAAGAATTAGGTAACATTCGTGTATTTATATACATGAATAAAATAAATTAAGGCGGCATGTAGAGTCAGTGGAGTCATGCCTGCATGACGCACATGCTTATTATAGTTTAATGATTAACGACAGGCCTAACCTTCCTGATACATGTCATTAAGTATATATCCTTCTGCTCTATCACATAAAGCATCAACATTATTTTCGTCCAGCTTTATCGCCTCTGAACAAGAATTTAACGTTTTTTCCACATCACCGTTCTTTAAAAAAATGTAAAATCAAATTATCACCCTATTATAGTTTAGCAGTTTATAATACCTTCGCCAACTACATTATTTAATTAATAAAATGTTCACATACCATGCGATGGCAATGGCATATCTGTGTTTTCGCCTTCAAGATGTAAAAATGTAAATTTGGTTCAGTTTTTAACGCTGACTCTAACTTCTGTATAGCATCTGAATAGCTGTGAATCAGAACAATGTGCATGAATTAGAAAAAAAGGGCATACAAACAAAATTATGGATTAAAAAAATTTCTATTATTTCTATACTCTGAAAACTCAAATGACACATATCCAAAGTTTCCTTGCTCGAAATAACGCAGAGTTTATTCGTATAATTATATATGTATAAGAAGGTTTACATCAGCATCATCATGACAAAAGTAGGACTATATTCGCATTTTTCTAACAATTGAATAGTGTGTTATACGTTAAATTAAGGTCTCATTATACGCAAGGTCTAATTAGATACGTTTGCCATAATAATCTGAATATACGATATACAATATTCATCTGAAGGTAATAATCTGAATATACGACATACAATATTCATCTGAAGGGGAATCATTTTACAAAAAAAAACGATAACCTATGGAAACACTATAATCGTAATTGCTGAACAGAAAAAAAATTCTGTCAAATTCATTATGTTTTGCGCTAACCTTGCTCCGTCTATCAAACCCTGTGCTTCATTGAATTGTTTGTTCAATTTCTTTAATTTCTGATTAAAGAGAATAAATAAAGCAATGAAACTCCATGCATGTCTAGCTACAAAAGTGCATGCACGAGGCGTACGAAGCATAGTAGTATAGTATATACCATATGCATAGTACCTTATATAGGGCGAAGCAATCTTTGTGATCGGGATCGAGTTTAAGACATTCTCTAATTTCTCTGAAAGTAGAATTTTCAGGAATACTTTATAATGTATTTTTCTCAACCAATGAAACCTGGTTATAACCGCGTATAGGATAATAAAATGCATTGTGGCACAAATCAAAGCCGGCTAAAAGAATTCGTGGAGGCTGGTGTATGCAAAAACGTTTTTCTGAAGAGGCCCATAACGTCATTTCATTCAAGATGAAACATATGATCACCTCTTTTACTGTATAATAAACTTAAACAACACAAGAAGCTTCTCTTAATGATATAGGCTTCATCCATTTGCGAGGACCTAAAACAAATTGCCATTTCCCAAAGCATGCACTTGCCAAAAGCGATGTTGTCGGCGTCTTTGGCCACGGTTTATAGAAGTAGGAACAAAAATTCATGCACAGTAGTGCCGTCGATAGAAATGTTCCAATGCTGAAAATTACCTTAGTCCATCTTCCAACTCTCCCATTTGATATTGCAATCTACTAATTTGTAAAAACGCTCCAGTGTTGTCGCTAACTAATTTTGTTGTTGCTCTAATAAAGAAAGGATACTGTGTTACCTTTATTTACGGAAAATGCGTATTGTAATAACTATTGACCAGTACCCAAGTTCCTAAAAAATTGAAGCTGTACTGTACACACATAACCGTAGGGTAGAACGAAGCTTACTTAATATCAGCCACAGCTTTATATAATTCTCCCATAACTTCATAACATTTTCCTCTCTTCGCTCTTAACGTCGCATCCCAAGGAGCGATCTGTAGGAAGATGCACACGCTATGTTACGTGATTAAGCTCTAAAATATATGCCACAAAACAGCCAGACTACGAACCTCCAAAGCTTTGGTTAATTGTTCTATGGCACTTTGATAGTCGCCCATATCCATTAAGACATTACCATTTTCAACGTAGGATTTGAATGGTTCTATTATTGAGAGCTGTAAAATACAACAAAAAAAACGCATGAGGGTTCCTTTTTAAGTGGATCTTGAAATTAAGAAAAAGGTTATGTCATGAGAATAACAAAAACGATTTTAGCGTCATCAGCACGTACATTTTACCAAAAGGCATTGCGCGAATTAATTTTGTCGCAAAGTAGGGAATAACCGCAGCCTCACTGTGCCCAAACTTCAAAAATTTCAATTCGCTTTTTAAACTATGCCCAAAGTCTTATCCGTACTTTCTTGCATTGTATAACGCATTCATTAATGAAAACCTACCTGTTTCAAAGCTTCTTCGTTATTATTATCAATTCTCAGCTGTAAAATCAGTGAAAAACAATAGATTTAAAAACCCATTGTCTTAAATGTTCAATTACCAGAAATCAAATTTCCTACCACAGCTTCAAAATCAATGTGAGCCAAATCTGGCTCGCCTCTCTTTAAATGGACATTTCCTCGTTGAAGGAAAGCCTATAAATGAAATTCATGGTAGAAAAGATATGCGATAGTTATAAAAAAATATGATAATACAAAAAATTAAGGTTCAAAGATGTAGACGTGACAGCCAATTGCATGCTATACTCTATATGATAATTTACGCGGTAGCTATATAGTGAACGCTTGACCGAGTATGGAAACAGAGGGGTTGTAATTGCGTCCTAATTAAACGCCAGGTAAGTGGATGTAATAGCACAAATGCCACGTGTATGCAGTCAGCAGTGACAAAGCCACATCAAGACAAATTTACATCGGTGAAAAGGGAACCTCCGGTACGATAGTTACGTAGCCGTAGGACAACCCCGAACTCCGATATTTATGCAATCGACTCGCCCGAGAAATTGCGTGAAACTGGCCGTCACATTGCAATACCAAAAAGGCTTGGACTACATGCAGTAGACAGGATGAGATATCAAAAGGAAATGTTAAATTTCTAACTTAAGATATCTTGCAGTAAAAATTCTTATTTTCACATTAAGACATTTACTCAAGTAAGTTGCCAATTCGTCTGTGTTAATATTGCTAGCAAAAAATTTAAAAGGGACATAAACGCACATGCTTCGTCCTAATTTGTATATACAGTATAAGAACCATCAAAGTATTGAAGCATGGCTCTACTGTATGCATTGTTTTAGCTTAATGTGTGAATTCATATGATATTTTAGACAGATAGCGATAGATTAAAGAGAAATGCTCCATACATTTTCAAGAAAATGATAAGTCGTAGGCTTTCGGGTTTTTTTACCTGTAAGAACTTTGGATTTAATTTAATTGCTTCATCAAGATCTGGCAATGCTGAGCGTGATCTACCCATTGCCATCAAGACTGTGGCTCTTTTGAAATAAGTTAAGAAATTTGATGAATCACCCTCTAAAAAATATTTGAAATATATTGTCAAGAACTAATACTTTAAAGAAAATGTAATGCCCTTTTAGGTCACTCCAAACCATAATCACCCAGTAATTTTAAACCACAAATGCTGGTAATTACCATGGAAACCAATGCTCAAGGTTGATAATTGGTACTAGACTAGAAAGTAAGAAACCTATGCCATAAACATTAACCTAGCAGGCTGTCCATTTTTATACATGAACAAAACTGAACCATCCAGTATTGAGTGTGACCACAGATCAGTGAGTGTGACTAATCACAAGTGGTTGTAGAAAGTGTCCACAGGGCTTTTTATCATATTCACTGAAGTGGCACATGCCCTTTCAGCAATTGTAAAGCAAGCAAGCATATGGACTGATGGGAAATGAAAGGCTTAATGTGCTATGGAATGTACAATCTTGTAGCTCTGGGTATGCGATTGCGGAACTAGCAACTTTTATTGCAATCTTTAGTTATATACATCTCTTTAAATTTAACATAAACATTAGGTGCAGATGAAATAATGATTTTCAGGTGGATCTCTGGAATAATTTATGGTATATTATCCAACTATGAACATTGGTGCAGCATTGAATTAGCAATGATCTGCACTGACAAATATTATGTATATATGGGGTCCCTGACATGCAATCCCAAGAGACTCAAGGTAGGTTTACAAGAACTCTACTCTAGACATAATCTATTAGCTTAGATTCAAAGGTTTGCATATAAACTAGGACTGATCAGGGTACTGGATGACAAAATAAAAAACATGACATTACCAACAGCTGCATGATAATGCGAAAGGGCATCTGATAACTGTCCGGCAGAGACCAATTTCATTCCCATTGCAAGATGTTGGTTTACTTCCTCACTTGCTCCATGAACTAGCAAAGTAAAGAAACGTACATATCTAACTACCGGCTTGGTGTCAGCGCTGCAAAACATTAATGTCATTTGTATAAATTACTGAAAGTAAAAATTCTTTCCTTGTTTACATGTTGTGTTCTCCCATTCTAACGCATACTTACCAAACTGACCAAGGTCTAAAGCGACGTACATAAAAACAGAGGTTAACTTAGTAATCCACGACATTTCTGAAGCGTATCTTAACAAAAAACTTTATACATTACGATACAAAATGAAAATAATTAAATATCACTCCTCAAAAAAGATGATGTGTATTTTATCCAGTGGTAAATATCGCCTGGCGTGGTGAGCTCTCATTGGCCACCGAATATTGTCGTCATTCAACGGAAAGTGTTCGGATTGCGCGAATTTTCAAACATGGAGAAGGTTCCGTGTGGTGAGAAGCTGCCTTTTCTTTACACATTTTGATGAAAACATACGAATAATTTTACTGTTTGATGGTTCAAATGTCACCAACGATTTTAAGTAAGAAATATCTGAAGTAATACGCTTATGTTGGCGCCTTCTGTCGTGTTCATAGCTGTGTTTGAGTAGTATAAAAATAATATTAAGATATAATAATAATTTCAATTTCATACACTGAAACTGACAGTGCCTTTTATATTATTAATTTTAATTTACAGATACTCATTATTTTCTTCACAGGATATATATCATAACGTGTAAAACCTGAAAGAATGGGCAAGAGACAGGATGTAAACAACCGAATGTTTTTGAGACCAAGTCCAAATGAAGAGGCATGATTTTTTGATGTTTTCACTTCATAGCATAGGTAGCCCAACAATCAGGTTTTTGGTAAAGTAAGACTGAAACTCTTGCCAGTTTCCATCTATCTAGACCACATGTCACATGTATAGTATATTGTAGTTGCAATTTATGAACCAGGCAGAATTGAATCTCAACCATAATATTACAATAGCCCAGCATAAGGTAGGTAGGAAGAACAGCCATAACACAAACAATTTTAATACATTTATTACAAGAGCTAATGTTTTGTCTGTAACCTTTTCAAAGCAAATAAAATATATAAATATAACCTAACTATATGTCATCTATACATATTATATTTCAATTGCTTTGACATGTATAGCGATTTTCTTCTTTTGATACATCATGCATGTGAACGAGAAATTAGTTACAAATGTTTGAATGTATAAAAGCTTTTATTTTGAACATCTGTAAGTAACAAATTCACTTGTTCACATCTATCAAAAGTTTGCACATAAAATTGCTGCAAAAATCGGCCATTACAACCAGTTATGAGTATGTAGTGCAAGACTTAATTAATTTTATCAGACTGTATCAACCCCCTAATTCTAGTATTAATGCTCCCGACTAGGAAATGCAAAGTTGTTAAGTTTAAACATAGATTTTTTATGCTACATCTAGGTGAAACTTCTCCAAGATGAAAAGCAAAAATTACGTAAATTACGACTTCAACAGGTATACTGTCTTTTAAGACAACTCATATGTACTGCCAAGGTTTTCCTGCACAGGATAGTTTTCAGCCAAATTTTCAAGCTCCATTAGTCGTTACATGATTATACTTGTAATCATGCAGTTTAATTCATACTGCTTGTCTGTAAATCTGCCACATTTTTGCACATATTCTGGGTGTTTATATGCAGCTAAGATGAGCTAGTATGTGTAAGAATTGTATATGACTGTATCAGGATCAGTTAGCCACATGATTACATGAAACTACTATAAACCCTCAGGTTGCAAAAATTAGAAAATCAAACCTAAGTAGTGTCAAGAAATTTTTGATTTGCTTTTAATTTGGACCATTACACCAATATGTTACTACTATAGGTGCATATATCTATGCTGCCGTATTGCACATGACTCTCATTCAGATCTAACACCAATAGTCATAATGTCATATATATAATATCTTTTGTCATGTATAGTTTTTACCCATGATAGCCAGTTGTAAAGTTTCGCCAATTCACAGGTGAGACAACAGGAAAAACTCCTGGCAAGCAAAGCTCGCAAGAAATTTAAAGAAAAAGAAAGGAAGGAAATTGACATCCTGGAAAATGAGTTAAAGGTTAGTTTAATTTCGCTTTAAACTATAGTAGAGGTAATTCCTTAGAGGGTTCCTTAATATCTATGTAGGAAATTTGAAAAAAGATTCAGTTAAAGTTTTATTAATATTTTTTAGAAAAAGTGGCACGCAGACATAACGGAGAAGCGAAATTTACTGGAAAATGAGTATTATGAAAATGTAGCACATGTTGGTGAAGGTCATGAAGCAGCTCTAACGGTGATTATTTTTTGTTAATTTGTTTAAAACTGAGGTATCATCATATGTACAAAACTCATCGATCGTATATCCAGTGGATTAGATATCCATGCAGCGAAATACATGTAAGTGCGTGCACTCATAGCAATACTAATTTCTGGATTGGAAAGAGATATGAGATCGGAACAAACTACTCCTGGAAATTTAACTACAAGTAGCTACTCCTGGAAATTTAACTACCAGTCTGCATGAAATTTTTACTACACCATCGATCTTGACAGTTGTAAAAATCGATATACTGAGTGTGGTAAAAATTTGATGCACCCATGAACGAATAATTCACCACTTCGACGAATTAGTTTTTAGGTTAATATTAAGAGGGCTGGGCCATTTTGGAGTAAAAATTACCTATTCAAAATATGTCTTGGCGCTCATGATCGGCCATATGCATGTATTTTCCTTTTTGTTTTTGAGTTGACTAGCTCCACGAGCTCGTATATAAACGTAAAAAAATTGTATACATAAATGTCCATCCCATGCAAACTCGATCCAGTTAAATTGACAGAAAAGTAGTCCGTCGAAATGGCTATAAATCTGTTAGTGATGCTAATTAAGATGCTTATGACATGAAATTTTGTAGTGTGAAGATGGAATTCCAAAGGAGAGGTTGTTGGAAGATGAGATTAAGTGAGTATTTTATGTCAAATCTGGCACTTTGTGTTTCTGTGCTTGTGCACGAACTTTGCCTAAAAAGATAGGGTCAACTCGACACTTCGCATGCGAGCTGTTCACTTTTTTTGCAAAAAATTGCAAAACCTTTCAAAAAGATATTTGGTTATATATTAATATAAAACCATGCATATTTGGTTTTGAAGAGCTTCTGAAAGATACAAGAATGCCCTTAAGAGGTTGAAAGAAGCTGACGCAGAAAAAGCGCAAATGTTAAACGAGAAAACTGAGGCGAAAAATAAAGCTATGGAAATAGAAAGAATTCGTGCTGCCAGAGTGGCCGCATTAGAACCTCCTGTTCCCGATATTGCTCAGAATTTGGAATCGATTCAAAAGCATAGATATAAGCAAAAGAATGTGGATCAATATAGTTCAACGTATTACCACATACCTCGGGAACGTGTCGAGAGAGCTGATCCAAATATTCATCAGGTATGTTGTTTTTAATCTCATTTGTAAGACACCAAGGTGTTGTAATTGCGGTTGTTTTTATTAAAGTATTAGTACGTTCTTCCTATACATTAGCTGCCACGTGTGGAATTATCTTATCCTATTTTAAAGGTTGATGCAAGGCACGCGGCAAAAGAGGAAGAAGAACGAATACAGATGGCAAAAGAGGTAACCTCTCGTCGGTATTAAAGAGTATTTAGGGAACGTGCGTGGGCATTCCTCTGTAGTATAAAAAGGGCATACACGGCATGGGTTCATCATTCGTGTTACGATCACGAATATATCTAAATTGTTTTATATTATAATCCTAGTCATCCAGTAGACCCTGTAATCATCCACTAAAGGCTGGTCATTTGTAAAACCCTGGTCATCAGTATTATGACTATGCTTTTATTTTTGCGCAGGAGTCTAACAGAAATTTTTCGGAACAATTGGAGAAAGCACGATTACGACACAAGCATGCGAAGTCAAAGTTAATGTTAGAGAAGGTAATTGTTTATCAGATTTTATGCCTCCGGAACAAAAACCAAACAAAACCGTGAATGCTGGATAATAATGTTTGCTTTAGCAAATAGTAATTCCTCTATCATCACCGGCAACTTGTAAGTGAAATCAGAATGCCATAGGGGAGGTTATCCCAAGTCATGATAGTATAGATTTGCTTGGCCCATATGCAGTGACTGTTAATTGATTATTCCTTTCAAATCACGCAGGATCATAATAGACTACTCGAGGAATTGGAACACTTTGAGAGAGTGGATAGACAAAGAAGACAAGAAATTGTATCCAAAATTCCTGTAAGTTACAGCTTGTGACTCCTTATGCAAAAATTTCAGCAAATAAAATATAGACATTTTGTGTCGATCTTTGTATACCACAATAACCTAAGTATCGTGGACGATACTTATTTCTATAAGTTAACCTATGAGTCGATCACTGTCTTAAATCTTATATTTTCCCCCATGAACATTAATCACCTTGTATATATAACCGCACCAAACGTTTATTGGAAAATGAAGGCACACCCAAAATGGTTATCATTTTGACGATTCAATGCAAAATAGCCGAAACGTTGAAACAAAATGTACGATAACCATTTTCGGAACGGTCTATGTTTTTTACAATGTGTAGACATCAAACTTCGATAACCCTGATAGAAACTGATAGTGTAAGCAGGTGTTGTTGACATTATTGTTTTCTTTTTAATATCACAAAATGTCAGAAACACGTGTTTGAACCACCTCATAGAAGAATTGAAGTGAGCGAAGAAAGACAACGCGAAATAGAGCATGCATTTGAAGATATGTACATGGCACAAACCAGTAAGAAGCTTATACAGAAAGTTGTTATTATTTCATAATCGAGAAATAGCGGGAAAAGTTTTAATGGTAGAGGAAAAGGGCGGGAACTACTGTATTGATGATTGTTTTTTATATTTTCAATTTCCTGATCATATTATTTTCATATGTCATACCGGCAATTTGGTCATCCTGTGCTAATATTTTAGTGCTTATTAACTGTTAATTATAATGACATGAAATTTGCATAGCAAAACAAAATCTTCAGATTTCAAGATAATTTAGGCTTCATCCAATTTTTGTCACTTTGAAAAAATGCAGAACAATCACTATGCGGCTTTCTACAACTGCTTCCATGCAATTGTTCTATAAACATTTACTATATTTCTTTGTAGATTACATGGGAGATGTAACCATGGCACAGGATGCATTACCCGTTTCTCCTGCTGTCACTGATGAAGGTATAAGTAAAAACAACCTCGTACCCAGAATTTTACCCTCGTACCCAGAATTTGGTAAAGCCAGCAAGTTGCTACAAATTGGTAACGACCATGTTCGTTGGAATCAGCGTTTTTCTGCCCTGTCTTTATCAACCGGGAATTTCTGTGCTTTTTGCCATGTACAATAAGGCTGTATGGACGTGCTGTTTTTCTTAAGTGTATATGCAGCTTCCTCCACAACATCACCGCTGGATCATGCTACTTTTGCTTTATAGCAATTCTACTGAACTTCTTTTCCCTTATTTCTACCCGTTTTCTAGTGAAACCTGGGCCACGCCCAAATAGTGTGTTTAATACAACATCTCCAAAAAATACCACCCAAAACTATCTGAATAAAATAAAAATATTGCGATGATAAATATCTAGATCTTCAAACCAACAACTCATTATTGTATATAAAACCAGTTATTGAAGTTATATCGTATATATGGCTTTTTTGTAGAAATTTCAGACGCGAAAGAAGAGCGAATCACAGTCGATATGAAGGTAATGTTAAAAACCAAAATCTCACCTGCCACTGGCAAACCTTTAGATGCATTATAGGACATGCTAGACATGGGCGCCAATCGAACGTTAATAGAGGGGGACCATATTCACATATTCTGTTATGCCAGGCTGATTTCTTTTGAAAGTGAAGATGCTAGGCCAGTTCATATATAGTTTAATACTGTAGTATACAGAATGCTTTAGGTATAGTTTAGTATGTTGGTAAAAAAAAATGTTGAAATAGCATTTCAACGTTGGTAAATGTTCTGGAGGCACTTACTTAATTTTTACCAATTTAATTAGTCAAAATGTTGATTTAAATGCATCTCAGGCACCAAATCTAGATTAGGAAGGATCCATCCTGGCTTAGCTATGCATGGTTTGTGAAATTCAAAAAATCTTAAAACACTGACCTACTTTAAAATGATTTGCTTGAGACCAATTGTTATTTATTGCAGCCGAGCGATCTTGAAAAGGATGTTCAAATTGACCAACCGTCTGGGAGTTTGCCGGAATTGCCTGCTGGTGAAGGAAGGAGGAAATTTGTTGAAGAAGCAGAGAAATCTCGTACTGATCCCAGACCATCCTCAAAAGGTTATTAAGATTAATAATAAGTTAATTGAAATAGCTTTCCTACATGTATACGGTAGAAATATTTCTTTGCCTCAAAAGGCTGTAGTCTACTCTAGTAAAGGCTTGTCGGGGTAAATTACGAAAAAGCACATGCACAAAATAATTTTGCTCGCATATTACGCTAATTTGGAAGAAAATAACGCCATCCGTATTGACCCGCGGGTACCTTAACCTGCTTATTACTGCCCATGGTAGGTTCCGGCATTCAACCCCCAGTAATTTGCTAAAAGACTAGCGCTTGCTTTAATTCAACGGGGAGCGACCATTTCTCAGCCAAACAGTGCCCAGCTCCAGTAAGACTTGACCCATCAACCGCATGCAACTTTACGTAAATTAATATTTTACATTTTTAGATCCTCTCAAGAGACTTTTGAAAAAAATAGATATTCAGCGCGACCGATGGAAATCTAAAGAAAGGGAAACGGCCAAGGGCACTGCAGGTATGTACTTTATATGGCATGGTATAAACATTAAGAACTCCTCATACTAGCCCTGTCTCAGCTAGCTTATACATGTATATATATTAGTGGTATAGCATTGCATGGTATTACAGCTCTATTATTTTAAAATAGGCTTCGTTACTGCAGATTGTGCGATTATGAGAGTACGTATATTATCATCATTTAGATATAATAATGCGTGACCTTACTGTGGTGACCTTTTCTTAATAGGAGTGGTCATTATACCAGACGACGAGTCAGAATTCAGTGAAGGAACATTGACGATGTACGATGAATTGATCGCGTTTCGTCCTCATTTCATTCCAATGATATTTTTAATATACTTATTTATCAAAACGTAAAATTGATTTTCCCTTAGGACAACAGAGAAGACGCGGTCTGCGAGTGTTGAATCTGATGTTGTCAATGAATTGCAAAGAAAAACACTTTTACATCCTCACGAAGAGGCGGAACTTACAAGAGCGAAATCAAAACATATTCCTGTAAGTTTATTCTGTATATTTAATGATGCAAAGCTTGTTCACCAGCATTGGATATATACCTTGATATTCTTATCCTAATTCGATGGTAGAAAGAACGAATATTGTGCCTTATACGTTCCATTTTTACAATATTTTTACAGATGCCTGGTGCTACGAGAAAAGTTGAAATTGAGAAGCAAAGAGAAGAGTTACAACAACAGAAGCTGAAGCTACAACTTCAACAACAGCAAGTCATGCAGGAACACCTACAGCTTCAATTTGATGCTTTGAACAATGATGTAAATGAAAAATCAGATCAAGCAGATGGCGATGATAATGATATAAAATTCACCGATCTAAGTTCTGGCGTACTTTCTGATGACGTAAGAACTATCGATGCCAGCGAATCTGATGAAGCTGGAATTAACAAAGTTTCTGGAGACATTCAGCCGGACCCATTCCATACTGAAGAATCGGGAGACGAAACCAACTTGGGTTGCCCTGGCGGGTTATACTCCGTTCAAAAAAGTTTATCTGAAGATGAGTTTGTTCCTGTACCTCGTGTATCGTCTGCTGGCATCTTCAGAGCTCCGCCTCAACCATTACCCTTACATTTTGCCAAGTCAACTGACACAACTACTGGTATTGACAAGCTTGCCTCCGCTGAAATACCATTAATTCGAAAGTCTTCATCACGACCTTCTAGCCCAGATCAATATGAAACAGGTCCGCGCATCGATCAACCGCGGCTAGGTGTTACCTTTAAGGAACCGTCACTGCAAATATCCCCACCTCATGTTGCTATACCTGCACCTAATCTTCTTGAAGAGGCAATAGCTTCTTCACCTGAGGCACTACCAAGAACTGTTGATCCAATGCAACAACCAGAGTCTCTTGTTTTTCATGATAATCGTGGAACGTTTTCATCCCCAAGTTACAAACCTCCCCATGATTCAATCGCGGAAGATATCTCACCAGAGGGTAGCCAAGGACGAGCTGTAATCTCTGATAGCAAAAGTCCTTTCTTTCATATCCCTACAGCTATTTCAAGTGCATCTGGTGAGCCATCATTCCAGTTTCCTGGGAATCGAGAAACAGATACTGCTTCGTATTTACATTTTTATCAACAACAATTGTTAGAACAACAAAATCGCATACGAGAACAACAGAGAGCTATTCAGGAAAGACAGCAAAATCGTCTCGAACAGTTGAAACATTTTCAAGAACGTCTTAGACGACAAAGGAATATTACAGGTTCAGGAAATTTCGAAAACATTCCTGCGGAAAGATCTCGTCACGTCACCGGGCAGTGGCAATCTCTTAAACCTAGCACTCGATATACATCTGAAGACTCGTCATCTAGCACAAGTCTTGCTAAATCCGATAAAGAATCATTTGATGGTGATGTGTCTCATGATGTACAAAAGACTGATAAAGCTTCTCCTTCAGTGAACCAACCTAAAGTGGATGCACCCGAGCTACCTGTATCTGAGGATCTTATGAATGACACATCGTCCTCTCCAAGTCGCTATTCTAGTGAATTGATATCAGTTAAAATTCATGACGCTTCCATACTTCCTAAACCATCAGATCTTGGGCTGTGGAGTGACAGTACACCACATGTATCATCTGATGCGACGAAGAGCTCATCTACAACCCTGGATGACAGTAAGAGTGGAAAGAGAGTCGATGAACAATCACGGCCTAACATACATCGTGAATATGGGATTTCCAGTTCAACTTCAAACAACAATAATCATGGCAAGTATATTTTTTAAATAGTTTTTCCATATAATAAAAACTTTTCGAATAAACATACACAGCAAACATACCCCTTGCCCCTTCTTAGACCCTACTGGGTCCATCCCTGGGTATATCAATGTGAATATAACTGCGAGAATAATGGTACCACTCTCATTTAGGAGATGCAAGTGAAACGAATAGTTTCAACCGCAGTTCTGAACGTTCTAGTTTGAAGTCGGGCAGTAGTATTGATTCTGGACCACTGACCTCGTCGTTACCGAGATCTATGGACAAGAACATATCTACAGACAGCAGTGCATCTGACAGTAATAACAACCTGCTACAACGCATGGAGAGCTCCTTCCAAAAATTTCAAGAAATGATTGATGAAGCGAAAACTTTGAATGAAAAGTATCTTTATGGAGCTACACATCCTGTTAATGTTGCAGTAGAAAAACGTGGTTCATTGGAAGCCATACTAACTACAGATAAAAGTGAATCTGATACAAAACCAAAATGGGATGAGTACAGGTCAGACGAGAAAGAAACTGGTTATTCTTTCCGATCCGTTCACGCTGTTAATGATGCATTTGATGACGAATTAGCGTCCGGTCACGGAAGGTACAAAGAAGATGATGGTCTTTTAAAAGATATCCATGAATCGCAAAAAGAAAATTTAAAATCAACCAATATAAACGAATTAAACCGTACTGTTGAATTCAGTTCTCCATTAACTTCAAATCAAGAAAACCTAACTGATTTTGGAGTACAACTCTCCCCAAATATAATGTTGGGTAAAGAGCATGAACTGTTACAAAGTTCCCCTAGGGCCTTGTCTGTTATTCCTGAAGAGACCCGTGTGAGTGAAGATGACCTTTCAGAAGGGGTTCTGGAGGAAGACGATAAGAACTCTGAAAGACCGTCATCACCATCGATTCATTTATCAGACTTTTTTCGACGTGGTGACGAAGAGTTTGCGGGGATAAGGAGTTTGATGGATTCTCCAGACATGCAGTCATTCCGTTCTCAAGATAGAGGTGATCACAGTGAGCCATCATACAGATCACCTAACTATGTTCCACGTCGTTCGTACAGTTTAACACCTGACGGTTCTGGTGAACGGCAACAGACTCCGAAACCAGATCCCACCGACCTGGTTAAACACAAACCAGATCTTTCTACTAAAAATGTATTTCCGGTTGGAGTAATAACCAGTGCAGAAGCTTCAAACAAGTTTGGGTCTCATGTTAATTTACCCCTAACCAAAAGACGATCTTCCGACGAGCCCTCCAATACGTCTGTTCCCTCGGACGATGTTATCTTATCAGGTCTTTCTAGTCTTTCGTTGTCTCAGACTGATCAATCAACTAGTGGATTAAGTCTTCAAGACGCATTCCGTAAAAGTCGGCCTGAGTTCTTCAGACATTCAGAAGAAAGAGCACTACGGGTCAAGGAAGCAAGATATCGGCTCTCGCCTGTAAAAAACAAACAGGAGATTGGTAACGATACTCACGACAAAACTCCTGAAATAACAAAACACGAAACTCTCGAGCCATTTGCCTCGAAACTCGGCGCTGAGAAAATCGGCGGGAAAAAATCAGGTAACTATAAATATCTGCTTTTCAAACGTGCATGCCATATCGCTTGTTCGAAAATACGCCCGTGAAAAAACTTCCACCTTCATGGGTTATAAATAACAGATGGAAGAGGATGGTGCACTTCACATTTGCTGATATAATTCTTTGACTAGATGGTGGTGGACGTAAGATTGGAAAACAAGAGATGAAAGATCGCACCAAAAGGTTAATAACTGATGTTTCTTTTTTTTGTTTCTTATATTTTATAATATAAGATTATTTGTAGCCGAATAAATTTGATTGGTTTAAAATCCGGGCCCAGTGGTCGATTAATTGTTCGATTGCCGTTAGTAGACTTTTCATATTATATACTAAGAATATATAATATAGATACTAGACTTTTTTCATAATGACGTCAAACGCAGTTTGATTGGCTCGATAGTTTTGTGGAGCCAATCAAATTTGGTGTAACGTCAGACTTTCTGCATTTGACGTCATTATAAGAAAAGTCTATTAGGGTAAAAAGTAAGTCGAAAAATATTTTCTTTAGTTACTATTATGTTCATCAAACAACCATACATGCAAGCGTAGCTAATGATACCATGGATAGTTAAAAGACTGTGATTTTATTATCCATGATGGTACAAGCTTAAATAAGGAGCTTTGGATCCTTACGACTCCGAAATCTAGTACCGCTACGAGATTTTCACCGTCGAATATCTTCTGCCCCAGACTTTATATCGCTCAGTTTACACACCACATTATTTTAAAAACAGTTGCACGAAAGCCTCGTACTAGCCGTAGCATATATCTAAAATTGAAAATAAGGCCTCTTGACGACGTTTCGACTTATAATGGCCGTCATCGCCATCGGGGAAATTTAGCTAGATGTTGATAACAAAGTTGCATACAGGGCATGTATTTGCCGATGTCTCGGATATTGTACCACATTTCTTTCACGATTGGTTCCATTCCTTCGTTTTGAAGGTTGTATGAAAACTTACCTGACATACGACAGAAGGCTGTTGAAAAACAACGAGAGCGAACCTACACAACCAATCGAGCAAAAGCTCAAGAATTTCAAAAGGTTTGTTTGTATTCATTATTGTAAACGAAAATATTCCAGAGCAATTATCAGACATTTCTTAAACGAAAACAATGATGTTGATAACGATGTTAATCACTTCTATAGCAAACAAGAGAGCGATTGCGAAAGCTGAATGCTAAAAAAACAAGAAAATAGAAATAATCGGTGTTCATTAATTATATATTTTGCTGTACTTAAATTCTGTGTCAATATATGTAAAAGTGTAATATACTATATAATAAATGTGTTAAACATTTAGAAATGAAATAAACATGATAAATGTGTTAAACATTTTGAACGGAAATTCTATACAAATTGCCAGAGTTTGGTACAAATGAATTCTTCAGCTGAGACTGAATGATTCTACCGTGTTTTTTTATTTCTAAACTGATCCTGAAATTTGACGTAATTAGAGCATGAGGCAATATAACAATGTCCCACACCGAATTCCCAACTGCTTGAATCCATCCGGCTATACATGATCACACGGGAAATATGATCACATGCAGAACGGACATTTTCAAAAACGGCTTGAAGTGTGTGGGAAAACCGACGATTTCAAACAAAACAGGCGTACAACTGCTCGGAGGTTGCATTGATGAAAAAAATTGACCACAGAAGCTAGGGCCAATGTAGACTATATGATTTAGTTGTATGCAATTATCATTCTGACGAATGCAAAAGAGGGTCCGTGTCACAATCTTTCTCATTTTGTTCTGGGCAGAATTTGAAATGTCACATTTGTACGTGTGTTTACACGTTACATATACGCCAGGGTAAGAAGGCGTATATGACAGCCGTATTTGTACATGGCTAAAAAAACACGCACATAATATAATAACAACAGGACTGAACAACGTCGTGTTGTATGCGTGATTGTCGACAACCCTGTTAGAACGTGCAGCTAGTGTGGAGCTAAAACAAACTGTGTAGGTCTCTATTCATCAACTAAGACAACCTGGACAAATACTAACTCTTGTTTCGTGCTTTAGTATGGGCTTGAAAATTACTTTATTATCATGGCAAGCTTAAGATCGTGCAGGAAAACATCTGACCAGAAAAATATTGAAATATAATCTTTACCACTAACATCATTGCTAAAACACGTTAACAGGGAAGCGAGGCTATTAGGTAAGAGAGTAAATGGAAAGGTCTATTAGACTCTAATCTAGCATCAGCCACGTCGAATGCGCCACCACCACTTCGAATAAGAACTGGACTCAAATGTCGATCGGGGACGATTACTCGACGTACTTTCCACACCCACTTTGTATATATAATTGCAAGTTCGCATGTTTTTGCAAGGTATCGACATTCATGTTTTTCAACAATTTCAAAGATGAAGTTTTCTGATTGGCTGTAGTTCAAATAGAAATGTTGCTTATTGAAGCATCACCAGTCATATCGGAACAAACTCCGGAAATAGACATCCAAAGTTACAAACAAAGGGAAAGCAAACATTAAAAATTATTTTGACAAAAAAAAGAAAAGTAACAGTCGGTATGAATTGTTGTTACATTAGTACATTACTTAAGTCATGGAAAATGTGGCATCGACAAAGCTAGAATTGTTTAAATTTAGACATAAATCATGGTTATGCAAATTTCTTGAAGGCCTTGATCAAGTACCGGTTCATAACTCTTGAAATATTAACAAAGCGATAACCGCAAGTCTAGTCAGCATGTAAATATCTTCCATATATGGCAAAGTTTCCTTCGTTTGTTGGCACTCTGTATCAAACCCAGTTTTTCCAACTTCGATTGATAAAGCTAATGCCGTGATACACGGTACGCTTTTTAACGACAAATTTAATGCAAATAAGAAATGACATTTGATTAGCTAAGAAGCGCGTTGTGTCGTAAGGCCTCGTTGTATTATAATCTTCCTATGGCTATGTAATATTAGCTTTGATCTAGGTGATTCTGGAAAGAGAAGGTTCTTTCGAATAACTTGCGTAAGACAAGTATTTGCCGACTTTGCAAACGCTTGCTAACCAATCTGAAATTTGATATCTGTAACTGCATGTGTGTAAATTGTTTTCCAATAGACCATAGGCAATACGTCTTGGTACGTCAATCATGCTTGGAAAGGAACCACCCGGCAATTATAGCTTTGGCATTGGGGGCTACGGATTATGATAATTTAAAATAGAATGAAAATTACTTAACTTAGACTTGACTTAAACCCTTAAACTTATTGCGTTACTGGAGACATTTATTCGTTATAAGAAGAGTTGATTAAAAATAATTTTCAAATAACATAGGGTAAGAACTTCCCGACGTTTTGACTTACTCGTTCAAAAGAGCTTCTTTTATGCATTGCTATTAGCTAAGTTTGAACGTTACATAGATAAGATTGCCAATAGCTTCTCAGAAAACTGCGTGACTGATGAGATTGAATCATCAATCATATACAATACACAATAAAAATTCTGGCCACAAAACAGATGTCGAGTATCAGTCACTGGTTTAATAAAACCGCGGTTTCAGTGTTTTTCATTTTTGTCATATTGTTTTCGCATTATGACGTTGTAATATTTTTGTGACGTCATTGACGCCGAGCAATTTCGTATCCCATGATGCTTAACTTAAAGTTATCCTTTGCCTTTCTCGCTTTTGGATCCCGCCTTGTCAGACAAGGACATCGGGAGAAGCATTCTGTTTAGCGGAATTTAGACAAGTTTCGTTGACAGCTTGCCCAATTTATTATTTTTAATTTAATTTTATTACATGTGAGGTGTACTGGATCGTCTGCCGTCGTCGTTTATACGTGTATCTATGGTTTGAAACGTATATTTTTGTAAACGAGATCTACATTATTATTCGTCCATCATCATATTTTGAACGCTGTTGAAATCTGTGATTGTTTGGCTAGAAATCGTCGTGTTAAGAGGGTAAATTTTAAACAAACTGCAAATTTCACTTCGACAAGACTACTGCGTTGGTTTAACCACTTACAGCAGCGGACTATTTACAATCGGTTGTGTATTCGTGTATACTATTGTAATACTCTTCTTACTCTATCCGATTTCGAAATCTATTGCTGCGAAAACATTAGTTTTGGTTGAGCCGATCAAGTGACGATTGCATAACCCAGTAATGGAAAAGATATTCTTCAAACTAGAGGATAAACAACGCGAACTCCATGGCAAGAAAGGACGAGTAAGTTGATCAAGTGTGACGAATTGAACTTGCTTGTGTCTGGCAACAGCGATAAGGATAAAATATGTTGATATTTAAAATTAACAACTATGCTTTTTAGATTATAGTATCGTGGAACAGATTTGCTCGCTCAGTTCGAGAGGCTGTTGAATTCTATACTGAAGCCAAGCAGGTACGAGTTTTTATGTCCAATTTTGTAGTATCGTTACGAAATACCGAGGGTTGAAACGACAAACATGTCACTTTATCAAGTTGAAAAGTAAACAGTAGCTGTAGCATTTGGTCGCGAAGTTTTACTTTCTGTGTTAAGCTGGTAGATATTAGAGACATAAAAATATTTAACAGAGCAATTCAATGTTCCGTTTTGTAAAGAAAATTACGATTTTTGGTCGTCAGCAATCTGTAACAACTCCGAATCTCTAACACAGACGAGAAACTACATTGTGAATTATTAATATGTTTGAATCTGTTGCGTGTGACAACAAGTCTTGGCAATGCAATAGGATACTTATTGCAAGATTGGTTACTGCAATCGTGTTCAGTGTTACGTTAGATTCCTCTGGGGCAAATTACTGTTGCGCTTCCATGTTCAACACATTTCCAACTTCACCATGATAAGAAAAGTCATTACTAATTGTAATAATATAATATTTAAAAATAATAAAATATTATAATAATAATAATAATATTAATAATAATAATATTTATCATTTAATATTTAAACGTTGCTATTAGCATTTAAAAATTTTATCGCTTAACGAAAAACAAATATCAATTTGCTTTCTCAAGGAAGTTATTTTGTTGCCTTGATTGAACCTTCCCTGCTGCTTTAGGGCAAAGTTCTTGTTGTTCCTTTTCAACTGCATGCTATAGTTGCAATGATTATCACCTTGCCTGGCCTTGTAATGTTATATCCTGTCAACATACACTGACCTCCCATCGTTCCTCTTGATTATTTTATATTATCATATTTCACATCCTCAGATATATAATTATATATATCACAGGTCATTTCAAATACTGTACAGGTCCGTACTCTATTTTGAAAAATACAGATGCAAATATTTGATATTGAAAAATTTCCATTAAAATATTTTATACAAATTTCTTTCATGCACGATTGGAATGTTTTGGTTTTCATTTGCTAGGCCCTTTTTCTCTTCCAATTTAATTTAGTTTTCAAATCTGTTTGTGAAAGTCTTGTGAAAAAAACTTAATAAATAAACACACTTCAAAAAAAGTTTATACTTTCTTGCTGGTGTCTTATATGCTGAATCTAGTTATGATCATTCATGACAAAACAAAAAAAAATGCTGAATTTTCCATGCTGGATTGTGTAGTTTGTGCATGAGCTGCAAGTTATGTGGCAAGACTTTCAGGAAAGCATGAATATCATGAGCGATAGGGAAGTAGGTTTTTTTCTAGAAGTTGAGCAACATCCTAAGTGTATGGTTCATGTAATCCTGAATCCTGCAAAATTGACAAGCAAAGAAAGACAAACTGTAAAATTGCCAAATATTCTAGGGCATTTATTTCCTGTCTGTTGTTCACTCACAGAACAGATTTTTAAATATATTTCATCCTTTGAAAGGCAAACAGTAGCTATACATTATAAATAATTCTAATAAAGTTTTATTTCCTATTTGGCGTTATACAAGTAGAGACATGAAAATATCCATTTTTTTAATGAGTTCTGTTTGGTATATTGCCATATTTGTAGTTTTATGTGTCAATTTTTAATGTTCAAAGTTGATATAATTGGGAATTTACAAGAATGTTTAGTAACAAAACTTGTGATTAAAAAGATTGAAGAAATGAAAACAAAGGTAACCAATCAAACATTAGGTTCACAAGTCTATTTGTCAGTTGCAGATATATGAACTTTTGATAAGGGCAAGGTCTAAAAACATGTGGACTGGAATTAAGCCAAGTTAGAGTGCCTTGTTTGATGTACTTATTACGACCTACAATTTGCATCAACATTTTTTTATCACCAAGGACCTTTCAAGCAATATTTACATTGATTTTCACCGATTTCATGACACATATCCTTGTCTATGTGGTAATCCAACACTCTGCTAATTCAGCCACATTGTTTTTTAAAATGATACGGAGTCAAGCGCGTCTGAACTGATCTCAGATGAGGTCACATTCGGTCAAGTTCCGAATGTGTATGTCAACCAAGGCGACAAGCTGTACGTTTCAATCAGCTTGCTTCCGAATATTTGCAGTTAACTTTCGACTATCGTTGTAGTTATTTAATTTAACTGCTGAAAAATGCAACAGAATCTCAATAGAGTCCTGATTAAATACTTTATTCTGGCCAAACGCTTACATGTAATTATATTTCGTTTTTTGACACAATAATACATCGTTGAAACGCATAAACAACGACATTGACATTGTATTATTTTTTTTACTTTAGGCAGAACTGTACGCCTGGGCTCAAAGTCTACCAGATCAAGCCAGAAGAACTGTTTCAAAGGTTCCTCCATTTCGTAGTCTTTTCCTGGCAGTGTTACCGTACTTCATGTATCTGTTATTGTTTTCAAACTACAAAGTTCTTCGGAAACTACTCGGCCTCACAGTTGTCCCGAAGCCAAACATGCATTTCTGTCCATCCATGGAACTGTTGATATTTCGCTGTTTTCCTCATCAAATATTAGCCAAGTTTGCAAACCCTGTATTTGACTTCCTCGCAGCAATTCCATATTTGATTCATTTTCCACTGCCTGTTTTTATGATTATACATAAACTTGTGGACAAACGTCGTAGATCAACTCTCTTGTTTTACGTATGGATAGCTGGATGGTGCAATTTTATTGGTGTTTTCATCCAATTTGTGTTCCCAACAGCCCCACCGTGGTATATGGATAGTGTAGTATTCAGTCCATTGGGCTCTGAGTTGAAAGCTGGTTATAATGAAGCTGGTTTTCATAGACTTGATGCTATTCTTGGTTTCCCGCTCTTTCATAAACTTTATTCGGCATCACCAGTCAAGTTTGGAGCGTTCCCATCATTACATGTCGCATGGCCAACGATAGTCTTAGTTAGCGACCCGTGGGTCAGCGAACGTTTTGCAAAGTTACATGTACTGTGGATTACTTGGGCTGCACTGTATTCAAATCACCATTACGGTGTTGACGCTATTGGTGCAATTGTTATGGTTTTCACTGTACGATTTTTCGCCGGGCTTTGGAGTCCATTTAGCAACCACCTCACAAGTGGTAGTAGCAGAAATAATAGTTATACAAATTTACTACAAGTTTAGATAAATGACGATGCTAGTCTTTTTGGACGATATTGGCATTAAGATTAACATAATTCTATAATAATCATAAGGTCCTTTTTCTATAAATCCCTAGTTAGTTCATTAGAACAATACATTTGTTTCAATCCGTGTATATTATGAACATCACAAACTGATTCATTTTTGTTTTTGGTATTTTATTGTAGGGGACTGTTTATGAATATTAATATGAACCAAATGATAAAGTTTACGTTCTTTTTTAAGCACATCTCTATCCAAAACTGTTGTTGAATGTTGAGGATAGGAAAACGAAGAGAGTATGTGGTGACCACAGCGAGGCATGAGATGCTGCACTAGAAAGTACTCGCATCTTATTGTAAACTATTCCCAACCAGAGAGAAACTGCTCTTATTTCTCCCATCACCCGATCCAAATTTAAGGACTGGATATTCTCGATTCTTAAGTTGGGCTATTCGATATTTATAGTTCTTGGCTAGTTCACCTTGAAACACCCTTGTGTACTCTATTAAAACGCCCTGTATGGTGTCTAATATCGATCACCACATCTCGGTTTTGTGAAACATTTGTGCACAACAGGCCTAACAACATTTCATCAGTCGCGTAAATTAAATTTCACCAACGCGGTCTGGCCGTCGCCATTTTGAATTTGACCGCGCAGGTGGCCGAAAATTCCAACCAAATCCGTTCGATATATGTTTAATAACGGTGTTTTTTTGTATGAAAAAATGACGGAACAAAAGAGAAAATTAGGTACGTGGTGCGTAAATGTTGCAAGCCGTGCATGGTGTTGGATGTTTACGAAATTTTTAGTTTTTAGCGAGGAAAAGGAAGTGATTGGTTTTGTTCCGTATGGATTGGCTCAATTAAGGTGGCTCCCTACAATTTTAGGGATGTTGAAAACTCGAGATTTAGATTTAAAATTTTCGCAGGAGATTTATTGCTTAAGTGAAAAGAAATTTCTTAGATATATTCACCAACATTCTAACAGTCAAAAATCGTCCATATGTATGACGTCATTGCCGTTGTTATGGTAATAATGGCGATTCTATATTGGCCGACGTTTTACATATTTACGCATTTTACTCAAAAACAAGCTCGGTTACCCCCATTTTTTATTTTATAAAACGTTTCCTTACAAGGAAATGAAAAATGAAAAGTTTTTTTAAAAAAATTTTTAAGTCTTCATTTTGGCCGGAATCGACGAATTTTTCAATGTTCCAATGTTCGTCAATTTTGGCTAAAATTGTAAGAGTGCCAAAATTGACAACTTTTGAAAATTTTCTAAAGCTATGTCAACATGCTGAAAAAGGCTTCAAATGTTTTCTCACACTAATCCTTTTAGTTTTTTAGCATATTTGGTTGGTTTTCGGAACATTGAAGGAGTCGTCGATTTTCGCTAACTGAATGGTAAGGGTCCCACAATCACCACACTGAGTGTTGTCATATACGTCTGAGCCTTTGACTCGAGTTATACCCACTGCGTTTTCTGGTCTCTTAAACGGAGTGCCGTTGGGTTTTTTATGATAATATACAGGTTGTTATCAAAACGCGATCTGGTGGCCTAGTGGTTAAGGCCACGGCCCACCATGTTTTAAGCGTTCAGATCCTGCATGGGGAAGGTTCAATTTTTCCACCCAAAATTACTATTTAATTTAAAATTCGTCGAAAAGGATTTAGTCAAATAAAGAACAATATTTTTCGACAAATGATGTGGTGGTCTGGTGGTTAAGGCGTTCGTCTCTCAATCCGAGGACAGACGTTTCAACTTCTAGCAATGCAAAAAAATTAGCCTGAAAAATGTCGGTGTGATTTGGAAGCTTTATAACGGTTAAAAGAGTCCTCGGACTTTCGGAAAGACCTTAAATTGAAAAGTTTGAAATTAAAAAATTGAAAAAAAATTCTCGTGTTTTAAAAGTAATTGAAAATTGAAAAAATAGCATAAGTAATAAATTTTCAAAAACATGTGTCTTCTAAAAAGACTGAAAATTGAAAGTCAGAAAAAAGAATAAAAAATTTCCCGCTTTTTTTTCACGAAAATTTGACAGGGTGATTTTCTCGAGAGTGAAAAAATTTGACACAACTAGCCCAAGACAAAATATTTGCGCGTCAAAAAAAAATTAAAGAGAATTTCAAAAAAGTGAAAAAGATTAAATTTTTCATTCTCGACAAAATCACGATTCTGGCTTTCAATTTTCAGTCTTTTTAGAAGACATATGTTTTTAAAATTTTTGACGTGTGCTTTTTTTTTCAATTTTCAAGTACTTTTTAACGCGAGAACCGGCATGACGTATATATTAAGGCTGCTATCGACATACAATCCGATGGCCCAGTGGTTAAGGCTACGGCCTACCAGGTTGTAAGGGTAGGTTCGAATCCTGCATGGGAAAGGTTCGATTTTTCCCACCGAAATTACTATTTAATTTAAAATTCATCGAAAAGGATTAGGTCAAATAGAGAACAATAGCTTTCGACAAATGACGCGGTGGTCTAGTGGTTAAGACGTTCGTCTCTCAATCCGAGGACAAACGTTTCAACTCCTGGCAATGAAACAAAATTAGCCTGAAAAATTTCGGTGTGATTTGGAATGTTTAAAACAGTTAAAAGACTTCTCGACCTTTCCGAAAGACTGTAAATTGAAAAAAATTTGAAATAAAAAAACAAAAAAGAAATTATTGCGTTCAAAAGTACCTGAAAATTGAAAGAAACGCACAAGTAAAATAAGTTTTAAAAACACATGTCTTCTAAAAAGCCTGAAAATGAAGAAAGTCAGACGGGAAAAAAATTAACAATTTCCCGCTTTTAAAAAACTCATGTTTACTTAACTTAATTTTTTTTCACGAAAATTGGACAGGGTGATTTTCTCGAGACTGAAAAAATTCACATTTTTTCACTCTTTTGAAATTCTCTTAGATTTTTTTTTTTGAAAAAGTATTTTGTCTTGGGCTACCTGTGTCTGTCTTGGGCTACCTGTGTCTGGCTTGACACAGGTAGCCCAAGACAAAATACTCTTTCAAAAAAAAAATCTAAGAGAATTTCAAAAAAGTGAAAAAATGTGAATTTTTTCAGTCTCGAGAAAATCACCCTGTCCAATTTTCGTGAAAAAAAATTAAGTTAAGTAAACATGAGTTTTTAAAAGCGGGAAATTGTTAATTTTTTTCCCGTCTGACTCTCTTCATTTTCAGGCTTTTTAGAAGACATGTGTTTTTAAAACTTATTTTACTTGTGCGTTTTTTCAATTTTCAGGTACTTATGAACGCAATAATTTTTTGTGTTTTTTTTATTTCCAATTTGTTTCAATTTACAGTTCTTTCGGAAAGGCCGAGAAGTCTTTTAACTGTTTTAAACATTCCAAATCACATCGAAATTTTTCAGGCTAATTTTGTTGCATTGCCAGGAGTTGAACGTTTGTCCTCGGATTGAGAGACGAACGTCTTAACCACTAGACCACAAAGTCATTGGTCGAAAGCTATTGTTCTTTATTTGACCTAATCCTTTTCGATGAATTTTAAATTAAATAGTAACTTCGGTGGGAAAAATTGAACCTTTCCCATGCAGGATTCGAACCTAACCTTAAAACCTGGTAGGCCGTAGCCTTAACCACTGGGCCATCGGATTGTATGTCGATAGGAGCCTTAATATATACGTCATCCCGGTAGCCCAGTGGTTAAGGCTACGGGCTTCAAGGTTGTCAGAGTAGGTTCGAATCCTGCATGGGAAAGGTTCAATTTTTCCCACCGAAATTACTATTTAATTTAAAATTCGTCGAAAGGATTAGGTCAAATAGAGAACAATAGCTTTCGACCAATGACTTTGTGGTCTAGTGGTTAAGACGTTCGTCTCTCAATCCGAGGACAAACGTTCAACTCCTGGCAATGCAACAAAATTAGCCTGAAAAATTTCGATGTGATTTGGAATGTTTAAAACAGTTAAAAGACTTCTCGGCCTTTCCGAAAGAACTGTAAATTGAAACAAATTGGAAATAAAAAAAACACAAAAAAATTATTGCGTTCAAAAGTACCTGAAAATTGAAAAAACGCACAAGTAAAATAAGTTTTAAAAACACATGTCTTCTAAAAAGCCTGAAAATGAAGAAAGTCAGACGGGAAAAAAATTAACAATTTCCCGCTTTTAAAAAACTCATGTTTACTTAACTTAATTTTTTTCACGAAAATTGGACAGGGTGATTTTCTCGAGACTGAAAAAATTCACATTTTTTCACTTTTTTGAAATTCTCTTAGATTTTTTTTTTGAAAGAGTATTTTGTCTTGGGCTACCTGTGTCAAGCCAGACACAGGTAGCCCAAGACAGACACAGGTAGCCCAAGACAAAATACTTTTTCAAAAAAAAAAAAATCTAAGAGAATTTCAAAAAAGTGAAAAAATGTGAATTTTTTCAGTCTCGAGAAAATCACCCTGTCCAATTTTCGTGAAAAAAAATTAAGTTAAGTAAACATGAGTTTTTAAAAGCGGGAAATTGTTAATTTTTTTCCCGTCTGACTCTCTTCATTTTCAGGCTTTTTAGAAGACATGTGTTTTTAAAACTTATTTTACTTGTGCGTTTTTTCAATTTTCAGGTACTTATGAACGCAATAATTTTTTGTGTTTTTTTTATTTCCAATTTGTTTCAATTTACAGTTCTTTCGGAAAGGCCGAGAAGTCTTTTAACTGTTTTAAACATTCCAAATCACATCGAAATTTTTCAGGCTAATTTTGTTGCATTGCCAGGAGTTGAACGTTTGTCCTCGGATTGAGAGACGAACGTCTTAACCACTAGACCACAAAGTCATTGGTCGAAAGCTATTGTTCTTTATTTGACCTAATCCTTTTCGATGAATTTTAAATTAAATAGTAACTTCGGTGGGAAAAATTGAACCTTTCCCATGCAGGATTCGAACCTAACCTTAAAACCTGGTAGGCCGTAGCCTTAACCACTGGGCCATCGGATTGTATGTCGATAGGAGCCTTAATATATACGTCATCCCGGTAGCCCAGTGGTTAAGGCTACGGGCTTCAAGGTTGTCAGAGTAGGTTCGAATCCTGCATGGGAAAGGTTCAATTTTTCCCACCGAAATTACTATTTAATTTAAAATTCGTCGAAAGGATTAGGTCAAATAGAGAACAATAGCTTTCGACCAATGACTTTGTGGTCTAGTGGTTAAGACGTTCGTCTCTCAATCCGAGGACAAACGTTCAACTCCTGGCAATGCAACAAAATTAGCCTGAAAAATTT